TCTACTGACGTTGCGAGTATCACTTCATACTATTCTGACAGTAGGTTGGTGATTAGTGTTATGCAACTCGATGCTCTTCAGTACTAGTTCACTACCAGTTGGTGATTCTAGTAATAGATAATACATACAGTTCACTATCGCTGGTAAACAAAGTTTAGGATGGAGACATTCCATTAGATGGGATAAGGTCGAGTTAGTAAATATGATTTTGAGACTAACACAGTTAATGTTTATCCCAAAAAATGTAAAATTCGGTAATTACCCAGGGTAGTAACCCAGGTAGCAGAAGGTGTTCTGGCCGAACAGAGCTCAAAACTTTGATACAGAGATATTCTTGAGTCCGAACACGTACACTACATATTTTACCTGCCCATCTAGTCGACATCGATCAATGGGGGGCACAACTTTACAGCCAAAATCAACACGAACTACGTTTGAGTACAGGAAAAAGTCTCTAGATTTTGAGCGGGCCAATGCAATACGGCATAGGTCTTAGTGATGAAATATTAAATGAAAGTTTACTTGCAAGTTGTGCTACGGTTGTGTCAGCTCTTACCATTCAATGGATAGTGCATCAAGACGGTGGGGACTATAGAGTTAAAGAAATTATCGATTGATTGCCTGATACGAATTATCTGAGATGTGTAGTCTACGCGAGCTATACAGACCCATCTGCAACATATTATGAATGTCTTCCGAGATGCACTTCTTTGCATTGCTCTTATAGCAAGAAACATACGACCACATCTGAAACGAATGTAAGTCGACATTTACTTTTTAAAATGTTTATTGAACAAATTTGGGATATTGAACCAAAATGACTCTACTTTCTTATATCTTAAAGGAAAATCGGCCTGCGGATCTTTTATTGATGGACGCTCCAAAACGATCAACTGAAGTTTTCGACCTTAGAAGTAATAACGTCTTTGACAGAACCCCCGCTGTCTAAATTGCTTGTATCATCACGGAAAGCTACCTTGCCTCTTTCACTAGGAAATCTCTGATCGTCTTTGACTTGCAAAAACCTGATCAAAATGGCTATAACAGCCGAAGTTATCGTTGTCGCTATCATTGCGTAGCAGCCTTTTCTAAATTTTGGGACGGTATCTGCAGAGTAAAATAACAATGACCACCAAGCATTTACAGCCCCGGAAAACATATTCATTGAAGCCAGGACAACTGCTCGTTCTTGAAGGTCTGCCCGACATACCAAATTGGCCCAAGCAAAGAAAATTGCTTGACCGGCAAACGATATTCCAGCTATGTATTGAGCAGCAAACATAACCGCGTCCTTCAGTGGATTGGCAAGCACCATTATAGAGGACAAAAGCATCGCTGCCGCAATAATAATTGCTACGTGCCAGTGGGTTCTGCCACCCGTGTGATCAACATACAGAGCACAGGCAAATGTGGCAGCTACACCAACTCCAAAAATGCCCATTGGGTAATGGTTTCTCTGCGGTACATTGTAATTCTTTGACGCTAACCAAAGGGCAAATAAAGAATTAGATCCAAACGACTCGTTTTCACCTCCCATCACCCATAGCAAGCTAAACAACCACCAATGCCATCTCCCAACGACCCTTCTGATGACACTTAAATCCAACTTAGTTTTGGGTGAGGGAGGCAGTCTGTCTTTAGCCATTTTTAGGTCCTCTTCAGAAAATATCCAGCTAGATTTTATTTTATCTGGGGAGCCTGGGAAGCACATGAACCCATATAAAGCTATTGGTATGGTGATGATAAAATCAATGATGAACAGCCATCTCCATCCTTCTAAACCACTCTTACCATCCATGTTTGTATAGATTGCGCTTTGCATGAACCCCGAGAATAGTGACCCAATGAGGCCGCTGCTCGTAAAGGTGGCACTTCGCGTGTTAATCTCCTCCTCCTTGTACCATGATCCCAGAATCAAATGCGTCCCAGAGAAGGTAGCGCTTTCGAAAATAGCTTGGAAGAACCTTATCGCGCAAACTTGTTGGTATGAGTTTACTCGATAAATGCCCAATGTAAGAAAACCCCAAGCAACTGCACAAAATGTCAACCAGTATCGAGGTGGAACTAGCAGCAGCATCAGGTTGTTAGGAATCATACCCACTATGTAACCAACTGTAAAGCATGTGTTGATCACATTAAAATCATTTCCTGTCATATTTAGTGATTCCTTCATTCCCGAGACATAGGCATTCGAAAGGTTTGTCCTGTCAACGTAGTTAATCCAATAGCTAAGACAGACATACGATAGCACAAAACAATCGATCTTCAGTAATAATCTTCGCTCCTTAGGATCTCTAGGAGGCTTACCCCAGAACACTGACTTGATTTTTGAATAAAGTGGTAAGCTCTCGTCCACGGCAGTACCGTAATTTTGGGACTCCATTGACTTCACCATGGCAAATATCAATTGAAGTGCGTCGCACTCAAAGGAAATTGTAATTCATGGGGCCCCAACGTGAAAACCCTGTCTTTTTTTTATACGGTTGTGTTCCAGGAATACAGATGATTTTAGATACACAGGGTACACGGACTTACGACAACACATTGGTACGGATGTTATCTGTGTATATACCATATTCATTACTCAGTGGAGGCAAGTTCTAGTCAGGTCAGAGCAGTAATCTTATCAGCATTCTGGGTTAAGGTGGTAAGAATTTGATTCTCGCTGCCGGTGTGACTGAGAAAATACGCAGTCGTCTTGAGCACACAGTTGATGGTATAATCCAAGCTTACAATGTCTTTGAAACACTCCTCGGCCTAGAGTTTCCTTCCTTGTTCTGTCACTGTGGTAGTTATCGCCTACCCTCATATCTAATAATTGATTTGGACAATAGTAAGCATGCCCATCCACAACAATCAGACAGCCCATTAGCTCGATTGATTGCAATGACCTAAGGTGTAAACGGAACACCCCCCCTGATTTGCCTAAATCGTTGTCACAGTCCTACTATCAGGCAGAAGCTGCCGGCACTTTAACCGAAGTACCCGCACGTCATTCGACGTTTTCCAGAGATAAGCATCACCTGAACGATAAGGTTCGGGCGAACTAGCAAGAATTGATGCTACAAACCGCCTTGTCTCAGCTGTTTGATACTGCACACCAAAGATTCTTGTGGCAGAAGCATTATTTAATGAAAGCCAAGGCCCAACTTCTGTTCAGTACCAAATGCAGCCCAAGATATAGCTGAAATTGCTGGATCGGATCTAGGGTAAGGACACGAATGACTGTCGCAGATTATTTGGACATAGCAGCCCAGAAAAGAGAAGCTAGGGACAAAGCCTTCATCGGCGAGTGGCTGATTCCGGATGACGCACTTCCTCAAAAAGATGTCAAAGATGTCCTTACTTGGGCGATTAACTCTGGGTACTTGGCAAAACGAGAAGTAGCCATAACAGAATCCACACTCGACGAACTTTCAGAGAAGATCAAAAATAGAGAATGGACAGCATACGAGGTGGCAATGGCGTTTTGTCACAGAGCATCTATAGCACACCAGTTGGTTAATTGTCTTTCTGAGGTGTTTTTCAAGGAAGGCTTGCAGCAAGCCCGAGAATTGGATGAATACTATGAGAAGACAAATCAACTAAAAGGTCCCTTCCACGGTTTACCCATATCTCTCAAGGATAACTTTAATGTCAAAGGTCAGGCTACCACCATCGGATTTGTCGGGTTCTCCTTCAATCCTGAGAAATTTGAATCAGAGTCTCTCCTTGTCTCAAAGCTGAGAGAGTTGGGCGCTGTCTTCTGCTTCAAGACAAATGTACCTGTAGCTATGATGATGCCAGAGTCCACTAATCACATTTACGGAAATACAGTGAATCCCTTCAATAGAGCTACGACTAGTGGGGGTAGCTCTGGCGGTGAATGCGCACTCGGAGCTCTACTTGGCAGATGTTACTTAGGTCTCGGGTCAGATATCGGTGGATCTTTGAGAATCCCAGCATCTCTGCAAAACCTGTTCACATTACGACCCTCTTCTGGCAGATTTACCACCTATGGCGCGCGCTCCGGCTTGCCTGGACTCGAATCTGTGGCTAGCGTAAATGGTCCTATATCGACCACAATGGAAAATCTCGAGTTCTACTGTAAAAATATTGTCAATCATGGAGAGCAGTGGCTGGTCGATTCAAAGTGCCTTGAAATACCTTGGAGAGAGGTGATCCTTCCTGAAAAACTTACGGTTGCTCTTTTGAAAGACGATGGGATAGTGAAACCATATCCGGCTATCGCGCGGGCCCTCGACCAAGTTGAGCACTCGTTGAAGTTACAGGGCCATGAAGTAATTGGATGGAACCCTCTTCATCATGATCGCCTAACAAAGTTGATTGGCGCTTTCTTTCTCAGTGATGGTGGCAAACATTGCAAAGAATATCTCAATTTGACCGGTGAGCCGGTCTTCGATTACATGAAACCCTATGAAAGTGCATCCGATCTACCGGTGTCTGAACTTTGGGATCTCCAAACTGAGCGTACCAGACTGTGCAATGAGTACTTAGCTCAATGGAATAAAACGTGCGAAAGGACGTCTTCAGGTAAGCCTATTGATGCTATCATTACGCCTGTTTCACCTTACTCTGGGGTGGGCATAGACAAATTCAGGTATATTGGGTACACTGCTGTATTTAATGCGTTAGACTGGGCTGCTGGCACAATACCTGTCACCAGGGTTGATAAAAGAATTGACAAGAAGGACGAGATGTACGAACCACGAAACATGATGGACGCAAGAACTTATGATGAATACGATGCGGATGAAGTCGATGGATGTGCCGCATCAGTCCAAATTGTTTGCAAAAGGCTACAGGAAGAGAAGGTTGTCAAAATGATGAAAACTGTATCAAGAATTGTAGGTACTCATGATTATTGGAGCTCTAGCAAGTAGAAGTATGTTATCTGTACTAGTCGAGCATCCAATCTCCGATGATCGCATGGTTAACATTTGGGCTAGTGTAGTGAAAGTTTGGTGGAAACTCGGGTATAGAATCAAATCGCTTGACCTCAGAAAATGGATATGGTGCGAGTATGATGCTCACAGTTGTGGTTTCAAAATAAGGCATTTTTGTCATATCAACTGGTAGAATATCATTGTTTGACATAGATATAGATCAAAGAGATTTATGTTTGAAACCCAGCGGGTGAGATACAAGATGTGTTTGAACTATACTATGGCTGTGTTTCAGAACTCTTCGTAAAATTTTGAGTGGACTATATAAGTCATCGGGAATTGTGTCAGAATAGAAGAATAGAACGAGATTCTTGCAACGTGGAGTAAAAAAAAGGCATAAGGTTAGAAATCAACATTTTTGGCCCATTATCTAGCCCTCACTTCACCCAGCCGCCCAGCCACTTAGCTCTCGAATTTGGTATGGGTATTGACTGGATGTCTAGATGGTCCAGATTAATAGTCTAAGAATATATAGAGAGATAACAAGAAGTTAGAGCTACTTTGGGACACTCTGAAATAAGATCAAAAAGTTTATCGGAGAATCGTAAATGAGCGGATTGGCTGTCAAAGAAGTACTGATAGGAGTTGCTTCTTGTACTATATTTCAATTGCGCCACAATGAATGCAAAATTATCATAAACACACTCAGGTAGTTCGACTATAATTTAGCTTAGGTACATATCACTCTCAATCCTCCTGCTCCAGAGTTCCAGGAGTTTTCAAGTACTTTTGAGCTGCCAAGTAACTCAGTTCTCGACTTCTCTCCTCATCAGATTGATGAAAGTATACGTACCCTAGCTAGACCAAACACGAGCCATTGTCAAGCTCCTCGTTGTCCTCTCGTATTCATGATTACTCTTTGCGATAAAATATGAATTACCAGTTCACACGAGCTAAGGATCCTATCTGCGTCACAAGAACAAACGCTTTCCGTAGCCAAATTCTTATAACCCATTATACAATGATGATGGCCAAAGGTTGGTTGTCGTGTCAGAATTGGCCGAGGTGATATGAGCACATGACCAATATTGATTTACATATTGATATCGGCCCGTACAGCCATCGAGGAGATTTGACTCAACTCAATTGAAGGAAGGTTCAAGAGGCACCTTGGGATGCCCACTAACGATCCGAATAGTGATTTTACTCAAGCAAGTAACGACGCTATAAATGAATTGGGCTTGTCCGACTTTGAGGAAGTAGGAGCAGACGAGTCGAGAAAGCGACAAAAAAGACCGGGCTTCGCCTGTGTGCGTTGTCGCAGACGCCACGTTAAATGCCCTGGTGGTAGTCCATGCACCAAATGCGCTTCAGCAAAAGTTGCATGTGAGTATCTGGAGCCTAACAAGAAGTTGGTGGTCTCCATGAAGTATCTCCAAAAACTGCAGTCCGATTTAGTTGACATGAAACGGGAAATCCTGAGATTGCAATCCACCAAGAGTGAAGTAACACCATCCAGAACATCTATAGATGCGAGTATGGAGTCTACCTCCAATATCAAGCTTCACAAAAATTCGGACGAGTGTAATACGGACGAGGAAGAAATTGTGCCTAACTTTGCTGAGAGGAGGGGGCGACTTGTGGCCTCGAGGACAGGCCAACGGTACTTTGTGGGCTCTTCCTCAATGACTTTATTTGGAATGGAGATCCAGTCACTCATCCCGGAGCGTTTCAGCAGAAAGATGAAAAATGGATTTTACAATGCCCTTGAGCAAGAAGTGCGAGAGGTGTCTAGTACAAAACCGATTGACGAGATTCTTCAAGAAGAAGGGAATGCTTACAAGATTATTCTGACTAAGAACGACGGGAATGATGACATTAGTGTAAATTTTACCCTCCCGTCGTATTCATATGCTGTTCTACTGGTAGACACTTTCGTTACTTATAATGATGGGTGTTTTTATTTCTTCAATGAGGGAATTGTGAAAAAGCAGCTGAACAGTGTTTATGAGGGCTCAGCGAACTTTGAAGATCATACTTTGCAAACGATTTGGTTTTGTAAAGTTCTCCTCATATTTGCCACGGGCGAAATGTACCTTGGTATCGCAAATAATTCAAATGGAACAAAACCTTCATCAAAAGAAGGACCAAAGTTACCGGGATCTGGATTTTTTGAACAGGCGTCAAATATATTCAGCTGCTTGTTTTCTAGCGGTCGCATCGAGAATGTCACGAAACTAGGAGGGATTGAGGTGATGCTGCTGTATGCTTTCTACTTACAAGTAGCGGACTGTACAGTGGCGTCTTATTTCTATTTCGGGCAGGCTCTACGTGCTTGTCTTATAATGGGCTGGCATGTGGACGCTCAGAGAGATAGCATTACACGATTTGAGCTAGAACACCGCCGTCGCTTGTGGTGGACAATTTACATGTTTGAAAGGATGCTCAGTAGTAAAGCAGGTCTCCCGTTGAGTTTCACTGATGAAAGTATCACCGCAGGACTGCCAGATGATTTTAACATGTCGTCCCCTCCTCCTAAATGCGAACACTACATTTTTCCTGAGGCAGAGTTTATCACTAACTGTGTTAAAATTACTCAGATTAATGCCGTTATTCTGAACAAGCTGTACCAACGCTTACCAGGTTCAAATATCTTGCCGATTTTGAAAGACATAGTGATGCAACTCTTGGACTGGAGAAAAACTCTTTCCAGCTTTCTGCAAGTGGACTTCAAGCAAAAAGATCTCAGAATTTCGAGGTTATGCACAAATATTTTTACTGAATATTTTCAGGGTATGAATTTGGCAATTCGACCCCTCCTTTTTCATTTTGCCTCCATTAAGCTGAAGGCGCTGGACACGTCCGACACTTACGTCAATTTACAAAACTACTCACCAACCATATCTTCACTGCTTAATTGTTCTTTACAGGCCTCAATGAATACAATAAGGTCATTGTGGTATCTAAAGCAGCAGAATATGGTAGCATTGTTTGGATACATGGATCGTGAATATCTGTTCACTTCAGCTTGTACATTAGTTCTTTTCAACACAGCATTTGGAGTGTACGAACAAACCTCAGAACATCTGAATCATGCGTTGCTGATATTCACCAAAATGCGAAATTTGGGTAACAAACCAGCTGGTCTGCGACGTGCACAAGTTCTGAAGCTAATGTACAACCTGGACTTTCAGGGGACGATGAAAGAATTGATTGAATGTCACTATGATGACGTACGCCCAGATGTACAGTTTGAGCATCGCCACGATCGTGAAACCGAAATCATTTCAGTTCCGTCAACCAGTTCAGCGAAGGCCCTTGAATTGGGTTCAGATAATTTAGAAAAGGAAAGAGCTCCGACAGATACAAAGACAGACGCTGCTGTAATTGAAACAAATACAAATTCATTCGAGCCTCTCTCTCTCGAAACGAATGGCGAGATACAAAAGTTCTTGGATGGTTTGGAAAACGTAGGCGCCTTCGAACATGAGCTGTGGAATGACATTTCCAATCAAGCCGCATGGCTAGGAAACGCTACCGAAGCATCAGGCTCAATGGGTGAAGAGAGTATTTTTGGAGATTTAAATGCTAGTCTTTTCAGTGGAGACGTCGGACCCAACTGTTAGTGCCACGAGCTTTAAATAGACTTTCGCATGGATTTTTGTGACGTTAGAATAAAGAACAGAACATATAGAACATAACTTCATATTCTTCATCTCAAAAGTCACAGTTAAGGTACTCTATATGAAGTACATGCTAGATGTAATGCCAATGTATATAAACGATTAAGTAAGTCAACGGTCATTTCTATCCTCTGCTACCCAAAGTGTCTAACCTTGGAGGTACAGATACGCTTCAATAAGTTATCTGCATCGCCTACCATCCAATCTGATATTCTCTTATGAGACTTTGCTATGGCGACAAAACCTGTACCCAATTCAGAGTTATTTAGTTGAGATTGCTGTAATATCAGTGTCTGTTTCAAGCGAAGCTTGTTTTTGTTGTTTGCCATGAGCTCTTTGTTCACATTCACTAATTTTTGAGAGGTACTTTGTTGTATAGTTTCCAAGAACGACCCACCTGCAAGTCTTGTGAGAAGTGTCGCTCCACCTGTTTCGATTCTTTGCGTCTTATAAAGAATGTCCTTTAGCTGGCTACGCAGTTTGAAAGAGATGTAGGGTGAATTCAATAGGTTCATCATCCATTCCAGTATATTTCTGAATTTCAGAAGCTTAATGTCGTCTTTTGTCTTTAAGCCGTGCAGTATACTCTCCAGGAACCAATGTAAGTAGCGGTAGTAGTTTTCACCATCATCGGTGGCCTTCATCATCATGATAGTGTCAAGAAGTGGCACATGCTGGGCTTGGATAAAAGGGAAGGAAAGGATCCAACGAGAAGCTTTCTCGTATAGGAAGGAGCCAGGCTGGTTCAAAAAAGTCGAGAGACTTGCCACCATGTACCAAATCAAAGGGGAAACCACTGAAGAGTCATCGTCCTGCTGACGTTTCTCGTTATACAGTGTGAATCCAATTTTCGTAAGTAAAATCTTGTAAATGGAGGCATCTTTCATTGTCCCGCCATCCAAAGAATCAAGCATTTTGTAAATAAGAGAAGACGCAATATCACGAACTTCCCCACCAAGACTCAAACACACAATGATAAATTCAAGGAGGCCATTCCCAATAATTTTCTTCATGTCAAGGAAATGCGTGTCATTCTGTTCACCAGTTTCTCTAACTCTAGTCCTGAAGAAGTCCTCATTGTTCACAATTGAAAGTAGCAAAAATGTTGGATCATAGAATGCGCATTCATGACCATTCCACAATAAATGGGTTGCACTTTCAAAAGTTTCAAAATATTTCCAGTCATTTGCCGATTCAGAGCTTGCAAGAATAGGCAGAGATGGTACATCAAAACCAATAGAATTGATAGTTTCCTTAACCAAGTCCTGCCTAATTGTCATGATATAGCCTTCTTTTTCTTTAGCTAGCAGACGGTAATCTTGGTCCTTACTTCCTTCAGGCTCTCCCAATGAGTCTTGGTAATCCCAAGCAAAGATGTTTCGAGTCCAAGACACAAGGGTTTTAGATTCAATTTGCTTCAAAATGTCGAGAATTATTCTGTCAGAGCAGGTCATCGTACCACCATAAAACAATAGTAGCTTGTCCTGTATGACTGGACTCGAGCAACCTTGAGGGTCAACAATGAAAAGAATGTAAATTAGAGAGGCAGTCAGAAACTTGAGGTGGCTATCACAAGGCGAGCTGTTGAAGCACAGTTCTCTATTGTTCAACAACAGTTGAAGGATTCGACTACTGTTCAACTTTGATTTCTCGGCACCTAATAAAATTGCACCAAGAAACTTCAATGGTTCAGGATACGCTACCCATAACCCATCGACAATAGACTCTGCCTGAGAGTTCAGACTAGATGATACTCCTAAATTCCAAATATTTGCCTGATGATGAAGTTCTTGGAAATTGTTGAGGAAATCAAAAAATTTCTTACTTGGCTCAGATCGTTCGGCAAAGTTCTTTGTTATAAACAAAGCGGACTTTCGAATCCATAATTGGATGTCACTGTTTTCGAAATTATTGAAGCAAGCAACAAATTTCGCAACCTGCGGCGTAAATTTATGTTCGCTAAAAGTCGTGATGAAGTTGACAATTTTAACCCTTTGCTCAAAAGAAATATCGTCGAAGCGATTAATAAACAATTGTAACGCAGCGTCGAAGACGGAATACTGTAGACTATGCAATCTTTCGAATGATATTGTTAAAGCTTTGTTGATGAAAATATTCACGTCTTCAGAACAATCGGTACTTAAGGACGCAGCAATCTTAATCATGAGATTAGCGTCAGTTACCATACTGAGAAAATTCTTTACGCACATAATTCCCTCATCGTACGCGAGAAAAGCCTCCACAATAGGATAATTCACGTCTGTCTGGAGGCCCATGGGTAATAGTACGGCAAACTGAGGTGAATCTATGAGCCGTGACTTGACGAAAGTCTCCAAAATTGAAATTATCCTGGGGTCATTAAGGGCTAGAATCTCCAAAAGCTGACCGTTAGCCAAATGAACACCTCGTAAAGACATTTCAGCTAGAATGTCTGGTATCAAGTCTTGGCCCTTTGCTATATGAAGGGTTAAGACTTCTCCAAGTTGCTTCGAAGAGAGAACTGTGAGTCCGCTGACTAAAGCTGACCGTAGAACATCAACCTCACTCCAAGTGCTGGCACAAGACACCCACAGTTCTTTGATATAAGCCTGATACTCGCTAATATCCACACCCAATTGACCGTAAATGCTAGTAATTGTATTTGTGAGGTATGAATATCGCTTACATGCCTCCAAATTGGAACTATCCAGAGCTAACGGGAGAACTAATTTTGAAAAATAGAATTTTTTGGTAAATTTGACCTTAAAATCGTTCTGCGACAAAACATAGTTGGCCGTTTTAAGTAGAAGGTTGTCGACAATTGAAGTAAATTTGAGGTATGGGATGGGGTCATTAGGTGTTTCCAGTATCGATTGAAGCCTTGAAATGAGCCCTGCAACGTCAAGTTCATTTACCGGAAATCTGGCAAGGACGCCAAGTGTAGAAGCTTCTGTCAATGTAACGCACTGAAAAAAAGAGTTATCCATGTCATTCGCTACTAGATATTCCGGCTTTCTCAAATTTACGAGTTCGCGCTCGTACTCTTGAAAATTTAAGTAAACATCTTTCATATCCCGAGGAATGGTCGGTACGGGTTCCAACAGAGCATAGATTCCATGAAATGGTTCGCCGATGAAAACTGTGGACCTCAAAAAGATTAGCAGCCATTTTAGTCCTCGATCAAAAGCAGTTTTGGTGTCAACGAATCCCCACTGTTCAACCAGAGCTACCAGAAATGGCGAACAGTTTTCAGACGAAGTTGCCATATCCATGTACTTATAAGGAGTTTTCATACATCTTGAAATGGTTTCATCCAACAGCTTCCAAATTTTCTGTAGTTGATCGCAAGATTCTTTTGGTTCGCCCTCTTGCACGATTTGAAGACTATTAACCAAAGCAGCAAGCGGGGATGCTGTTAACGATTCGTTGAATACCACGGAGAACTGGAGAAGATTCTCAAGCAAAAGAGTAACCTTTTTCGTTAAAGTGCTGCTTGCAATGTTGGATGAGGCCAGTTTCAAGAGTGAAGTAAAAACAGAGTTTTCGCCAGCAGTTGAATTATACCACTTGGTTTGCGAGCTATTGAGTTCCTGAAATTGTAAGAAATTATCGAGTATAACCAGATCTAATCCCGAAAATGTACTCGAATTCATAACGCTAAAAAAGATGTTATCATTCGAAAAATTCAAATTAAAGGTTAAAGGAAAAGTCCTGCTGTAGTGATTGAGTACAATGGAAACGGAAGCCGCGAGTACGCTATTTTCTCTGCTGTTTCGGCCAACATAGTCTAGCGTCGACGACACAACGGACAGTTCCGGTACCTTGGACTTGAAACTATTGAGAAGTTCCGATTTTGCGGAATTCCATCCCTTCTCATCATAGAAGCTAAAGATCGTTTCCAGTTTTTTGAATGCGAATACTAGTAGCTGACAAGCCATTTGTTTGACGAGGGGCACCTCATGAAGTAAGGCCTTGGTCAAAGGTTGCCTCGTTAAGGAGCAAGGCAAGATAGACTCCATCACAAGGATTGAAGAAGGAGTGCTGTCTGTTTGTACTTCCTTTACACTATTGGGTATTGGTGAATTAATTATTCGACCGAATAGAAGAGTCATGCCAAACCAATATGAAGTCATTCGAGGCTCATGATTCCCTAACGTGTTTAAATGGTAGCAGTATGGGGCAATCAGTTCGGGTATCGACCTTAAAACTTGTACAACTCTGTTTAGTTGTGGCTCATCTTCCCAAGGCTTGAAAAACGTTAGCGTCGTGAAAAGAAGCTTATTGTAGAGATTGAACTTCGTATTTTTGATAAGGACAGTAGCACCATTACTCGTGTAGCTGGAGTTTGAGCTTGAATACACAGGTTCAGAAAACCAGAGTTTATCGTCGTGGAATGCCACACTGAATTGTTGTGAAGTGGTGAAAAGCTCAAAAAAGTAATCGACAAGTGTTACCAGCTCAGGATCACTTGAATAATAAAATGAGTGCACTTTGCTAATGAATGATTCATTCAAAATTTTGCACTTGGTCACTTTCTTAAGAGATTTCTCTTGTAACACCTTTTCAATCATGGTGCGAATGCACTGCTGCACTAGTTTTCCAGAGTCATACTTAACCATGTGCTTGTACCAAGTGCTCATCAGTTTGGGATTCTCCGTTAAAACGGATTTTCTCAAGAGCGGGGTAGAGTGGTTTATCATACTAATCCAAAACTGCAAAAAATTGTATCGCATTGAAAGTTCAGGGTTCGTCTTGCACTGTTCAGGATCCGCAAGCTCTGTCTTAGTTGGGCCCAAAACTCGCACCAAGCTGGGTAAACCTAGATCAAAATACGTGAGAAAATCATCGATATGCTGCCCTTGGTTGAAGACAACAATTTGACGCATGAGCCGAAGTATTGGGTTGGTGATTGACGGCTTCAAATTGTTGACACCCCGATATAAGACTTTTATGTATTCTTGGAGAATGGAGCGGATTAAAGTCGAGCCACACGCTAGAGTACTAGGATCTGATCCCAAAACTCTTAAGGCTCTTCCCAATTTAGCAGTACAACTAGTAAACTTTGCATGGTTGTTGACCTGAGCGTGGTAAGACCACGATTGAAGTATCTGACTGCCAAATTTGCCACTAAAAAACGCGATCACAGGTCTGTAATCATTCGAGACACCTTCGTTGACGAGGTCAATTCCAGAGATGACGTCTTGTAAAGCATCGAAGACCCCATCATCCATTGTAGAGCCTCCCGAGAACTTGGAAGCATGAGGCTTTTTGAGTTGTCCCATTCGATTGCCACGGATAGTGCGCTCTTCACTCATTGGAGCTTTAAATTGAGTCAATCAAGTGTAAAAGCGTCTCTCAACACAATTGACCGCTCCTGTGCACTCTGAGATAGAGATGAGATGAGATGAGATGAGTTGAAAAATTATACCGCTGAAAATTATAATATCACAGAATACGGAATGAATGTTGGGTTTGATGAATCTATTCAAAGATAAAGCATAGCTTAAATTCAGTTGTGGCATGGAATGCACGATTCACAATACCACTGGAGCACACCGATCGGCTTTACACCTATCGCTCAAGTTTTTCTAGAGTTCAACTACTAGCTTCTTTTTTTTTTTTTGATAGAGCTACTGTTATCAGGCAAGTTAGTAGATTTGATCAAAGAGCGTCCGATTGAAATTCGAGGAACGTTCTGTATCTTGGGATCGACTTTGTTGCTTACAGCTTTCAGATTTGCTGCTATATTTTATACATTGACTTCGAAATTTTTGACAATGCAGACCATACTTTGGCGGCGTCTCTTAAGAGGACCCACGAGGATCCCCTTTCCGTCGAGATTCTACGGTAGTCAGGCGTTAAATACAGAGAACACTAGTCGCTCGTCAAAATTTGACAAAAGCATGCTAAAACCTGCGTTAGTGGTGGTTCTTTTTGGCTCTATGTTAACTAATGTTATGGAACAAGAACGTAAGAACGAAGAGATGGAGAATCGTTACGCGTTAAAAATTCAGATTCTCAGGGATATGATTTGCAGAGTGGAGAAAAACGAAAAAGTTGATCCAGATCAAGAGCTAATGCTCGTGAACAAATTGTTTCAACGGTTTCTAAAATCTGAGTTCGTTGGCCTTGAAGAAGATGCATCGAGAGTACGAGACAGTGTGAAGCCCAAGGAAAACACTATAAAGAGGTTAAATGGAATGAAAGCTTCAGATGACGATATGACCTCCCTGCGAGATCTTTACGAGGATATCATGAAGGACGTGAATAACGAAGAGCTTTCTCTACCTGCGGAGACAGTAGCAGCTCCCAAACTTCCAGAAATGGTGCCACAGATTACCAACTCTTCTTCTGAACCGTCATCTGACTCTACGATTCTTACAGATAAGGCAGCGTTAGCAAAGGAGGCGGAGGCTGAAAAGGAAAGACTCAAATACAAACCCGAAACGGGAACTCACGTCATTGTAGAGAATGCAGGCGACTATAGTGGTTCAGCAGATGATATGAAAGTATCAAAATTTCTGTAGACTCCGGAGACGAATGCCTTAATGCTTTTCTAACATTCGCAATACCTTTTTGAGCTTATTTTAAAGATTAAATCTTAACGGCTGCTCTTTACTACGAATGCAAATGTACGTATATCTAAACCTATATTTCAGAGCTCAGGATATTTCATGAGTTGTATCTTGCTGATAATCCTGTCCTTGCTGGTCGAGCTCTTGTTCGTTGCCAACAATATCGTCTTTCCCGGTAGTTTGAGAAATTGAACTACCAGCTTCCACAGACTCTTCAGAAATGTTCGAGTCCTCTCCCGGTGTACGCGAAGCAAGCAGCCTGTCTTTTTGCATGTCAAAATTGATACTATTTGAAACTTGGTACTCGCCGGAATTCGAAGACTTACTATTTCTCCCAGTACCACCTGTGACGCTTTGCGGGGTCAACATTTTTGACTTTATGTTGATCCTTGAAGATACGTCTGCAGCCTGACTACCTTCCTTAATGGACTGTCTCAACACAGGTGGCGAGTCATCTTCCAGATTGCGGCCCTTTGGAGTTTTTCTGGGGGAGTGCTTTTCACCAGAAGAGCTTGTGGCTGGCGACATACGGCTCAGTTCGTTCAACGCTTCACGAGCGCCCGAATCATCGTTAGCCGAATGGTGTGGCAGCCGTTGTGCCTTGTCGGGGCTATTTGATGTGCTAATGGTTGGCATGTTGTTGTGGATGTTAACCAGCTGATGTAAAATGTCCGGCGGCAGGTTTTTCATTTGATTTGTAATAGATTGTGCACCAAAAGGACTCTGTGCAATGGCACCAGAAGACATTAAACTTTGATTCTCTCCTTGCTGTGGCGGTGCGAGTGGAGACAATGACCTTTGGGTGAAGGTTGGTGGCGGAGGGGCCTGAGATACAGGTGGGTCATCTGTCAGTAAGCCTGGAATTTGCACCAAAAGCATATGTATTCTTTGCAAACTGTTACCAGCCTTTTCAAAGCTTTTCGAGTTCATTCTTAGTATCCAAACGTAATTTCTCAAACAGTCTCTAAAAATTGTAGCCTCATCTTTAGTCGGTGCAGTAATATACAATAAAGCCGCAAACGTTCCAATCAGCGTAAGATTTCCAGTAGAGCAAGTGTACCAGAAAGAATTGATATGTTCAAATTTCAGATCCCGTACGAATTCGATGGCGGCAATTAATCTTGTTTTCGCGGCCAATCTGCACACCTGAACTAATTCGGGCGACGTGTCGTTATTCAGAGTGACTATTATCCTTCGATGCAAAGTTAATTCAACAGCAAAATACGAAAGAGTCAAGGAAGCATTGCTGTTGAATCTGCGCTCCTGAAATGAACCCATAGAGAGTTCAGTTGGCAACGAATGGTACCACTCTCGCATTTTTAATTGGAGAGGTTTCGCTAACTTCAGAACTTGATCTATCCTAGTGACGGTCTCGAGAGCGCCCAAAGTGTAAAAGGTATCCATAACTCCTCCCAAGATAATGCTTAATGATATCATATGTTGAAACATCAATTTGCTATTCCTGTAATCATCTGGGGATGGTGATAAGTCCAGCATTGATTTATTGCCAGTCGGACTGGTGACGTCTCTCAGCATTTGAACATTCGACTGTGATCCATTAACAGGTGAATTTTTGGAGGGGTTAATTGCAGGAAAATCTTCATCCGTTAACATTTTTACAAGCCAGTTTCTGCCTAGGATTAAATGAGAATGTCTTGCCTCCATCATCGACGTCCACTTATCTTGTAGCCACACAGCCCATGCTAGCCTTCGTCTAAGACCCCTCTCCCAACGAGGCAGCCTCCAGTCTTGGCAGTCGACGCCTAACCCTAGATCTTCAGCTAAGGCTACTACTTCTGAACAAATAGCCCAATTACTAGAGCTTTCGCTTCGACATTGTAATATTAATAGTCCAGTTTGAACAATGCTGAGTTTTGGTCTTTCTATGACGTCGAAGAAAGTCCTCAAGGCAATTTCGTTCAGTTTGTCAATCACGTCAGGTTTTGGAAAGCCAACAAGCTGAGGATGGAAATCCCACCACTGTAGAGAGAGTGAATAGAGCGCAGCTAAAAGAGGTGCCGTCAACTCCCGATATGATCTAGAGTATTTTTCCAGAAACACTCTTTCGTGTAAAATGGGGAACTGAGGGTGTATAAGTTTAAAGAAGATGTCAACCAATATTTTCCCGTGGGGATGAACTAGCTTTTCAACCATATCAACCTCTTGTTCTTGTTTCATGTAGAGTTGTTGGTTCAGATCGTCTCGGAGTAGAAATTGAACATTGGGGGCGACTTTTCGCAGAGCGAGCGTCTTACAGAGCTGCACCTGGTCGATTTTGTCTAATTTGACATGATTCACGAGATTGATGTCAAAGACTGAGGTGGGACCGACATAAAAGGAAGATCTGGGATATTGAATGGGCGGCTGAACGAACGGAATATTTTGGTGGGCCGAATTGTAGCTAGGAAACGCCGATATGTGCGAAGGGGAAGCACCATTTTGGAGGCTATTTGTAGAGCTTTGGCCCAGATCGACTTGACCAGGGGTATCGAAGGGGATATAAGGCGTCGAGAACTGTGTTGCTGCCGTTACGTTGGTATTGTCAGAACTTTTCCTTCCACCGCTCGATGACTGATTCAAGTTTTGTAACAAATCCGTATAATACTGAGAGACTGTGTCACCACCATTGGGCCTAGACCTTTTGAGGAGCTCGTGCACGTTAACGTTCTCGTCTACACGATTACGCTTGGACCTATCTTGACCAATTTCACTAATTTCTGGCCGTTCCGACGTGACACACTTGATTCCCTTAGTTTCGCATTGCACACAGTTGCTCAAATCTGGTACTATCACACATTTGATTTGCTTTCTACGACAGTGGTCGCACGGTTTTTCGGCGATCACAGACTTGTTCCCCATGGCCGCTAGCGCTTTAGATGTGAGAGTAGGGTTTTGTGAACGCGACGCATCAGTAGGACCGTTGGCCTGACCGGTATGGCTGCTATTGGTGGGACTTTTGTTGTAATCCGCGGCTGCACCGCCAGAACGGCTAAACAGCTCCTGGTAATACTGCAGCAGAAGATCGAGGTTCGGTTGTTGGTCGCCATTGCCAGTGTTATTGTTATTATTATTATTATTATTATCATTATTATTACCATTGTTATTGCTATTAGGATTCTTGATGCTTTGGGAGTCAGCGTTGCCGGTTTGGTCCTTTGTGGTCCCCAGATCCGAGCCGGCATGCGCCGCAGGCGTACCCTGCGGTTGGTCTCTATGTCCAATCCTGGCACCGTTTGGGGCTTGCGAGCTGCTGTTGTGCACTAGAGTACTCAAGATGTGTGCGTAGTCGTCGTTTAAATTCAGCATAGCGCTATTAACATTGTGATAGCCCTTGCCGTTGGCGGAACCTGGGTTCCACGTTTCAAAGCCTTGGTTTGACATCTCTTACAGACGAGTTTGGCCTTCACAAAGACACGCAATAAGACCGAATTGCCGAAAATACAGCACTATAGCCACCTTATCGAATAGTTACGGCTGTTTGAATGCCAGATAATGGCGATGAGTTACCTGGTCATCATGCTAATGTTTTTCAGACTATGGAAATTGCCATGTCTAAATAGCATTCAACACGAGGTTATATAGTTGAGTTCCGGCACAATGGCCACTTTCCAGCTGTTCACAGCAACCGATCAACACCAAGACTACTTATCGTTTGTTTGATATGTGCAGCCAGCTAGGCTGGGTACTATTAGCTATATTGCAGTCTTCGGTAGGATTTAAGCTGGGACTTATTTTATTGGCCGTCGGTCATCGGCCATTTCTGGTCACAGATTTTTTCTAAAGGTGTAGCGATTCTACCAGTAGGTGCGTGATTACTTGAGAGTCTATTGCTTGATTTTGGGGTGCGTCCCGCCACTTGAAATTTCAATGCTCTCAAAATTTCAATGCTCAGTGTTCAATACACAAACTCCCCAAGGTACGCCTCGGCCACAAACCTGGCCCTCGCATTCAAGAACAGCTTCATCTCACTGATTTCTTTATCAACTTCCTCCATGAACTCTATAATAAAATCTACCAGCTTTTCTGTTTTCATCGTCTCGGTGTGCTTGTTCGTGATCAGAAACGAGATGCTGAAACCCTCAATGGGCACTCTTCTCAACACGTAAAATGATTCTGCACGCTGTTCCAAGAACCGAGTGAATTTGTGCACCAAAATTTGCTCGATTTCGTCCGCCTGCTTGACCTTGATGCTGACTCTCACCGAGTTTACGCTGGGCTCGATCAAAACTTGTTCATGCTCATTCCTCGAGATGTGCATAGGCTGCAGGAGTAGTTCTGCGCTTGTGTTTGTTACTTCGACTTCAGGCCGGTTGTGTCTCTCTACCACTTGTGAAGAGAAATTCGTTAGGTTTAAAGCAGCTTGTAAGGAATAGCGCACTGCTGTGAGATAAGGACGTAGGGACTGAGACATGCTGTGTTAATCTTAACTTATTGAGATTTGAAAGCAATTGCAAAGGAATCCGCTGGGCTTTATGAGCAAACAAGTCCCTGTAGCTGGTATGGATGGCTATGGCCAGGTTTGGCGTATGGCCCCTTTACATTATGGAAATTTAAAGCACATATGCTCGTACTCAGTGATATTAAAATGCTGTGGTGAAGTTAACCGAGCGTTTCCTGAGCTAACGGGTATGGGTAGTGAGTTATATTCTGGTTCGAGGAACGTTGGAGAATGCGACTATTCCTGTGGGGCGTATCGAGCTAGTCTGTTGTTCATTTTAATTTATTTCTTTAGCGTTAAAACCTATAATATTATTGGAAGTCATCGCATCCGGTGAAAATGACAGGTGTTATAGAAAACCTAACCTGTCGATTGAAGAGAGTTAGGTGCGTCGTCTGCTTGATTGTGAGGCTTGATTGGTATAATACTCTCACCTCATTGCTTTAGAGAGCTTTCTGCTCTGTTTTCTAAGTACGAGAATGAGCGATTGGCAGGAAGCGAAGGATCCCTCTGGCCGTTCATACTACTACCATACCGGGTCTGGCGAAACCAGTTGGGAGAAACCTCGAGAGTTATACACAGAGCTAGAACTGAAGCTTGAGAAACAAGGTTGGAAAGTGGCGCAAGCTGAGGGAGGCGAGATTTATTATTACCATGAGGAGTCCGGAGAATCCAGGTGGGAAGTACCTTCGTTGGCAGAGCAGCCGGAATTAGTAGCGTCGGAGGCTCCATCTGACGCGGCTGACCAAAGACCCGAAGCTTCCGAAAGTGTTGCTAATCCGCAAGTTTCAGAGGAACCCGAGCTTTACAAGCTCAATTCGAAACTCGTGGAGACCGTGGCCCTACCCAAGTCGGAAGCTGAAGTTCTGTTTTTAGAAATGCTAGCAGACCACCAGATTGATTCTACTTGGTCTTTTAACAAGATCATCTCCGAGCTAAGTTGTTCAGATCCTCGCTACTGGTGCGTAGACGATGACCCGGTCTGGAAGCGGAAAATGTTCGAGCAGTACCTGACCAATAGGTCGGAAGACCAGCTGCTAAAGGAGCACTCGGCAGTCAACAAATTCAAAGAGGCGTTCTGGTCTATGCTAGCCCAGTGCTCGGGAATCCACTATTATACGCGGTGGGTAACTGCCAAGCGCATTTTCGCAAATGAGCCCATCTACAAGCACTCAGTGGTGAGTGAAAAGACTAAGCGCAAAGTGTTCGAAGAGTATGTCGCAGATCTTCGTGAAACGCATTTTCATGGGTTGGAAAAGACCAGATCACAAGCCATTACCGAGCTGCAAGACTACTTGAATGCCATACTCACAGACAGAGAAAACTATATCTCCTGGAAAGAGCTGTCAGATACCTATCTTTTTGACAATAATGCCCGGTTTATGTCGAATCGGCACTTCCAAACGCTTTCTAAACATGACGTGCTGAAAGAATACGTCAACATAGTGGAATCATTCTCGTCACAAACCCTCCAGCAGCTTGAATCGTCAAAAAGTGCAAACTACACGATGGATCGTAAGGCTCGAGACAGATTTAAAAAGCTATTGGCCGAGCACAATGCGCGTATAAAATGCAACACCAAGTGGGAAGACCTGTATCCGGTGCTCAAGTCTGATTCCAGATTCAAAGACATCGTTGGGAGAAATGGGTCATCGCCATTAGACTTATTTTTGGACATGGTGGAAGAAAAGGGACTGATCATGAAAGCACACCAGAGTATAGCCAATCAATTTTTGATAGAAAGAAAATATGAATGGAACGTCGAACCTGAAGTAGACAAAGACGAGCTTTCTACCTTGTTAAAGAGCCACCCGCAATTATCAATGTTAGACGACATAGATCGCTCGATACTAGTGTCTAAACTTATCGAGGACAGGGCTCAGAAGGTTCAGCAACAGAAAGAAATAGAGCAAAGATTGCTTGAACAAAGGAGAAGGTTCTTCACACTTCTTTTGCATCGCGTTTTCTCTGAGTCGAGACCCAAACCCGCAACTTTCGAGGAGGCTCGCCCAATTCTGCAGGATTACCCAGAGTTCAGAGACTTGACAGATGAAGATGAGAGGCGGAAATTATTTCAAGTATTCGAACCAACCAAAGCGCCAGTACAGCCTAGTAATCCTTCCAGCGCAGATCTTCTCCCGACATCAAAGATACCGCGAAAGCGCGCCCTCACACCAGTGGAACTCGATTATTAATCTCTTACAACGAAATCAGGAGTGCTCTTCAAGCGTAACTATCATCGTATATTTTACATCGTATATACACTCTTCTATTCATTACTTAGCAATGCGCTCAAGCCTATTAGAGCCATCAGGCCCATCTTTGCATAACGATTTTCAGAGATCCAGATCGTGACGTACCCGAGCTGGGGAATGTAGCCCTTCACCGTCCCCACGATGTCTTTCTCCTTATTCAAGTAAACCTTACGTTTAGCATACAAAGGAATGTCGTTTCCGGCATTGTTATCGCCCTTGGTGAGCAGAAGTTGTTTCCCAGATCTCTCGTCGACGTGTTCCCGCAAGACCCTGTGTACAATCGGAATATCTTTTCCGTCCACTTCATAAACCACAATGTCCCCGACCTTGCTGTATGTGTTCCTATTCCAAAGAAATAAAATATCGCCCCTTTGGAAAGCAGGCTCCATGGAACCTGAGAGTACAACGACGATCGGAGAATGTGAATCAGTCACTATGGAAAGACCTTTCCAAAACATGAAAGCGGAAGCTAGTGCAAACCATAGGTTTAAGAACCGTGTCAATTCGAGCCGCAGATTCATGTTAGGTTGATTTAGATCGGATTAGTACTTTTGGTACTTCCAGGTATCTTGATGCTTACTTTTGGAGGTAGTGTTTTACTTTCTATCAGACAAGGTGTGAGTACGGACACGAGTACCTAAATCACGATTTAATCTGCCAGCAGAGTATCCATGCTTAAGAGAGCTACTACCTACCAGCCTTGATACCATTCCTGAGCTTCAGGTAAAGCTGTTGGCTTGATAGCTGAGAATGGCTGAATTCTTTGGGCATCTTTAGCCGCAAGGATGTACATGCCACATAATTGTTTGTTAGATACAAGATGATGAAGTTAAGTAGTGACATGCATTCAGTTTCTGGCAGAAAGCTTGTGGAGCAGGTAAGTTGCCTTTACGTTGGTAATACAAAGTAGTTCTCTTGGAGCTAAATGCAGCCCGGTTGTAAAGCAGTCGGCTTTTGGTAATAATTAATATGCCTATCTATGGTTGAGAAAGAAAACAGTAGCCTAAGGGCGCGGGTTCATGATCGTCTTTTTGATATGATCGTGTTATAATCTATAAAGAGTGGTGGGCAACGGCACCATCGTTATTTTATCTAGTTTATGTCTCATTCATGATCGATCTAATCCAGTTTAATCCAAATTCACAGTGCTTCCAAGTACGTCCCTTCCACAATTACTCCGCCGCAACGGCTTCAGAGGCTTCCGAATAGGTGGGATAATCGATGTATCCTTTGTCGGTAAAAGCGTAGAACGTATCTCTATCGTATGAGTTCAAAGGCAAGCCATTTTCTAGCCTCGAAACTAAGTCCGGATTTGCGATGAAGAGCCTTCCGTAACCTATTAAAGTTCTATCGTCCTGCTGAACGTCTTTCAGGGCAGCCTGAGGATCCATAGCGTAGTTGCCTGCCCTTATGATGGGGCCCTTCCATATGCTGCTGACAAACTCGTTGGAACCCTCTTTGTACCAGCCCTGACCCTCAGCAAAGAACGGGTTTGTTACACGAGGTTCGACCAAGTGGATGTAAGCTAGGCCCTTGCCAGCCCTGGCCCTCTTTTCCAACTCACCGACAACATACGCATATTGAGCAATGATGGAGGGCTCAGCACCACCAGACATGACTCCGAATACGCCAAATGGGGAAAAACGGATACCGACTTTCTTGTGTCCGACGGCGTCGACCACTGCGTCCACAACCTCCAGGGCAAAGCGGGCTCTGTTTTCAATCGAACCACCGTACTCGTCCGTTCTCTTGTTGGAAATAGGGTCCAAGAATTGGTTTAGCAGATACCCGTTGGCGCTATGAATCTCGACACCGTCCGCGCCGGCTGCGATCGAGTTCTTGGCCGCCTGCACGTAGTCCGCGATGTACTGTTTTATCTCAGCTTTAGTCAACCCATGCTGTTTGTTATCACACTCTTTCGCCTTAGCTTCACTGGCCGCGTCCATGTAGACTTCGTCCGAAGCCGAATCGTAGCGCAGACCATCTCTTTTCAGAGTATCTGGAGGCGCTTGTCTGCCCAACACCCACAGTTGAACCCAAGCAAACGACTTGTTCTCATGGATTTTAGAAAAGATCTTTTTCCACCCTGCGACTTGTTCCTCGGACCAGATACCCGGGGCATTGTCGTAGCCACCACACTGAGGAGATGGAAAGGTACCTTCCGTGATAATCATGGTACCCGGAGCCTTAGAACGCTGGTCGTAGTACTTCACGGCCCAATCTTTGTTAGGGACGTTTCCTGGCGAGTGTGCACGCATCCTAGTCAGTGGGCACATGACAGCCCGGTGCTGCACCTCGGTGTCACCGATGGCCATCGGCTTGAAAAGGTTGGTATCTTTGAAGGCTACTGGTTTGAAGTCTTTGACAAAAGGCATTATTACACTGGGACGCGAACTGCTTCAATGGTAGAATCAATCAAAGGAATGAGGTTGCTCCACTGATTTCGTTAGCGGAATGCTCGAGCTCGTTTATATACGGTTCGGCAGATATGAGATCCGTCTGGTGATATTACAAATACAATGTGCCATAATGATCATGAGACCGAAAACACGTACTTCGTGAATTGGAAACTAGTGGAAACACTGTGCGTACTTTGTTCATTGCTACGCATAAAATTCGAAGCTTCTGCAACGTGGTGTAGGGTTTCTATTTTCTTCCAGCGTATGATTGATTACAAATGAACTAGTAATGGCTAGTCTGCTGACTAGCCCAAACCTGAGTAGCCCAAGCCTGGAGAAGCTCAAACTAGCACTTCAAGAACAGGCCAAGAGTGTTCTCACGGCTGCCTACGTTTCTATCTAGCACATTCGAACTACTTATTTGAATTATATGGTTTTTTCTGCAAATTGGCAATCGAAATTCTAGAGAGGAAATTCAAAGAAGAAGGCCCGTTGGATCTCGGTTGGTCTATGCCAAATGTATTCAGCCCTACCTGCAGCCCCCGTCTAAACTCTTACGATTTCTCTTAAAAACATGTCTAAAGTTAGCCATTTGTAAGGTCATTTCGTAAATTGGATTTGTATCACATCGAACGAAGATGCGGAACTATATGTCCGCCGAAGTTGATTTACGCTGTCGGTTTATGTAAATGGTCGATTTTAGAATGGTAGTCAAAAACCAAGACCGGAGTACAGAGGTTGGGCTCGCCAGGTAGGTTTTTGTCCCTCACACAGATCATACGACATTTTTGTGTTTAATAGGTTCTATAAGCGTGTTTAAATCTTTCTGCTGAGCGTATATCTATGGCTTTGAAGGTTGCAGTGATCGGTGCGAATGGTCGTGTTGGCCAGCTCTTGTGCAAGCTGCTGAAAACCTCGGACGACTTTGAACCCCTTGCCGTTGTTAGGACGGCCGAGCAGAAGGAGTATTTCGAACGGGAACTGGGAATAGAGGCCAGTTTGACTAGCATTGAAGAAAGCTCTGTAGACGAGATAGGCGCGGCGCTACGGAGCCAGGATGCTGTGGTTTGGACTGCTGGAGCGGGAGGCAAGGGCGTGGAGCGGATATTCACGGTAGACCTGGACGGCGCGATGAAGGCGATCGAGGCGTGCCAGAAATGCAAAATCGATCGGTTCGTGATGGTCTCTGCGGTCAACGCCAACAACCGCGAGATGTTTTGGAACACCAAGCTGCGGAACTACTACATTGCCAAGCGGACGGCCGACGCGATATTGCGTGGGTCGGGACTGCAGTACACTATTTTGCAACCGGGGTCGTTGCTTTCCGAGAGTGGGACGGGCCAGCTGTGTCCATTGGGTGCGCTGGAGGACAAGAAATCGGCATGGTATGCGATCCAGCGGGAAGACGTTGCTCAGTTTATCAAATTGGCCCTAGAGCACCCTGAGAGGACTATACACAAGACGATCCCACTGGCCAATGGAGACATGTCGATGCGCGACTTTTTAGCCACACTTTGAGGTGCTGCTGTGGCGTGGTCAAAACTTTAGTTTTATGTCTGTTTAGTTCATAGCTTATTGATGCAGGATTGTGAAAAGTGCTCGTGTGCTATACCTTTGTCCTTGACGAACGAGTTGAATGCATGGAGACCTGCTTGGTCTGTAGGGTTTGCCAAGATAATGCTACTGAGTTCTTCAAAGTTGCCCAACCATTTGAGCCAGGCCAGGCCGTGAAGCAATGAATCCGCCAGGTCATCTTCCTTAGCCTTCCCGGCACCCGGCCCCAGGTCCAGAGCATTGAACAAATTCAATTTTTTCTTGGTATTCGTAGCCTGGTAGCTTGAAACTCTTTGTTGCAAATCGGTTGAGAGCGTGAACATCTCTGCAGAGTCTTCGAATATAACTGATTTTACCAATTCGATTTTGAGAAGTTTAGAAAGATTCGAACTGTTTGCCTTTGACTCTAATTTTGGGGAGTCAGTTCCATATGTAGCAGCTAACAGCCTTCTTACCGGAATCAATTGGCACCAAAAATCAGTCATTCTTCGCGGATCTGAAGCCTCTAGAAGATACTTCAGCTCTTTGTAATAACGCTTGGCTAGCAAACTTGTGTAGAGAACGTGCTCCAGTGCGTTAACCCTAAGAATTGAATCGGGGATATTTGCAGAGCCCATCGTTCTCGCCCGTTGCTTTTCAATTACGAACAAGTCCGGTGGTCTTTTCGTGAGAATATCTGTAAGCGTCTGGGCAGCGCGGGCCATGTACTTTGGAGAAAAAGAAACCGATGTTGGGACAATTCCAATTGTCGAGTTTTGCAGTTGTATCTTGTTCCAGTCGATAATTTCGGGTACCGGTTGAGAAATCTTCCACGACAACCTGCTGTAGGCAAAGTTTTCTACTCCCATGTCTACCGCCGTGACTTCCAGTCGTCCATTCTTTTTCCTGACGTCCGAAAGTTGCTGAAGTAGTGCGCATTGCATCGTTATACTGGTCCTAAGAGAAGCTTTAGTAGTTCCAACCTTAGAACCGGTGAAAAATGCAAGTTTCTTTAATGTTTTAGTGTCACTCTTACGACAATAAAAGTCCACACCTTCAAGTGCAGACTTCAATACCTTTTGGCCCAAAGCCATTGAATTTTCCCCTAGGTTATGATATTGATGTGGCCAGATCTTTGTTAGACGCTTGTGAATATGCTTTGTTTATTTTTCAGACACCATAATGGAAATCAGCGTGTAAACACATTGGCGTTAGTACTGTCATTGGACCAACTTGTTGAAATGCTCAGTTTATATCCGTGGTTTTATGCTAATCCTTGCTCAAGCTTGAGCTTAATTGCGTCTCTCTCCTAACTCTAATAGATTGATAGTTTAGAGCATTTAGCAGATAAACAAGGACTGGTAAACAATTTATACTGCACTATTAACATTTAACCTACTCAGCTACCTTGACGAGCGAGCACGACCAGTGTCCCGGAACACCGAAAAAAAATACTATGTACAACAATTGTCGACTAGCAATTTGCCATTTCGGCGAGTGTATCGTGTGCATGATGACAGTTATTACTCTTAGCATTGCCCATGGAAGCGATTAAACCATCATCACCGCGGGTTCGCCACAAACGCTACTGCGATGAACTATGTTGTTCTGAAGAATCCTTAGTCCATCGTCAGCTCGATTATAAAGTCCTTAGAGCGTCAGCGTCAGCAATCAATAACACATTCGCTGGCACAACACAAGAAGAAAAACAATAAAACCCTCACAACCAACAAGTGGACTATTTCAACTATTACTTAATCCATGGCTACGATTTGCTCAAGCGGATATATGCCAACAAGGCCCGGCACAGTGTATTTGGGTAAGTACAGCCTTTCCAGAGATACTCTGGAGGAAACAAAACCCGAGGTTATCGCAGATTTTGAAGAGCCACCAAGGTCTGCTAGATCGTTTAGATCGACGATCAGGAAAGCATGGGTGAAGCCCTTGGAACCAAGAAATCCTACACCACCAGCAACTCGCCATCACCGGTTCCGTAGATGGCTCAATGTTCGCGAAAAAGAATTTACCTGCAGCTGGAGTGACGGCGAAGATCCCACCAGCGAGGAGCTGGAGAGAACTCATGGGCTAGTAAGTCCTCAACAGTTCAATAGAGATTCTACTCTTTATGCCGGTCTGAATTCTTCGATTGAAACACCACATGTAATGAAAACGACCTGTTGGCCAGATGATGATACTGATATTGAAATGTTCAGCAGAATCTTGCTAAACTCAACCTCAGGAGCTACACTTTCTGATCATCCAACATTGAAGGAGCGTCTTCAATCTTCCGCACGCTCATCGGGGCGGCGAAGGTTCGAGCTATTACGAAAGTTTCGATTGAAACTACACCGGAGTCGCATCCAAAATGAGTTTACATTGACTGACCGGTATCTTGGTTCAGAGGAAAACATAGAAAGGTGTCTGCAGGACATGGATATGATGCCGTTTGATTTGACCGCTCCCTCTACGGCTGGTGCAGAGGTCACAGGAGTAATCATGGACGGGAGCCAGATAAGCGGAGCCTTGAGCGATAAAAGCACAGTTGTAGAAGAGTCATTCTGTCCTTATACATTACAAGTGAAGAATGTACGAGTGGAAAATGAAGAGCAAGCTCTCAACAACGAAGCGTGAGTGTACGCTATTTTAACTATATACATAGGTACCAAGTCGAAAGAAGCACTTGAAGATATTTTCCTCTGAGAGGATGCGAGCTTGGCAGTAAGGAGAGTCGGTGTCAGCTATTTTAGCTATTTGATAGAGCTTAAAGAGCTGAGTGAGCCAAAAACAGGCCAAATTCGTAGCTTGAATAGAAATCAGATACAGATAGTTGCCTTGATACTCTGTGACTACTCTTATCAAATAGTGGAATGCGTTTTGAAGTAACAAAACCTTTTTCTTGGTGTGTATATGATCTTATGTATATTATGTGTGTCATCTATTAGAAATTAAAAACACTCTAGTCTTGACAAAACCGTGAGAACAAGCGAATATCACCAGTAACATAAGTGCGAGAGCGGTTTTCATAGCCACAGACTATGTCCGAGAACCCGAGAGACGCTGCTGGGCTTGCTCCGGTGTCTATATTGGCAAAAAACGACAGTTCTTCTCGTGAAATCACTGCTTACAAAGGGAAACTTGAAAATGGTGACTATGGGAGCGACAGAGCTCCTAGCTATGGTCCTGCCGGAGAGTCAATATACGTGAACCCTCAGAAACTGCAAGTTTTGACCTCCGCCAAAAGTAAGGAGAATGCTAGCCTCCTTGAACAAAGCAGCGAGAACACTCAAGACGTTGGTGATCATCAAGAGTTTGCCAATGGGAAAGGCGTAAATGGGGCAAGGCCGCCCGTAAGTACTCTAGGAACGGCTGTATCGTTTACAATGGCTAACATTAATGACAAGATCTCACACAGAGGGTCAATTTCAGCCAGGCCCTCATCGGTGGCACTCCCTACTCAAGCGAGTGTCAACAATAACAACAACATCGGAGCTGGTGTAGTACAGGGCCTATCAGGCCTTGCTAGCCGTCAGAACTCGATAACTGGCATTGGTTTCGAGAATAGCGCGGCACCTTCACGCAAAAACTCTGTCCACATGCCAGGGGAATATGTCTTCATGGAGCCAAGGCTTCAAACTCCTTCTCCTTCCGGCGGCCACACTCCAGCCAGAAAACAGTCACACCATCTCAACAAAGCTATTATTGATTCTCAAATGGGTCCTCAGCTTCCGTTCACTGACTTTTTTCAAAAGCAAGACGATAAAAAAATCCATATTTTGATAGGAGCTACGGGATCCGTTGCTACCATTAAAGTGCCCGTAATCATTGACAAGCTTTTCAAGACATATGGTCCTGACAAGGTTTCCATTCAACTAGTCGTCACTAAGCCGGCAGAGCATTTTCTTCGTGGTCTAAAAATATCAACCGATGTTAAAATTTGGCGGGATGAGGACGAGTGGTGCGGATTCAAAAGGATGGGTGATCCTGTTCTACACACAGAGCTTCGTAGATGGGCAGATGTGTGTCTGATTGCTCCACTATCAGCGAACACATTGGCCAAGCTGGCATATGGAATTTGCGATAATCTGCTTACGTCGTTATTACGCTGCTGGACACCCTCTACTCCCGTGTTAGCAGCACCAGCTATGAACACATTCATGTATACGCATCCATTGACCAAGAAACATCTCGCTATGCTTCAAGAAGAATCACCGCACATCACCGTTTTGAAGCCGGTAGAAAAGGTGCTAATTTGCGGCGATATTGGAATGGGTGGAATGCGCGACTGGCATGACATCGTTGACATCCTGACCAGGAAGCTTCACGAAATTGTTGGCGATGGTGCTGCTGATCCTGTGGAAGACGACGATGAAGAAGAAGACGATGATGAGGAGGGCGATACGAACCTGCCCTATGAAACAGATTCTGATGATAGCGGCGTTGATGGTCAAGACGACGACGATGAGGATGATGTTGAGAATGATGATGAGCACCACGGTCACAAAAATTGAGGTTAGGGTCAAGAGACTGTTAAAAAGAAAAAGTAATTGACGTGGTGCGAATGCAACACCGGTGCCAGCCCTTTGGAATATTATCGAGAGCTTTCCATATTGCATACAAAAAATGGATATCCGCCAATTTCACATGGTTGCAAATTATGGTACCAGTGGTTTCAAAGGTGATAATAAGTTGTTGATCATATGTCATCTTCTTTGGTATATCGATCATCAAAATTTAAAAGATGTCTGGCACCTATTATGTAACATTTATGCCCTGTGGCAAATAGCATATATAAGCAACTATTATGGCTTTAGACGGAAGGGACACATGGAAAGTGCTGTTCCAATGTTGGGGTTAAAAGATCGGACGCACCCACGGAAGCAAGTGCTGCCTGACGTTGTGCTCTCGATAGAGCAATCTCAAATTTATACTTCACACACTTGCATGTACACTTTGTCCTAAGCTTCTTTTGAGTGTGGCTCTATAAGGTACCCCCTTTGGCTAATAGACCGCCATTAATGGTCGTTAATAATTTGAGGCTGGCCTGCCTCTCATTCTGCACTTCGGTTCATGTAATTTTGAACTAAACTGTCGTTGGTTTAAATATTGATTATGAGTAGATTAAAAAAGTTGCACTTATATATAATATCCAAATTTGGTGAGCTTAGTATTCGACAAAAGTCTTATCATAGTCTTCTTTCTGGCTTTTAGCTAAAACTTTACATTCATTCACTCAACTATACGATATGTCTTTCCTAGGATTTGGTGGCCAGCCTCAACTAAACTCTCAGCAAAAGATTTCTGCTGCGGAAGCCGAACTTGACTTAGTTACTGATATGTTCAACAAGCTGGTCGACAACTGTCACAAGAAATGTGTACAAGCATCTTACAATGAAGGTGATCTAAACAAGAACGAATCATCGTGCATTGATAGATGCGTGGCCAAATATTTTGAGACTAACGTAAAAGTTGGTGAAAATATGCAAAAGCTGGGCAACGCTTTTGGTGGTGCAGGAAAGTTTTAACGTGAGTTAAGGAAACGTCCGATATAATGCCATGTCACATATTCATGTTTATAGTCTAATAAATGGTTACTGCCGATCGAAAAATATCACTTGCGTTTAGCTTCCCACAAGGTTTGCGTTGGGCAAGATTATGTACAAGTTATTTTTTAGCTAAATAAGGAATAGGCTCGCTCCTGGTTTAAGGTGGGTTCATCTGCGCATCTCACTCGAGTCCTAGTGCCTTTTTGAGTCTTAAGCGGACACCCTCCAAGCTGTTGAGCTTGGGCCGCACGTCTAGGTATATACCCGGTCCCGCTCCACCTTCAGTTTCACTGCTATAAAAATCGATCACGTAGTCAACTTGTGTCCCACACCGGTTGACGGTCCAGTCGTGGCGATCAAATGGCTTGGTGTAACCTAGAATAGAGCTGCGAAACCAAGCCCTGGGTGTCAGCTTTTTGGCGTCGCCTCTGAAGCTAGTAAGCTGTAAACCACCACACGCTTCAGTATCTTGGCCTTTTTCCCAGAGTTTTATATAATTCCACACCCTCTCGTTGACGGAGTTATGGATTGGGACAACCGTCTTCATGTCCTCCGAGCTGGGATCCCACTTTTTGCGCAGCATGGCCTCGAAAAACTGCTTCTCTGAAGGATATATCCAATTCCCATGAGAGCCGGTTCTTGGAATACTGGAAATCTCTCTTTCCGTGGGAAGCTTGACGTCTGTCTTATAGTGTGGGACCGCGGGAAGCTCTTTGGACGAGCACTCAATAGCCTCTGGTACCTCTGAGGCACTCACTTTCTGGAGCCATACGTCGCGAGCTTCGGGGCTTACAGGACAAGCATCGGAAGAGGATTCGTTGGCAGCCTTGGCTGGCGAAGCTCCTGATATGATAGTACTTTTTGGGCCCTTGTGCGGGCATTTGTCCGCCGACAAGCTATCGTTTTCACCACTGTGAGACATATTCTTCATCCATGCTTCCCTAGCAGAATGATCAACAGGGCATTCGCTTTTAGTCTCTTCTGTCATTGTTGCGAGGTCCAGGAAGCAGGCCGTAAAAGACTCTATTTCTCGCCTAAAAAAACACAAATAAGTAGAACCGGCTGTTTTGGGCTCCAAAGACTCTAAATGTCGAACCACTACTTTAGGATATCGACGATTTTCTCGGTCTTGACGATCTTGAGATGAAATATAACTTTTATATTCAATGCCATTAAACTTCATATGGAAGCTGTAAAATACGTCTAACAGTCAAACAGTCGAATTGTCAAAGAACTAGCAGACCTACATCCCGGATAGCCCGTTAATCGCACTCAGTACTTAAATTTGGGTATAATGTCTTGATTGGGGCGCTCTACGTTTGCATACGCTATCATAGTACAGATTTGACTAACAAGCGACGTGTGGCTGAGACTTCTCAAGACGATTTAAAGATATTTTGATTCAAACAATAATTTTAACGTCTTCTTTGAAATGCTATTAACTTGGCATTGTTGATGTCAACGGTCTTCAACTGTTCTTACTAGCATTGGAGCTCATCAGAAAACGGTTCTCCAACGTCCAGCGGATCTGCATCAATGCAAATTCAGAATTTCTGTTATGTTCACATCCCGTGGCATCTAGCCTGTCAAGTTTTGTCGATCACTTCTGAGTTTTGTTGCCTTCTTAGAGGACGCACACAAACGATTCAAACAGCTGGCAGACAAGACTTGAAAAAACTACAGTGAACATCACAATCATATGAATCTGGTTTTGCAATAAGCTGGGAATCTCCCCCTCGGCATTTTTGTTTGACCAATTACGATACAGCACGCTGCGGCTCTGAATACGCGATCTTGGAAATTGATCATTCAGTGGGGTTTCATCCCACACGAACACACTTGAAGGATGAGGACATACCGTTCACGATCCGTCAAGGGTTTTGGTGCATAACCACATTGTCCGTGCTGTGTGTGTTTGGATACTCGTAATTCCGTGCGGGATGGTGTCCTGAGGTAGAGTCAGAAATAGCAACTCCAAGGGGCCCTTTCAGTCACACACCGGCGACTGTGCTGGCTCCACGGACTTTTAGACTAACTGCACTAACCCAGTAGCGGAACGAGACTCTCTTTAACTACTTTAAAAGAATCGTCAGTTCAAAGACATCACTTCACCTCAAAAAGTTGTTGAGGCACAAAATGAGTGAAGTCAACATTGTGAAACGCGCTCGACTGTCTACTTATCGAGTCCTCAAGATATGTACTTCTCAACTTTCGCAGGAAATATCTCAACCTTTTGAAGCCGTTGTAAGGATATCTAACTGTATTCACGGAATTTGCCAATTCCATACTGGAGGAGGAAAGACATTCGACAGGTCGTCATCACTAAGATGGGTTGTGGTGCTAGTACGATGTCTTCCGAAGAGGAAGGGGATCTGTTTCTACAAAACAAGCGAGCGAACGACGTTATCGAGCGATCTCTACAACAGCAGAAACATAAGGAAAACAAAGAAATCAAGTTGTTGCTGCTGGGAACTGGGGAATCCGGTAAATCTACAGTCTTGAAACAACTAAAACTTTTGCATCAAGGTGGGTTCAGTAACCAGGAGCGGTTGCAATACACGCAGGTTATCTGGGCCGATGCCATCCAATCTATGAAGATACTAATTATACAGGCCCGAAAACTGAGGATACCTCTAGACTGTGACAACCCCCAGGCAAATCGGCATCTGTTCGAACAAAAGCGGCTCATTCTGAGAGCGAAGCCACTGGAGCTCGTTGATGCTAGTCTGGCTGGTGGATCTGGGTTTTTGAATGACTACGTCCTGAAATATTCGGAAACGAGCGAAAACAAGCGTCGCACTCAAAGTACGGGCGAAGCGCAGGCCTTCAGGAACAGCATGCTGATGGATGACACGCTTCACAAGAACTCAAGTCACGCTGGAGGGCCTGGCGATGGTGTCGATTTTCAAGAACTCTCCGAAGGACTGAATGAGGACCAGATAAACCCTGCCTTGTCACGGCAACAGTCGAATGCTCGTCCCGTAACCAGCCAGGAAATTGCCACTGCGATTGAGAAATTATGGCACTACGATCGCGGAATCCGCCAGTGCTTTGCACGATCCAATGAGTTCCACTTGGAAAGCTCGGCAGAGTACTACTTCGAAAACATCCACAAATTCGCGGCCCCTGGCTATGTTTGTTCCGACGAGGATATCTTAAAGGGCCGTATCAAGACCACGGGCATTACGGAAACCGCTTTCAACATTGGGTCGTCGAGCTTTAAGGTGCTAGACGCCGGGGGCCAACGGTCCGAACGCCGCAAGTGGATTCATTGTTTCCAGGGAATCACAGCGGTGCTTTTCGTTCTAGCCGTGAGCGAATACGACCAAATGTTGTTCGAAGACGAACGTGTAAACAGAATGCACGAGGCCATCATGCTTTTCGACACGCTATTGAACTCGCGCTGGTTCATCAACACACCATTCATACTATTTTTGAACAAGACAGATATCTTCAAGGACAAACTGACCCGGTCACCGATCAGACAATATTTCCCGCACTATCAGGGCCGTGTCAATGATGTGGAAGCCGGGCTGAAGCACTTTGAAGACATTTTTTTGGGTTTGAACAAGTCTCAAAGGCCCATATACGTACATCGCACCTGTGCAACAGACACTCAGAGCATGCGATTTGTGCTCACCGCAGTAGCAGACCTAATAATTCACCAAAACTTAAAGAAGAGTGGAATATTGTGAGAGTTCCTAACGCTACATGAATACGGCGGGGCCGGACCGCCTTTGTCATAACCGTGCTTAGTTATAAGTCTAGACCGCGAGTTCTCACTAAGCAGAGTTGAGCTCCAGCAAACCGGGTGTGCAAAGTATATAAACGAGGCTCACAATGGCACTTGTGTTCCCTGTTCGACTATAAGCCAGTCAGCTCGGTTATCAACGCCTAAATCCATCGCTGTGCCATCTTTGAATCTTTCCACACACACTTTCAAATTTAACAATATGTCGATTCAGACCGGTGGATTGCTTAGGGTGTCTCATATCCCACTCTCGCAGATCAGAAGACCCATCGCGCCTGTACTTGATTACCAGAAAATTGACGCTATGGTGTCCACTCTTAAGGGTACTCCACAAGCAAGCAAAACTTGCACTTTAGAGGATGCCACCGCTATGAACTCCGAACTTCCACCTATAGACGTGCTATGCGTCCGGGACCAAGGCGAAACCTATTATTTTGCATTCGGTGGCTGCCACCGTTTCCAAGCCTACGACAGAATACGGGACCAAACTGGCGAAGAAGTACAAGTCCGGTGCAAATTGATACCGGCCACCAAAAGTCAACTAAAGCTCTATGTAGGTAGTTCAATAGACGACATGTTTCCCTAGATGCAAGCACTCGAGCGGAATTGCTTGTGGGAGCTATGCTGTGCACAGCCAATACGTACTAGGGCTATGATGGCTCGGCAGTTAGCCACTTTCATGAGGCTTGGCAGGGCTCGTTGAAAAGGCTTGGAATTGGCTGCTGGTTCTTGGGCATCCAGGTCAACACATGTACATTGGTGGGCGTGAAGGTTAAGGATCTTTAATATCGTAATATATATGTAGAAATCAATTAGGGCTCGCGGACTCAGGTTGTCGTAGCGAGTATCCCATAATTGTGAGTTTTGACAGCTCTATACGTAAACACAACAAGCAGTTCCAATGGGTAATGATATCAGCAGACCGATTGTTCTCAAAGACCACGATCCAAATGTTCCACCTTCGTTGCAATTCTCCAGGCACCGGAAAATGGTGATAGCGTCGGTGTTCAGTCAGACAAGGAAGTATCTATGCTTCTCAACCCTTCATTCCTACGAAAAGTTCAAGAGTGCGGGCCGCAAAGTGGGGACGCAACAAAACCTGGACGATGATGGCTTAGGGGTTCCGGTGTTCGAGTTCGAGGATCCGTATGCCATTTCCAGGATGATGAAGCAGGACGGCGTCAGGTTCCGGATCTACAAATTTGTACTACAATCCCCGTTGGACCCTATCCCGCACCCCAACTCCACCGTAGTCTGTCAGGACAAACAGAAAGTGATCTATAAGATACCATTTTGCGAGGTGTGCCGGCATTATTCTGGGTTCCGGCTGAGCTACAGCTACACGTTCTTCACGCCGGAGGGCCTTGTAGAGGTATTGGCCAAAAAACACAAGGGCGTGCTGGACCTGGATACCAGGCTCGGCGAGTGGAACGTTACCTGGCGCCATGCGGGCTGCGGAAACTACGACTTGGTGGTGCTTCCCTCATCAGCTCCATCGCTGCTAGACGACAAAGAAATTCGGAAAAACAAGGCTCGGGCTGGAGGTGGCTCGGACGCTCATCACAAGGGGGCCGTGGTTTGGGCCAAGTACTGGGGCTACCGGGAGGCCTTTCTCCCTCACTTTACGAGGAAACTCGCTACGCTGGACGTGGGAGAAGTACCTTTCGAGACCGACGCTGCCGAATACGGCCTTCGCAGCATTCCCTGGTATTCCCAGGTCATCGCGTGCATGGCCATGGTACAATGCCAAGTCCAACAGGAGCGCAGTCGCAGGAGAAACAGGAACAGCTCCACCGTCAACTGACCACCTCCCATGCTAACAAATAGCCTTCTTGATTATCTCTACTTATCAGCCCTTAATAATTATATTCGTGTGATCTTCACACGAATCCCACTGGGTCTTTGACGATCTTATGATTCGAAAACTGTGGCATCTCGCTATGCTTTGGACGTTCAATAGTATTAGTAAGAGCCTACTTGCTATCCAACAATTGTCTCGACCCAAAAATCGTATATAATCTCCCGGTTCATCCTCGTCGTGGACCAAACTATCTCCTTCGCTCTCGAAATGCTTCGGCCAACAATCTCCGCTGTCAGAAAAATGGCTACCAACGCTGCCGCTACCGCAATTCCTTCTACTCATAAAGCTGTATTCATCCGGGAAACCGGTGGGCTAGAAGTCCTCAGATATGAGGACTACCCAGTGCCAAAAGTGGGCGATAACGACATCTTGGTCAAAAATAAGTATGCTGGTGTGAACTTCATCGAATCCTATTTCCGCAAAGGTATCTATCCAAGCGAAAAACCTTACGTCTTGGGACGGGAGGCCACGGGAATTGTCGTGGCCAAGGGACAGAATGTTACCAAGTTTGATCTCAATGACAAAGTTGCGTACATTTGTGCGGGCACTCTCGCTCAGTACACCAGCGTCAACGAGCACGGTAAAATTGTAAGATTGCCAGAATCTACGAGTGAGGAGAAACTTAAGCTGTACGCCGCGTCACTGATCCAAGTAATGACGGCAGTGACGTTCGTCAGGGAAGCGTATACCATCCAAAAGGGAGATTTCGCGCTGCTTTATGCCGCTGCCGGTGGAGCTGGGCTGGCGTTCAACCAAGTTTTGAAAAGCGCTGGTGCCCGTGTCATTGCCGTTGCTTCAACAGGTGCGAAGCTACAACTTGCGCAGGAATACGGCGCTGAATTTTTGATTAACAGTTCTACCGACGACATTCTCGCTAAAGTGCTGGAGTACACCAATGGCGAGGGTGTCAGTGTTGCGTACGACTCGGTTGGCAAAGACACCTTTGATACTACGCTTGCAGCGGTAAAGCGGAAGGGCACTATAGTCAGTTTTGGAAACGCATCGGGTTCAGTGGATCCCTTGCATATTGGCCGGCTGACGCCCAAGAACGTGAAGTTGCTGCGGCCATCACTATTGGGGTATCTAGGCTCGGAAGAAGAATGGGATTTTTACTCCCGCCAGCTGATCGAGCTCGTGGATGGCGGGAAGGTCAAAGTGCTAATTTCCAAGGTTTATCCACTCAGCGAATACAAACAGGCGACCACCGCCCTAGAAGCCAGGAAGACTGTGGGCAAACTGCTTATTGAGATATGAGCGGCGCCGGCTGTAAGCTTACGCCAGAGATGGGCAAAGTGTCACGGCACGCACAGCCGTTGGCTCCTGTCGTTGCGTGAGCATGCATCACGCCCATTTTTTATACAGAAACAAAGCGCTAGGTCCTGGGGTGGGACCATGACGCTTGTGGAAGTGGTGGGAAGGTCGCAGAGACGAGACCATGGCGTTGAACGTCTACGGGGGATGTGATTGTCGGCGATGACACACTGGTATAAAGTGATTTGATCCTATCGAACAGACGTGTGCTCCCTTCACCCTCCGCAAGTCTTATCGACACCGACATGGTAGTAGCTACCCCGGTGAGCCCTATCTAGCGTCAATACCAACACACATATGTACGAGAATAGCCTTCAAAACGTCCATGTCCAGTAATCTGCCAGCTCTTGTCACATGACGAGTACACACAGCCTCAAATACTCGTCATGTGAGAGTCACGTGTGTGGTCTCCGATTTCGGATCCGCGTTTGATAAGCAAAAACTGTGTATCTCATGACCGGAGGTTTCCACGATCCCAACGGTATATAAAAGGATCCAGGGCCGACACATCTTGAACTCCTCTCCGTAGTGATATTCGCCAGAAGATCAGGTCCGTTTTCCACTCACGTACACACCCCTCGAACGTTCTTCCCTCACTGCAATGCTCTCCGCCGCTAAACGTTGTTTCTCCTCCACCCGTTTTAACCCTTACAAGGTCACCGTTCTTGGTGCTGGTGGTGGTATTGGTCAACCGCTATCTTTGTTGCTAAAACTTAACCACAAGGTTACTGATCTAAGACTGTACGACTTGAAAGGTGCCCCAGGTGTTGCTGCCGACTTGTCCCACATTCCTACCAACTCGGTGGTCAAGGGATTTGCCCCAGAAGACAGCGGCCTACAAGGCGCCCTAAAGGGCACCGACGTGGTTCTTATCCCAGCCGGTGTTCCTCGTAAGCCCGGTATGACCCGTGACGACCTCTTCTCCATCAACGCCTCGATCGTGCGTGACTTGGCCAGCGCCGTCGCCGAAAATGCTCCAGACGCCGCTGTCTTGGTTATCTCCAACCCAGTCAACTCCACCGTTCCTATCGTGTCTCAGGTGTTGAAGGGCAAGGGTGTCTACAACCCAAAGAAGCTCTTCGGTGTCACTACGCTAGATGTCATCCGTGCGTCCCGTTTCATCTCCGAGGTCGCCGACACCAACCCTACCCAGGAAAAGGTCAACGTTGTCGGTGGCCACTCCGGCATCACCATCATCCCATTGCTTTCTCAAACTAAGCACACCAACTTGGATGCTGCCACCAAGGACGCCCTTATCAACAGAATTCAATTTGGAGGTGACGAAGTGGTCAAAGCCAAGAACGGAGCCGGTTCCGCCACCTTGTCCATGGCTCAGGCCGGTGCTAGATTTGCCAACTCTGTGTTGCAAGGTTTGGATGGCGAAGCCGATGTGATCGAAAACGCCTTTGTCGACTCCCCATTGTACAAGAGTGAAGGTATTGACTTTTTCGCCTCTCCCGTCAAGTTGGGCCCTCACGGTGTCGAAAAGATCTACTCTATCGGAGAAGTTTCTTCTGAAGAAGAGGAACTATTGGCCAAGTGCAAAGAAACTCTAAAGAAGAACATCGAAAAGGGTGAGAAGTTCGTCACCCAGGCCTAATTGAATGAAGACTGTTGTGCATGTATTGCCAGGCTAAGCCTACAGATAATGCACCCGTATTTATATAATGAATGATATACATGAACGAGACCAAGATCACGGGCGGATTTGGGACCTCAGGTTACATAACGCGCCAAGATAATATTCAAGTCACTTTTTTTAGTTAATATTAGGTTGTTTCTCGAGCTTGTAACTCTGCTTTCTCTTGACAAGTGTCAACTCGGAGCCCTGAGAGTACACTATCTGCTCGGCTTATTTTCGCGGTCGCATGTGCACACCGAGGGGACTGCTAGTTGACCCGCAAACAAGATGTGTCCACTGGCATTCAGCGCTGGACATCGTGTGCTTCAAATTCAAATGCTGTAAACAATATTATGCCTGTCACTCCTGTCACGATCACTTCGAATCTCATCCAACTCAAAGGTACCATTTGGAAACTGACTCACAAGTTCCCCTAGTCTTATGTGGAGCGTGTCGCACCGCCATGACATTTGACCAATACCAAAGTGAGTTGGCGTGCAAATCCAGCTTACAATGTCCCTTCTGTGCGGCAGCCTTTAATCCCAATTGTAAACTACATTACTCCCTTTATTTTAATACGTAAATCTCTACACCCTGTTTCTAATCTTTGATACCGGTATGTTCAAGAGGGAGAGTTGGCCATGCATATTGGCAGTGGGTCGCCCAGACTCTCGAGAACCCTTGCCCGTGTCATTGTCGTTCATGTATGAGACCGAGTACATGAAATCATTCTCGCTACTGGCCATGCTGAGATTGGATAAGCTGTGCTTGTTGTTCATGCCATATCTGCCGTAAGATTGCGGAGTGCCCATGGCTCCTTCAGAAGACTTCACTCGACTACTATTGGAGCTGGAACTTCTGTCCCGGTTGGTGAGCGATGTTGATGATGAGGTATTCACGCGATTCAAAATGGAACCTTTCTTCTTCTTCGGAGGTGAAGCTGTATAAAACGTCTGGGATATAGGCGTTTTGGGTGACCAGAGGTTCTGGCTTCCCACAGACGCTCTGCGACCAGTGGATACGGCAGGCAAGGGCGGTAGTTGTGATGCAAACGATTGGATTGCCGGTGAATTGCTGAGTACTGGAGACCCACTATTCTCGAAGACCGGCTTCGGGATGGTCAGTGGAGACACCATTGATTGCATACTCTTTCGCTCTGGCAACTTGCGATAAGTTTCCTTCTCCTTGAGCAGCTTGTGATAGACCTCGATGACGTGAAACGTCTTGCAGAGATCTTCTGGCGTCCAATTGTCTGCCTTCCGGTTTTCCTCGTTTACAAGGTTACTTTCCAGGACCAGTAATCGGAGACAGTTCTCACTCCCATACTCCAGACATGTGTGTAAAGCTGTGTAATTCTTATCGTCTCGCAGGGTCATATCGGCACCCAGACCCAAAAGCAAGCTCAAGCACTGGTGGTGATCTCCTTGGCATGTTAGTTGAGCTGGTGTCAGTCCTCCATTGCCCTTCATATTCAGGCATTGTGGGAAGTGTTGCAGCAGCAAATGCGCTGTTTGTTCGTGGCCATTCAGCAGAGCTAGATGAAGGCATGTGTTGTTCTCGAACGTCCTCAAGATTCCTATATTTTGCGTCTGATTTTGGATCAGGTAAACGCACACCAGATATCTTCCATGGTAGGAAGCGTAGTGCAATAATGACCAGCCGTTTTTGGGGTCTATTTCACCCAGCAGCTCTGGAAATCGTCTCAAGATTCTCTTGACTATCGACAGCTTACCTGAAACCGCTGCGCATTTAAGCCTGGTCATAGGGTTCTCGAGCATGACTGGCCCTCTCCTTGCCCTATTCCTCTGGAGGCTGATCTATCTGGTACTTTCGGTCTTGTTCAAAGTACCTCATAAATTTACATGTAGAAGAATGCATGGAAGTTTGTTCCTTATGTATGGAACCTATTTTAGTCAAATATCCAAAAAATGGACAATAACGAGAGATACAAGAGATGAGCATACACTGGCAACGTCTACATGTCAGCCAGGAGTGAGTGAGGCATTCGACAGCTCGCTATATCCCATTAAGGAGCCTTAGCTCGCTAAAGCTAAAGCTGAAGGAAAAAAAAACATCAGTGTTTCTCATTCCCAGATCCCGGAAGAAGCTCTACTTGGATCTTGGGCTAGTTTATAAAAGTATATAGAGTTTGTTCATGGGTGCAGAGCGTGCGTCGGTCTTCAATTTTCCAATTTTAGGAAATTTATCAACTTGCGGTTGAATTCAGAAGGGTTGTCGAGATATAAGTGATGTCCTGCATCGGACACGACGGAATAATCGGCTTTGAAATCAGGCGACTTGTTGTTGATCTCACGAACAATCACCTGGCCGGCTTCTTTACTCATCCAATCATTGCTCCCGTACATCCAAAACGAATCGCACTTCAAATTCTCGGGAACTCTGCTCAATAAAGGCAGTCTGGCGAGGACGCCGGGGGCTAGGATGCGAGTTAGAGCATATTCTCCACTGCCAGCAGCGTTGAAAACGCTGTAGACGTAGTTGTGAAAGGTTATCAGCTGTTCTGGGTCGCTGAGAAAGGCAAACCTCCGGAACGACCAACGCGAAGACAATAGAGGCCCGGCTGGTCCCGCAGATCGCAGGATGCCGAAGGGCGAAATGTTGCACGACCACATGAACGAAAATATCCGGGGTAGGTTAGGCACACGTTCTACGTTCCCGCTCTCATCGGGCACATGAAAGGAGCTTGATGTCTTGACGGGTTTGTCTGTGGTTGGGTTACTCTTGTCGGCGGACATTTCTTTTGCCACATCGGGACCCAGTTCGCCTGCGTGGACGTGGTTCGAAGTATGCTTGCGGGTGAGGTCGAAAATAGAGGTCTCTACACCTACAGGGCTTACCAACACTAGCTTCTCCACCCTGTGGGGATACTTGAGCGCGTAGCAACAGCTCAAGTACCCCCCTAGTGAGTGGCCCACTAGCACGAATCGATCAAGAGCTTTCTTCTCCCTCCACCGCTCTAAAGAGTCTACAAAAAAGTCCTCCGCCTCCATGACTTCACTGGCGCTGATGTCGCCTCGTTTGATGAAGCTTGAAAAGAGTCCAGTTCCGGGGAACTTGGGCCTCGACGACAGACCATAGCCCAACATATCAATAGCATGTAGATTGAGCCCTGGTATGCGACTCAAACCGTCAAAATTCCGTACGAACAAGCCTAGCGCCGCGCCATATCCATGCATGATAACCATGTCCTTGCAGTGCGTCCTGGACGTCTCTCGGGTGTTCTCTACCTGAAATTCGTGAATGTGCTGTTTATTGCCAATATCCACATCCAAAATCGAGCATTTGCGAAACTCATCACCATCTGGAAAGAAGTCTAGTGTGGATAATAACTTTCTTTCATTGTTGACGCCATCGGATCCCTTCCGCCACGTTTTGAACGATGCTTTCCAACCATATTTGTTCTGGAGCTCTTCCAACTTTCCACTGTCTAAAGGACGTTGGTCAGCGGCATTTTTGTGGGATTCTTGCGACATGTGGTTATTTGTCTACACAGCTAAGGTGGTTGGTTATCAAACATTTGCCATCCGATTTAATGACATTCATTTGATGTAATAAATAGCTTGATGTGTATACAATTAATCTGGTGACAGATAAAGAATTTATGATAGAATAAGCACACCAACGCAATGGGCAAGCTTTCGGCTTTCAGCACCTCCTTCGATCGTAGGAGTTTCTCTACTGTGGACAAAAACTCACTCTTCTTAGTTCTTTGATACCTCTCACGAATTGTGAGAGTAATGCTAACAGATTCTAGGGCAGTCTTCGAAGAGATGAAAACCTTACTTGATTTCAAAACGACGCAGTGTACAAGCTCTCATAATATATGTAGCATGAAACTGCTTGTTCCTATCTGTAACCAAAGGTCATCCCTGTTCACTGGTTCACATCGTCACCATGTAAAGGTAAGCAGACAAGTGGCCACCGTACCAGTTATTGATAGTTTTGTGATAGAGATAGAGGCTTTTTATGGAGCCAGCTAATGTGCTTCTTGTCAAATTTTCCTATTCCAGCCTGTCTCAGAAGACCTTACTCCATATTCGAATCGATGACAGTATCTTACAGAGTGATGTGGAAATGTAAGTGGTGGGAAAGTGTCTGAAGATAGGGACTGTCTATCGACTGCGTAAATCGTCTTTGAAGCAGCTAGAAGCTTCTAATGCTTGTTTTACAATACTTCAGAGTGCACAACAACTGTGCCTTAACCAAAACTTGCAAAATAATCCACTGGGTGTTCTTATATGAACAAGTCATCACTAAGCGACCATTCGAGTCTCTAAGATCTTACCATGGGCCCATTTTCAGGGCTCAATACTCAGAGATAGCCACAGAAAGAATTCAACGAACCACTGTAGCCTTGTTCAATCAGAACATTTGCCTGTTAGAAAAGCAAACTCACTCAATAATATACATCCTTGTAGATCCTTCTTCAGCCTTATTTAATGGTGCAGTTTCCTCCTTTCGAAGGTTGGCCTTCGATGCCACTCAACAGTCATGTTTCTTGCGTGACGTACAATAAAGTTTCCAAAGTTTTAGCTTGAGCCATCTCCATAAGAGCTTTGGTAAGTTATTGAAACACGGTCCACTGCGACTCATGGACTATTGATTTCACAGGCTATCCAGCTCTATCAGTAGCTGGCCAGGCGCTGACTGACAGGTCGTCCATTTTGTATAAATTTCACGTGGGTTGAAGGGCATAGGATTTGTTACTCTAGTGATATATACACCTTGGACTACGCTTGGCTACATTCTGACAAAAAGTTTGAACTGGCGTACTCTTTCTTTCCTCTCTGATGTCTGTTGTCCAAATCTCGTATCAGTTCTCAAGTTACAGGGAAAAGGTTGAGCCTGGAAGTGACTTGAACGACGTCCTGCATCGAAGTTTGTCTCATTTTAAGCTCCACAGCGATAAAAACTGGACTCTTCAACACCATGATAAGCCGCTCCCACTGACAGTACCAATTCGGCTCCTCAATTTGGCTAAAGGCGCTACCTTGGTACTCAAGGAGTCTCAGGTCGCGAATTCTAAAGGAAACCAACTAAAGATCAAATTTGTAGTTCCTTCATTTGGAACCGAGATCTGGGCAGGTTATTCTAAAAGTAAGATATTAGAGGCTGTCGAGGATGTTTTCGGTCGTAATTCTTGGAGTCTGGATCCGCAAAGCGTGAGGTTCCAGTGCTTCGCCAAAATTTGGACCTATGATCAAATCCGCGACACGACGTTTGAGCAACTAGGCATCGCAGAAGACGTAGCGATAAGGGTCTCGATGGCGAATACCAGCAAAAAGGTATCAAACAACGCTGAGGATTCAAAGCATCTCGAAGCCCCCACTGACGTGACGGATTTACCAACTCCCCAGGCAGTTGAGTCGCGTGCCAAAGGTGACCAAACACCCAGATGTGAAAACGTGCGTGATAGCGTTCTTGCTTATATTCCAAGCACAAATTCAATTCCAAAGGACTTGGGTGTGGAGGATGATTTTAACGTCACGGTCAACCAATTCAAAAAATATCAGAAGATGTTATCAAAGAGCGCAGGCGGTGATCAACCACTCTTAACAAAGAGGCTGCGAGAAGAAAAGGCCCCAAAAACAATGATAGAAAACTGCAATGTACGGGTACGTTTCCCCGATCGTTCTTGTATTGATATCAATTTTAAACCTGATGACACAATCCTGCTAGTGTATGAGGCTGTTTCAAGGTGTCTCAGCGACAAAGCACTTCAATTCCGCCTTTTTCATTCCCATCCACACCAGGAGATTAAAAACACAGAAGCCAAATTAGTTGCGGATTTGGGTTTTGGTTCAAAAACGCTATTGATCTTCGAGAGCGACTATAGAGCCTCGTATCTGCGTTCGGATTTACTCGAAAAAGCGAAGTCCATGGCGGATTCCAAGCGAGCGGATGAGGCCGAACAAACAAGGACGGCGGCCGGAGGAAATGGCAGCGCAACTGAAGCTGAAAAAAAGCCTACCACAGGCTTGCGTGCAGGGCATAAGCCCAAGTGGCTCAAATTGGGAAAAAAATAGCAGAATGCTTTACTTTATTTACAAGAACTACTACTCTATCCCACGAAAAATGAGTCTTATTTACCGAATTTCAAGCTCTTCAAGAGCCTCCTGTACTTGCACGAGGGTTTCAGGGCGGTGAGCATTGACAAAGTCCAAGATGTTCTTCACGCAACCTAAATCTTCGTTCTGGGAATCATCTCCCAAAATTTGGCCGCTCTTGATTCTATTCTCCACGGACCGACGAGCGCTATTTATCAACGGTGTGTTGAAGTCGTGGGTTGCTGAAACGATCTCTCGCAATCTTTCACGTTCGATGGCTATATATTCGAGACGAAGGCCACCATTAATGAACCTTTCTAGCTTCTTATCGACCTCCAAACCGCTAATTTCTCTCATGTACTTTAAAGTAGCGAGGACATATGGCCAGTCACGAACACGAACAAACCCTTTTATTATTGCTTCATAAAAGTTAGCATCAGGTAATACGTTATCATCCCGAACCATTGTCTTAAACAAGTTCCTGTAATCGAAAGCAGGGTGTATGTTTATTTTGGATCTTTGCCTTTTTAGGTTACGCTTCCAAGCACCATGATTAGAACGTCTTTCAGTAATACCTAATCCATTGTCAAAAAAAGAGTTGTATAAATCTAGTGATTTCCAAAGTTGCAGGTACAAAGGTTTTGTCACCTGGCGTCTCTCGAAGAATGACTCCAAAGAGGTATTTTGGCCGCTTGTTTCTGCCTTAGCAAGTTTGTGATCAAAAATTGAGTTAACAATGTTGAAACAGTTGTCAAAGTCACCAACGGACCTGTAATGCTTCAAAAGTGATGAAAGAAGGGTTGAGTTGTACTGCAAATTTCGGGAGGCCATTCGTTCTACGATGGCTGCGATTTGCTTTCTATACTTTTCAATGTCCTTATCATTCTGCGAGCGTTGAGCTTTATGGCTGTAGTGATCAATGAACACAGTGTAATGATGCGCATTTACTTCGGAGGTATGGCTTCCTAACCGCAGATTTTCAAGGTTTGTCAAAACTTCAAGTGCCTGGGCCTCCATATCATTCTTCAAAAGCGATTTTAATATGTTTTGCATTTGTATTGATGATTCTCTAACAGACAAATCGTGACGGGAAGGGTCTGGTGATTGATTGGGATCTAAGGCAAATCGTTGAATCTGTTCAGCCAGCCTAGGCTGTGAAGCAATAGCGGTAATATTGTCAAAAAGGATATTGTCATACGTCTTTCTAATTTTTCGAACATTCATTTGCACTGTGGCACCTTCAAAGGCAATCCTCATCTTTTCAATCCCTTTGCTGTTATCGTGACCGAGGTATGGCTGCAGCTCAGTCTTGAGAGCACCAAAATTCTTGAGCAAAAACAATTTTAATTTGATTACGACCATTGTAAGAAGCTCGTGGTTAACATCTGAAGACAAGATTAACTTGGCCAGCAAATCAAGCGCTTCCTCTTTCTGATTTCTAAACAAATGATATTGTATTATTGCAATAAAATCTGCCTCTGTCGGTTGTTCCCTTCCATTCAAAAAATCGTCAGCTTGTTTTTCGTCTGTAAATAATACAGTGCGAGATGCTGCCCTTCCCGTATTTGACTTTGAGTGGGTCCAGCCAACAGTGGACACCGTTCGCAAGAATAACTTGGTTAACATTTTAGAACCTTTGAAATCTCTTATATAGAGCTTTTTGCGGATGGCAGTTCGCAAAACTTTGGGTGAGCAGTAATCAGAACCAAACTTTTCAAAGGTGCAGTCGAGAAGCTTGTCAAATTGTGCCAATTGGTTTGCTCTCAGACAAACCATCATACCCATCTCATACCACCAACGCTGATTAACCTTCTCTCTATTTGTGTTGAAAAGCTCAAGAGCCTTTTTGTAAAACCCGTAGAATACTAGGGATTCAATATAAAAGGATTCATTCACGGGATCCATTCGAACCTTTCCTAATGAATAAAGCAGGTGGCCGGAGAGCAGGACGCCTCGCTGGCGGAACTCGCTTATTGGTATCAGCTTCGCGATTTCAAAAGCCATCACCATCTGTTCCACTGATATTATATCGCTCGACGCGAGTCTTCTCATGTTAAGATCAGAAAGAATTCTGAACATATTTTCGATGTTGGGTAATAATGACATTGAGTTATCGGCGTCGGAGGCATCTTGCAAATCGCTGAAAATGGCTTGCTCCAAATCCTTCTCTGACGTTATGCTTTTTGGACGATTTTTGGTGCCACTTTCAATATCCTGTGTTTGAGATTGCATTCTATAGATCTGTTCAGGACCCATGTTTTCGATCCTCTTGACCTCTCGTTCCGATTCCTTCAAAACAAAATCAAACAATGCCTTCATCTTGTCATTTCCTTGACTTTCTGCATTCATAAGGGCCAACTTCAATGATTTAAGTTGGGCCGTGGATTTCTTGAAAGGAGAGGAACTTGTGTCCAGATAGTGCACGAATAAGTCATCAGCAGGGCCCGTCTCGGACAAACTCTTGAAGCCTAGCCTTCTCAAATCTCTTTCTACACTTTCTACAGACTCACCTTGAAGTCGGTACTCGCGTTCCTGAAAAGTATCATTTTGTCGGTGCTTTAGCAGAGAAATATGGCTACCAGCAGGTCTGAACTTCTTCCGGTAAAATCTAACCTGGAGAAGAATCTTCAATCGAGCATCACTACCTCTTGGAATCTTCATGTAGGGCACATCGACTTGACTTCACTGTTCGTTAAAGGGCGGCGCTATATCGAATAAAAGTTTGCTTCGCTCTCTGGAAGCTCGCTTTTAGCTCGCTTCAAAATTCGACGATTGGTTATTAGATTACCTAAGCGATGAGTTCAACTTGACCCAACACACGAAATTGAAAATGGTCACCAATGGACAACAGCAGATGGAAAATGAGTTCGAATTACCGTCCATTGACCTTATAGAAGCTCAAATCCTATGACCTTCTCGGTTTTCATGTATTTTGTAAATAATCGATTTACGCCGCCGCCATAGTAATATGTAAAGTATGTAGTAATAGTTTTGAGCATATTTTATCTAAATGCAAAATTCTTTTCATCGCCTTTTCTGACTCTTGAGACGGCCCTCAAAACCAGCTCGTTTCTGGGGCCTTATCCCCTTTATACCACGCTTCATCTTCTCCTGGTGAGATCTCTTTTTGCCCTTGTTGTCTTTGCGGATCTGCAGGTTTTCTTCACGCCTCTTTTGTTTGTCAGCTATGGCCGTCGTCACAGCCTCTTTCCGATCACGCCATTCGACAGCAGACTTCCGCTTCTTGGCCTCTTTCCGCTTCAATGCTTTGCGCAGTAGTTTTTCGTCGTCCCTGAGCCTTTCTCCTTCTGCTTGCAACATGGCACGTTGCCATTTCTCCTTTTCCTTGTGCTGTATTTGTTCCAGTTCATCCTTGGCCTCCAGCTTGGCGCGCTTCAACTCAGAAGCATGCAAGTGTGCCTTGATATCGTTTTTGGCGGGCCCCTTATTATTGTGTAGTTTCCGCAGACGCTGGAGATCTGACGTGACTCGGTCACCATCATCAAACTGAATGTTTTGGAACATGAGGTCCTTAGCGAGGTCTTCGTCCTTTTGACCTGTCGACCTTTTTTTCTTTGGTAGGAAATCGGCCTCATCTTCGGGCTCCGAGTCTGAGTTCGACTCGTTGTCACTAGATTCTTCTTGCTTTGCAGATTCCACTTCCGAGCGCTTCCGCTTCAGTTCTTGTTTGTGTTTACGTTGCGCTAGAATGGCGTCCCGGGAGCTTGGCGCACCAGACACCTGAGTTCCTGGCGCCTTCCGTTTTTCCTTTAACAACTGGATCTTTTCCTGCAGTTTGGTGCGAAGCTTTTCGAGATTTTGTTGTCTGTCAGAACTGGTATTCTTTTGTGGGGTCACTTCTGGCTTCTGCACAGACGTGGAGTCTTGCTCAACTTTATTTCCCTCATCGTCAAATATCACGTCTATCGAGTTTTCGTCGTCAGAACCTGGCTCCTCGGGACGCTTGCCATTGGCCCTTGGTGCCGTGCTGGTCAAAGGATTTTCCATGGACTCCTCCTTTCTGTGTTGATTTACATCGTTTTGTTCTTCTTCCTTCTCCGCTTCTGGCTCTTCCTCGTCGTCCTCGTCTTCCTCATCTTCCACATCTTCCTCGTCTTCCTCGGTCTTTTGGGCCATCCTCGTGCCTGGAAGCACTGTGGGCTTGCCGTTCTTCTCTCTTTCGGCCATCACTTCGAGGGCAGAAGCTGAGTCTTCGTTTTGCAATTCCGGGTCCAGCTTGCTGCGTTTATCCTGCTTAGACTGTATTTTGCTCTTCTTCTTCTGCTTCCACTGCTCTTGAGTTTTGTCATCGTAATAGTATTTGGCCGGTATTAGTGACAATAGTCCATCGAATGCACTGGAATTTATGCGTAGTCTTTCTTCCAGTGAGTTACTCATGTTTGCTGAAGTGGAAGGCCAGCACTGCTTGTTAGTGTGAGAACAGAAAGAACAACCACCTATCGAGTTACTTGACCGGTTTCTTTCGATGCCTCTTAAGAGATGCTCATCTCATCGCCTAAAATTTTTCACATATAACGAAGACAGTTCTCTAAGAGCCGGCAACGTCACATGGAGAAAAAGTGAGGTGACAGAATCAAGCTCGCGAGCTCGCGAGCTTGTGAGCTCGTGAGCCCGTGAGTTCCGTTTTAAGCGTTGTGTCTGGGGGCTCGAGATCGAAAGCCTAGCGTGCTTTGTGTATGGCCGTTTATTCTGCGTTCAATGCGACACCATTCTCGCCCGCACGGTGGAGCTCAAGCGGCAGTGCCAGACACGCACATATACATGGTCTAAATGGCTACCGACAAGTGCGCTGTCTACCAAGATATGAAACTCAAGATTCTTTCCATCGTGCGGGTATGACTATCCGAATACCCCAGCTACAACAAGTGGTGGTACACAGTGCTTGGTATGTCAATTGCGACGCCAGTCGTAGTGTTTTTCCCAATTTCCTCCGACGAGAGTCGGGCCCACCGCCTGATCGAGGCATCGCAACTGCGGCCACCTGAATAATCACTGCCTCGAATTCCATTGGTGTCGTCCCGCACACCGGGCCCTATTCTAATGCGTACAGGACTTTGTCGAATACAAGCAAAACTTTAAAAAGCCCGCCACGAGCAGCATGACACCAGCGTGACGCTAGACAGCCTACAATTTCTCCGAGTCTTCGTCACCACATCTCACCACTTGCTTCGATCTCGTCCGCCCACTGCTTTCAGTTCCCAACACCGTCTACCCTAACCAATATTCGGGTTTCGAGCCCTCACCGGGTAATGTGCCATCTTCAGCTCGCGGGACTCGAGTTCACGAGTTTTCGAGTCGTGGTGATGTATCTACGTGTATCTTCAAAATTTTTCACCGCGTCCATCGTTGACAATCCAGTATAAGTATCGGAACTTAGTACTGAAAAAGTTTTCACCGATGAGGCGAGTTTAGACGTGCACTTGAAGGTGATAGATTTCTGATATATTTTGATCCCATTTGTGTCCCTCATCACTTGAAACTCAAGATGTCTCAGGGTACTCTTTTCGTTACTGCTTTGGGCAGAGGCAACTTGCCTCCAGCCTTGGCCAAATACTTGCAATTGGATGTCGAAGTTACTGATGTCGCCAAGGACATGGAATCCTTCAAGAAGGAGTTCCCATTGGGTTTGATTCCAGCTTTCAAGAACTCAGAAGGGTTCAAGTTGACTGAAGTCATCGCTATTCTATATTACCGTATGAATTTTTTTTCTGTGATATAGCGTGGGAAGATAGTCTGGTTGGGATAGCGGCTTTCACTGCCGGCTCTGTGGCGTTTGGTTTGATTTGACCGTTTTGACATGATGAGAAACCTTTTTTATTTTAACAGTTATCCCTGTCTGAATGGGCAACATTAAAGCTAAGTCCGTGTGTCGAGAATCTTTTAACTCTGAGTTCATAACGGTCCAAAAAATCAAACAGAAATGAGCAAGATGCCGAACAGCAGGCCAGGTCCCACAGTTTGGTGGCGCTTCCTCCGCTAAATTGCCTGCGAGTGTTATTTTCATGTTTTACTAACTTTCCTGTACAGTCCTTGAATTGAAAGGTGATGAAGAAATCACACAAGCTTTGGCAGGTGCCACTGCTCAAGAAAGAGCTCAAGTCTTGAGATACCTCTCCCTCGTCAACTGCGACATTGCTCCAGCTTTCCAGGATTACGCCTTTTTGCAATTCGGCAAGGTCCCATACAACAAGAAGATCAGCGAAGAGAAGAAGGCTGCTTTGGACAAGTTTTTGGGTCTTTTGAACGAAAGACTACAGGAATACACCTACGTGGCCACCGAGTCTGTAACCCTAGCTGACTTGTTCCTAGCTTCCTTTTACGGTTTCGGCCGCACCATCCTTTTCGGTGCTGAACTCGAAACCAAGTTCCCAGCTTTGGCCAGATGGTACTACACCGTCGAAGCCCACCCAGTGCTAAGCGGCTTGTTCGACAAGTCCAAGTTCTTGGAGAAATCCGTTGTCTTCCAGCCACCAAAGAAGGAAAAGAAGGCCGAGAAGCCTAAGGCCGCTGAAAAGCCAAAGGCTGCTGAAAAGCCAAAGGCCGAGGAACAACCAGCCGAGCAAAAGAAGCCTAAGCACCCTCTAGAGCTTCTAGGTAAGGCCACCTTCCCCTTAGACGACTGGAAGCGTAAGTACTCCAACGAAGACACCAGACCCGTTGCCTTGCCTTGGTTCTGGGAGCACTACAACCCAGAAGAGTACTCCATCTGGAAGGTTGACTTCAAGTACAACGACGAGTTGACCTTGACCTTCATGTCCAACAACCAAATTGGTGGTTTCTTCAACAGATTGAGTGGCTCCGTCAAATATATGTTCGGTTCTATGGTCGTTTACGGTGAGAACGGTAACAATGGTATCACTGGTGCCGTCATGCTCAGGGGCCAAGACTCCGTCCCAGCCTTTGAAGTCGCTCCAGACTGGGAATCCTACGACTTCACCAAGTTGGACACCACCAAGGAAGAAGACAAGGAATTCATCAACAACATGTGGGCCTGGGACAAGCCAGTTATCGCCGATGGTCAACCAAGAGAAATCGCCGACGGTAAGGTGTTGAAATAGAGGTAATAATGATAAACTATAGTTCTCTATCTAACCTTTAGATACTCAATTCTCTTAATGATTTTATGCCCATACGTAGTATCCAACTCTGTAAATACAGCAAAAAAAACCGTACTTCCACACCGCTTTGATCGGTGTAAATGTTCAGCCTCAAAGCAGGACGCGGATTGGGATGAAATGCTAGGTGGAAAGAGATCGATCTTCTCTTGAAGTTGGTCAGTAAATAAACTCAATTTCGTAGTAAGGTACCAACTAGAAATTTTCAATCTAACTCAAAGGGGTTCCCATTTAGTTGACGATAACCAACGATTGTGCGAGCTTAGTATAGCAGCCTCAGTCCGTTAGAGAGCATTTAGCAAGCCATTTTTTGTGCTTTCATTTCTCCATTTCGGTGGCCACTTCGTTTGCAAATATCTGTGCCTTTGTGTGAGTCTCGCTAAGTTCATATCTAAAGTTTGGGATTATGGCCACTGCATTGCACACTGCTAAGCAGTTCTTGCTCCTCTCTTTGCCCGTCAGTGCTCAACCGGCGTCTGCTCCAGGAAAGGACGTGGGGAGCTGGCTTCAAGAAGATTTTTGCGGGGGCAGACCGTTTGTTTCTGCTTTCAAGATTCCAGAGTTCAAAATTGGATCTTTGGACACGTTGGTTCTACAATCTGAGGAACTTGCTAAAATAGACTCGCAAATCGGGACCTCAGTTGCCAAAATTTTGGAAATTCTCGGAAATCTGAATGAGGCCCAAAGTAATGCCTATAAGACGCTACCCGTGGGAAATGTCCCGGTCATGGAGTACTTGGAAAACTTTCAATGGCAAACTCGGAAATTTAGACTTGATAGACCCATCAAACAACTCATTAGTGATATTGCAGACGAATCTTTTCAATTGGATGCTGATGTCAGAGCAACGTCAACTAATTACAATAACGCCAAAACCAATCTTGCCGCTGCCGAACGTAAGAAGACTGGAGATCTGTCGGTAAGGTCGTTACACGATATTGTGAAGCCTGAGGACTTTGTACTTGGCTCTGATCATCTCACCACGGTGCTTGTTGCAGTCCCCAATACTTTGAAAGAAGATTTCCAGAAAAGCTACGAATCTCTTGCAAAAAATGTGGTTCCATGTTCAGCTTCCCTTTTAAAGCAAGACAACGACTATTCTCTGTACAACGTCCACCTTTTCAAAAAGTCTGTTAGCGCTTTCACAGGAGCCTGCAGAGAGAAAAAATTCATTCCTCGTGATTTCGAGTACTCCGAGGATCTCATCAATCAGTTAACTAAAGAGCATGACTCCGCTGCTCATCTAGAACAATCATTGCGTGTCCAATTAGTGCGTTTGGCTAAGACTGCCTACTCCGATGTCTTCATGAATTGGTTCCATATCAAAGCATTGCGGGTCTTTGTGGAAAGTGTTTTGCGGTACGGGCTACCTCCTCATTTCAATACTACACTGATTGCAGTTCCGCCTAAAGGCCTGTCCGCATGTAAAACTGAGCTAATTCAAGAATTTGGCTACTTGGGTGGCAACGCTTTCTCTAAAGACAAGGCCGGAAAAATCAAGAAACAGGACACCTCTTTACATGAATACGCGTCACTTGTCGATACAGAATACGAGCCCTTTGTGATGTACACTGTAGAATTGTGAGCTTTATGATATCAGAGTTATCTGTGCGTATTTACTTTCAATAGATCAAAAAGAACATCAAACAACTCATCAGAGAGTTTTGACAACCCGGCTTTAAGTTTAGTACATGCCATTGGCCACATCAATCTACAGCTTTGAAAAACCATCTGCCACTGACCAGATGCATTCAGCTCTCAACACTGTCACTGCATCAGTGGCGATTTCTGAGGTCAGTCCTCTTAACGGCGGGTTGCCGTGCGAAACCGAGTCGAAGCATTTTGAATATTTCGCCCAAACACCGGAAGACCGGAGATGCCTTGAAGTGGAGGTGGCCTAAAGTTCGACAAATGGGGGCTTCAGGCTATTGATATCCTCCGTCTTGTTTCTCAATTTCAAAGAGTGCAAAGCTTTTCCCAAATTGGCCGTTTCAACCAGACAGCGCACTTGAAGCTCTTTTTTTAGTTGGCAAACCAAAACTTCACACTTGGCCAAATCGTTCCAATCTGAAAAGAAAACATGGTACATGGGGTTCCTGGCTGCTTGCCAACATAACATCTGGTCTCCACGGATGGACAGTTCATGCAGCTGTGGTAAGTAGAGCCCTTCCAACCTTAGATTCCCCTCAGGCTGATAAATCATGTAGATGATCTCCAGAGATTCCAGATGAGGGTGCCGCAAGCAAATGAGAGGTGACTTTCGCCTTGCTGCGTCAATATCCAACTTGGTATCTATCAGTGGCCAATTCTGGATGCATGAGTGCGTCACCCCGTTGGGAAACAGCTGAGCGTTCAAATGAGGTAAGCCGTCGGAGCTTTCCTGTTGGATTCTTGTTTTCAGCTGAGTTATTATATCACGAACAGAGCGGAACTTCTCTGCAGAGTCAGTTTGAAACTCGTCCCATTTCAAGACGTGGCCCGAGAACCCTTCCAGAGACGGCAAGTTCCAGTTCCGCAGCGAATAAAAATGGAAGAATTGTTCCAACGATATTCTTTTAGAATCTTGAGTTAGAAGATATGACATTTGTATTTGATTGAGACAGTCGGCTTTACTAGTTTTACCCGGCAAGGCAAATCCAATGGATTTGAGCGCCGGAAAGTTCACCGTCAGAGCGAAGTAGTCGCGGAGGCTCTGTCTGGTCGACAGGAAGTTTGAGAGGCAACTGTTATCCAGGTCGAGTGAGACAGCATTCAAAAATGTGACTTCTGCATATCGCCTCGTTGGGGATACTGTGGTATCGTCTTCAGTCTGGCCGTATACCTCTTTCCTCGTGCTCGTTTCTTTCTCTTCATAGAAAGAGCTGTCAAATAAATTTCCATCCGTGTTGTTCCATCGCAGGCTTCCATCCTGCGGCCCAATCAATATTAGGTGCTCTATGCGCATACTTCTCTGTGGGTACATGTCTCTGTATTGTTGGTCGATGCGTCTCAAATTAACTTCCTCTTCCTGATCGTGATGATAAACCACTGTAATACTTATGTCTCCATTTGGCTCTGGAAGTTCAGCTGCCTCTCCACGCCTGAAAAATGCCTCGTCCACGGACAGCACCAAATATTTAGTGCCGGTTGGTATGGCATCTTTTCTGGTGAGTGTCGCTACATTGAGTGGGCCACTCAGCCGTCGCACAAAATCCGACTCCCTTCTACTCAGATTGCAGACATACACCCTTTCCAGCAACAATCGGTTAATGCGGGGACATGCGTTGCCCCCAGCTTTGAGCCAGTTATAGTAGTCGACAACGGATGTTTTTGGATTTGATTCAAGTTGCTCTACTATCATTTCTACCACCTCCAGAGGCAAGTTGAATAAGCTTTCCATGTTAGCTTTATTTTTCCACACTGTGCTGTCGCTTACTGCGTCGCTACTGCAATTTTTAGTCATATTGGCACTGAAGCCCGCAAGGAACAGTTATGGTCACTTTTAAACGCAAAACCCGAAATCTGTTTTGGGTTCGGTTCCCAACTACTCACAAGAGATACATAGCCGGATACATATATCTATATATACTAGCTTCTCTGCTTGTTGGTGGATATTTTTGATGAGAGCTCCTTAAGGGTCATTGGGCCATTATGCAATATAAGGGTCCTCTCAAAAAGACACTAAAAGCTGACACTGCAAAATCTGTTGCTGTGGAATATTCCGCCCAAACACAGGCGATCTTTATTGCTCTGATCTCTGGGACAACCAGTGAGCGCGTTGGCTGGATAATAAGTCCCTAGCAACTTAGTCTGATTAAAAACAACGGCAAAAGGGCCACAATGCTAAAAACTATTGTAGCACTGGTTGCAACATGTGTTGACACATCATAACGCTTGATTTCCAGCATCTTTGTAGCCGGAAGGCACACCTCTGGGTGTATTCTCGGGTGCCACGATGACTTCGCGACCGGCGTGACTTCATGACCGGACCCAGGTGTCAAATAAGTACGAAGTGATATAGCGGGAGCGCTGAAGAACAGAAGCCTTCCTAGTGACTGCCCAAGAGAAGAGGCACCCTAGCACTGCTCCACGCTGACTGGCGCTTGGGTCGATGGCCGTTGAGGAATGCACGCCATGCTGGGGACACACTTCTCGGACACCACTCTGTACCACAGTGACAGCGGTGTATCACGTGCTGTAGGGCTTTCGCTAGCGCCAGCAGCAACGACCGCGCGCGGTCGTTGCTGGACGGCACCCTAACGGCTGGCCCCGGACCTCCACCGTGCTCTGTAATTCGACGAAACGTCCTCGATTGCCACGCCGCTGGTGGCCTCGCTGAATCCGTATCACTATGTACGCAATCGCGTGACCTTTGGTCATGTGATTTGTGTATCACCTGGTACGCGAGTACGTCCGTGTGACTTTTTCTTTTGATCGTCCGAGTACCACTCTTTTTTTCCAGTTGCTGGGCCGATATAAAAGCTGTGGGGAAGTGGTAAAGCGATGGGCTGAAGAACCTCAAACACCAGACTAATCAACTGGTAGGGCTAAAGGATTGAGGAATTCCCCTGTTGGTCCACCAAGTCGTCACACTTTTGGCCCGTGTCGGATTTGCCAGGTTGTCTTCTCTTATCTTTCGGATCCCTGTGATTTTGTGCCTGAACAGCCCTCTGTTGGCTCTTCGCTAGTTTCAATCTGGCTTTGGTTTCGCACAGCGTCTTTAACCTACTAGTCTATCCGATATGTCTCTGTGTCAGCCCTCCGGCTTGGCGCAGTTTGTTGCCAAGAATGATCAACTTCAGAGCACCAGCGTGAGTCAGAAACATCGCTTTCGCGCAGACGAACCATTAAACCCCACAAATGTGCCGCTAGAGTCGCGATTCCGCTCTCCTCGCGAGCTGCGTCTTTCAGACGCACTTCCCGTGCCTGGGCAGCCGCTTGTTGGGAAACGTGCCACCAGCAGCCTCCACGCGGGTGATTGGTCGGACGAATTTTCCCGCATGAAAATCCATGATCCGTTGAGCTTTACGTCGGAGTATCAACAGCTCTACGCATCTTACGAAAAATCACAGCACTCCCGATCGCCGGACGTTAGCCGTCAATACCCTCCTACTCTTCAGCAGTTTCCAAGTCAGCGTTCCACCCTCATGCAACGGGCTCCTCTGTCCGCACAACATACGCACCAAACTTCCTCCGGCACCTCCGATAATGTCTTGGAGGCCGAGTATTTCGATCGTGAGTTTGACGAGTTGGAACGGGAGATGTCTTCGGACATGCACGACGACATTGAGGACCCCGATGTCGACGAGCAAGGCCAATCCATCCTGGAACTCACCGCCGAACAGCTAAAGTTCCAACAAGCAGCATCTGAAATTCATCAGAGGCTGTCTCCCGGTCCTCAGACGCCGCCAGCATTGGAATCCAAATTTCAAAAGTCAAAGTTTTTGGGGCTCATGCGCGGCATAAGTGATGGCGTAGTCACTTTGAAAGGCGCCGACGACGATGCAAACAAGTACACGCAGCTTTTTTCGCCCACGTCTGGAGAGCTTGTGGGCAACGAATATTTCCCTGTCGCCGATGCAACGCTTAATAATAATGGCACGTCATGATAGATGGCGACACTTATTTCCGATCTCTTACGATGTTTACGAAGAACCAAGAAAAGTACTCTATAATATGTCCTAAACAGTTTTTTGTTTTTGGAACACGCTCGCACTCTAATTTTCAATGATTTTATAACCTACACCTGTTTATTTGTATCCTTCATGTCCTCTAACTCGACTTCCTTAGCAACGAAATTCAAGCGGTTCACTTCTCTCCGGCTTTCTCCCGGCTGCGTTTGAGAGTCGACCTGTTCCTGGGGTTCCTCACTAATGCCTCTCAATCCTGTTTTCACATCACTTACGAAGTTCCACAATGAGGATGACATATTTCCCAACACATCTTCCGGTGGCTGGTGGTGGATAGCAGGCCTTGTATGTTCTTTGCTTCCTCGCGGCTCGTGGCCGTCACCCTCGTCATCCCACTTGAGTTTCTTTTCCATTTCATGCTGGATGAACTGGTCGATTTGACTAAACAAAGTCAGGGGTTTCGACCATACAGATCCAGCTTTCGTCGGAGTACTACTTTTTAAATCCTGAGAGCTATCATCTGCAATTTCCGTGCGAACGGGGCCCGTTTGTGCTGTCTGGGGATTCCTGTCCATTTTGTGATCATCCATTCCGCTATTCAGCGTTTTTCCCACCTGCGTTTTTAAAGTTTGTAACTCCTGTAACTGCACTTGCAAGTGATTTTCCTCTTGTCCTAGGTTCTTCCTCAGCTCCTCGATTTTGCGTTTTGTCTCTAGAAGTTCAAGTTCCTTGTTGGCCAGCAACTGCAACATGGAGTTCACGTCTGTGCTCGGCTCGTAAACTCTGTCTGACGCAGAGCTACTGCTTCTTGAATGAGCGGAAACAGTACTTCTGGACCTTGTTCTGGTCAAATGTCTCTGCTGTTGGTTTCTGTGCTCGTGTGGTGTAGAATCTGGAGTTATCATCGGTTGTATGAGAGAGACCCGCTTCAGAGTCGCGGAGCGTCCGAACTTTGAGCTTGGTGGTGAACGCGTTGGTGTATCTCTAAGCGGATGCTCCTGCTGGCTAGGACTCGAAACACTCGCCTGGGGGCGAACCTTTACGAGCTTATTGGAACCGTTTGGTGAGTTAATCGTTACAACTTCAGGGCAGGGCTCTTCTGCGGTCGACTTTCTCGTCAAACCTTCACTTTTCAATGGGACGCTAGTGTCCATATCTGCCGCGTGGTCGCTGGAAGTTATAAAACCATCCAAATTGCTCATACGTACGAGTTTTGCTTCTTTGACAGGTTTCAAATTTTAGGTAAAGGTTAGATACTCGAAACTTCCTAATTCCTGCCATTATTATAAGGAAAAGACCGAAACTAAAATACTCCATTCTACAGACTTTCAGGCTTCGCATTCACTACGGACTAAGATAGCTCAACTCAATTGCAACATGGACAGCTGTTCATCTTATCGCTTCTCCTTTTGGTTTTCGAAACTAAACATCGTATATCACAGATACCAGCTCCACGTCACAGTGTGCTTCCAAGTTTAATTGATTACATCTACTCGCAGATAATGGCCTCAAGGACCTCGTTCTGGTCGAGCTATCAGAAATCATGAAGGGACACATTGCAGATCGTGACATCTACTAAGGATGGATAGATATATGATGCTCTATTTCATAAATTTCATGATCATACAGTACGAGCAACGGTTTTGAAAAGGCCGGTTCTTATTCTTAACGTCCCTTCACAACAAACCATTGAATCACAAACCACACACTTGTAGAGTGGTCTCCAAGGTGGACAGCTTCGTGCTCGTTATAGTGTACTGACAATTTATAAAGATGGCGCCGTTTAAGTTTGCTAAAAAAGGCTCGAAGGACAAGGCTAAGCAAGATGCCATTGCTGAAGCCAAACCGGTAATACCACCACCTAATCCAAAGCGATTCATGCAAAGCGAGAAACCAGCGATTTCAAATATTCCCGAACCGGTCGCATCTCGCATACATCCAACCCCAGTCCCTGTGCAGCAGAGAAATGTCTCAAGCGCCTCTGCGTTGCACCAAGCGGAGTATGAACCTTGGAAGAGGATAAAGTTGACGAATTCGCCATTCCCCCGTTACCGACACGTCGCGTCTGCTTACATGTCGGATCAAAACCAGGTGTTTGTGATCGGCGGGTTGCACGACCAATCGGTGTACGGTGACACTTGGATTATCTCGGCTCATGAGAATGGAACCCGGTTCTCTTCTAAGACTGTCGAAATCGGTGACTCCACTCCTCCGCCGCGAGTTGGCCACGCGTCCACATTATGCGGTAACGCCTTTGTCATATTTGGAGGTGACACACACAAGGTCAACAGCGAGGGCCTGATGGATGACGATGTCTATCTTTTCAACATCAATTCCTACAAGTGGACAATACCCAGGCCCGTAGGACCCAGGCCCCTGGGTCGTTATGGTCACAAGATTAGCATCATAGCCACTTCTCAGATGAAAACAAAACTTTACGTTTTTGGCGGGCAATTTGACGACACCTACTTCAACGACCTGAGCGTCTTTGATCTCTCGTCCTTCAGGCGTCCGGACTCGCACTGGCAATTCATCAAGCCCAACACTTTCACCCCACCGCCTTTGACCAACCACACTATGATATCTTACGATTTCAAGCTTTGGGTCTTCGGCGGTGACACACCCCAAGGTTTAGTCAACGATCTGTTCATGTATGATCCTCAGTTGAACGATTGGAAAGTCATCGAAACAACAGGAACGTCGCCGCCACCACTACAGGAGCATGCAGCCGTGCTTTGCGGCAAACTAATGTGCGTAGTTGGAGGGAAGGATGAACAAGACGTTTATTCAAATGACGTGTATTTTCTGAATTTGGTTTCTCTCAAGTGGTTCAAATTTCCTTACTTCAAATCTGGGATTCCCCAAGGGCGTTCCGGTCATTCTTTGACACTGCTGCCAAATAATACGCTTCTAATCATGGGTGGCGACAAGTTTGACTACTCCAGACCCCATGAAGATGACTTTCATACTTCAGATGTAGATACGGGCCATGGTACGATCCTTTATACTCTCGATTTGGGTAAGCTGAAAGAACACTGTCCAGGCATTTTCGACTACGAGCGTCTCAGCACACCTCAAAAGTTTGCGAATAGAGATGCAGCATCACCACAGTTGACTAACAGATCTTTCTCCGGGGGCCAAGCTCAATCACAGCAGGGGCATCAGGCGTATATCTCACAACAACAGCAAAATATCTTGACGCCATTCAGCGAGAAGTACCAAACACCAAGAACTGACCAGGGTGATTTTGCGTTGGATAAGAGCACACCAAAAGCTGATCATATGCATACACCCGGACCAATTTCCGACAGTGGTGCACTACCAAATCCTCAGACTTTCAAGAAACCTACTTCACCTGTTCCACAACTAAAACCTTCGCAATTAGGCGCCCAGAGTCCTCCGCCTCGTGTTGTTTCCTTAAGCTCTGCTAACGAATCTGACATCAACACCTCGAGAGGCTATGACAGTCAGCTCAGTGGCGAAACGAGCGACGAATATGGTGTCGCAATGATCGGAAACTCTCCCTCAAAACCCGTTGTTCGAGAAAGTATCATTCCCGAAAGTGCAACGCTGGAGAATTTGGGGGATCGTACTGTCACAGATGACCTTACGCCGAAAAGTGACGATTTTGCTGATACAACCTCCCCGTCGGGGGACTTTAAAGCGGAATCTACCGTGGAACGTACTTCAGATGCAAAAAGCTCGTCGAGAGAATTGATAGATGCTCTGCGTAAGGAACTGACAGAATTGAGAGCAGAAGCCGAGAATAATGCTCAGTCAGCAAGTCAAAAAATAACATCCTTAGAGTTGGAAAATTCGAAACTTAAAGACAGCAGTAATATAGGGACACGGTTTATCAAATTACAGACCGATTATGACATTACAATCGCCGATAAAAAGGCTCAAGAAGACAGAGTTAGTGAAGTAGAGGATCTTTTGTCAAAAAAATTTCTGGATGTAGCGCGGCTACACGACATAATCAGGGCCCAGAGCGACAAAATTGAACAATTTGGCGACCAAGAGTCTTTCAAAGAAAAGTACGAAGAGCTACTTTTCAAATATGAACATTTGTTGAAAGAGCATGAGTCCATCAAGGCCGTAGACCGCGAAGACACAAAAAATTTGCATTCTTCAATCAACCAGTACAGTGTTCAGCTGCAGGATTTTCTGTCACAAACTAGTACAAATGACAATGTCGCGAAAACGAGGTCTGTTTCTGAACACCATCAAGGAGTTATTGACGGTTTGAGGGCTCGTGTTGAAACCATGACAGTAGAGAGAGAGGAAAGCGCTGCTGCTGCTCAAAACCTCTCCGAATCCTATAAGAGCCTCCAGGAGAAGAACCGTCTGCTAGAACAGAAGGTTGAAGACCTAGAGCAAAACTATGAGCACAGTGTGAACTCTGTGAACAACGCTAGTAGGGCATTAGAGCTGTCTCAAGCCGACCTGAATAAATTCAAGCAAGACAACAAACGGCTTGCAGACGAGCTAGAGGAACTGAAATACAAGTCCCCCGACTACCGCGATGTCAGCATTACTTCAGTCGATGAATCTATCGCTAGCTCCGGGGCTGTAGCTGCGTCGACTGAGTCCAAAAATGACATGAGAGCTGCCCCTTACCGCTTGAAAATTAATGACTTGAAGGCAGAGCTCTTCATTATAAAGCAAGAAAGAGACTCGCTAAACGAAAATCTGATGGAGCTGAAAAAAAAGTTACTAAACCTTGAGAATGAGGACGATTGATGTTTCGGCATTGTGTTACTATATATCATATAAACCACTTTAGAATTCGTGCCTCACCGCGGCACTCAGGTACTTGTCCTTTTTTTCACCCCAGATGTGCCAAAGGTGGACTGCTGGCGTTGGATCTGGAGTGTTGAAAATCGCTGCTTTGAAGAATCTCCACAACGTCCACCTCCGTACGGTCTGCCTCGGCAAATTCGTTACTCATGCACAAAATCGGAGAAACGTCTTCAGTCGCGTATGTCAGGGCCCCAGACTCCGAGTCTATGATTTCAAAAGAACCCCAATCAAAGTCTTCCGTTGGCTTGGCTGTCAAAGACGACTGAACTCTCTCTGCAGTCCAGCTGGCCAATGTCATGCTGTTTTGCTCCGAAACGTTGGCAAACCTGGCAACACCATTCTTATAACAACAAGTATCGGAGGAACTATCTTCCGCACGTCTTTTTCGCGATCTTCGGAACCGTTCGAACTCTGTTGCATCCACCACGCATACGTTAGGATCACAGGGTAAAAACCGCTCACAGATATCGCTTGGGATTTTATACGTACTGATAAACTCTTCTATACAGACTATAGACCTGCTCATTATCCTTCTCGAGCCCTTGATTTTGCTATGTGCCCTCGCCTTTCATGGGAGTAGTGTGTATTACAGTTAAGATTTTCTTAGCCGCGGATGAAAGTTCATCCAACTACAAACCACTTTTTAAAGACTAGGAGCATATCCAGACAAGAAAAGAGCGGTGAAATGCGATCATGGGTGTTCTTGAAGTCTATTGGATACTAAACTTGACGGCAGAAGGCTGGCCGTGGCGGCAGCGCTCTCGAACTTGGATATCGTTATTGACGCCCTGGTGATATTGACTGAAATTGGCCACGACACGGAAAGGTGTCCGTGCTTGGTGATAATTGGACCCTGATTTCCACGGTGCACTATCAGGAGGCTTTTCCGCATCGATTAAAAACTGACATGGTTGTGAATTTGTTGGTGGCCACTTGGTTTTGACAATCTATCTTAGTCTTTAACCCCCGGTTATTTACAAGAGCTATTGGAAAGTGATTTTCTGGGGTATTGCAGCATTCGGCCCGTCTCCCTTTACAAATTAACGTGGGTCTCGCCCCGTAAGTCAAGGGCAAGTAATAATAAATATACTACATCCAGGGGAAGAAAGTGCTCGGGACGGAACAAATAAGCAAAGAGGCTTGACGAAAAGCAGCTATTATGGTTCAATCTGGTGGATATACGAACCACGTCTCGTTCGATGACCTCATTCCATCTTTTCTGGCAGTGGGAGGACGAGCACCCTGGGCAAAACAGCCAATTGGCCAAGCCATCCTTTTTAGCGACCCATTTCTACAAGTCCCGGGCTCCAAAAATCGAGGGGAGCACAAAGGCTCTCCGAGCTTGGATCACTACTTTGGATCCAAATTGTCCCGAGGCTCAAGCCCGAACCCCTTAGACTGTTCAATAGATGGTGAGCTCTTGTCCCCGGGATTGGAGTACGGGCAAGAAGCGGTAAATCGCAGTTGGTGCGGAAGTCCATCGAAATTTTCACCATCCGCAGGTGCTTCCATCCTGGCCAAGCACGACCATCTAACCTACGACACCATTAAGGATTTCGATCTGATGGATTTGGACCCACAGAAAGAACACCAAATGCATTCTATGACCAACAAAAACACTCAGGAAAATTCAGGCAGTTCACATGGCTACACTACATCTGCGTTCTCTAATCTGAACGAGGTTGAGGATAAAGTTATACGCAAGGATTATAGCAAGCAACAGCCATCGGCTAACGGTGCTCGCAGAAAGAGTTTTGCAGGTATGAGTGACGCGGAGCTCGCAGCGCTTGAACAAAAGTATGAAGCAGCGTCCAAAACCAATTACGACGTTGGCCAGTTCGATTTTGGGGAGCAAGCAGCACGCTACATTGAACCCGAAAATAACAAAATAGTGGGCTCAGGGTCTCAAATGCCTCAATCAATGTACCCTTCGAGGCCCTGTGTCCTTCACAAGGCCTTAAATAGAGTCAAAGTACACAGTGCTTTTGCGAAGTATGTTGTACAACATCGCAAGACAGAGGATAAAGAAAGCCTCAGAACCATTGTCTGTGTCATCTCTGGTAGAAGACATACGTGGTCCGCGGTGGATTGGTACGTTGAGAATTTGTCGCTAGATGGCGACCATTTAGTGATCGTCACCAGAATCCCAAACTTCGAAGAAGAGAGTAACCGCAACTCAACCTCACAAACTACCTTTGTGGATGGCTACGATTTTAAGAACGACAAGTCGAAGAACGCATCCTTGAGTCGTAGATCAAGTAACTCCGACCGAGGTCAGTCTGCGGCTGTAGTCGACATCATGGCCCGCGCAAAGTGTGACGCCATTCTCGACTACTACCTAGGAAAACTAAATGGGAAAATAATGAAAATAAGCGTGGAGCTTATAAAAGATGACTCCACCCCCAGTGCGCTTTCCTCGGCCATTGCTCTCTATAAGCCTGATTTGAAAATCGTCAGTACTGTTAGTACCAATCTACACATCAAGTTTAGGAACGGCCACGTCAAACTTCCAAACTTTGTGATGAGACATTTTTGGGTGCCTACCTATGTTATTCCGTATGAGTTCATTGATCCAGCGCTTCTAGGGGAGAAGATGGAAAAATCAAGAAAAGCCGCCAACTTTCACCAGAACATGACGGATTCAGAGGTCACTCAAAGTATCGACAAAATCATTTTTAGGACCCTCAAAAACCCATATGGTCCTCAAGAAGCACCCAAAGATGACTCTCCGAAAACCGAGACCGACGCTGATGCTGCAAGCGTAGCTTCCTATTTCCCAATGGACCCCGAGACTAAACGCAAGCTCGAAGAATTCGAAAGAGTGGGCTACCTGAGGCCTATACCGACCCGCAGAGAAACTGACTTGGCAAAGCAGCCTTCGCACGCCAGCTCGTCCAAGTCGAGTCGACGCAGTTCTCGTGTCCAGTTTTCTGGCGGAGACGGTACGGGAATGTACAAGATTAAGTCTCTGCTAGACGGTGATGACAAAGATGGCGGCGCGGCGAAAAAAACGCGCTCTGTTGCTTCTACTTTAAGTAATGGAAAAGGACCCTCTTCAAAACAACCTTCTGGTGCTAGACGTACAAAGAGTGTTGATCCCACTCCGGCTACAGAGAATAAGAAAAAAAGTGGCAAGCTGGGAGGTTTTCTGAAGAAATTAGGTGTGGGAAAGTAACCGCCGTCCGCATGTTGGATGCTATATTGGCAGCTTTTCCGGTTGATAATTCTCACTACGAATGGTTCACACCTTAACCTGCTGACCACAGCTTATAATCTCGTACCACACGAGTACCCGGTTGAAAGAATCCAATTTTGGCACCTGTCTGTTCTTGGTATCCCTGCATATCGTGACTAAGTGGGGTACCGAAAATTCAAGGTCCAACAGGGGCTAAGGGGAACACTTTAACGCATAACTCCCAACGCTGTCATTTGTTCTTAGGGCTTTTGCTCCCAGCTTATTCTCCATTGTCAAAATCAACACCTTTTGCCCTTAGAGCAGTGATGACCTCCTTTTTCGGGTATCACCCTACAGATGCGGAGGGGGTATAAATGAAAGCGGTTGTCATGATTCGTTTATGTTATACTGTGCTTACATTGTGTGCAATTTGACGACTATTCTACAGTTTACAAGAAGATATGAAAATTGATTCAAAAATATACCAAGAAGCCCACCGGTTGGCACTGATGCCGCGCATGAAAATGTTATTCTATGGAATTGTGTGCGGGGCCGTCGTCCCGACGATGTATCTCAGATCCTATTACCTTCCCCGGATTCACAAGCAGGAGGCGAAAGAAGTCAGTTCTTTGGGCTCCAAAGTTAAACACCTGGAGGAGCGCACCGCAAATATTGAGAATCCATCTGCGAGTCCGTCTCAGGCTGCCATCAATCTATTGAGATCCAGTGAGGATTTGGGCGCATTGGCCGGAGTTGGTGACATTCCAATCGCCGCGTGGCACATCCGCGGGCGCAATAAATATGCCAACGACGAACGCTATCGGAAACTAGTGGAGGAAGCAAATGCTATCATGTTTTCCTCGATTATGTAGCACCTTACTCTGCCCTTGATCGATTTGATGATGACCTTCGAAATGGGTAGCTCGTATCTAATGAATTAACGATAACTAATGCTTGGACAAAACTATGAAGTGAAGGGAACATTGTGGTTAGTGGTGGACGTTTTCTTGTCTTGTGGCTATGACGTGAACGTTGTAGCACCATAGAATCGCAAGTTAGTCGCTGAGAACATCTTGAGTACTTGGTATTCTGTACTCGTGTAATCGAGAACTCATAATCGTAAAGTGAAAACTATTGACAGCTAAAGTTGGTCGTGCTACCAACTGGGACAAGATCGTAGAAGCTCTAGCATTAACCGTGATGGCCCCAAATTTTTATAGAACCGTGGATCCGGTGTCGGAGGCGGTTATCCCACCAGAAAGTGGTTGCGTTCTATCATCTGAGGCTAGAGAGGCTGCTCCGTCTGATGATAAGCACAACTCCATTTCACATCGTGCTACAGAACTCATCGGCGATAATAACTTGCTGGACGGTATTTCCGTAAGATCACCAGTATATTTGACAAGATTTTTCGGAATGTGGCGCTCAAGTCTGTGCAGCACTCTGGGCAATGTCCGCGACACAGTTGATGAGAAGTCGGCAAAATACTACAGTCACGAAAAAAGACTCACTACTACCATTGCGAATCTTCATTCAGACCCTAGAGAAGATCTTCTGCCTGGACTGACCTATTCGGTGGTCGCAGCTATGTCGGGTTCCATCCTCGCCAGAAATAGAAATATTCTGGCTCGTTTGACAGCTCCTTTAGCCCTTGGTACCATCTGCTTCTCATACGTGCTTCCCGTAACATCATCGAACTCCTTCAGTCTTTTGTTCGACCTCGAGAAGCAAGCCTTCCCCGAGTTTACCAAAAAGCAGCTTGTCTTTTATGATAAATGCAAAACAGTACTGCATAGTACTGTGTCTGCCACTGAAGCTTCCAAAAACGCCGTCTTAGGAAGCTTTGCTAAGACCACTAGTTTCGTCAGAGAATGGACTGGGCTCAATGTGTAGATTGAAGGCACACCTTATGTGATGCTAACTTTGACGTTCATTATTTAGAAACATTAATGCAGATTTGCTCATGACTTGAAGCGGCTACCGCTCTACATAGGCTAATTATTGTAGACCACGAACTCGGGATCTTCTATATCTGCTTCGAGGTTGAATATGCTTTTCACACACCAGTTCCATTCAACCACCAAAACTTTACTTTCCCCTTCATTTTGAAACATTTTACCAAACCTTTTCGCTTGTGTGGCTTTCTGAGCTATTAAAATATGGGTAGGACTTTTTCTTTTGCTCTTGTTCACCACTACGTCTTCCTCCGTAAACTTCTTAGATAGCACTTTTATTTGGAGTACCCCATGAGCCTTCAAAATTGACGACAATACTTCGTGTCCCCCCGGTACATCATCGGTAAGGTTGATAGAAGTTATGCCTGCCCTCTGGAATACTTTTGTAGGCAAGCTGGTTTTCTCTAGGACGCTGAAATCAAGTTCTGGGATTGAAAAATCGCGTAGATCCGGGAGCGGCCCTTCGCTAGTGGTGGTGCCATGGAAAATTGACAAAATGGAACTTATAAACTCTGGGAGCAGAGCGTACTTCAGCGGATGGCAACTAAGGCTTGTTAGAAATTTTGCGGTTCTCATTTTTTTTGGCGCGATAATACAATTGCATTGAGCGTTGATAGTCTTCAAAATCGTGATCCCCAGCATCCTCAGTAGTTCCAGATCTAAGTCATTTATCACCTCATGACATCCGGTACAAACTGCAACTATATCATAGGGCCGCTTGCTTTTTTTGCCTTTGATCTTCTCGGGATAAGTGGCATTCTCTAATAGTTCTCTTACTTTATCTTCTATCGTTTTCAACTGTTTCAGCTTATGTAGTTCTTCAGGAAGCAGCGAGCGGTTTCTCTTCCTTTTCCAATTTTCTTCAAACTCATTCAAGGCTTCCATGTCTGTGTGAAGCTTCAAAGCAGCTTTTTCTTTTGCACGGCGAGAATTACCGCTTGACAACAACTGCGATGCAGGCGAAGATGAGATATCGGGAGAAGTTTCCTTCGACAAGACCGTCTCTAACGGTGCAAGAGAGTCATTCTTGTTAAGCTGAGACATATCTTGGTGCGGTATGTTTGTGTCTGATCCGTGTGGTAGTCGTTCATCTCCAGTAAGCTCGTTGGTAATAATCGATTTTTCGGGCAAAGAGTGACCTTGAGCAAGCCCAGGGTTTTTATTACTGTCGTTATTTTCATCTAATGCACTGTCAATTTGTTGCTGGACTAAAAAGGATCCTTGGGGGACCTGGTCCTCTGTGCCTTTTCCGCAGCCAGCTTCGCCAATAGCCTCGTCAAAATGATTCTGTAATTGTATTGAATCATCACTAGGCGCATCGACGGCATTTTCGCACAGGCTATCGCCGGGGGTCACTGAAACTTGCCCTGGAGAGTTATCTAAAATGTCGTTGGGAATTATGGTGTCTGTGACATCTTCGTCTTCGCACGTGTGCTCTTCCATTGGCATTTGTCCTAACCTGGTGCTGAGCCCACCAGAAACGGGAATATGTGTGTATTTTGCATCATTGCATGGCACCTGACGTTGCAGCCTATAACAGTCCTCCAACCATAGATGGTTGACCACCGTGCATGTATCTTTCCATCGCATAGCAGCGTCATACTTTTGACCGGATGGGAAGCACGTCACCAGGTGAGTATTTTTTCTCGTGAATTCAGTCGTGCTTACTCCTCCTAGTGCTTCAACAAGCTTTTGGATATAATGTCGTTGTTGTCCCAAATACGCAGTGTAGCCGACAATAAGCTCTCCTTTTTGAAACAGCCGAGGTCGCAGTGGAGACAAAAGAAGCTTTTCATTCGGTAAAACAAAGCTGTTGCAACACCACATGTAAAATACCCAAGCAACATTACCAATGATAAGTTTTTCTGCTATTGCCTGGGTATGTTCTTCTGAATCTATAGACAGACCCACAAAACAGTCGCCAGCACTTTTCCGGATATCAGACGACTCAATGTGACGAGCTACCTGACCGCCCGCGGCTTGTATTAGATTTACAAAAAATTTGTAGCATTGTGAGGGTAGCGTTAGATCGAGAGACAGGAAGAACTTGTGATTTCGTAGAAATTTGTCAGAAATAATGATCCCCTCGCCGTCTACGCCTTCCCAAAGTTTTTGTGCTTGTAGCTTGACGTCGGCAGGGTGATCATCTGGACTCAACAAATGGCCAGTTTCCTCCAGACATTGCCTTTCGATGAACACCTGAACGATCCACGTCGGGAGAACATATTTGATGTTGAGATTCTTGATATTGGCCACGGCAGTAATCGCCGGATCTTGAGGATCAGTACTGACAATATGGCTCGCCCTGCTCGATAAGTAGTCAATGCAGATACCCCCCAAAATGTTGATGAGAGCTGAGTAAAAAGCATACTCGCTGGTATTGAAAGAATGGCGGGAAAGGTATATCTGATAGCCCTTCAGAACCTGCTGTGGATCCGGCGAGAATCCACTCGCTCGAGTGATACGGTTGGTGGAAATGCAAGCTTCCACCCAGTCTGGTGTAACCACAGGGATGAGGAGATCGAACGCCGCTACACGGTAGAACCAAAAGTCGGCAGTCTTCGAAACAATCACATGGATATCCTCATTAAAAACCGAAAGCATCTCTTGTTTGATGAGCTTCTCGCTCGTAAGGTTCGCGTTGTTGGGAGTATTTTTGTGTAGGATGTACTTCTTGGCTGCATTGGACGTAAGGCGCTCACAGAGAGTCTTTACCCAAGGTACTGACTCATCTTCGACAACTATCACAAAATTAAGGTCATTGAATAGCTTGCTAGCTGTGGTCATCGAGTCCTTCCGCCTCTGGATTAGCTTTTTATGTAAAGTGTTTGTATTCTCGGTTACGCGTTCTGATGCGTGTTAATTGTTTTTTGGAAACCAAATCTATCCATCTCATCGCGTTGGTCACAAATCAGAAGCGAAAGGTCAAATCTAGCTCTATAAAGCTTGGGTGTAGTCAAAGCCGATGATGGATATTAGGTCTCAAATTCGATAAGCAATCAATCTGGAATTTTGGGCATTCTACGGTCTCTCCAGCTGCTAGAAGACGCATTAACCATTTCGCGATCGACTGCGGGGATTAGAGAACTAGGCATCTTTTATTGGAGGTGTTCTCATGGGCTAAAAATGTAAAACCATGTCAAATCTTGAGTCTAGCACTAGTCTTCAGATTGCTGCCGACCGTTGTTCTTTTTTTAGAGAAGCAGCTTGGTGGAGCGAGATCTGTCGATGTAATATCAAGGGAACTGCGCATGTTGCGTGTCTCTTCTGGGAATTTTCGGTGATGTTAACTACACTTCCAAGCATCTTACTGTCGATGTACGATGCGTTTACAATAAGCAGTGAATGTTGGCAAAAGCGATCAAAACATTATTTCAACTCTCGTTGGCATAGCCAGTCAACTCCAAAATGGCGCCCTCTGCAGCCTTGCAAAATACATATAGGATTCGAATGTGTTGCCGGTTATTGTTGTTAGATTCTTCTAAGCCTCAGACGTGAACTCGGTAGGTAAATGAGAAAGTGATGGTGGTAAATTGCGTTTACCAGTTGTTGCCAATCTCACCGTTAGCCGTATTTCCCATAAGCTCCCCTAGTGTTATAACCGCCGGAAAGCGCTTCAGATACTTACTCAACAATATTATGGCATTCTTCAGATACTCTTCTTGGCAGAGAGCGATAAGTCCAGCACCCTTGCGCACCAAATTCACACTTCTAGGCATGAGTAGGCGTGCTAAGTCAAAATCTACAAGGGCCCCTGCTCAGCAGTTGAGAATATTATGGGGGCTACAGATATATCAAAGGTAAGATTGTCAGAGCCCGGGCTATTATGCCATTATCAATACGGGCGGTTTTTTTCTACTCGATGGAATCGCTATTTACCAGACCTACCGAGAGGTGCTTTGCCAAAACCCCCAGATAGAGCTAGGATAAACTAGAAGTGCGACCAATACATTTTTTGAGACACTTTTCGACCAAAGTCTGGTCTTCAGGGCAAGTTTTTGTGGACTGCTCCGGCGACTGGCCAGACTGACACCACATGGTCACTTCGTACAGCGCTGACACACGTCGGCCTAATCATGCCGCTTGGGGCAAAACGACGATAAAGGCCGGTCTCCAGCTCAGAGGACACTTACTTCACTATGCCAAATTTCTTCGAGAGTGCTGTAGACTGCGGGCTGTGGACTGTGAGCCGTTGTTCGCGGGAGTAAAGATAAAGGTCATGTGCTCTTGCTGCCAGCATATACCTCAGAATAGTTTTTCAAAGCGTCACACATGGGCGTGTGGCGTAGTTGGTAGCGCGCTCCCTTAGCATGGGAGAGGTCATCGGTTCGACTCCGGTCTCGTCCACAATTTTAATTTTTCCCGCTTCTCGAGAAGGCCTTTTCAAATGCCTAAGAAGCCGCCCATACGTGTGTAAGATAAATCTGCCAACGGTCGCCAAGGCCGTGTGCCGTGGCCAAGCCCCACAGCGGCGCTGTGTCGTGGAACGGTCATTTTTTCTTGACCGAAACGAGCCAAAAGCTAATGTCAGTGGCGGGTCGATGCCTCGACTGAACGTCTTTTAGCCTTTCTTTGCGGTCCCAACAGAAACAGCTTTTCATCGCTAGCCATTTGGAATGCCAAACTTACCCAAACTGGTACCAAACTGACCGCAAAAAGATGCTGAAATCGAATATTGCAATGCAGTCGACAGACCTGTCCTCGTAGACTCACGAAAGCGTTGCTCGTCCACCCTTCGGATGGCCGTTGAGGCCGATGAGCCAAACCATACCGTCACTAAGGACGAAATAGTCTAAAACTCGCCGGGGGAAATGCCGTGAAGGTTTATTTAGTACTGGCATCGTCCACGTGTAATGTGTTCAGATAAATTAGACTGCTATATAAGTGTGAAACACACAGGCATATGTAACCGTTAAACGGGTGGAAAGGTCCACGGTGTGAAAGCCTTTGATCCAGAAAGCTTAAACTTGATAGACTGGCGTCGCTTACAGATAAACTGTGATCTCTTGCCGCAGTGGAGATTTTTTTCGGCAAGGAAAAACAAGACACTAGCGCGGATACCCTCTATCTGAGCAAGCCTCAGCAATGAAGTTTGGTAAACACCTGGAAACACGACAGCTGGTACTACCCGAGTACAATGGCCACTTCATTGATTACAAAGGTCTGAAGAAGCTGATAAAGCAGCTGTCGGCTCCTCCGAGCGTGGGCTTCGGATTGCCGGACTCTGGTGCAGGGGTCAACACTGGCGCTGTGGGCAGCGGTGCCGAAACAGGAGCCAGCGGTGACGCTGGCTCCAGTGCAGAACAGAGCCGAATCCATCAGACCCTGCAAGAACACAAGGCGTCGTTTTTCTTTAAGCTGGAAAGAGAGCTCGAGAAGGTAAACGAGTATTATCTGGAAAAGGAATCCGATCTGCGCATTAAGTTCGATATCTTACAATCGCGATACCAGGATGGGGTCAAGCGGGGAAAATTAACATCGAAGACGACAGTCTCATTCAAACATCTGCGTGACGGAGCCAAGAAGTTCGAGCGCGATCTCGCGCATTTAGAGCAGTTCGTAGAGCTTAACCGCACCGGTTTCTCGAAAGTACTCAAGAAATGGGACAAGCGATCTCACTCCCATACGAAAGATTTTTACCTTGCCACCGTAGTATCGGCACAGCCTTTTTTCACGCGAAACGAGACTTCGAAGCTTAACGATGAAATTTCGGTGATACTTTTAGACCTTGAGGAAGTCAGCACCCGTGACGACGTGTTTTCATATGCCGCACCATTTGCTTCAAAGTCAGCCACAAAGCTTGCAGAACTAGATGCCAACTCTGCCTCCCAGATCCACACAAACGCGCAGAGGCTCCCGATCGGCTCCATTATCCCACCACCTCAAATGGACGTCGACACCTTGGATATCAGCATGGAGATTGAAACTTGGTATCTCGAAGTCCTGAATATTGCACGGTTGAAAGATGAGGAGCCTCGAGTTAGGCTCCTCCGTCAATTTGCAACTGAAAAGATTCAAAACTTTGTGGAGGACCACGTACCGCAAAGCCGCATTGACAAGAAGGTAATATTAAGAGATGCTTTGACTAAAGTCTTTGTTTTGCTAGTAAGTAGCAATATTGACGATGATTCCTTAAAGGTGTTCATGAAAGCGGCAGATCTTAACATCGATCTAACATTTGTGGAGGAGGACGAGGTAGTCTTCTCCAAACGCAACATTATTCACGAGGCCGCTGGCTGTGAAACACAGTCCAGAAGCTTTGTGTTGCAAGAAGCTTTTCAACAGTGTAGGGACTCAGTTGTGCCAGAGGACATTCTGCGTAAACTGTTGAATGCCCAGGATGCGAATGGGAGTACGCCTCTGCATTACGCTTGCAACTTTGAGAAGGAGGAGTTTGTTGAATTGCTGATTAACTCCACATTTCTGGAGTCAGTAGATGTAGTCGATAACGATTCGAAAACACCACTATTGCTCTCTGTGGCCAAGCATTGCACTAACATTACCAAGTTGCTACTTTTAAGCGCTTACGCGAGCCCTTCACCACAAGCTGAGGCCCTGAGCAAACCTCAATTTGCTCCTTTGAATGTTGCTTGCGCCTATAAGAACTACGAAGCCGCAAAACTAATCCTAGAGTTTAGTAACGTCAATCTAACCGCTGTACGTGACACTCAAGGCAGATGTCCTTTGCACATTGTCGCGAAGAATGGCGGGGATGCTAAAATGATTACTTTGCTAGTTTCCCATGGTGCTGACCCCAACGGAGTTGATGGATTTAATGGCTGGGCCCCAATATTCTATGCTATTCAGGAAGGTCATCGTAGCACCGTGGAAGAACTATTGAAAAATGGCGCCCGCATCGATGTAATGGATGAAGACAATTTGTCTCCTTTTTTTTACGCTCTCTGGGAGGGCCATTTGAGCGTGCTGAACTTACTTCAAGGCTACCGGCCTGAGGGTACTGCGGAACAAGACATATTTTCGAAAAATCTAGGTTCAATTTTAGAGCCTGCCGACGATTTGAGCTTAGAGGATTCGTTGCATGGAATTCCAGATTTCACCTTGCCGCCACCAATTATTCCTTTAAGGAAGTATGGCCACAATTTTCTGGAAAAGAAGATTTTTGTTAAGATAAGCTTCCTTCGTGGGACCTCCTCGATTGTCCTCAACAAGGAGGACGAAATGGCTCTGTCTTCTCCAGGCCGAGTCACTTTGAATTCAAATGTCCTCGATATTATTCCGAGAAATGTCATTCTCTCCACTGAAGATGACGAAGAAAACTCAGTCGTCTTTCAAGTAGACTCGCTGGAAGGGTTTTGTATGGACTTCGAAATTTTCCCATCTTTCGGTACACGGATGATCGCCAAAACGACAGCCGTACCAACGCTATTTAAACAGTTCCAAAGCGGGCCATTCGGCAAGGGAAACTTTGTTCTTCCGTTATATGATGGGCGCATGAAGAACGTTGGCGAGTTAAATTTGGATTATCGTCTGGTTTTCCCTTACAGCGGCAGACCTTTGGAGATTACAAAATACGAGACCTACTGGAAATCCACCACGGGCAATGAGGCCGGGAAAAGCGGCCACCACTTCGTCACTTCCTCCTCCCTTTCCGGAGCGTATACAAACTTCTTCGTTTCAACCCTTAATGACGGAACCTTGGTTGTGTCGCCTAATAAGACTATTACTGTCGGACCTATGAACTTAAAATTACTGGATTTGAATGCAAACCAGCTTGAGCAATTGGTCGGATACCCCATAGGCTACATTGATGACCAGCTCAATTCCACAGCATTTGAGGACTTGTTAGCATCCCGGTTCACGACATTGGACTGTCTGCTAGAGAGGGCTCCAGCAAACTCGAAATTGGAAATTGAAGTATGCTTCCCTACTGAGTGCGAGTTTTCGAGCGTGCCTCTAAAGTTATCTCCACATGTCAATATCAACAGCTTCATTGATAAAATCCTAACGTCACTTTTCACCCATGTTCGTCATAGATTCCACAATGGCTTCACTTCTTCTATGGTATTCACCTCTCGCAACCCAGAAGTTTGCTCTATTTTGAACTGGAAACAGCCTAATTTTCCCGTCCTTTTTTACATGAATGGATTGCGGAAGGAAAATGGTCTGTTGGTAAAGGATACACCCCACCATTTGTCGCATCTTTCTCTGTCTCCTGAAACGGTAGATTTTTCTGATCCTTGCTCTCGTAGCATCCGGGAGGTTGTTCAATTTGCATCACACAATAACTTACTAGGGATCATTGTACCTTTGGAGTTGCTGAGGGCGAGTCAGCAGCTAATCGGTGAAATTAGATCCCGAGGTTTACTGCTTATAGGCTCATTGCTTGATGGCGAGACTAGGCCGGCTGATTTGCAGGAACTTGACATCAATGGGATCCGTGGCCGCAACTTTCTGGACTTCAAGGGCAGCATCGATATGTAAATAGAAACAAGGACAAACTCCGAGCAATGGAAGTCCACCTGATAGATAAACTTGAATTTGATTAATAGAAGAAGCTAGCGACTTTGATGTTTGAGCTGTTCCGTTTTACTTCGTGTTATGCAGAAAATAGTCCTTGACCTTCTCATCTGCGGCTACATCCAAGGGTGACTTGCCGTCAACATCTCGTAGATCTACGAAGTCCGCATTGTATTTTTGTACTAGTGCTACAGCAACATCTCCATGCCCCTCCGACAAGGCATGGAAGAGTGGAGTCCACCCTTGGACATCTTTGATATTCACGGGTGATTTGTTTTGGCACAAAAGGTCAACCAGCGGTAGGCTTCCGATACTTGCTGCTCTATGCAAGGGCACTTGGTTCCTCGCATCTTTGAGCCTGACAGAGGCGCCTTCTTGTGTCAGTAGCCGAGCTATAGACAGATGTTGTTTGGAACATGCCAGATGGAGAGCCGATATGCCTTGCGTAGTTGTAAGGTTCACGTCAGGCTTGGTGCTGTGGTTGAGCAACTTCGTGACAACGTCTATGTTACCCACAGAACAAGCAATATGAACAGGCGACCAGCCAGAATCATCAACTAAGTCGTCAAGATCCACATTTTGCATTCGACTGAGCAGAAATTCAATAATATCGACGTGTTGGTATGAAATAGCCCAGTGAAGGGGATATCTGCTGTCCAGGTCTTTTTTCAGCACAAGATCAGGCTGTTCATCAACCAAAGCCCGTACTTCACTAGCCTGACCTTCTCGACATAGCTCGTGTAGAGGAAAGGTGCCATCAGAGGGCATGATACAATTGGCTGCTGATATGAGGAGCTGGAGAGAAGGGCATGGGTTACTTAAAGACTCATCCTTTACAAGATGACTTCTGCGTATACAGTGATAAACAACAGAGTGTCAGTTTGTGATGAAGTGACCTAAGATTTCCCTGTTTGCAGCTCTCTTCTCTTGATGTTCAGCTCGGGTTTAAAGGCCATTCCCAGTGTTACAGAATCATCCCCCATGGGTTGACATCATTCAAGGAACAAGGCTAGGGAAAAACGTTTTTTTTACAGAGTAACAGATAAGCCGCGGCCTCAAGAAATGAGATTGGTCTCCTGTGCTGGTGACCAGATAATTTTGAATGCCCGTTTTCATGCAAACCGAAAAGCGAACGTTGGGAACTTGATGCAAGGTAAGTTAGACTGTTAGTTTCTTGAACACACGAAGTTCAAAAAACTCGCCAATACAAATCACTCACGACGGAAATGTCCTTAAGGTGGCGATGAAATTCATCGTAATATATACAAAACTCCCTGCTAGGAACAATCGCAGATCTAAGGCCAAGCAGTCCATCTTAGCCTGACTTTATCTTCTTTCTTTATCAGATTTTCCAATGAACAGATCACCAGGGGAGTTTCAAAGGTTTGCTAGGGTCTTTCAACAACAAATTTCGAGAGCCCAACAGGCTGGCAGTGGACGAGGCCCACAAGCTCCAAAGGGAGCTTTTGCTGGGCTAGGTGGACTAATATTGCTCGGTGGTGGCGCTACCCTGCTCAATGCCTCTCTCTTCAATGTCGATGGTGGCCACAGGGCTATCATCTATTCGAGATTGAGTGGAGTCCAATCCCGTATTTTCGCAGAAGGGACTCATTTTGCCGTACCTTGGCTGGAGACGCCAATAGTATACGATGTGCGTGCCAAACCTCGTAATGTAGCATCTCTCACAGGAACCAAGGATCTGCAAATGGTCAATATCACTTGCAGAGTGCTATCAAGACCGGACGTCTCGCAACTGCCCACCATGTACCGTACTTTGGGCCAGGATTACGACGAGAGGGTTCTACCAAGTATCGTCAACGAGGTTTTGAAATCCGTCGTGGCGCAATTCAATGCCTCGCAGCTGATCACTCAAAGAGAAAAAGTGTCTAGACTGATTCGGGAGAATTTGGTCCGTCGCGCCTCCAGATTCAACTTACTACTGGACGACGTCTCCATCACCTATATGACATTTTCTCCTGAGTTCACGAACGCTGTCGAGGCCAAGCAAATAGCCCAACAGGATGCTCAGAGAGCTGCTTTTGTTGTAGACAAGGCCAGACAGGAAAAGCAGGGTATGGTCGTCAAGGCTCAAGGTGAAGCCAAGTCTGCTGAACTGATTGGTGAAGCCATCAAGAAGTCCAAGGACTACGTTGAACTGAAGAGATTGGACACTGCGCGCGAAATCGCTTCCATTTTGAGCCAGTCTCCCAACAGAGTCATCCTCGATAACGAGTCACTACTGCTCAACACCGCAGCCGACACGAGACACAAGAAATGAAGAGACTTCTTTTCCTAGAACCTAAAATTTTAAATACTTAACCATGAACTTGTTTATAGCCGTTATAATAATGCTCGAATATATCGAACTACCTGGGTATAGGGGATGCCTTGAAAGCTCAGGGCATAAATTAGCACTACATCGGTACCAACCAATGGGAGAGTTTTACCTCGTCCCGTCTAAATTGGAAACCAGCACCCGGATAACACTACCCGTCGTGTAGGAAACGCAATCGCACACGCTAAGGCTGAAAGACCTTTAATAACAAAGAAAAATACGAAGGGAGATCCGTCCCCATCTGCTCGTTATTTCTTCTTTGCTTGCGCTCTTATTCGTCGTCGGAATCCTCTCCGTTCTGTTTCGTAGTGAAGTTAAGTTTCGTAGGATTCGCCTTTGAAGTGAAAAGCTTTGATTTGTGGTCATTTAGTTTTTGCGAGCATGGAGAGAGAAGCTCGTCGGTTGGTGAAGCAAACTTGTTTTTAATTGCCATAGGCACTTGATTCTGTTTCTTGAACATGGATCTGTGCAAATTCGAGGTCAAGTTTTGGTTTTGGTGAAGTGGTTGGATAGTGGGCCCTGACATCATGTTGGGATATGTGAAGAATCTTTAAAATTCTAAAAAAGCCGCTGGAGGGTTATGCACAAAATCGAACCAGATTAGACAAAGCTGATCGATCTACAGAAGCCTATATTCGTCGATTCGCTAGTCTTTTTCTTATATGTGTGCTGAGGCCAAAAAATGAGAGCTCTCATGTTTACTATTTTCCCGATGCGGGATATTAAGTGGGCCCTACTTCTTTGCGACGAGCAAGAAATCAGCGAGCATAACCACGGGCTCTATATCGGATTGATGGTAAATCACACCTTTACAGCAGCGTTGAGAAAGTACCGAGGGCCGCGACCACATACACTACATGTAAATTGATTAGTTTACACGTTCAACATTGCCAATTCCAGAAAAATAATGAGCCTGCTCAGACAGATAGAGACGTTCAGTTCTGTAGGCCAAGCTGCTATTAGTTTCGCAGAGCTCCTGTACCTGGCAGATTGTTAAAGGTGGGGTTGGAACGCTGTTCTCATTTGAAAATTTCCATGTCACTTTGTCTTAACCTGTCAAATTTTCTTGACGACACAATAAAAATGACAGAAATGTTGATAGTGATCTAAAATGTTGAAGAGCACACAGTTAACTTGTACTTGTGTTCTTCGGCGCATGGTTAACTTAGTAGTTACTTCAGTTCTCAAATTTACGTAGTTGAGCCTACTCTGACCAGGCCTCGGAAGCACCTGGAAATTAGTGATGCATTTTATTTTTAGCGTTTGGCAAGATCATCACAATGAGTTTGATACATCAGCGATTACATGTTCAATAAGACTACTCAAGCTTTTGAGTCTTATACGTTTCAATTCCTTACGGTACCAAGGTGACTTGAAGAGCGGAGCATAATGTGGACTCGTTAGAGACCAATTACTTTCACTTCTTGGAGCCAAGCTTCGGAGTTACATCAAAACCCCTACCCACAAAAAGCATGCTCTGACTGCAATAATGGCCTGTAAGGAACGTAAGGGCCATTGAACTTGGTCAACATACTCTGCTCCGAGTAAGCACGTAGGAAACGATATACCTCTTTAGAATTATTAAGTGAACTACGTGAAAGTTACCACCAAGCAATGCACGACATTAACGCAATAGCGTCCCCAAATTGACATAGGCGCTATTTTCTCACCATGCAAAGTGTAAAGAACAAGTGGAAGGAGCTTCTGTACTCCTTCAGTACCGAAGACCGCTACGCCGACTATGCTGAAAGTCGTGAGGCTTCAGGGATCCCAAGAAGGTCAGACCGTGGTCTTGCTTCCGGAGCCACGGGCGCTGCTTCTTCTTCTCAAATTCAGCTCACAGAATTTGTCGAGGGCCAAGAGCATGGCACGAATGACGGCGTAAGCGAGGCAATGCTGGCCTGGAGACACATCGACGCTTGGGCTTCGGAACACCACCCCGACCTATATGCTACCCTGAGCGAGCCATGTACGCGTTCCGACGTGTCCAGAGCCGAGAACGACTTGTCTGTCTCTCTCCCAGCTGCAGTCAGAGCTTCATTCCGCCTGCATGATGGTCAAGAAGACCTGGAGTCGCTAACTGGCACTTCGGGTATCATCTTCGGTCTTCAGCTCATGCCTCTCGACCAAGTGGTGAATATGACTCAGACTTGGAGAAGTGTGGCTGCTAACATGCAAAAACACAACAAGGCTCTCTTCAATGACACGGGGTCACTGTCAGCAACTGCCTCTGGTTCTAAAGTAGAAGTTCCCAACCAATCTGCCACTCCGCAGACTTTAAAAGCCAAAGGCTACGGCAAACTTGAAACACAGGACATTCAAAGTGCAAACCCCAATCTGCAAAATGATATCTCCAACAACTACAATAAGCAGTTCAAGCTGAATTCCATCCCAAGGCAAACCTCTATTCCACGGGATACGATTCAGCCAGTATACGCTCATCCTAGTTGGATCCCACTAGTCACGGACAATGCCGGAAACCACATTGCTGTAGATTTAGCCCCTGGTCCTGATGGCCACCACGGGCAAATCATATTATTTGGCCGAGAATTCGACACCAAATTTGTGGTTGCCAACAATTGGGGTGACTTTTTACTGAACTTTGCAAATGACCTAGAGAAGGGCAACTGGTATATCATGGATGGCGATGACGATTATCTCAGCGGAGAAGGGGAGTTGGTTTTTAGAGATAAGGGCGCCGGAAATACAATCAAGGATTACTTCGAGGTGTTGAAAAGGAGAGCACACACCGCCTGGATGCGCCAAGAACAAAACAGGTCTCAGGTAAACGGTTCCAAACCTGAACCTCGTGACATTTCGCCCGCACCAAATGAACAAGAGACGACTGTTGTCACTGATTATCAATTGTCGGCTGAAGAAAACGCAACGACAGAAAAGGAGTCGAACCAGTTGGGCGTGGCGGGAACATCGGTTATGCCTACCCAAGCATCTTTAATCGATGTAGAACCTTCACCTGTTCCTGGGTCGGCATCTGCAGCGGATATTGAGTCGAAATCAGTACAAGAGGGTTCTGATCTCAAAAGTCCGACCGCCGCTAACTTGGAACAACCAGAAATTGCAACAAAAGAAGGTCAAGAAATGCCAGGAAATTCCACTGAGGATGAGGCCAACAATGCCAATGACCAACTTCAATCCTCCGTTGACGAACACGATAACGTGAAGGGGCTCAAAGAAGAGTTTGAAAATGTTGCCCTTTAGATTACTATTGACTAGATAGGCTGCCTTTATGTCGATCGGGAAGTTGTTAGAATTAAATATCAAAATATTTTCCTTGTTACAGTGCGTTTAGTGAACTATAAAGTCCAAGCTCACCATATAATTCTCTGGAGGTAAGCTTCACCGTCCCACGCAAAAGAGCGGAAACAAAATATTAACATTGTAAGAGCATTGATGCAGAGAAACCAAACAAGCTCTAAGCCTAGTCTTCTGCAGAATTTCAATTCTCCGGGGTCTGATTCATCAAGTATGTTTTCAGGAACGGGCGTCAGAAATACCCTCCAAAACATGAATGGGAGAATATAGTACCGAGGTTCGAATAAGGGCGATGGGACGACGGTCAATAATGTGCAGATAATCAATGCAGTCCAAGAAATATGAGTGAGTTGTACAGGCAACTCGGTAGGATTCTTGATTTCAATGGGGAGAACTGGATGAAACTGCATAATTTTCGTTCTCATTATCTCGATATAATGGAATGTGGCAAAGTGGTAAACCCATGGCATCAAAATATATTTGAACCAGAAATTTCTCATCATGATTTTCTTGAATAAATAAAAGGTGTAATGGCGATTGTCTGCCAATAAAAAAGGGTGTACTACCGTGAAGTACCTAATAACCATCATGAGCCCCACCAATTCTGCGAGCGTCTTGAATTTTTTACCCCCAGTGCGTTTGTAGTAGTAGTGTAGAGAAATTTTAGAAACCCAAATTGGCAAGCTCAGGAACATTATGAATGTTACGCAATAAAAAAATTGGGCTAGATGGACGCCCGCTGTGTGATTGTCTTTGTCTCCTAGTGTAAGGGACCGATTGTAGAGAACGAATGTTATGAACAACATAAAATTCAGACAATAAGGCAAAACCAGTTGATTGAAATTCTCCAATGTGTGGATAATAAATTTCAGATAGTTATTCAAATGGACAGTGTTGAAATCCCTCTGTATCAAGGCTCTTCTTTCGATCACAACCACCATCACAAATAGAGTCCATACAATATTTGTCTGTCTAAAGAGACAGCTAATCAGACCGCACAGGGCACTAAGCCATATACTTACCTTTTCGCCAAAGGGCAGCGTAATTGCCAGGGTCAGCGATTCGATAATGAAAATTGATGACCACACGTCTGTGTAATAGAGATAGAAGTAGGTAACAAGTAGCGGAAAGCACATCAATGATACCGGCCAAAATCCAATGGCGTTGAAGAGAAAAAGTGGTCTCAATACAACAATTGGGAAAATGACGACACCTCCAATAAAATTTGTGAGTCGAAGGATCGTTAGAGTCGTCCACGAGCTAAAGGATCGACAGATGTGATAATTAACCCATCCCAGAACGTACAAACCAGGTGGCGTTGTAATTTTTGGATCCCATTCCCCCCACTCCCCTTTAATGTACCTAATCGTTTGTGGTACATGGAATATTTCGTCTATGAACTGCTGTGGCACCACGCTCGTCGTAACTTTCCAAAAGCACAGTAGGAAACCAATGACCAGGAGTGGCCAGCTAACTATGTTAGCAAGAAATCCCACCTCTACCTCATGTAAAATCTCCCGCTCCAGTTTCTCCTCTATACTTAACTCTTTCTTCTCCTCAGAGTCCATTCTAGGTCAAAAAAAGCGCGAGAAGCCAATTCAACCAGGTGAAATCGTCCAATTGGCAATTTCAACCACTGACAATCAATTCTTTAAGTAATTGTATGTAGCCTTTTCGATTAACTCTATGTCAATTCCATCAACTTTTTGATGAAATATATACATCAGTTACAAAAGTTCATCTTTTCGACCATACGTTGAATACTTCGACTACATATCCGAAGCTCGATCATCAGCTCAAAATATATGAGACTGGCCGTCTATGAGCTCGTGTTGAGTTTAATCGTCAGAGTCACTGCATGCCAGCAGTTTTGGCCTTCTCTTTCCGAAGGACCACAGCTGGCACTCCGATCACAGCGGGATGCAATGATCAATATGAGCATCGACCAAGTCCCAACAACAGGTATACACATCAATAGCGTGCTTTTGTCGAGTGAGAACGAAACAGTAGCAATGACCAACCTTGGCAATCTTCTCCGCGTTGGAGTTCAAGCGTACCAGATTGATCTTGAATTCAACAAGTCTTCTGGAAATTTGAGCATTTCAGGCTCAAATACAAGCTTCATATCCGTACTTTCGTCTATCGACCAGTACCTAGTTGCTAGCAATAATTTTTTGAGCGCTAATATGCTTGTTTTACTGCTGCGCTTTCCTTCGAACGTCTCTGCTCACCTCCAAAGAAATATAAGCCTCCCGAATATCACTGCAGAGCTTGAGTATGGTCTAGGGCTATCAACCATATACACACCAGCTCAGCTTAATATAGACCGATCGGTTGGCCTTACCCAGGGTTATGATGGTAATAGAGACAGAAGTGGCTGGCCCACCTTAGATTATTTCCTCTACAAGCTCCAAAAGCGTGCCTTAGTGGCTTACATTGACTCTAACATATCCTCAGCGCTGCCGAGCAGCTTCGTATTTGGCAGTGGGATCCTGAGCTACGAGACTACTAATGCAACGGTATCCTGTCCGTTGAACGACAACCACAAATTAACAAGCGTGGCGAGAAAAAGCTGGAGGTTTCTTCAGATGCGGTATTCTGCAGGCGATATCTACGAATACGCAGCATGTGGCTACTCTCCGATAATCGATAATGAGTATAATTCCAGTTCCCTGTCTTCTATCGCTGGATTATTGCAAAACAGTTTACTGTGGTCGTGGGCCTATAATGAACCCAACACTTACGAAAGTGTTAAAAGCAATTCAACCGCACTTGTAGCCAAGCGATGTGCGGTGATCCATTATACTTCATCTAATTCCAGTATTTACTGGGCTGTCGCCAATTGCTATGAAAAAATGCGTTCCGTCTGCCGACACAAAGACAACACATTTGACTGGGTGGTCTCTGAGGATACCGATAACTATTTTTCTACACACGAACAAGGAGCAGGAGATGTCTGTCCCGAGAATTACACGTTGTCATTTCCACAAACTCCGCTGCAACAAATGGCAGTCGGCAACTACCTGGGATCCTCACACTCAGAAAACCTGGACGCTTGGATAGACCTTAACTCTGTATCAGTTCCAGATTGCTGGGTTCCGGGCGGGCCATACGCTTCGTGTCCCTACCAAAAGGATGTGTCTGCACGAAACTTCGTGGCAATTATCACACCTACAAGCGTCTTCTCGGCGGTGACAATTGCTTTAGTTCTATTTCTTACGTGGCGAAAGGTGCCTATACAGGACAATCGAAAGCGTTGGAAGAAAATTACAGCCTCGCACTCAAAATCAGAGAAGGAAGGTGTTCCATCTTAAGCCATATCATTACTAATTAACCTTAACTAGCATTTCCCACACAATTAATAAACAAACGTTAATACATCCAAATCGCTTTCATGGCTTGAGAGGCTTCGAGCATCACTTATACGATGGTTTCCGAGCCGGACCTGCGTATCTCAAAACTTTCCGCACAAGTCTTCTACGTTTAAACTGGTCGTCAACGAGAAACTCAGAATCCACATCATGAAACAAATTACGGTCCCTAGACCACTTAGCGGCGTCGAAATCGATTTCCCACTTCGAGTTGTTGTCAAAAGACCACGTCAATGGGGGCTGTACCTCTTCAAGTGTATCAACACCCGGAGGGGGCGTCTGTGCCTTCCTAAAAGGATCTTGAGGGTCAAATACATTACTGGAGTATTTTAAAAAGGTCCAATCCTTGGGCATAAGCCCCCGCTTGTATATTTCGAACAACTCGATAAATCTAACGTCTGGTGGCTCATCTAGCAAGATATCATAGCGCTCTGCCCTAATCAAGACCTCCTTTCCTTTTTCCATCTGCTCTCTCTTCACCGCACGAGCTAACTTGGAACGAATCTTTGGATGAATGGTGACCATCAATGACCATAGGCCCACAGAAGACACAATACTCCAATTGATGAGAGGAGATATCAGCCACAGCAACAACAATGTTCCCAGTCCAGCTAGGAAAAGCGCAGTAGATCGGTGCTCGTCCTTGAACCCCGCAGTTCCAAATATGAATTTTTCCATACTCCTAGAAAGCGAAACCATCGCAGACATGCTATTTTGTAAGTCCCGCAAATTAACCACAAACTCCATGCTTTGCTTGATATGGTGCGCACGCTGAATGTCATCTTGATCTAGACCCGGGTTATAGTCGTACTCTTTTATGTCATCACTGGGGTGCCAGCTGGTCTTCTTCCCGCCGCTTGCCAATGAAACGATCAATGACTTCCCGTAGGTGTGTCTGGGTAAAAAGAAAGTCCGGTGGGGTGGGTGTCGATGAATGTAAGCCGGTACTATGAGCCCATAAAGAATGTAAAGTAGAGGTATTATTGCCAAATATATCGGATTAAAGCAGATCATCGTCAGAAGGATCAGCATAGTGACTGTCCCTGATGGGTTTCTCCACGAGATCAAACGGATCACGCAATCTTGTAATTCGAACAGTATCCCCAATTTCGTAGTCAAGACTTTGAGATTGTGCGCAAATATCGTTGCAGACAGCGTTTGGCGTTTTTTGCGTACCGGATCGTTTACTCTCAGAGTAAATTGCTCGCGCTCCGGGAAATCCTCTGGTAAAATGGTCGATATCATCTTGTCCAGCAAAATGTCGATAAAATGCTCTTGCCTGGCGGTCTTCTTGGATTTTTCATAAATGCCGGCTTTTTCATTCGCGTCTGGGGTCGACGAACCAGCTGTAGCGCTGCTTTCCTGCTCATATTCTTGTCTGAAATTCTCATCCTTCCAAAATCCGTCTGAGCTCTCCGAAGCGGAAGTCTGAATGAATTGTTCATAGTCATCGTCTATTGTAATAACATCTGTTTCTTTGCTTATCCTGAACCGCTGATATGCTGCCTCTAAAAAGGAGCTAGCCACGCCCTGGAGTAAATCTCTGTTGGAGACTTTTTTGGCTTCTGAAGAGGGCGGCGGCCTATTTTCGTACTTCCGAGCCATCAGCCCCCCAAGAATCGAGTTTCTTCGACCACGGCTTCCAGCTTTTTCCGCCATAGTGGCCACGGCAGTGATCCAAACCTTAAGAGTGCATCTTCCGCCCTAATTGTCACTTTTGGCCAGTGATAGGTGGGCGTTATAAGTGATGGGAGGGGAAATTAAGCTATTTGAGAAGTGTCAGCAAAGCGAATAATGTTGACAAGTAACCTAGTTAGACCATGAGAGCTCCAGAAATAACATCCTCCGAAGGTTTTTCTTTTGAGGTCATATGTGCTCGATAAGGAAGTTAGGGTGAGGGCTCTATCCTCGGTTCATTCGTGGTCGATAAACGCGAGCTTTCTTCAACGCAGGTAACGGACCGAGTCGATAAACGACACATGTCCAAGTCTACTATTAATTTGGGAGAAGGATTCGAGAGGTGTATATCCAATATTGTTAGGCATGTCAGTGAGCGTTCAGCTTGAAATGAAGCTCGTTTTTGATGACCCTGTCATTAATTAGAAGACGACAGCGACAGAGGCAAAATGTAGCAGAGAACAAAAACCACGATCACAGAGAAAACAGCCGGCCTCCATTGTAGCCCCATCAAGAATACTTTGGGTGTAATCTGCTGCTAGAAAATATTATTTTTTTGCTTCTAACAGGTTTTCTGATATTGTAAACAAACACGCTCTGGGTCCCTGGCTCTCTGGCATTCTTGTGACACCGGTTGAAAATAGCACGAGCTACAGAGACAGCCTGAGAATATTTAGAACACCGCACTTAGGGACTAAGAGCTCACAAATTTTCCCCTAGGCTACTAGACTCTCCCTTACTGAGAGCATAGCTTCCCCATTTAAAAAGCTCCCCAGTTCAAAGCAGCAGGGACAGTTTGGGTTAGGGCCAGCATGAACTACAATAATAAACACACGAGGAAGGTTCCAGATCAAACCGAACCCACGGTTTTCAAGGGTCAGTTTGTAACGAGTACTCCTAAGGGCCGTCAAAATAACATAAAGAGTACGGCCGCGAACTACAATGTGATAACAGATCGGTTTATCCCACAAATGGCCTCTGGAGCTGCCTTCAGATCCGCGCAGCGGCTGAAGACAGCTGACTTAGAAGATCGGGAACTTTCTCCAGATGTCACTGACTCACCCACACACCTAAGTATGCCTGCTTTTTTCTGGGATCTTGGATCCACGTTGCATTACCACTCGATTGATGCAGCAAGTGGGACTTCTACAGATTCAAAACATGAGCGCCAAGCACTGAATAGCTTTCAGAAGCTCTACCGTCAGTTTGTAGCGGATGCCCTGGGCTTTCACTATGAAGATCGTGTGTTTCAGTTTTCAGCCGCCGAGAGTACTGGTGACAGCGGTTTGACTCTAGCTGCTCTGAAGTCATCTATTTTATACACGCCTAATAATTCTACAGTGGATCCTTTACTGTCTGTACTCTCGCCGAGGCAAGCTTTGTCTTATCTTGTATCTCAAACCTTCTCGAAAAGTCTGAGAACGAGAAGTTTAGTTCCTACTTCTCCACGAGCGAAAACGAGACTTCGCTCTCACGTCCCCTATCGTGTTTTGGATGCACCCTCTTTGCGAAATGACTTCTACTCCAATTTGATTTCATGGTCCAAGGTGACGGGAAACATTATGGTTGGGCTTGGTTGTGCTGTATACCTTTGGTCAGATAAGCATGGTGCAGTTAATGTATTGGAATATTCATACCTCCAGTCCAGAGAAGACTATGTTACGTGTGTCTCGTTCTCACCGTTTGACCGACATCTTGTGGTGGGGACTAAACAGGGAAGAATTATGCTCTTTGATCAAATTGATGGTGAGGAAGATAGTTTGACTGATAACAAGCCTTTGTGTGTTGGTAACGACCGAAGTATCTCAGGCGTATGTTGTCTAGAGTGGATTGAGAGAGATGGTAGGAGATATGTGGTCGTGGGTCAAGAGAATGGATATGTCCACATCGTGGAGCTGATGCTAAACTACCTCGAATATCTTCATGTGCAAGAGATGCCAGAGCAGGAGGGTGAAAATGAGATAGAGTCCTATCACAACTCAGTGAATAATATTCACGGAGGAGTGGATTTAAGGTCCATCCGGAAAAGGTTGGAGGATGTTCAAAGTAAGAAGGGCGTTTTCAAAACGGCTGCGAAATTCAAGGCCCAGGAGCAGCAAGTTTGCGGTATCTATTTCACAGCACAATACTGTGGACCGATACAATACCTTTTTCTTACTTCAATTCATAAGTACTAACTATGTCCACCAGGTTTGTCTACTAACAAGGGTGCTACACAATTGGCAGTTGGTGGTAACGATAATTCCTGCACCATCTGGGACACGAGTGACCTCGCCATCGCAAAACTCCAATTTTCTCTTCCCCACAAAGCTGCTGTAAAGGCCGTGGCATTTTGCCCGTGGTCCAAATCTCTCCTTGCAACTGGCGGTGGCAGTAAAGATCGGAACATCCGTTTCTGGCACACCCATTCTGGAACTCTTCTCCAGGAGAAGAAAGCTCCTGGTCAAATTACGTCTTTGATTTGGTCACTCAGGCAGAAGCAGATAGTTGCAACTTTTGGTTTTAGAGAAATAGAGTGTCCTACTTTGGTGTCAGTATATTCCTACCCGACCATGGACTCAATTGTTGAGGTTCATTCTATGGCGGCCCTTCGTGTTCTGAGTGCTGTATCTTCTCCAGACTTTGGGTCAATATGTGTTGCTACGAATGACGAGACTGTGAGGTTTTATGAACTTTGGAATGTCGAAGAATGCACTATATTGGAGGCACAAGAAAGAGGAATTTACGGTAGTGATCTTATCGAATATGTCGAAGGAATTCAGAAAAATTACCAGCAGATCAGGTAGGCGGGCACAACATATAATAAATAGAATTTACTGCTAGATATTCGATAAAATATTTGAGGGTTTTATATATTTTCTTTGTTTGTGTGTCACTGTTTGTTGTTAGCTGACGACGTTGTTTTTATTTATTAGTGCGCAATATGAATAGCTAATAAGTTTGGACAAATCTAAATATGTCTACAATGTCATCCCTCTTCAACTGAAGGCCCTCGAACAACTTAGGTTAACACAACCCATGAATACGCGCAATGCTATTGTGGAAGGCTCCCCTAGTGATACAGGAAAGTTTCTGAGCGTAAACTTTAACCAAGATTACTCCTGCTTTAGTTGTTCGACCCAATATGGATTTCAGGTGTATAACGTTGATCCACTTGAATGCAAGCTCTCTAAGCAGTTTGAGAACTCCAATGCGTCTGGCATTGCTAGCGCTAAAATGCTGTATCGAACAAACTATCTAGCTCTTGTCGGAGGAGGACGGAAACCTCGCTACCCCCCCAACAAGTTGATAATCTGGGATGATTTGCAACAACGTGAATCCATCACACTGAGTTTCATGTCTGCAGTTAAAGGTGTGTTCTTATCGCGGGTGCACATAGTAGTGGTACTACAAAATTCACTCGAAATCTACCAATTTGGAACAAATCCTAAACGACTTATAGCACCCCTAGACACCTGCGCTGGGCCTGCAGCGGATTTCGTGGTTTGCCAACGAGTAACGCGCAGATCATCTCACACACAAGGCTCCTCGGCTGAAAGTGGACTTCAGGCCGTTACACGAGGGGTCCTTGCCTACCCCTCGGTCAGAAATCCCGGCCAGGTTCAAGTAGCCGACCTATCCCATTTACAATCTAGCGAGGCAGAAGAGACGAGTGCCGCCCAGCTTCCAACTTCCATAATAAAAGCACACAAAACACCTATAAGGCTCATAAAGTTGAGTCCCAATGGATCAATGGTGGCTACGTGCTCCATGCAAGGAACTTTGATTCGTATCTTCAGCACCCACAATGGCACTCTGATTGAAGAGTTTAGACGGGGACTAGATCGCGCGGATCTGTATGAAATGGTGTGGAGTCCCCGCAGCACCCGTCTGGCGATTGTGAGCGACAAGCAAACACTGCACATATTTCAAGTAACCGATGAAGAGGGTGATGTGAAAAATAAAACCCACGTTTTGAAAGATGTTCCATTCTTTTGGAAGCCCAAATACCTTGGATCCACTTGGTCGATGTGTTCTGTCCATCTGCATTCTGCCATGAAGGGTAAGAACTTAATGAATGATCAAGATCTTTATAACGACAGGTGCAAAGTAGGCTGGTGTCACGATGGCGACGAAGATGCACTGATCTTGGTTTGGCAGAACAGTGGAATTTGGGAAAAGTATGCTCTTTTAGAAAAGGAACCTAAGAACTATTCAGTTAATGAAACTTTACAATCCTCACCCGCAGGCAATCAAAGAAAAACTTGGGAACTAGTACGGGAGAGCTGGAGAAAACTATAAATGATAGCATACAAATAGGAAAATAATGAAGATTTATTAGCATAGCAATTCAACTAAAAGTTTACAGTCATCACCCTCGCGAAGATATACACCGTGAAAATTGCGATAAAACCTGACGCAATCTTCTTTGTTATTGAACGCCATGAATGTAAGGGTTCGACTTGTGGCCTCGTCCCAATAAAGTTTAAAACAATGTTTTATATCGTAAAACCAAAACCTGTCCATTACCTGATAAGGCGCTAAATTAGAGGGGAAATTCCAGACCAATAAGGACTGAGCCTCGATAGGTTTTGCTGTTTGTCGCAGGCTTTCCATCGTTATGCCTTCATTTAATTTTGGCTCAGACTTATTTTTTATAAGCTGAAAGTAGCTGTTGCCGGAGTCGAAGGCCGCTTGAAGGTTGGTCACGTATTTACTATACCTGGCCTCGGGGGAGTGAGACTTACAAGGCCTCAAATGAATTCGACTACCATCTAGGCGGCTAAAAGCAGTGTGTTGTGCGAATCCACGCATACTTTTGTAGTCTGCGAATATCAATTGGTATTTGTCTTTGAACTGGAAATATCGAGGATCTCGTACTTTGAAAGCCTCGAATTGCAAGGTAGATTCTGCTATACTGGGTGCAGAAAATCTCGATTGCGGTAAGAGCCCTACAAAGTCATTCTTGGTTAAAGAGGGATTGAAGGATTTCAGCTCCAGAATCCTATTTGTTAAATGTAGCCCATGCTCCAATTTAGTAGTTCCATTTGCATTGATCTCGGCCGGAAACGAGCCTACAATCCTACCACTTTGCTTCAGTTGACCTAAGATGTTCGAGATAACTTTTCCGGAGCTCATAGAGAGGATGATAAAAAGGACGGTATAGCTGTTTTATTGAGAAGTCAAACGTATGTTGATTCGATCAATCGCCTAGACGACGTTTGTTGATATTTAGGACAAAAAAATGAAATAGACAAACCGCGCTTGATGAACTGGGAGGAGAAGCTGCTCAAAATATCGCACGCGGAAGTCAAGTCGCCATCAGCAACAGTTGTTCACCTCTTCATCATGAGAGCTGGAAATCACTTGACTGGAATGGCCAATTTTGATTTACAGATCACATCCAACGTGAAACATCGAACCCGATTCTACCTCACTCATAAAACGTTTTTATATTCTTGAACACTTTTGTAGTTGGTTCTCTCCCAAGGCCATTGATTCTCGACCGCCAGTGCTTATCTCTTCCTTGCTTGTAGACCTTATCATAAAGATGATTTTTATTGATATAAAGATTTGGCAGTACAATATGGAGCGGATTGCGACTCGAGATTAGAGACTTGAAACAGAACTATAGGGAGGCCCTCTACGAGCATTACCTTTACCATTTTGTGTGGCCATAAATGTGTCCTCGACGTGCTATTCTTTGGCGTCAACCTCTAATATGATGCGACTGTTACCCGGCTCAGAAATTATGAGTATATAAGAAGGTCGTAATATTTTCAGGACTTTTTCTTCTAACTGTCACTTTTTCAATACCCAAGGCCCGTCTCGTTTCCCATTACATGGTGAGATCAACATCAGACTAGCTTTGTGCAATGCACAATTGCTAACCTGTATCGAACATGGTTCTTGCCTTTTACCAGAACCATCCGGGTGTTGTCTCTACCGGGTTCGAGTTTGGGCTCTGTATTTTTTGGAACCTTTTACCTTTATTTGTTACTGTCCACAGAAAGCAATGTGGACTTTGACGCAATAATACTAATTTCACCCACAACTCGACGCGATGAGTTCATCGATGAGGAACAACTTGGGCTAATTTGGTAAGTGCGAACACTTTTCAGTAAGATACTCTTTACATACTACTTGGGTTTGTTTTTTTTTTAAACTTCATGTAACCGGTAAACAGTTTGTATTATGGGGAAACGATTTGAAAGTTGCTGCTCCACGCTTGTCCAAGCAATGAACGAGTGAGGGATCGCTGGATTTGACCAGTCAATCGCCCGTGCCTCTAGCATACCGTCAAGCGCTTCCTTTTCGCCTTCTCTCCAGTGCGGGAGTTCGGCGAAAGGTCAAAGATATTCTGCAAGCGTTCCATACGATGGAGCACTGTTTCTCGTAAACGCGCTCGGTGAAAGATGCTGTCATTCGAGGACGATGGAAACGCGAAATTTGTGCTCATATCTAACAAGGAAAAATAAATACCAAAAAGTTCGTGTCTTGATGCTGCGCGCGATGTCAAAAAAAACAAAAAACAAAAATAAAAATAAAAAGTGACCGGTTGGTTTGGATGATCCGGCAAGTACCTCACATCGCGTTAAGTTTATTGCCAAACCTTTCATATCCTACAATTGATAAAAAACACCGTTCCAGCGTTCTGAGGGAACCAAGGTGAATAACATTGCTCACTCACAAACCGCACGCTTTCGATCTGCGCTGAACAACTACCGCGATAGCTACGCCCAAAAGCTCGAGATCTGAGATGCACCAAAAGCTGTATCCAAGGTCGGATCGCACCGCTAAATCCGACTCTTCATCTTCCCAATCTTCGACGTCAAGTTCGTCCTCTAGTTCATGCTCTGGAAGCGGATGTGAAAAACCTACCGACTCAACGGAGACGGCGGCCGTTGTTGTAGCTGTTGTCGTTCCTGTTTTTGTTGTTGCAGTGGTCTTAGCGTTAGTACTTTACAAAGTATGGAAAAGAGGCAAGAAAGAAGCAAACTTTGATAATGACCCAGAGTTCGATGGAGACGGAGAGTATTTGCCTTCTGTTGATCACAACGTAGAATTAAGAGAACGCAGCGTACCTGGACGTATGTTTGATACCAACTACGACCACGAGTCTAAAGACCTTGGATACCCAAGAAACTCCTATCACCACTCCGTTTCCAATAGCAATTTTCCCGTAGATCCATTCCATCTACCAGATAGTAGTGATGCAGATCAACTGAGATCATTCGCGCGTTCCATACAAAACCACGATTTAGATGGCTACAAACTGGCTTCTAGAAGCGCCAGTGAAGTTTCGCTTCCAAAATCGAGCTTCGGACTACAAAGACCGCATGTTGCTTCTCTTACCCATTTGAGAGACTCTTTTGGCAGCAGCAATATGCAGTCTGTCGAATCTGTTTCCCACTGGACCAAAATGGATGACGACAACCTGGCGCATGAATTAGCGACGAAAGTGAGCAGTGAACTCAACGAAGACGTGACATCCGAAATCGAGGATAGTCCTATAAAGAACGCCAGGGGTGACGTAAAGCAAGGCTACATAACTTCCACCATTGGCCTCGATCCCGAAAAAAGTGCAAGGGAGAGTACTTCCTTCAATACTGATGATTCAAGTTCCCACAGGTCCTTCGTGGATGCCAGCCGTGAAATTAGCCAGCACAACGATAGTGCTCTACCTGCAGACGATGAAAATGAACAGTTCTTGACTTCCAAAGAAGAAGAGAATATCAAACGTATGAAAAGTATCTACGAAGTTTATCTGGACAGAAATGGGACAGTGAAGACTGAGAGAACGAGTGGTAATGACCATCCCGAAGAAATGGTCTCCGTAAATAGAGGATTTAATACCTCAGAGTTGCTTCCAGCAGAAGCCTCATCACAGATCAATTCAGCGGTCAAGGCTCAACAATCTTACCAACAAAGTGCTAGCATCAGCAACCCACACTTCCATGAAGAACATTCAAGGTTGCCGCTGCCAGTAGACAATGGTCGGAGACCCGTTTCGTCGATTTACTCGGATATGCCTTCTTTTCCGCAGCAATCGGCTCAGCCTGGCTACTCTCAAATGCACCTCCAGCAGGCGCCACAAGCCTATTACCAACCTCAGTACCAACAACAACCATACAACGGTTCAGGCGGACCACATGTGTATGCTCACCAAGCGCATGCTCTACAGCAATATTACCACCCCCAAGCTCTTGAGAATATTGAAGAATTACCTACTCCTTCCCATCTCCCATTCTCGGAATCAACCTCTTCTTTGACATCATATAAGAAAATCGGAAAGTCAACGTACTCTAACGGCGTTTCGGGACCAGTGGTGAATCCAATCGATCATCCAGAACTATTTTACAATCAAACTTCAGCGCCGGTTGCTACAACTGGAACTCTCTCGAACCATGCTAATCAGGCTCAGAGTCTACCCCACCACTTGAGACAAAGTGTTGTTATGACAAACCCGGCCGATCTTATGTTCCCCAAAGTGTATAAACCTGCGGGTTCTTTCAGGAATATCAGTGCGGCAAACTCCAGGAATAATAGCTTGACGTCGCAAAACAACGTTCAACAATTCCAATCACAAATGGCACATCAAAGGGTGAGTGGTATTCTTGACGATGACGATACTATGCAACCCCCTAGGTTCGGGGGTATATTGCCCCACAATGGATCCAACGAAGATCTGAGAAGACAGCTGGGCTCTTCCGAAAACTATACGGTAACATAATTGGGGAGAAAATGGAGTTCAAAAGAGCCACACGGCTCTCGCTATGTCAAGAAGTTATTGATTTTCTGTAAAAAAAAAATCATTGTATAAATACAACAGCATAACAGCATTATAAACTATTCAATCGCATCCGTCTGATACCGCGTGTCATGATCACAGTCACGCCATTCAAGCGAAGTCAAAGTCGTCAATTTGGTTTCTGTATCTCAAAATTGTCTTCTTGATCTTTGAACTGTCGACCCATGTAACGTAGTCCTCCAAATTACGAGTTACCAGAAAAGCAGGGTCCGTGATAAGGTTGGGACCCACTCTTACGTGCCCTTGTTCTATGAATTTGACCGCGTCTGATAGGGACTCCGCCATTTTTAGTCGATGCATGATAACTGGCAACCGCCTTCTGCAAATTGCGCTAACCGTTACCTTGTTCTCTAGGTCTGAGATTTTGGATTTTGTCGCTAATATGCCCATGGAGTACAACTTCTCCAACAGGAGCTGTTCGTGTTTTATGCGATATGAGTCCGTTGGCGGCAGAAGCGACAGTTTGTGTGAAAGACGGCGAATATCGCCACATATTCTGTTGTACTTGTGGTAATCTTCTCTATTTTGAATGTGGTAGGTGCGCATCACCTGCGTGTCTCTATGACCTTGGTCTTGTTTCCAGTCTAGAAAATCCACTTTTTTGAGCAGTTTCTGCTCATGATGCTTGAGTTTGCGGACCATGGTGCGGTAAAGGTATAACTAGATCTAACCTTGATCTTAACGCTAATGTAAGTGATGAGATGCGATGAGATGGCCCATCTATTCATTTGATAAATGAAAAATTGTAGTCGTGCAAGGTTACTACACACTGTATGGTGTTGTGACTAGAAGATTGACTGGAAAATCACTTAGATGGCGCGATACATACTGACAAGAGTAACATAGGTCCAGACGCGACACTTTCTCATGGAAGGCGTTAGCCTATTGAGATCAGCTTCAGATAGCGTTTTCAACTTACGCCGTCCCTGGAGCAGCAAAGTGTACGAGGTATGCACTCTCTTTGAATTTCTTTCCCCGCAACTGCGATCAAAACGACGTGAAAGTTTGCAGATGATGAGGGTAGCGCGAACGATCTGCTATTTTAATGGCCAACCTCCAAAAGTCGGGCTGTGAGTCTAGCATGCAAATGTGAAAATGAAACCAACACAGAAAGCACACAACGAAGCACCATAGAAGTAAAATAATCAGAACTGAATAGACAAACTCATTCTAGAATTCAGCCTAGAGGGTGTGATCTCACGAGTCGATTGAACTGCCCTCTCTTAGCTCGAACAACAGATCCAGACTTATGGCCTCGTGTATGGCGATTTAGAAAATTTGATGATCATTATTAGTTACTTCAGCGGAGGACAGACATTTACATCTACTTAAGGCCAATTCTCTGGTGCAGGGCTCTCGTTTCGCGCAATGACATTCACCAGGGGCATTTCTCACTGCCTAAATCTCATACAACCCGCTTTCAAACGGCAGTTTAGCGCAAGCGGATCTATTCTATCACATATTGGATCTCTACCGATATACACCACCACGGAAACCGCCTTCCGTGTCACAGAATTAAAGCCGGCCTATGTTATCAGGAAGGGCAAAAAGTCTTTGAAACTCTCACAAGTATATTCCGTCAGTGGGCCCAAGGGCTCGCTGTCAATGCGAGTTCCGGAATTCGTCAGTGTCCAGGAGGATGGCGGGAAGCTGACTGTTTTAGTCCAAGACGAAAAGGACAAGATGCAGAAATCTCTCTGGGGCACTGTGAGAAGCCATTTGCATAATCACGTTGTTGGTGTGAATGAAGGCCATATGGCAGTACTGAAGTTCGTGGGTACTGGCTACCGTGCTCAACTTGAACAAGAGGGCAAATTTGTTAGTGTCAAGGTGGGTGCCTCCATCATGCAAGGTCTTCCGATCCCCGAGGGTATCACGGTGACCTCTCCCGTGCCCACTTCGCTGATCATTGAGGGCTGCGATAAGCAACAGGTTTACCTGTTTGCCGCTAACTTGCGCAAATTCCATCCTCCTGAACCATACAAAGGTAAAGGTATTTATCTCAACGATGAAACGATTACTCTTAAGGATAAGAAGATAAAATAGAAACACTGCGTCTCGTAGTATACCTGTACATAAGATATTATCAGAACAAAATGATTTTGAGCGAAACTCCGCTAGAAAGAAGAAATTGGAAAAGACGGCTCTGTCCTGATAGATTTTGGTAATTGATTACAGAAGATACTGGCTAATGTGACAAGTAGGCGGGGTCTCAGGCAGAGTGCTACCAAGTACCGGCGATGACCTCGTCTGATCGAGGTTCTTCGTATGGATCGCGTTGAACGAGTAGCTGAACAAGAAAATTTTAGGAAATTGACTACGAAATCCATCTTGAAGCAGACCATCGCTTTGTAGCTGTGAAACTCTAGAAATCTCCTCCATTGTTGTTTAGTGCTCCATAATGAGCTCTATTATTGCCAATTTGTTTAAAGTTCAAAGGAGATCGGCATCGTTTAGAGCGTCTCTGGTTGCTCCGTCTGTGACTTCCACAGTTGCAAGCATTGCGCCAGTGATAAATCATTGTCCGGAACAAGCTCAACTGAGGAGAAGACTGCCACATAGATGCGGCGCTTTGGGGGTAAAGAGAGGCATGGTTCCATTTTTTGACGAAGCTACCGGTAATAGGGTGGCCGCCACAGTCCTCGAGCTCAATAACGTCGAAGTCATAATGCACAGAACAATGCAGCAAGATGGCTATATTGCATGTCAGGTGGGTTACGGAAATAAACACCCTACAAAAGTGTCACGCCAAATGTTAGGCCATTTCGCATCCAAAGTTGTCAACCCTAAGGAGAAGGTTGCTGAATTTCGTGTAAAATCCGAATCGGGTTTATTGCCCGTTGGAACCCTAATCAAACCATCATTTTTTCAAACTGCGCAGTATGTTGACCTGAGGTCGATCAGCAAGGGTAAAGGCTTTGCTGGTGTCATGAAACGCCATAACTTCAAGGGTCTGAAGGCTTCCCATGGTGTTTCTATTTCGCATAGAAAGGGTGGTTCCTATGGTCAAAATCAGACACCAGGTCGTGTCTTACCAGGCAAAAAAATGCCTGGTCATATGGGTGTTCAACAAGTCACAATCCAAAATTCTCAGATTTTGAAAGTTGACGACGAAAACGGGGTGGTAATAGTAAAAGGTTCGGTGGCAGGTCCCAATGGCGGTTACGTAAAGATTCAGGATGCGATCAAGAAGGGTCCAAAATTCACTGAGTAATAATCGCCGCTGACCTTCATAATTAATCATGTATATACAAAACCTATCTCAATTTTGCAGTTCACCAATAAGCGTTATCGACGGATTCAATTAGTGTGAACTCAAAGATCAATGACTTTTTTGGATACACACCAGCGAATAATAATTACTTACTGCCAAAAAAATTATCTATGTTAGTCCTAGCGCATGTACCTCTGCGTTCAATCTTCGAGTTCCGACGGTTTCAGCAGACCACCGACAGCAGCAGCCCTTTCCTTTTCCACCCTGATCTTTTCCTCAAATGCCTTTTCCTTATCCTCTGCAAAAAGATAATCAGTAGGATCTCCACCAAATTCCTTAATCTGAACCAAGAAATCTCTCAGCGTGGCTGAAAATTTAGCAGGATCTTGGTATTGCTTGATCAATGCACTCACAAATCCGGTTATTTGTTCTTGACTCAAGTGTGGAAAAGCGCTGCTCAACATTCCAGCCATGTAATTCGCCAAGTATAATTGGTTGGTTGTTCCCTCAGGAACTTCGCCAGGTTGATACAAGGGAACACTAATCTGATTCTCCTGAACCAGAGATATCAATCTCATTAGGAGAAGGGATTGCTTAGAAAACCCTGATTTATGATCTGAATCGGTTAGGACATAGAAAGTCTCGCTGATGAAGGTAAAGTAGAAGTTCTCATAGAAAGCATTGGAAAATGGTGTTGCGCCCAAAGCAGCGATGTTTTTAGTCAAATCGAGAGCTAGTTGTAAGCCATTGACTTCAACGTCTCTATTATTATGTTTGAATGCCCAGCAAATAGCGTCCACGAACAACTTGAAGGCAGCTGACGGTAGCTCCAGCAATGCATTGAATGATCTGCTATTGATCTCTTTCAAAAGTCTATAGAACTCAACGCGATGCTCTGGGTACTCAGTGAAATCTTTGTTGATCATGTCTAAAGTGCACTCGAAAACACTCTGTAAAATCAGAATGACGCCGCTAGGGATCATGTGACCAACCTTCCGAACAACAGTGGTCATACAGTTCAAGACTTCCGCATCTCTGGCGTCAGGAACATTATTCATGTAGTCTTCCAGAACGGCATTCAACAGAGGCTCCACGAGGACCTTTACTACTTCATCCAGGTTGTTAGCGTGAGAAATGTAAAATTCAATTAGTTTAAGGACTTCTTTCTTGATAGTCCTCAGTCCACGTACTTTTGGAGTCTTGGTGGCTATCAAACCCTCACTGGAGACCTGGCTTGAAATCATTGAAGAGACTGCTCGGTAAAGTTGAAGCATATTATAATAAATATGGCCCAACTGTGGGTAAAAAGAGGCACCCATGGTAGAACAAACTGCAACATTTGTTTTCAATATGTTAGCAATAATTTTAACAGTCTCAGGATCAAGAAGAAGGTCGGGATTGGCGGATGATTGTTCAACAATTGCATCCCAGGCCATGTTCGGCAACTGCATCAAGTCACCCAGGAGACGCTCTCTTTCGCCAACGTTTCTCTCATCAGATATGATTACTCCGCAGGCCTTATAGAAAGTGTGGACTTGTTGAGGCTGAAGATCAGCGGTGGTACTTTGAATCTCTCTAATAATGGTTTGAATAAACGGTTCAGATTCATTTGGCTGCTGGACTACAAAGTGATGCTTGCATTTGCGAACAATTTTGATGAACGTGTCACAAGCCATATCTTGAACACCCTCGTGTGTTTCATGCATAAACTCAAAAAGCTTGATGATGACTGTTTTCAGGAACTTCCAATGAGCTTTCAAGAACCGAGGGTATTGTCCAACGACATACATGATATTTGAAGCCACTACAGCTTTATTGTCTTTACCGCGCTTCTTTTCAGTCAGTGCCAGAAGATCTTTAATGACAGTGACAACAAACCTCTTCTCGGTTTCTTCGCTCATGGTACCTGAAATGGAACCAATGGCCCAGCACAGAGTATTTATATTGTGCCATGACCATTCGGAGCCATCAATCTGTCTAGCCAGCTTGTTTATCATAATATCCTCGGTATCCATAACATCAAGATGAGTCAAATATACCAGAACTTCCCTTTCCGATTTGTACAATTGGATAGTGTCGGATTCTTTAACAAATTCTCTCACGATTTCTCCTTCATCATTCTCCACAATGAGAACTTCTTCAGGTCTGACCATGGATTCAATGACGACCCATCTTAATTGAGTGCAGATGCCATCATAGATATGCTTCTTTAGAGGAAATCTCTTTAAAAATTCGGGATTTGGAGCCCCACCTGAGGAGTTAATAGATTGTGAGCCAACTGACAGCTGAAGTAATGGATTAAGTTCCGCGACTGGCAACTTTTGAACCTCTTGGAACAGATGTGCAACCAAATGATGCCAATAGTCTAACGTTGTTTTGAAAAGCTCCCGCTCGTCGATTTTGGATAGTTGGATCAAATATTGATGAGCTGTTAGCAGGAGCTCCCTCAATCTTTCGTCGCTTTCCAGCAAAACACGGTGGCGGGCCAAGTAGGTTGTCAAAAGCATGGCAAAATCTTGCAGGAAGGATTGATCTCTGCCGTTGGCAGTAGCGTAAGTTGCCTTTAAATCAGCGGTTACAGGTACAACATTATTGCTCACCTGCTGTAGAGTGTTCTGGAAATACAATACAGTTTGTTCCGCAACTTTGGCATCGTTTTGAGGAATTTCTAGGTTCGAGATTTCAGTCAGACATTTAATGGTGACTGCCCTAGTCTCTGATGAGCTTAGAAACTTCGTACTCAAGAGTTCTAGAAGGTTGGAGTCGTAAATGTAGTGATAAGGAATCCAGTGTAAGTATCTCAGCAACGATTCCAATGCAGCGACTACCAGCGACGTAGTAGATCCTGCATCCATAACCTGAAAGCAAAGTTTAAAAATTTGTTCGAATTCTTTTGACATAGAAGTCTTTAAGTGTAAAGCTTTGGCTTGGGTCATCTGCTCTGCAGAAAAGTCGAAAACTTCCTCGGAAAGAAGTTTGAGAATGACCATATTATTCTCGCAAACATTGACCGACGATTGGGAGCTTTGAACAAGCTCGGGTATGAAATCAGGCCAGTTTTGAGGCCACTCTTGCTTGAGAACTTGCACAAGAGTGAGGTCACATTTGTTGATGAGATTCTTTTGAGACTGGAAAACGGCATCGTCTTGACACAGGGATATAACCATTCCTACGATGAAATTACGAATCCCTATTCTGTGTTCCGGTGGAAGCATTTTCCACTTTGTGGTGATTAGTTTATCCAAAATTGAGAGCCCGATGAATTTCGTTTGAGGATTTTGAGAGAACTGCAGAATTTGGTCTGCTCTTTGCCACGAATCTGGGTGGTCTTTGAACTTCGTCAGGACATCCTGGGCCTGTTTCTGTTGGGCGCCAGATCCCTTGTAAAAAGTGTCCACAACTTGATCCAGCGCATTGATATTCAATTCTTGCGAAAAATCCAAGATCGACTCCATATTTCTTTTTGTATAGAGTCGCTATCTCACCGACGACACCCCAATAATATCAATTGACGCTCGTCCTTCTGCAAATTGCTGACCTCCTCGAGCTACAAATAAATTTTTATGCACTTAACCCAAGTATTGCTCAATGTGTGCCAATTAGCTGAATAACTTAATCTCTTTAATAGAGGATAATTACCAACTTTTATGAATGCCTTTTCTCAATCAAGTCAAGCTAATCCAGACAGCACTAAAGTAGACACCTATCGATCAATTTTACAATAATTTGGTCTGCACAAGGAGTTTGCCGCAGCATACTGTACTACTCTTCAATAGAAAATTTTAGAAGTAGAACCCTATTTAATTTATATATCACGTCATACGTATTAAAGAATTCACGAGCAGTCGAGTGGTTTTGAGCCAACTGTCACTTCCATTAAATAGTAGATCTGTAATAGTGACACCATTTCTGGCTTAGGAGTAAATTGTATTAGTTAGTGGAGCTTTTTTCGATGGAATGAAAATCCTGAAATAATCACATATTATTATCATTTCTAACAGGATCAGTTTAATGTCCAGTTTAGTTTAATGTCCAGTTTAGTTCTGTATTTCAGCAGGAGTAAATTTTACTAATTCTGTCATCAATAGATATGTGACAAGGGTTTTCTTTACTTGGCTTGCCGTTCGAAGAGAAACTATGAGGCAGTTCAACTTTTTAACTACAGGTATGAAATAACCAAGGAAAAAAGTTCCCACGAAGGATTGTTCAATTGAGTAACCTGTCATGAGGGTATTTGTTTCTATTCGAACTCTAGGTGAGTTCTCTCAGTTTCTCCATTTTGGCTGCTTTTCCTTTAAATAATCCCAGGGCTTGTCATGCTGGCAAAAGATGAAACACCTGGGCATTCTACGGGGTGAGGGCCAGATTCACCACTAACCGGGCGAGGGCCAGACTCATCAGTAACCGATGGATGACTGATTAGGGTCAATTCTGCGTACTCTTTTCTCATGAAGACGAGCTTCCCATGTAGGTGACTGTTTAGTAGGACGTGATCATTTTAACGTCCGGAGCACCGTGAGATGCAGGATCGAGGAACCACTTTCAGGAGATGTGGGGGGGGGGACCTCTTATTTGGTTTGAAAATCCATGTCACAATATATGATAACATCAGAAATATGGGGGCTTTTAGACAACATTTACCAATTCTACACTTGAATGTTTGCGATATTAGGACCGTCAAAAATAATCCTTATGCTCAGTGCTTAAGTCGGTTTATCTATGGGAATCGCCTGCGTTTGGCAGAAGTTTCTTGAAACAGCAAGTTGGCTGCAAATCGGATGGAAGTAGCGACTTGCAATGAGTACCCGATCACTATACATAAATAAACCGTTTTGCAAGAAGCCTAGCTTCTCAAAGCCTCGTCTCTCACCCAAATGGGTGAGAGACTGGGTCGAGAGTTCGAAGCTGTTTTTTTTTCGAGAGATGCAAGTAAACGACGCCAAGCGACTTTTCTTCTAAAGTTTTCCTACGTTGGCCATCTCGCCGTTCTCGATAATCAAGTGCCGTCCCGATGTGACGCCATATTTGCCTATTAAAATAATCATATATCAACTTCTAATCAAAACTTATTCCTTTCATCCCTAATGCCAGGTTCTTCTGCTTCATCGATCCCCAAAAAAGCGTTTATACTGTCCGAACGTTCTTGATTAACTCTTCTTGGAGACCAGTTGAAATTATTCACACTGAAATTCAGGTGTGGTGTCCCAGGCAGATCAGAGTCAGTCACCAAGAAACTCGGCACAGCTGACTTGTCTGTTGCATCGGGTTCCACCCTACCGTCCTTTACACGCATCTTCTCGTACAGAAACTTCCATCGTGTCACTACCATCTTTAAAACGTCGACATTCCTTTCGTTTTCCAAGAACTTGTCTACTTTGCCCATAACGTATAGTCTTTTCACGAAGTCATCAATACCAAGGCATTCCTGGGGCTTGTAAGTAGTGTATAATGGAACTTGCAAAATGAGCCTGCTGAGGCTAGTCCCATTTGTGAATGCGCTAAGGTAATGTGCTTCCTGGATAAATCTTCGATATTGTTGTTTTCTTTCGATGATCTTCGCTTGATCAATGCTCAATAGCTCTTTGTTCAAACCATCCAAATCAACTTTGACATCATAAGGATCCAGCGGGTTGACGGTCATGTAACTGCTAACAAGGTTTTTCACGGAAAGTCTTCCTTCCCAAATTTTGAATGATAAAAGGCCATCAAATGAGTGCATGAGGCGTGGTAGTTGATTGTGCTCGATTTCACCGATACCATCGGGATCAAACTTCTTCCATGCGTTCTTAAATCTCCTGACTTCGTCTCTCCTAGCTACTGCTTTAGATCCTGATCCAGCATGATACAGATAGCTGAAGTTTTCCAAAATCAACGAAACGAACATATTCAAGAAAATGTACATTGACAAGACGTTCCAGGACATCAACAAAACATACGCATATGGTTTGGAACCGCAGTCAGAGTGACCGGTCTCGTCATCCGTGTAGCAAAATGGTGAGGTAACGGTTAGGTCATCCATGATATAATTCCAACCTTCACCGAAGCTACATCTGAATAGTACAATCAAGCTTTTGACGACGGTCCTAAAGTTTAAGTTCCCAGAAGTGTTGGCACCCAACCTCGTCAGGCCGAAAATTTGATTAAGTGCGATAGCATAGACCAAGAATAGAATGCCCCAGGTGTAAGTTAGGGACAGTATCGAAGGCATACTGGACTTTGCCGTATTAATTAGTTCGCTGAGTACGTCATTTTGTGGAATGACCAACAAAAATATTGCAAGCTGAAATATGTCTCTAACATGGGTGAAACCGAGAATCGTAGTGCCCTCTGTAGCTAGCCTTGCAATGTTTAGACAGAATGCTGCGAGCATCACAAATAATTTGAGAACATCCCACTGTCTCAACCACCACAGCCTTGTTCCCTTACCAATAACATACAACACCTCTTGGATCAGGAAGATTGTAGTGCTCGTCATGAAAATCGCATCCTGGTAGTGCTGTAATGTGTTAGTCTCGCGATATCTGTAAAGAAGCAAGGTCACAATATGTAAATAAAGAACAAATTGCAAAAAAAGGGCATACCAAAAATTCATCTGTTCAACGGCCAAACGATAGATAAAAAACCTCGCTGATGACATTGTCAGAACCTCTGGGGTAGGCTCTGGTTTAACCTGAGATAAAAGCCTCTTGACTTCAAGCCATGATTTTTCTTCAATGGTTAAGAAAGCACTCCCAGTCGTTCTCGCGTGATTCCGGATGATGAAGGAAACGAAAAGAGTGAGAATAAAAACCATGCTCAAGAAATTGAAAAGCACAAAAAACAGCCCATTCATGGGTGTCGCAAATTTTTCTGGTATAGTCCCAATTCCAGTACTCGCCATGCTATTACTGAGTATGTCCACCCAACCTTCTAAGGACACTATTTCGTACAATGAACGAAACGAGCTAGCCAAGGAGTCCATGTATAAATAGGGTTGTGAATACACTCTGGGTGACAGTACCTGAAAATCAAAAACCTCAGTTGTGTACTCATTGTAGCATTGGGACAGACCCATTTGGTCGTTGCAAGTCCCAAGTCGCCCTCTGAAAATTCCTAAGCCCCATACAGCGAATGGAAATAGTAAAGTAAGTGAGACAGTCGCAGCACCTATAATTTTTCCCAATCCATCAAATAGAACTTGATTGAAAGTCGATCTAGCTGTCTTGCTGATTGTCAAACATCTCAATGCTCTCAGTGCAGTCAATCCTTTAAAAACGCGAGAGAGGTCATCATTCTTTCTCAAGCTTGCCACAAAATTGATCAAAATTGAGATCAGTACGATTATGTCGATGCAGTTCCAAGGATTACGAAGATAAGCGTTTGGTGTGTGTACCAAACCGTCAGCCACAGTCTTTATGATGAACTCGAGTGAGAAAATTGCAACGAAAGCCGCGTCACAATACACTGACCAACGACCAACCACACTATGTTTCATGCGATAAAGAGGAGTGATGAAGCACGAATAAACGACCATGAAAACAGTTGATACGGATATAAATCCAACAAATAAATCCCGCTTGATATATTTGAAACGAGTCCGGCTGTTATAAAAGCTGGTACCGTCCTCAAAAAATCTTTGACCGTCAGTCCGCTTTCCTACGCTGGGGGGGGTGAGGCTTTGGCAAAATTTGCGGAAGATATGATTGTGAGGAAAAATATAGTATGAGTGGTTGTAGAAAGGATGCCGCTTGAGATATCGAAGCTTTTCGTCTTCAAACTCGTTTAACCTCAAAGAATATTTTTTGTTCTGCTCCATTGATTCTGGACTTTCCACGTAAATGACTTCAGTTTTGCGATAAAATGGATTATTGACATAAGATTTGGCCCAAGACAATTCCTTCAGTTTGTTCCATAGAAGTCTTGGGATGATGAATCTCAGAAAAAAAGTATTTTTCTCTTCGCGCTCTTTCTCTGTTAGATTCAGTAAGTTGTGTTGCTGGGCAATACTTACTATAGCTGTTCCTCTGAATAAAAATTGCCTAAAATCACGAGAATCTTCGCTAACAGATCGTTTGAAGATCTTGTCCTTAATACGTCGTACCAGTGTAGCATTAGTGTATTCTTTGATCTTCTCGGGGTAAACATGCCTCAAATAATGCTTAATTTGTAATGGACGTTTCTCTTTCTCGGGTACATCTAAGCTCTCTGCTATAATTGCAATAAAGATATTCAGCATGACAAAGTTAGCAAGGAAGAACCAAAGGATCAAAAGGACCGAGCCAAAGAATTGCGAAGAATAGTTAGGTGCATATTCCTGTAAGGCATACAATGATTCTGTCCAGTTTTCAGTCGAGCCCACGATGAACAGCGTCAGAAATGAATTAGGTAAACTGAACATGGAAAATGGATTGTCTTCCAGTTGCTCTTTGGGAATTGTTCCCTCGAAATATACTGTCATGATTATTGAGACAAGAAAGAGAAACAGAAAATAGAAGCCAGACAAATTCCAAATGAGAATCGCATTTCCCAAAACCTGTTTCCACAATTTTCTGGTCACTTTGATCATTGTGATAACGCGATAAAACCTGACGATATTGAATATGTTAAGCCAGTAATAAGTATGTCCTAATTGACTGCGGATAATAGGAGCGGTAATCACGATTGTGATAATGCAAGTGAGTAAGTCGAAGACATAATTAGCTTTTCTCAAAAATTTCCACAGATTAGGCACGTAGCAGATAATTCGTATAAGTGATTCGGCTAAGAGTACGAAACTGATGGCTCTGTCAAATTTCAGCGCAGTCTCGATCATATTTTCGGTACTTTTCGAATTAAGCGTTGCCTGCATTACCAAATCTGCTGCAATGGCCATCACGAACAAGTACTGAAATCTCTCGTACCATTTTATGAAATTTGAACTCCATAGGGGCAGCACCTTTGCGTCCGCTTTTCTCTCAATATAGTCCTTGATGGCCCTTCTGGCTCGTTCAACAAATGATGGAGAATCCTTTCGCTCCCCTCTTCTCCACACCTCGTTGGCTTTCTCGAATGAGGATACCAGCACTGCAATCATCAAGTTTATCATCCATATATTCAGTAAAAAGATGCAGCTAATGAAGAAAAGAGAGGCGGCCATACTATCGGAGTCCATAGTGTAGTACATGATATCGGTAAATGTGTTGGCACTTATAGTAACGAATACAAGTTCCATGGAACTTAGAATATTGTCAAAACTCACCCTGCCATTATAAGGATTGGCATCAGAGACACATTTCGAGTGCTCCGGACAGATAAAGCCTTTGGCAATGGGGCCGGCCCTGCCATCAGTAAAAATGTAAGGCATTTTTCTCTTTGTTCCAGGCTCTAAATACCCACCACAGAACTGCATACTATTAGTATAGCTGTCAGAAGCTTCATCAGGGTTTGTCCAGACACATGTTCTTCGCATTGAGCCCTGGAAGCTTTGAACTCCTAGAATACCAAAGAAGACCCAGAAGTACAACAGCATAAAGCAGACATTGATTAATTGTGGCAGCCCAAACTTCAAACTTCTCAATACCGGAGACTGGCTATCTTCACCTGCAGCGAGTTTAAGGATCCGCAAGGCTGCAAGTGCTCTAAATATTCGAATACCGTGCTTAAAATCATAATCGTTGATAGATAGAAACAAAGAAATCCAAAAGCTTGCTGTCGAGACCAGTTCTACCCTGTTCCAGCTGCTGCGTGTGTAAGCACGAAGTAACGGTATTTCTACCTTATTCCTATTGGCTGAACCAAAGAAAGTGACAGAACTTCTCAAGTGTTTCTCGGTAGCATCGTTGTTTAGCTTCCCGTAGCCCGATTTGAATGGGAAAAGTTTGCTGATAAAGGCCACTCCGTACTTAGATTCAAGCCTTTTGTGAAGCTGAACTATGCCAGTCAGTTCGTATATCGTCTTGTAGTCCTCTCCCCTGCCTTCAAACAGTGGTGAGTCATCCCAAAATCCAAACGCAATTACTTTGGCCACAATTTCTAAAGTGTACAGTATGTTGATGATTAACAACAGTATGCCAGCCGTATTAGAATCATAGGGGCCCGTCGGTGGTGAATTATAGTATGCGACGGAGAGAACTATAACAATGCAGACCAGCAAAAAGGAATGAAATCTGCGAGCCCATTTATTCAAGAGAAGCTTAGCCAATGCAAGGCGAAACCGGTTCTTGGCGGAAAAAATACCCACTGAATTTCCACAAAGTATCAGTGGGGATAAAACTTCTGCTTCCCGCTCAATGTCTGGTTCTTTTTCACTTGAGTTTTCAGCAGTCTGTTTGACAAACGTTTGATCAGTGGATTTTATGAAACTCTCTGTTCTGGGAAGTAATTGAGAATCGCGAAGCATAATATCGGCTTCGTCAATTGTTAAATCTTCGTCCCCAGCCGGAGTGGTGCTACGACTGACACTAGTATTTCTGGAGTTAATCCGAGAGTTTCTCGAAAGTACTGATTCGCTCTGGTCCCGATTAGACGCTAAAGCCTGGGCCGGTGATGATTCTGGATCCGTCTTTATTTGCGGCAGCCATGAAGTGCTACCGCTCTCCATTGCATTGTTAAAATCATCTTGTAGATCTTTGAAATCACTAAGATCGCCCTCGTCAATAGTTGAAATTATAGTCCCACTTCTTGAATTAAGCTCATTCTGATCATTGCCAACGCTAGCAGCAGAAGTCATCGAGAACCTCCGCTCTTTTGCGGTCAAATGAGGCGAGCTTCGCACATCATGCTGCAATTGATCTACCTCAGAGGTCCTTGCCGGTGATAAGTAGCTCTTGTGCTGTGATTCCATACTTATAGCTGATAGCTGACCTGATTCTAACCTCCTCTTTCCAGAAAAGCTTCCCAAATGCTTAGTAAAAACAGATAATTTAGGCCTCTGGGAAGGGTTCTCCTGTGCTGGTAGACCAGTAGATGATTTTTGTTGATTCTCGGGGCCATCGCTTGTATCAGCATGAAGGTCCTGATCTGTGTCTGCCCTGTCGATTTTGACAAGAACTGAAGCCTTTTCTTCATGAGAAGAATCTTGTCTATTATAGGAGTTCCTTCGCGTTAAGTTCCTTTTTGAACTCATCTCGCCCCGCTCGGCATCAATGGGAGTGGTCAGAGTTCCTTTTTAAAGTATGCCTCTACTATATGCATAATGCGATCTAATAATTATTTGTACAAATTCCTTGAAGATTTATTTATATCATATACCTCAATATAACATTGCAGAGTTGTTCATTGAATGGAGTACGTGTTTTGGCCCGATCACTTGAGTACTGAAAGAAATGGAATCAGGCAAGTTATAGCAATCAGAGAGTCAGGCACAGAATGGTTAGCTTTGGCGCTTTTAACAAACGAGGAAAATAGAGCACTTAACTGTGACGCCAAAGGTCAAAAATTAACCAGTATCGGGACATGGGATCGAGGTGTGGGATTTAGGTCTCACAGAGGTCATATTAAAATGATTCTTGTGCAATTTATGCCTCCACGGCTAGATTTAATGCAGTTTTACAGCTTGGAGCCAATTTCATTAGTATTACCTGAGAAAGATCGCCTCATGCGGTCGCCGGCGGATAGAAAATTGGGAGGTTTAGGGATTCAGGAAGCTTCAATGCCAAATTTTCGGCTACGGAGAACCATTAATCTCATGAATATGTATCGCAAGCACGTCGGGCAATTAGACGCGTACCTTGAAACTAGAAGCGACCCAGGCCAGAACCGCATGCCACGGCTTTCACTTTATCAAAGTACAAGGAAATACAAAATTAGCATTCTTGTTCGGTACTGTCTATCATATTTGGTGATTTTCGTGCATTTTGTTGCCAGCATGATCAGTTGCCTACTCTCGAAAGGGCGACTGTCTCTGGTGAACATATCAGCTACCGCTCAACAGATTGATCTACGATGTCAACAACTGTGCTACTTTCCTGTGCAATATTTTCGGATAAATGCAAGTTCGGAATTCAATAAAGCATATCCTTGTTCTGAGAACGGAGTTCTTGCACCTAATAAAAATCCGGGCAATTTGCGAGACTCTTACCCCTGTGACAACTATCCGGACTACATCCGATTTTACAATACTGTGTGGCTTATAGTTAACGACATATCCTTTGGGTATTCCTTGGGTGCATTATTGGCAGAAAATCGAAGCGCCATTGCACGGTCCCTTCACTCATATTTCACCAAATATCTCTTCAAGAAAGTCCACTGTTTCACAATGACATTGAGTCAAAACCCTTTGGGGATAAAGTTGAATGGTGAGTTGGCACAATTTTTGAGTGATCTTTTTCTGTGGATAATTGAATTCTCATATTCCATTTATATTCAGAGAATTACAAGTGTAAGCTGTATTGAGCTTATAATCAGTATTTTGTCAACTGCTTCGTGCTGCTTTGGAGTTACTTTTGCATCGTCCTTGATTGTTGATCTTTTATCAGTCTTGACTATCCACATTTCCCTCTTCTATTACATCAGCGCCCGAATGTATAACTGGCAGTTAAGTGTCATGAAATCCTTGCTGTATTTGTTCTACGGGAAGAAACGGAATGTGCTGAGGAACAGAATTGACAGCCATTTGTTTGAACTAGATCAAATATTGATGGGAACCCTTTTTTTCACGATACTAGTGTTCTTGTTGCCAACATTAATGATATTCTATGCATTCTTCACGGTTTTGAGAATGGTGGTCTTATTACCAGAGCTTCTGTTGGAGTCGGTGATGGCGTTGTTGAATCATTTCCCTCTTTTTGTATTGTTGTTGAGACTGAAAGACCCACAACGCATTCCTGGTGGAATTTCGATTCACCCAATTAAAGGGACCGACCACTTTAGATTGATCAATAATCCTTTGACAGTCAAGCGGGCTTTTCGGCCATATGGTGCGCTGCTGACCATGATGGTGGAGAGTTATTTTTCCTTGTCTACGCTCCGACAAATTTTAATTGGCCGGCCCATTACCATTCAACGCAACAGAATGTACCAAATATTATATTCCGCCCTCCCAGATGTTCCTGTTGCCACAGAGGACGTCTGGACTGCACTGAATAATGTACTATGGTGAGAAATGATGTACGTGAAAGATCTATTTTAGTGTAATAATTATGTACAGGTTTGGAAAGTAAAACAATATTCGGGAAAAGAGTTGTAAAATGCTAAAATGAGTCGTTTGTGTGTATATCTGGCAGCATGCATCGGTCTACTTTCTCTTCTTCGTCTTGCTCTTGTCCTTGCTAGCCTCTTTCTTCTTGGCCGGGGCACCTTTGCCTCTCCGCTTCTTAGCTTCATTCATGAGCAGCCTGTAGTCCTCTTCTTGATCAGCAAATGTGAATCCAGGATACAAAGTCTTCAAATGTTTGAACTTGACAAAATCCGGATTTCCATAGTAGTTCGCGAGTGAGGGACCTCTTAATCTCTGAGCAAGTATCTTACCACCATTCCTTGCAGCTGTAGGATTGAAATTTTGTTTGAATATTTTTGCCGATAGAGCAGCTACTTCTTGAAGTCTATGCTTGGGCACTGACATGCTTGTTAACCTGTTCTCTTCAATTCACCTCGCAAAACTTAATCATCTTCGATAATTATTTGTCTTAACATTCATCTAATGAGAAATCACGTTTTTCACAGAAGAACACAGATGTAACTCAAGCATGCAATGAGGACGATGATGCTACGAGCACTTCCTTGGAAGCTTAATCCCGATCTGAATAGTGACTATTTTCGATGCTGAGCATTTAGGAGTAATTGATGTTTATGCTCTGAGAAGTGCTTGCAATGAAAATGCCACAGCCACCAAGATGACAGTTGTTTTCTGGATGCCGCTTCAGCTTTCAGACACGCCTGACCTTCAAAACGGATGTGGCAGTGTTCTGAAATTGTTACTTACGGTTTAAACAAGATTCATCAATGTTGTTATATATATATTATAACTTGACAAAAGATTAAAGTACTAATGAACAAAGGCAGATTTGCAGTAGTCGTAGACAGAAAGCCCTGTGTAAACTTTACTAGATGGTGTAAATTTTTCTTTATTGGTGTTGATTGTTATTTGCGTGGAAAATCCCATATCCCCGGTTGTGGAAGAAAGCGTTTACCAAGAGGCAACTTCTTCGGTGTTACCTTCGGCCCAGTCGGCGGCTTCGGTTTGCTCTTCAGCAGCAACGTCTTCCTTGGCCTCCTCGTCGACAGCAGTGGCGGTTTCCTCAGCCACCTGTTGGTCAACCTCCTCTGGGTCTCTGTAGAAGTACAAGTCTGGCATGATGGACCATGGTTGAGTTCTGTCAACCAAGGAGCCTCTTAGTCTCAAGACTTCTCTGGCCAACAAGTACCAGATCAAACCAATAGAGTGCTTACCCTTGTTGTTGCATGGGATAGCGACGTCAACATATTCGGAAGGAGAGTCCAAGTCGGTCAAAGCAATGACTGGGATGTTGACGTAAGAAGATTCCTTGATGGCTTGAGCATCGGATCTTGGGTCGGTAACAATCACCAATCTTGGTTCCTTGAAAGAACGGGTGATGTAGTTGGTGAAAGAACCTGGAGTGAATCTACCAGCAATGGCAGTAGCACCGGTGTGAGCGGAGAACTTTAGAACAGCTCTTTGACCGTAGGTTCTGGAAGAGATGGCGACGACATCTTCAGGGTTTGGGATGGCAGCGATGATTCTGGCGGCCAAGACAATCTTTTCCCAGGTCTTACCAACGTTAACAACGTTAACACCGTCTGGTCTGGTCTTGAAGACGTATGGTTCTTGGTGAACCTGTTGTAAAAGGTTAGTATAAGAAAAGGTGCAATAAGTTTTCGAGAGGGACAACGATACGAGCGCCACGAGCGCCAGGGAGCGTTGGTGGATATGCGATGGCAGTCTAAACGGAGTTCCGCACCATCGCAGTGGGCTCGAGTCTCCATTGGTGTGTCAATATTGTGTGTGGCCCTCCAACGGACCTGCCGTAAGTACTCTCCCTCCAGAGCCCTCCACCAGCCTACGTGGGCTCTCTTAACATTCATTGGCTGATCTGTCCTCGTTCGTCATCCCACCACCTTCAATTCGGCGATTTAACATACTTGAACGTTCTTGGAACCAAGGTGAACGTTGGCAGCCAACAACAATTGGGCGTCTTCAGGGGTCAAGTCAAAAGTAGCTGGTAAAGACATGGTTTATCTTGCTCTTGCTATCTGTCGGGATTCCTTAATAACGGTGAATTCGATTTAACAGAGATACGCTATTCTAATTAGGTTAGTCAAATTTGTTAATCCTCCAAAATTTTTGCCCTAGTGACGATGTTGGATAATTTTTCAGCTTAGGCGGACGAGCTGGGCCGGGCCATTCACACCTTCCAGGCCGAGAACGCTCAAGGTCCTCGATTGCTAGGCTCGGGCCTGCACTGGCCAGGCGGAGCCTCCAAACAGAACGCCCTCAGTGCCAGCCCAGTTCCCTTCCAGCACTCCGCCTAGCTCTGTGCGATGTCTGCCCACTGCCGCCTGTGAAAAATTCACTTGCCACCACGCAATGGAATGGACTCAGCGGCGACCGACGCACAAACGCAGGCCACGCGAGGTCGCAACTTCTCCACAGACAAGACATTTTCCGCGGCGTTTTCTGTGGATGCAAGTACTCCGGCTGCCAGGGGAACGAAAGCGGCGCCTGCGCGAGCCTTTTGGGCCAGCAGGGTGCGCCGAGTGGACTCCCGCTAATATCACGTGCCCGTCTGTCTGTTATCACGAGGAAGAGAGATTGCGTGGGCTGCAGTGTTTTCCAGCAGATCCTGAATTTTTTGCAGTGTCACACAATTTTTGAGGGTGTGTGGGTTTATGAAAGCAGTCACATATGGTTTTGGGAAGTAGAATGGCACGTGTCCGGGGTCGAAGGATGGATAAACAGCCCACGTAGAGCAAGCTCGGTGGCCACTGGGCACGCGGCAGACAATGACAGGCGTCGTAAGTGTGTACGCATGACAAGCGCACTGGGCACCAAGCACTCTTGAAATTCAAGTGGTGTCGACAAGAGACAGAAAGAATGGCGGCAGGGCCGTGTTGTCTTGCGTGGCAGAGACCCTCTTGGAATATCTAGACATATTTTGGTAGACCTCACCGCGCCTCGTGTGGACTTGGGTGGCCCTAGCCCTCTTTACTGGTGCTCCTTGTTTAGAAAATGCTCGGTAACTTGACCTTGAACAGCGTCGTTGGAGCTTCGTTGGTCATGTGGGCACAATATCACTCTGTACTTTTTTGTCGTAGTGAAATGGCACCCAGATTTGTACATGCACATATAAACTTTTGATTGCCGATTGTATATAAGCAGAGTCGCCGCTTCAATTATGGTCCGGAGTTTCCGTGGTATGCTTGGCAGCGTTGAATAAACCATTGGTCATTTATTTGGAGGACCTGGCTTTGAACTACACAATCTACATTATTTTCGCAAGGCGTGGAGCCTATCAGTGCATCGATTGGCAAAGCTGTGACACACTCAGGTAATGATTTGCCGGGTTGCAGACTACTACAAGGCTCTGACCTGGGAGCGCATTTTGCCGAGTTTTTCAAAAACGTCCGATCGTGCGGTGCGGCGTGCTATGATCCAACGATCCGCGGATTCGGCGATCTGGATAGCGGTAGTCACACTGTGTGTGCTACTGCCCCTTTGGAACTACCTTTCGCTAAAGCGCTGGGTTTTCAAGCTGAAACACCATCTGAGACATGATATTCTACGGAAGGCCCGTTGGTTGCACGGATCTCGTTTTTATCACAACCAGGGCTTCAAAGTGTGTTCCTTCTGGATCACAGTGGTGACTCTATGTTCACTGATAAGCTCGGGGGGTGACCTCATACAAATAACCAAGCGATTAGGTAGAATCGCAGTGGCCTTGATGCCGCCCCTACTATTTCTAACACTGCGACCTTCCCCTCTGCCGCACACATTATATCTATCGCTGCTACCCATCCACAAGTGGATATCAAGAATCGTCGTCTTGCTTTCCGCCTTGCATGCTGTGTTCTATTCCTGGTTCTTCATTATCAACCGCAGCTTCATTGTTAAGATCCAGAAGCTGGCCAATCTGTGGGGGGTTTTGGCATTATTTTTATTTGGTTTCATTGCCGTCACGTCAGTGTCGCAAGTTCGCAGATACAACTTTAGATTGTTTTACTACGTTCATTACGTGGCCACCTGGTTAAGCGTCATATTGATTCACTATCATGCAAGGCCGCCGGTTCGGTACTATACAGCTATGAATTGTTTTCTGCTCATAGCACAGGTCGGGTATAGAATATACAACAGCTCAGACGTGCGTGTCACCGTGAAGGACATATCGCCAACCCTTCTCTTAGTTGACTTTCCAATGTCAGGGCTAAGAAATAAGCCATTAATGCCCTCATCTCATGTTCGTCTCGCCCCATCTTACAAGCATTCCATTTTACAACGAATTTTTCAACAAGTTGTCCCTCTTCAACATCCGTACACAATTGCCAGTCTTCCTTATGATGAAAGTGTCAAGCTCATAGTTCGTCGCGGTCGCTTTAATATCCGCAACAACAGTGAATACTTTGTAGCGGGAGCTTTCGAGCCTAAACTCGACTTTATGTCCAAAACTGAGAAGTCTCTTTTCTCCAAAGATGTACTGCTATTTCAAAACAAGAGTCCGGCGCTTGTAGCTTCGCCTCTAAACTATAACATCGACGCACGTAGGGCCCTGATAGTTGCTGGAGGAAGCGCAATTTCTTTCGGTTTACCACTTCTGAGAATTCTGAACTTCAACGGGGTGACAGTCAAGCTCAAATGGGTCACTAGAGATTATCGGGATTTGAGGCTGCTGAATCATTTCAAAAATAATTTTGAGGGTCTCGAGATATACATCACCGGCTCGGAGACTGACGAACAGGATTTGCAGATAGATTACATAGATTTTGACGAGGATGAAACTCGTCTGGATCTTACTACTACGCCTGCTGCCCGTCCCTCTTCTGATTATGGCACTTTCAAGTCCCCGAATAATTCGTCTACTCCAACGTTGCAAAGTCAGGGAAGAAGTAATCGAGAGGATGAAATTGACTTCACACAGATGTTCAGCTCCAGAAATTCCAGGGCCAAGAATTTCGAATCCCTGCAGAACGCTTCGAATTTTTTTGACACCGAGAATTCTTTCCGTAAACCGTCTATTCTGCTGGCTCCGTCTGAGCGGGAAACCGAAGAAGGAGCTTATAATGACGACTCACCCAAAAGTTTGAAGATACCCGCTGGTGTTCAGGTGTTTTTTGGTCGTCCAAATCTTACAAGCAATGACTATCACTGGTGTCTGGAAAAAGAATGCATAGGGCCCTCAGAGTCTAATGATTGTTATGCGCCAAAAGCGCATGTGGATGATCTGTCCCGGGTTTGGGTCTTAGCTGCTGGGCCCTTACAGCTTGTTGAAAACACAAAGAGATGGGCTTACGATGGTGGACTACATTTTCACGAGGAGAGCTTCACTGTGTAATAAATTTATCAGGAGCTTAATCCAGATCTACTGCCGTGCGTCCTTATATTTCGTATTTCTACTCATTCTAACGTCTTTAGCTTAAAAAATCTGAACTGAATACAGCTGGTATGTCTGGTGGGTTTTCGTTATTATCTTCTCTCAAAAAATACAGGCGGGTGGTATCTATCACGTCGGAAATATCATTCTCTTCAGGCTCTCTCGACCCCAATTGTCGCTCACTATGGGCCTTCATATGTGATATGAAACTTTGCGTAACTTGGAATAAAGTTTCCCTCATAATATTGTTTGCAAATCCTTTTGAACCAACCGACTGGTCAACTTTAAGTACCATTGCATCCCATTCGCGCCCTCTTTTCTCGGCCATAAATGGATCCTGGAGGGCTGACAAAGTATTAATTTCGTGTTCGTTTAGAGCCTCTAATGTTTGTACTTTCCTGGAAACATCCAAATCAGCGCTTTCAATGGCCAGTTCTTTTAGCCTAAAGTTAAATTGTTGTTGTATCCTGACCCAATACAAAAGCTCTTCATGCTCCCCTGATTGCTCGTTAGAGAATGGGAGAAGCACAGAATGCAATTCCTTTAAAGTCATTGCATGGGCTTTCAGAACTTTTCTTGGGCCCAATAGCGCCCTCAGCTTGGACATCTCAACCCAAGCTCCCAAAGATGGTAGCAGAAGGTGCTTTTGACGTATTTGCTTAGGACCATAGAGATCGGAGGGCAAATGGCTTTCATCCTTCACGATCGTAATGGCGCGATGAGGGATCCAGCAAGGTAAACCATGATATCTAGAGAGGCGAAGTGGAAGCACATCTGAAATTAGTAAGCAGCGGCCGCCCCTGTCAGACAAAAGTCCCATTTGTTTGTTGAATGCTGCAATATCTTCAGCCTCTATTTGTTGACCACCAAAATCGTTTTTAAGTCTTCTAGAATTCACGCGGTTGGTGGAAAACCCTACGCCTAAAATGTCAATGTACAAGCCGCTGTCCACATCTATGAAGCGAGCATCGACATTATTGTGGTCATCAACATGGTCTCTCGACGAAATGAAAGGTTGAACATCTAAAAAAAACCTTCCATTTCCCTCTAGTGGAGATTGTATGACCATAGTTTGGTTGAAGTTTCTCGCCAATAAGTGTAAGTCGTGAACTGACATTTGTACGACCTGTGTTGAGCTCCAAGGAAATTGTGAGCCAGTGAACAGATATGCCTCGAGGGAATCGTGTGCAGGCCACGATCGGATGTTTTGTGTTTGCGTGAACCGAAGCCAACCTCTTATAAGAGCATTGAGTATCCTTAGCCTCTTCCACTTGCATTGAATAGGGCCTGAGAAGAATCGCACGTCCATGTGCCCTTGGAAATCATCGTCCGCTGCCAAGAGATCCACAGTCTCATGGAAATACTTATATGGTTTACTCTGGCCACTATTCACGCCTTTTGAATATACCAAACTATCCAGGTACCGTTTTTCGTTTTCCGTTGAGTTAGGGTTTGCTACGATCTTCTCAATCTCAAAATTGGCGTCGAAGTCGAAGTGCTCTATGGGGAACTCTGATGTGTACTCGTATCCGGATACGCTTTTGTTGGAGAAGTCCCTGGAGAGTAGCTCTCTAAGCTCAATCTTAGGATCGAAAACAATATCGGGTGCATTCGAGGAATGTTCAGCAACAAACATATTGGCCAAAGGACTACCCCAAAGTGAATCATAACCACCCACAGAGTTAGCCTGCGATATCACCGTTCTGCCGGGGGTAAGCATGAATAATAATTGGCTCGGTTTTACTCCTCCGCTAAACAGAAACACTGCAGACTGTAGCGCCAGCGCCTTGGCCTGACATTTGGGATATATTCGCTTAACTTCAAAGCCTAGAGGCGACCGTTGCATGTTTATGCAATAGTTCGCGATGCGGGACCCTGCTAATTCAATCTTTGGCACATTGACTGTTCCGCCGAAAGAAGTCGCTTGTCTTTGAGAATCTTCATAGTTGGTTTCCTCGATATAAAGGTCTTCACAATGGAACACTCCCTTCGGGGAGTCATGGACCATTAAAGGGTCTATAATATGTCCCAAATCTTTCCAATCGTACCAGTTGAAAGGAATTTCACCTTCTGGCTTCTTTTGCAGGTAATGAAGACAAGTTGCAATACTGAACCTTGGATCGAAAGGATATTTGTTGAAGAGTCCAGACTGACATCCAACACAAGACACTGTCTCACATCTTCCCGTGACGTGTTGTATCGTAAAGTCATCATTCAATGGCCCCTCTTTGAATGAGTCTGACTCTGGAAAAAATCGAGCAAGAAAGAAATCTTTCAATTGCAACCTATTCGCAACCTTGATTATATTAATTCCGTTGCCCGTTCCTGAGCTTTTGAGGAAGTCATTTTCATTCTTGGAGGAGAGTGTTTTCAATAAAGGCAATATGATGATAAATGTTACCGCAACCTCGACTAAAGATAAAAGACCAAAACGTCTTACACTTTTGATTCTCATACCATGTGCCGTCGCATGTATCAATATATCGGTATACAAGCTATGTTTTATAGAAACACTTCAAATTGCATCGTTGAACGGTTGGTCCCTTATCTTATGAAGCTGGGGTTCAATAATTTAATCTGCTTTCAAATACTTTAGTACTCGCGAAACTATTGACGTGCCGACGACGACTAGCTGAGCTCATCTCCATCTGCAAGCGAGTTCAATGTCGTTTGTAATGCATCCATGACCGGTCCCAGCTCATTTTCGAGGTCTCTCGGATAGCTAAAGCAACAATTGAGCCCCCCTACGGGGGTAGTCACCGTAGAACAGGTTATAAAATTGCTGAACCCTTGAGGCTGATTAAAATACGCATCTTCAACCCAATATTTGTCATCTTGGCCACAGCCGAAGGTTTCAAAACCAATATTGGTAATCTCGAAAGTTGAGCCCGGATACTTGGCGCTGGCCTTTGTTTGAATGAATTTTTCAACATCAATGAATTCCATAAGCTTAATGAGTTGCAGTGAGCGGACGTCGTGTCTTTGAGCCGTGAGCTGGGAGCCAACCGCAACGGCCGTCTGCCATAAGTTGACCAGTAGATCTGTGTCGCAAGAAATTTCAGCGCCCTTGATAAAGTTGCCGAATTCAATGAGATGAGGATCGAGACCGGTGGCTTTCTCGACGAAGGATCTGGTATTTATGGGGATCGCTATCTTAAGCTGAGTGCCCTGAATCTCGGATGGAGGCACACGGGCTAGTGCATGTGCAATTGCTGCCACTAGCAAGGAGGTCAATGACACCGTCCGTACCTTGCACTGGCTTAAAAGCTGTGGCATTTTTGAAGCCGGAATATGGAGGTTAAATTGACAATTATCATTCCGCACTTCACCGCCACTGGTTAAGAGCCCTCTGGGAAATTGGTATCTAGGGAACTTAAAGTCTTTGTCTGTCAATTCAGGAGAAAATATCTTGCCAATGGTATCAATCCCGAAGTAAGTCAACAAGACCAGCGTTCTAACGAAAGCGACCATAAGTAAACCCACAAAGGAGTAGCGTATAAGGTCGTAAGGATGTTGGGGAACCTCGGCTTCGTCACCATTAGGTCTGTAGAGCACCGTGGTGCTGTTGTCCTGTTTCTGAGGCGAATTCAGGTTGGATAGAAATGTCCTCCAGAATGCAACAGTGGAGAGACCATCCATGATAACATGATCCGCACATAGCACCAGTGTACGTCGATCCTGAAGCAATAGAATTTTCCAGAGAGGTCTTTCCACATGATACGGAAAGTTGATTTTTTGAAATATACTATTGACGCTGTCTTCATTCAAAGAAGCAAACGAAGCTTCTTGTAGCACGTCTTTCGACAAAATAGGATGCTTGAGGGGTTTTAGGGCTAAAGCTCCATCGACCTCGTGAACATTGGAATACAATTGTGGAAATCTTGCTATGGTTTGTCTCAGCGCAGCATTGATCAAACTGATGGAGACCTCATTATTCAACTTAATCGCCAGAAAGAAACATGAGTGGTACTGTAAATGGCTTCTACTATAAAAGTACCTTTCTAAACCTGAAAGTGACTTCATATGCTATGGAATATTAGGCCGTAAGCTGAGCTCCACAGTCCGAGATCTCGATAGGTTTTGTAAGTACAAACGATGTTATATTGAGTAAATATCAGGACTGGGGCGAACCCGGCAAATTTGACGATAAGTCCGAATTCTCGAGCATTGTGCTGATCTGTCCTTATGTACGTATGGTCTCTCCAGCGGGGATAAAGATAGTTGGGTTGATCGGAACAGACATGCAATGATTAAACAAAGCCATATGACCCATGTCAATCTATACTTTTCAATGAACACCACAAACATCGAAGGTAGGGATGTGAGTTTGCCGAATTCGTTGTTCGGATTCGCTACAATGTCAATCGCTAACTACGGTGGATTCGAATCAAATAGCGGTAAAAACGGCTGAATCGTGGACCGGATTCGTGATTCGTCCCCAGTCCTGGATCCCGTTATGATATATTGAGTAAATATTATTCAATGAATCAAACTAAACCGATATGTACACAGTTCATTCGACAATCATGTCGTTGAGACCGAGCTCCTCGTTTTGTTCCTGTGTTCTTTCGTAATCTTCTATCGTCATGTTGGGGTCTGGGTCGGGAGCGTAAACATTTTGGATGTAAGACCCTGCTAGAGGGTCCTCCATTGTCACCGTAAATTTTACTTTACCATCTAGACCTTCCTGCAGCTTGCTGAAAAATTCCTCCCATCTTTTCCTTGTTGCCTCATCCATGGAGTCTGAGGTTTGGGTAAAGACTCTGTTTTTCAACTCGGTGTAAACTTGCTGCAGTAGACCCTCTAAAGTAGTGAATCTACCACCCAGAGTGCCTTGCTGAATATCCAAGCTGAGCTCCGGGATTGTCAAAGAGCAGGTCTCACTCTTCAAAATGTCACGCGAGAGATCTTCTGGATCATCGCACAATAAAGTAATCTTTCTGCCCTTCTCTGGGATAGCACCGCCAGTTTTCACCTCGTTTGATTTGTAGCCGCACTCGTGGCACACCGTGGACATGATGATCACTTCCTTGAAATGTGGAATGTTGACCGGTTTCATGTGAGTGTCGCACGGACGGTAACAGGACGGACAACTGGCAGAAAATGTTTGCACTTCATTGGTGAAATTTTCAATATCGGTCTCATCGGACAAAAAGGTTGACTTCTTGGCCTGTGAGGGGTTCCTCTCCTTGTCAGCCACCTTGGCACGTTCTTCCTGGCGATGCTGCTCTAGTTGATCTTGCGATATGATGCCCACCTGAACATTTTGCTCTCCAGACCTAACGTACTGGGTTTGAGACCACTTATGGGCTTGCTCTCCAGGTGTGTATTCGATCCAGGAGTTGCCAGCGGGGTCATCTAGGGTGAAAGTGACTGGTAAGGTACCAGGCTCGCAGTCCAGACACGACCTCACCTTGGCGAGAAAGGTCTCGATCTGGTTGTACAGATTTTCATCTATCGACTTCCTGACAGGTTGGTCAGAGCTCAACCCCTCAACCATCTCACTTAGGAGGCCTTCCACGGTCGTGAGTTGGCCGCGCTTGGGGGGAATTTCTATGTCTAGCTCTTGGAATTTACAAGTTGCGGTTTCAGACTTGACGACTTGACGGTTGAAGTCTGATTTCCCTTCCACCTTAAGCATGTACTTGCACCCTTTCTCCATGATCTCCGAGGCAGTTTGAATCTCCGAGTTTTTGAAACCACAGTGAGGGCATTCAAATGACATGAGCACCACTTCCCGGAAGTACGGTATCCTCGTCAACAGCATTCTGGTGACACCGTTATCATGGCAGTTCATACACAGCGATTCGATCTCTTGGACTGGGTGGCCCTCGGCATCAGCTGCACCGGTCGCTCTAGCCAAGTCTCCAGATTGTTGATTTTGATCAATTTCTTGGACGTTTTCCCCGACATTTCTGAACAAATCCTCGTTCTCAGCGGCAGCCTTCTCTGACATGGTGTGGGCTTTCTTTTTCGAAGTAGGGAGTGAGGTAATGTGAGGCTCCTGTCTTTTCATTCACACTTGATAGTTCAAAAGATATTTGTTAAGCTTTTTAAGCGATGAGATGAGATAGCCCATCTTGGAAAATTTTCTGCATAATTCGAGAAAGTACTCGGATTACTAAATGTGACAGAACACCATGAGTACTCAAAGAAGTGACGATGAGAAAGTGTCGCCATACGCCTGATTAAGAAGCTATACGATTGTGTCTGGTCGAAGCATGTGGATGAGCAGGACGCTTAAGTAATTAGAGTCAAAGCTTGTTCTCAGGCTCGAATAAAATAATCTCCGTGCGTCTCCTGTCACTGCATCTCTCTCGCCATCATTTCCTTGGTCAAGAGAACAAGTCGCGATCCAGATGTTCGATGCAGTCCGTACTTTGCACGAATTGAGAAGGTGAAGTTTGTTTTTCCAAACTTTCATTTATCGTCCATTTCGTCTCTCACTCGACCCCTGTGGTTAAAGTAGTTGGCGAGCGGAACGGCAGATAATGAGGGTTATGAAAGAGCGCTATTGAAATTGGCTTTCCGGCCTCGACCTACCGAATAGCGTCCGTACCAAACAGCAGACAATATTGAGCGTCGATTACTCGAAGGCGCTTGAAGGTGGCCGCGCCGCATCATTTTGTACAAAACTGTCACCCAGTAGAAGAAAAGTCTCGCATGAGGGACAAGCAAGACCACCATGACACTACCTGTCTCGTATCCATGAAAGGAGAGAGTCCGCTTTGTCCAAGAGCCTTAGTATTTGCCAGTGAGACTGGAAAGCTGGTGTGTGGCATTTTTCAAGCAGGCGTCGTAGAGTAGAATCTGTCTATCAATTGACTATTCCTATTGTTGGCATGAAATCTGTGTTTGGTCAACAACATCTGAAGGCTACCTTCATTGCCCTTAGTCCAATTGTAGAGCAACTGGGTCAACTTATTTTCCCACAGATTATAGTTTTTGACAGCCACCTGATCTTTTAGAACAAATGAATTCACAGAGTACACGTACTTCCACAACAAACAAGACAGACCCTCCTCTAAACACAGTAAACAAAGCTTAAGCAAAAATCCTCGAAAAAGGTGCCTCATGCGAAAAACATGGTTAAAACTGTTGCACAGTTACTTGAACTCGATGAGTAAATAAAAATACTGGATATTCAAGTAAACTGCCTCCTGTGGGAATTGAACCCACGATCCCCGCATTACGAGTGCGATGCCTTACCACTTGGCCAAAGAGGCTTGTTATTGGAAGACAACCCGGCAACACAATGTTATATAGTGGGAACCATCTTTCTAAGCGGGAACGTATTGACAAAGCTTAATTCCAAGCCATTTCATCGCGTTGGCGCAGCAATGAGATATAGGTAAGATGATATGGGCCAGTCTGTAGCGGCCTTATTAAGGATGACTTAAACTACGTGCTTTGTTAATGTACATCATTTTGGGTCAGACGGGGGGGGGGGAGCCTATGGAAAAGGCTGATAGATCAGACAAGTGACAACAATAGATATAAATGGGGAAGGTGTATTGATAGCGAATAGTGAGAGCTAGGTAGCCTGGTGGTTGTTAAGCACTTTTTCTTGAATCTGTGGTAACTAATCACGAAACGATTTTTGCACTGTCGAGCCAGTAAGCTCCAGTGAGTGAGGTTCGCTCGCTTTAAGCGTTTCAAGTGCGTAGTTCCTAGGTTGCATCACGCGCCCCGTATGGCCTGGTCTCGTGGTTTGACCGGAGTTAGAAATGTGTTTGGTGTTGGCCGATCGGTGGCTAGATACAGATCGAAAACTGCCGAGTTGCAGTCAGAAGTCCCACAACAATACTTGCAAAGCCTAACAAAGCTCCGATATTCAAGCTATCTAGAGAGCTACAACAGCTTCGTGCTACTGCGCTGGCACAGTGGTAAGTACAAAACATCGCAAAAAGACTTGCTGTGGAGGTCATTTTGCCAAGATATCAGCGCGTTATTCCCGCCCAAAAACGATTGCGACCCCCTCGTGGCGCCATCGCCGGTTTTTTTCGGAACACCGCTCAATGTCCCCACTATGGATCAGTTACTAGGCTCGGACCCGATAAGTGACGAGTCGGAGTGCTTTTGTTCTTTCCAGCACCTTTCCTCGCAGGATTCAGCTGTTGCGCTACGCAAATATTTGGAAACTGCAACGAAAAAATCAAAATACGGCCCGAGGTTTACACCCATTGCAGTTGGCATGAACCTGAGCTCTTCGCAATCGCCGGCCACCTCGCATATACAACCACTGCTGGAAGAGTCTTTTCCAGTATATCGAGATCTGAACTACGAAAAACTCTTGGATATCGCTAAACGCATTCAGCCAGCCGATTCTGACCCGATGAAAGCTCAAGTGAAGAAACTTCTGGAAACACTCGCAGAAATTGGATTGTCGATACCGCGTCGAACCAAGCGCGATGGATGGCTTCTCTTCACATCAGACGTCAAACCCTAAGATAGGGCACGTGATCGGGCATCTGGTTGATTTCCTATATCAAAGAAGAGGGATGACGAATGCAGATCTATTCTCTTATAGGAAAGATCTGGTAAAGTTCCGAAACTTTTGAGGACCTAAACGCACGGATGCGTCGGAAATTTACTCTGCTGTACCCATTTTTGTTTTCAGTGCTGTTCATCTCTCTCATTTTCCATGTGAAGTCCGGCGTCGAAAGACATCGTGCTATCAAATCCTTGAAAGGGAGTATCCGTCAAAAACCCTCCTCTCCCCTGCCAAAAGGCAGCTGGCCAAACCCTCAGAAATTTCGAGAGACTGTGAAGAAATGTTCGAGCTACGTGGATTACGCTTCAGTGCCGCATTTTAAAGAAACCGACAAAGACGCAACGCTAACTTTACCCTTCCAACGGCCACCAAAGAACTGCCGAACCTTTCAATCTCCACTGGTGGAATTGTTTCTTCCAGAGTTTACAAAACGTTTGAAAAATCGCGACTTGGCAAGGTTATTTGAAAACACTTTCCCGAACACCATAGATACTACGATTCTGTGGCACGTTACGGGGGAAGCTAATCGAAAGCTCAACAATCACAAGTTAAAGCCCTTGTTATACAGAAACGAAGTTCCGGAAACTTTTGTGGTCACGGGCGATATTCATGCCGAATGGCTGCGAGACTCGGCCTGGCAACTTTCAGTTTACCAGCCTTTTATCCAGCACGATGTGGCATTAAGGGAGCTAGTAAGAGGGGCTATAAATACCCAGGCACAGCTGCTGATGGAAAATCCCTTTTGCAATGCTTTTAATCCCCCGCCTTACTGCGAGGTGGAACGCGCATCAAGCACCATCGATAAGGTTCGACCATTACCCGATTGGAAGCGAGCTTTTGAGTGCAAGTATGAAATCGATTCTTTGGCGTCTTTTTTGACTTTGTCACGACAGTTCTACGAGAATGCTCCTCACGATGACAGGTTTTCATTCATCAACATAGACTGGCTTATCGCCGTGAAAAGGGTAATTGATGTGATTATCCTGGAATCTACACCAACTTATGGAGAAGATGGAGCACCTAACCCTTTCCCATATGTTTTTCAACGGGACACCAACGTAGCTTCTGAGACCTTGCCACTGGCTGGCACGGGAAATCCTGTCAACGGCGGCACAGGGCTGGTCAGGTCTGCTTTCAGACCTAGTGATGATTCAACAATATTCCAGTTTTTCATACCTGGAAACGCATATTTAGCTGTGGAGTTAGAGGGTATATCGCGTATTCTGCAGAGCTATCTCAAACATTTACCTGGTGGTACTCCGAACCCTATTAATGTAAAGGATATTTTGGAAACCGCAACTGAGTTATCTGTACGAATTCGACAGGGTATTATGGAACATGGTATTGTTACGCATCCAAAATTCGGAAAAGTCTTTGCATATGAAGTTGACGGGTTTGGAAGCTCTCTTTTGATGGACGATGCCAACATTCCTTCACTACTATCGCTGCCAGAGCTTGGATTTATTGACGCGAGCGACCCAGTTTATGAAAATACAAGGAAAATGATAATGTGCAAGGAGGGAAACCCGTACTTCATCCAAGGTTCGCATCTGCAAGGCATTGGAGGGCCTCATATAGGGATTCACAACGTTTGGCCCCTCAGCATGATAGTGGCCATCCGCACATCTCATGACGACCAAGAAATAACAGAATTGCTGAGTGCGATTCTAGAAAGCACTGGGGGCCTGGGGTTGATCCATGAATCCATTCAAGCCTTCAGTCCACACGGACGCGCCTATACGAGACCTTGGTTTGCATGGGCAAATTCTGAATTTGCAAAGGCTATTATACATCTTGCGCAGACTAAGCCGCATTTAGTTTTTGACAAAAGTTACGTTAATGAGAGGTTCGACCTGCAACGTTTCCTCTCCTCGTTAAAATAAAAGCATTCATACAACGCCACGCGTGCAAACTCAACTCACCTCAGTTGATCCTCGGTGGCCAGGAGCACACCTCAGCTCCAGCTGATGACCATCTTCTACTTGCAATTTTGGAAAAGCGACTACGGAGGTTTAGAGCGGGACCGAACTAATGTCAAAAATAGAACGTCAATGGCAGTAGGTAGTAACTGTTCTCAAGGTCATTTTGCAAATCTTATGAAATTGGCACGCCCGTGTCCACTTCAAGCGCTCCTCAATATCACATTTTCTATCTTTCAAAAACAGCGGCGTAGACATTTTGTAGTTTCAAGCATGTTAATATAAGAGACGCCTGGGGCCAGCAGCTGCTGGTAATCGCACGTCGAAGTACACCGTCGTTGTCCTTTGATCTTGCCTTGTGATTATCCCGGATGACGAAAATATAGAACTGACGTGTGTAGTGCCAAACAATCGTCGAAGATTTAAGCAGTTACCAGATGAAGACTTAGGCCAAAATAGGGTTCAACGATCAACCATGGACGTTTCGTCAATCATTGCTACGTTGAGAACGGGCTCGGCTGGCAATTCAGCTGAGTTGACCTTGGATCCAAATCTCAAGTACTGGGTTCTTTTCCCAATTTCAATAGTGATGATATTGGTTGGTGTTTGCCGTCAATACATCATGGTTCTTTTGGGGTTGAAAACTAAGGTTGTGTCGAGAAAGAGAATCACAGAAATCCAGTACATCAATAAGGCCCAGGCTTTACTAGGCAACGGTACAAATTTGTCTGCCGAATCTTTTAAAATCAGGCAAGAGTATCTGGCTAGCGTGCTAGCAGAAGGCAAGTTTTTGGTGCAGCAAGAGCAATCTGAGACACCGCCTAATCCTCTTGCAGATCCTAATACATCCGATGCCATGATGGGCATGGTCACTTCCAACCTTGCCAATTACGTACCACAGACACTCATCATGTGGTGGGTAAACTACTTTTTCGCTGGCTTCCTGCTCATGAAACTGCCCTTTCCGCTGACGATCAAGTTCAAGGAAATGCTTCAAAATGGAATTATGACTCCAGATTTAGATGCTCGTTGGGTTAGCAGCATTTCATGGTATTTTATATCAACCTTGGGACTAAACCCAGTAAACAACCTGCTTTTTGGTAATAGCTCAAGTGCAAATGAGATCACAGGTGCTGCCCAGCAACAGCAACAGCTCAACTCAATGCCTGGGGGCCCGAGTCCCGAGGCGTTGACCAAAGGGTTATCCAACGATATCACAATTTTCCAGCATGAATCTTGCTTTGACTCAATTGAGGAGAGAGTCTTGAAACTGTATGCAAAATAAATGAAGCTGGAATTGAAGCTTTGACAGGACGGAGTAGAGCTTCGCATGATGGATTTTGGTCGTCCCGGTCGATTAGACATACCGTCACGAGTGACAAAGATTTTTTTATATTCATAATCATCATGACTTACCATCAAGCATCGTAATGTCAACCGGGGCCACAACTCAGGATCAGAGCACGAAAAGCCAATCCATTCTCACTAATACTCGATCTTTACAATGGCTCTCAAAACGGTTATATGTATTGGTATGGCCGGGTCTGGTAAGACAACGTTTATGCAGCGCCTGAACTCTCATCTACATGCGGCGAAGACAGCACCATATGTGGTTCAACTAGATCCTGCAGTTCTAAATGTGCCTTATGGGGCAAATATTGATATCCGGGACTCTGTAAAATACAAAAAAGTAATGGAAAACTACAACTTGGGACCTAACGGTGCGATCGTGACGAGTTTGAATTTGTTCAGCACCAAGATCGACCAGGTCATTAAGCTGGTAGAAAATAAAAGAGATCTCCATGACTACTGTATAATAGACACACCGGGTCAAATTGAATGCTTTGTATGGAGTGCTTCGGGCTCGATCATAACAGAATCGTTCGCCTCTACCTTCCCTACTGTCATCGCCTACATTGTTGATACTCCAAGAAACTCATCGCCTACTACTTTTATGAGTAATATGCTCTATGCATGCTCTATTCTGTACAAGACAAAGCTGCCTATGATTGTGGTGTTCAACAAAACGGACGTGTGTAAGGCAGACTTCGCTCGCGAGTGGATGACAGATTTTGAGGCCTTCCAAGAGGCTCTTAAGGAGGACCAAGAGCTCAATGGCGAATCTGGTATGGGCTCCGGGTACATGGGCTCCTTAATCAATTCCATGTCCCTGATGTTAGAAGAGTTCTACTCTCAGCTTGACATGGTGGGTGTTTCTAGTTTCACAGGCGACGGCTTTGACGAATTCCTAAATGCTGTGGATAAGAAAGTGGTCGAGTATGAAGAGTTTTACAAAGCTGAACGCGAGTCTTTACTTAAGCGGAAGGAGGAAGAAGAAAAAGCGAGAAAGGATAAGTCCCTGACTCATCTAATGAAAGATCTGGGTTTGAAGGATGACCAGAACCCTAAAGCCAAGAGTGACTCAAATGACGAAGCGGATGTTATCAGTGATTTAGAAGAAGAGGAAGAAGGGGAACATGATGGCATCGTACTGCGAGATGAAGACGAGGGCGTTGAACGAGAGTACACCTTTGCGGGTGATGAGAGGACCAATGGCGAGATCAACGGCCAATCGGCACCAAACTTGCAGAAACGTTATCAAGAAGCTCTGGAGCAGGTTGCCAAATCAGCTAGTAGTGAAACCGCTGAAAATATTGCACGCTATATCAGACAATAGGAAGAGGAATCTTAAGTCGAAACACGTCATTATATATACAATCCCTCCTCAAATGTTATGGGGGCATTACGTACGCCATAAACGCCTTCCCATGATATGGGCGTCTTATATTGTGTGATCTTGGGGAATCCTGAGATGATATGTGGCAATTGGCCACATGCGGCGGCGGCGTCTTCTGAGTTGTCGCCCTCTTGCACGTAAGTGTTGAAGTAGCGTATCTCCTTCAAGAAACCGCAGATCACCGGAGAGTGCAGCAGGTGGTAGCATAACTTGAAAATGAATTGTTCGGTAGCGATCCCAGACTGAAAACTGTTGTCCGTGAACTTGAAGAGAGTCTTGTTTACGGACTGCGTGTTGCTATCGTCGATCTGTAACTTTTCTTCAAACTCGCTCGAGATGTCATCTATATGCGACAAGTCGCATATGCCCAGAGAGTAAGGGCTCTTACGCAATTGGGGCACACCAATGATCTCGTCCACACTGTCCGTGGCGTCGAAAACCACCAATTGACTGATTTTGAGCGTTTCGACAAGGGGAACCAAAACGTTCTTACAGAAGCAGTTATCGTATGGCTGAATGACCGGCGATCTCTGCTGCACAACATAAAGCTTCAGGCTTGGGCTGTGGAATAGTTCCAAAGGCGTAGTGAAAGTCTTGTCTTGGGTGTTTTGGTAGAGGTTTGCTTGCGAGTCTCTAACGTAGTCCAGAGGCCCCACGAATGGAAACAGAAACATACTGTCCAGCTCTTGCACGAATGCAAAATCCGGAGCTAGCGAGTGTAGTATCAGGTCGGTCGCTAACTGGGGAACGTTCCCGGTGGACACGAGAGGTAGCAGTAGCGAGCTCATTGTGCGGAGGGGAAGAATATCAGAAATTGGCCAGTGGTTGGAATATCCAGTGAGGATGTGAGGAGTAATAGCTAGCAGGTTCTTCAGCTCTCTAACTTGCAGTCTATGAGCAACTGGGTAGCGGCGATTTGCTCCTCTGTAGCTTTTCTCGTTTGTCCTTAGAAAACGTCAACTTATAATGACAAGATAATACCTACACATAAACAAAATGACAAATACAGAGACGACTGCTGGGGATGTAAATGGGATGTAATGGCCACAAACCTAATCTTTTACTTCAGCACCCGGCGTGGCCCACACCGCTGTTGAGCATACGACGGCCTGATGCCGATTGCGACCAAAGCTTCACTGCCAAGTCGACGAACATCATGAAATAGGCCACACCAAAACTACTGATGTGGCCACCTGTGCGACCCCAGGAGTCCCATACCTTCTGGAGTTGTTCGATCACCCGCCCTAACGCCCGGTTACTGATAACTGTCATTCACATTCGGCCAAGGTGAATTCGAATTCCATGCATATATTGACGCACAAATATGCATCATGATGCAGAGAACAACATGCGTATATGGTGACCATCATTGGTCATCTGACTGCTGAAATTTTTTTTCTATTTCCATAAGCTGGTTGAATGAGGCCGATGAGCTAGCTCGGGCTCACAGTAACCAATTGACCGAAAGGTTGACTAATAATACGTTTCCCGAGACTCTTTCCATAAGGTGCAGAACTTTGGTTGGCGTCGACTAGCAAATTTTTGTGATAGCGTATTCTGATTCGGCCCTTTTCGTTACCCTATGTCTACCAATTTTGAGAAGCACTTCGAGGAAAATGTCGACAACTGCTCGTTGGAAGAGTTGAGAGATATCCTGGTCAACAAGTCCGGGAACTCCAAGCTTGCAAATCGTTTCAGAGCGCTTTTCAACTTGAAGGGCGTTGCCGAGGAGTTTGAAAGAAACCCAGAAGACGCTCGCTTGGCGACTGAATACATCAACGAGTGTTTCGCAGATGAGAGCGAACTTTTGAAGCATGAAGTGGCGTACGTCCTGGGCCAAACCAAAAACATGGTGGGTGCGCCATATTTGAGAAACGTCTTGGCGGACCGTAACCAGCAATGTATGGTCCGTCACGAGGCTGCCGAAGGGCTAGGAGCCTTGGGTGATGTGGATTCTCTAACTCTGCTAGAACGCTTCTTCAAAGAAGACCCGCTGTTGGAGATTAGACAGACATGCGAGTTGGCTATTGGCCGCATTAAGTGGCAGAATAGCGGTGCTGCTAAGACTGAGAAGCTCCAGGATTCTTTGTACTCGAGTATCGATCCCGCTCCACCTCTCACTTTGGACTCCGACTTCAAGATCGAAGAGCTGAAGAAGATAATGAACGACCAGGACAAACCACTATTTGAAAGATACAGGGCTATGTTCAGGCTAAGAGATATTGGCAACGACGAAGCCTGCTTGGCTTTGGCGTCCGGGTTCGACGATCCTTCGGCTCTTTTTAAACACGAAATCGCCTACGTCTTTGGCCAAATCGGCAACCCTGTGGTGGTTTCTAAGTTGATCGAGGTTTTGAATCGCGAACAAGAGGCACCAATGGTGAGACACGAGGCTGCTGAAGCCTTGGGATCTATTGCCGTGGACGACGTCTTGCCAATTCTCAAGGGCCATTTGAATGATAAAGATGATGTCGTTAGAGAGTCTGCTATTGTGGCGCTTGACATGTACGAATACGAAAACAGCAATGAACTGGAGTACGCACCCGCCTAAAGGATGTGCTAGGTACATGAAACGACCAAAGTACTTGTGTAAATTAGAAAGAATGAAGATGTAGAACAAAGATGACCCCTCCATTCAGGGCCTGGGAAATGAAGAACATACTCTGATATTACGTAGAGCATTCATTTGCGCGTTGGCTCGACCGTTGGGATGCATTCATCACTTTCAACTAATTGGTGCTCCCGATAAAGGTAACCTTGATATAAGAATCTAATCAACTTTTCAATTATCTACTGTAGAACATCGTTTTCCCAGCAACCTCCAAGAATAAAGTAGCCCTAGTGACCATGGTCCAACAAATTGTGTTCGTTACTGGTAACGCCAACAAGCTGAAAGAAGTGAAAATGCTTCTGGCGCCCGAAGTGGGCCAGGAAGCTCGTTTTGAATTAATCAACACCGATATTGACTTGGACGAGGTTCAAAGCAGCAGTTTAGAAGAAATCGCCCGCCACAAGGTTGCTCAGGCTAAGACTGTCTTACCTGAAGGCACAGCTGTCTTCGTTGAAGACACAGCTTTATGTTTTGAGGGCTACAATGGATTGCCAGGTGCGTATGTCAAATGGTTTTTGAAAAAAGTTGGTCCCGAAGGTCTGGTACGCATGTTAGAGGGATTCGAGAATAAGGGTGCTGAAGCTGTGACTACAGTGGCTTATTCCGATGCAGAGGGTGAGATTCACATATTCCAAGGTAAGACCTCGGGCAAGATAGTTTCTCCGCGCGGATCTAGGGACTTTGGATGGGACTGTATTTTTGAGCCGGTCGAGTGCGCCAACAAGACTTACGCAGAGATGGAGAAGGCTGATAAAAATAAGATCTCCCAAAGATCAAGAGCATTTGCACTTTTGCAGAAACATTTGCACAACGATCAATGAAGGCACAACCTCCCTCATCTTCGCCCTTGGCAACAAGGCGTTTGATAGTCAGTATGCGCCCCATTTTGTAACTTACTCCTTCCGCCAATAATCGCAGCAAGTGTCATTTAGCACAATCAGCTGTCGTCGATGTCAGAAGCGCTATCCCCGAAGCCAAGAAAATCACACTAGCAAAAGAGTCCAAATAAGGCTAAGTTTGTTCACCCAAAATGTTCACACATTTCAGTTCTGCGAGGTCACCGAAAGCTGTTGAAGATACCAACAGCTTTATCCACCGATGATAGAACGACACACCCGTATATAACGATGTCCATTGTCTGAGAAAACTTTTACACACTAAAGCTATATTATATATTGGCGAATCTGTGAAGACAGCCGATCGACTAAACGTGGAAGCAAGTCATCAAGCCGTCTACCGTTTCGACAGCTAGCTCCTGGTTATAAACTGGTTATAGCTACTAAAACGAGTACACATTTGTAAGAGTCTCGACGGTAGGAACTTTGTACGGAAGCTTGACATAGACACAAACGAGTTGATATAGACCAGATCAAAAAGCTCCACCGACCTGCTGTTCCGTATTGTGTTGCAGAAAAGGCAATGAACCAGCAGATTCAACAGGCTGTTGAAATTGCTAACTCGTCCACGGCGGACCATGAACTGAAAAAACAGGCCCTTGACTTTCTTGAGAAGGCAAAAAGCAACGCCTCGGCGGCCCAAGTATTTGCGTCACTTGCGCAGGATCCCTCGAGTTCAGATGTCAGCAGGTTCGTTGCTCTGCAAGTTCTAAGTGACTTGGTGTTGGGCAGTTCTGGCGAGCAATTGGAGTTATTGAAAGGCTCCTGTATGACTCTGCTGAGATCCAAAAGTCAAGTAGAGGGCGACACACAACCATCACCAGAATATGTCAGAAATAAAATAGCTGAGCTGGCATCCCGACTATTCTACCGTATGTACGGCGAGTGCAATGGTAACCTTTGGCCCAACTATTTTGGGGACTTGATCCAACTTTTAAATATTGAAGGTCTACAGTTGGGGACCTTCACCGATTTTTCTGCCTCTGGCCTAGATCTTTTCCTCAAGATTGCTTTAGCGATCAACTCCGAGATTGCAGATCAAACATTTGTAAGGTCCAAGGAAATACAAGCCAAGAACAATGATTTGAAAGACGCCATGAGGCTGCGAGACGTGCAACTTTTATCATCTCTATGGTACAATTCGTTAAAGTTGTTCCAAATGCAGCAACACCCGGCCCAGCTCGCAAATCTTACACTATCTTGCATCGGTTCGTACATTTCTTGGATAGAGATTAATTTGATCGTGGAACCTCAGTATATCAATATCATTTTTGACTTTTTGGATCAGCCAACTTCCAAAGCTGCATGCGCACAATGTTTGTGCGAGATAATCTCCAAGAAAATGAAACCGGGTGATAAGCTCGCATTATTGAGCATGTTGAATTTGACAGAAAAAGTTTCCAGCGTTGAAAATGACGACCTTGAAGTCCAAGAGCAGTTAGCTAAGCTCGCAGCATCCGTGGGTCTCGAATCATCGATTATCTTAGAGCAGTGCAATGACGAGAATCCGGTCTCGGAGTACCAGGAGATCGCAACTGCCGCAGATGCCCTTATTATCACTCAAGTTTCTCCGCTTGTCTTAAAATTTATGGGACACGAATATGATTCAGTCACCCAACAAACATTTCAATTCATTTCGCACTATTTACAGTTTTTGAAGAGGTTCTTTGCCCTAGGTGGGAAGCCTGGCAGTGCTGTTGCCATGAACTCCAAAAGGCTTCTGTTGGATGCTGACCATGAAAACTTCTTGGACTCGTTAATGAAAGTCTGCATGAAGAAAATGATAATAGATGAAACTTGCGACGAAGACTCCACTGATGAGATTGAAGAGTTCAATGAAACAATCCGATCCAAACTTAAAATATTTCAAGACAGTATAGCCATTATCAATCCTGGCCTCTACCTGCGAAATGTGACGGACAGTGTAGAAAGCCTAATCGCTTCAAGTGACTGGAGACAGTTAGAGTTTGCAATTTATCAAATGCATAACCTGGCAGAGAGTATAAGGAACAACCTCTTTGGCGTTAACAAACGGGATATTTTCTCTTCAGAACCCCATAGTGTGATGTGCAAATTTATGGCTACTCTACTAGATAGCACAAACATTTTCATGATCCAAAATTCACTAATACAGATATTGTTTTTCGAGCTTGTTGTAAGGCATCACTCATTTTTGCAGGCCTCTTCTAAAGATGAGCTAACTCTTCTCAATATTTTCTGCAGCGAGTTCGGGATGTTCAACAATAAGGAGCGAGTTAGACTGAGAACCTGGTACCTTTTTACAAGATTCATCAAGGCCACCAAACCAAAGTTACCGGCCGATGCCTTGTCAGAACTTCTGTCGAAGGTATCTCAACTTTTGGTAATCAAGCCAGTTGAAATGTCTCAACAACCCTCGGACATTGATGTCACATTTGATAACCAATTGTACTTATTCGATGGTGTCGGAATGCTGATTGGCTCTAGCATGGATTCAACTTACAGCTTGCTAGATGGTGTTTTGGTGCCTCTCTTTTCAGATTTAGAATCATGTATTTCAGCACCCGCCAAACCCCACGGGTTGGTGATGCAAACTCATCATATCCTAATGGCGATTGGGACTGTTGCTCGCGGAATTCATTCTGGCTTGGTTCCAGAGAACCAGGTCAACAACACTGAAACAGCTAGCAAGTTTTTTCCTCGTTCTGTGGTTGAGAAATTTTCAAATGTTGCAGAAGTACTTTTGGTAACGTTCTCGTACTTTAATAAGCATGAGATCATACGCGATGCAACCAGGTTCTCTTTCGCTCGGTTAATTCCGATTCTAAATGAGGAAATTTTGTCATTTGCTAGTCGCTTGATCGCCATCATGTTGAGTTCAGATTTGAAGGTATTGGAATTGAACGATTTTCTAGGATTTTTGGGGCAAATAGTTCACACTTTCCACAAGAGCGACGCTTGTTATCAATTGCTGAACAATTTGCTAACGCCTGTCATCGAAAAGGTTTTCAAATTACTATCGAAAGCTGATGAAGATTCTGGTGCTCTACAGTTGAGCATTTCTGCTACCGCAGCTACCAATAACGGCAACGAAAAAAATGTCGTAATTACGGATACATTTCGTGACAAGATTCTTCTTAAGAAGGCTTATTACACATTCTTACAATCGTTTGTCACCAACAACTCGACGTCACTTTTTTTAACTGAGTCAAACCAAAATGTTTTACCAATGGTCCTGGAGGACCTGGTAACCTACGCGCCCGAAGAAATACACGAGACATCATCCATGAAACTATCTTTAAATGTTCTCGTAAACTTTATCAAGTTTTTGGGGACTGGCGCGTGCACGGACCCTCAGGATCCCAATGCCAGCACGTTCGGCAAGCTAGAAGGACTGGATGAGTTTTTCATCACCAAAGTGATCCCATTGGTATTTGAAGTACCCTTCAAGCCAGAGTATGGTTTCAATGTCCGCGATGGTAGTTGCAGAGTTGTAGCTTGCGATTTGTCAAGAATACTCAGGGCCTTGAGCGGACTTTACGCCAATTCAAACCCCAGTCCTTGTTTAACCTTTTTGACGGAAACCTATTTTCCTCAGGTCCAATTCCCGGAGTCACTGTCTGCCGAATTTGTAAATGCGCTGACCAACAGCGATGACAAAAGTTTCGAAAAATACTTTGTTAGTTTCATTACCAGCATGGTGGGATGAGTCCCTCTTTTCTCCACCGTTAAAACAAAAACTTGTGCAGCAACCAGCTGCATAACCAAAAGAGAGCTACAAGCTTAAAATCAACCTAGAAGGAAACCTTGTAATTATCCACTGCGCCTGTGTCCCTGAGAGACAAACTGGTATTCAAAACCTTGCATGAAAAAAAAAGAGGTCTAGTTTGTTGTAAAGTAAAGCCGTAACAAACCTCACCTAGCATAAAAGCATATATAATTTTTATAGGAATATCTGTTTCCAAGCATTAGCTGTGTTTTTGTCTCATTCGAAATCATGCTGTCATATGCTGAGTAAATAACGAAGAATACTCGACCTAAGTGAAAAAACTGTAAGCTTCAAACACATGAAATGTATTGCTATAAACTAGCGACATCCTTCACCTTGTGACGGTGTCCTAGAATAACACCAAGAACCCAGTGGACGGATATTCACCATACCACGAAAATTTATGTAATCGGTGAGGCTCAGCTCGTATATCAACTTTCACTCTCTCCTCAAGGCCACTGCGGGGGCTCTCGGAGCTTTAGACCCAAAACCTGGCTAACGTATGAGAGAGGGGTCCCAAGAGGCCAAGGAAGTCCAGATGTTTGTTTATGATGTCACTTTGTACTAACATGACGCGAGTGAGCTCTCTACCATAAAACTAACGGCCATCACTACACCTCTAAACCCACACCATTGGTATTGGTTAACATAATATTAGCAGCCACGTATCTTTCCGGGCCCCAATTGATATATGATTAGCATTTCAAACATAGAAAACACACGAAACTTGAGTATGCATGGAAGCTTCCCCAAAGTTGAGCTCCCACAAACAGCTCATTGAGTGGCATGTTTCGATATGAGGCTACTCTCTCAAAACTATGAGCATAAGCCTCCGTGCCAGTGATTGGAACATTGGATCGAATATATGTTTCGTAGATAATGATTTTAAGTGGCGACGTTTATCCTTCATTTCTTAACCGTGGACCGTGGAGACTTCCCATACGCATATATCACACAAAGTACAGGTGCGAACAAAGCAGGTTCTCGCACGATGTCGGCTTCTAAAACGCCTATCCCCGACCTTAAAGGGCTGCCGGACGAAAAAATGCCCATTGCCGTAGAGGCGACTTCAGAGGCACATTTGAACGAAAATAAGGATGACGCTTCAGTGGTGGAACCTGAAAGCCTTCAAATCTCTCATATTGAGGATTACAAACCTTTAGCAGGTACGAAAAGCTGTATATACTCCATGAATGAGCTTATTGACATCTCCAAAGCAGTTTCAATAAATTCGCATTTGTCTTCGGAGGTGAATTTACCCAAGAAGAGTTTTTGGAGGTTGACCAGCAGGCATCCAGAAATCAGGCAAAATGAGATGGGTACGCATAACGGGAATGGAAATAAGCATAATGGGAGCTTCAAGGGCCAGGATTATGGCGGAGACAAGAAAAGCAGCAGAGGTAAGAATGCTAGAGGCGTCAGGCGTAGCGCCAAACTCGCGAAAGGTGACAAATCTTACGTTGAGGAAAAAGATGTGAAGGTAAATAATGATGAGCTTCTGGCTTTGGAGGAGGAAATCAAGCCAACAGGGAACTCGATATCTGACTTTGAAAACTGGAGGGCCAAAATGAAGGAATTGGAGCGCAAGAAAAAGGGGCAGTCGTCCAACAGTAGTTCCGACACCATTGAGAGGCCACCTCTAGCCAACAATGGGAGCTCTGTGTCCGATTTCTTCAATCTGCAACGTCAAAGCAGCTCTAATTTCGAAGAACTTGAACCACAAGACTCCTCCGACAACCTCAAAAGTTCTCATTCCCGATTCTCTTCTTTTTTCAATGGACCCAGTAACCCAAAAACAGAAGCATCTCCAAGTTCTGTAGCACAGCCACCCACGCCTAAGGAGAGAGAAGCACGGCCTGCGGGCTCCTCCCGAGTTCTGTCGTTCTTTGATAATATGGACACGAGGAAAAATACCCCTGGGCATACATCTCAGAATATCATTGCCCATCCCCCATCTTCTGTCGTAAGTCCACCTGTTCAAGAACAGACGAATAGTAACTTTTTTCAAGGCCTTTTGAACAAAGGCAAGGCTCCCTCCAGTAGAAGCCCTAACGATCAACTAGTTTCGCCAGATCAAAAACCGGTTCCTGACAAGTCAGCTGGTCCAGCTCTAGTCGCTGCCTCCCCACGGGAAAATGAACCGCCAAATAATCACACTCCAAGTAGAGGTCCCCCTGGCCTCGCAAAGTTACCAGGTAATAAACCTGTCATGTCAACCCAGGCTCCCCCCGGCTATCCTGTTCCCATGCCCATGAACCCCTACTTCCCTAACACACAGCATATTGGCCAGCCGCCCGCAGGCTTTCAGCCTTTCCAAATTCCACCACCAGGTGTAGGTGTCCCCCAAAATTTCTTTGGCAACCAGCGACAGGCGGGTGACTTTCAGCGATCTGACAAAAAAGACGAAGCGATCAATGGATCACAAGAGATGCGGCTCCCATTTATGTCTAGTCCCCACAATCTGCCACCACCTGGATTTCCTCCAATGCATGGAATACCTCCAGGCATTTCCCGTGATTTGCCTATGCCCAGTATGATGGCACCCCCTCCTGGGTTTTTTCCCTCTCAAGGCCCCTCGATCGCGCAATTTGGTAACCCACAAAGTCGTCAACAAATGATGAATGCTCAGTCTCTGTCCCAAAGAACGCCACCTCGTGAATCACAGTAAAGTCGCCAACCTCTCAAATTCTCTGACACTGTTTGTCGACCAAAACGAAGATTCGTGAAATGATGATGCTGATCCATTTGTGTGTATCTAAGTATACATATATCACATACCTTTCCTATAAAGGTCTGCTACACTGATGGCTAAGTTAGCTAATTGAATATGTTCATTGCCTCCATTAGTGAGCTTTGAATCTGTATCGAATATCAGCCAAGAGAGCTTGTTTTTAAACTTCGAGGTGAGTTGTTCATTATTGATGTAATACTCATGTAGCTGGTTAACCACAGCGGAACCACTCCAACCACTTCTCTCTAAATCTGCAACAAACTTCATAATGTCGCTAAAGTCCATACCTGCGATTTTAGAGGTGAGGGTGGAAATGAGATCAGATGGAACAGTGCCAGCGAGCTCGTCAACCGTCAAGTTCGATATTACTGGCGGTTCGAGATGCTTTACAATTTTGGAGGACGACTGTAATAGCATTATAGCTCTCCTGAGATCACCTTCCGAGATATCCAAAATCTTTTCAAGGACATTGTCCTCGTATTGCAAACTTTCCTGTGAAGAGACGTATTGTAATCTAGATAAAGCATTTGTGGAGTCCAGGCGCTTGAAACGAAACTTGGAACAACGAGACGCCAAAGGGTCAATGATTCTGGTTACATAATTGCAAATCAGACAAAACCGTGTGACGTTGGAGTAGTTCTCCATGGTTCTTCTAAGAGCACTTTGCGCATCGGAGGTCATCGAATCGGCCTCATCCAAAATAATGATTTTGTAAGGTGGGCAGGGATATTTTTCCAAGTCAGAGGTCGATGGCTTAGAAACGGTCAACCTGGCAAAACTCTTTATTTTATCACGCACAATCGCAATACCACGTTCATCTGATGCATTCAGTTCTAGCACCCGACTTTTCACCAACGTGGGCCCGTACAGTTCCTTTGTCAACGCCAAGATTGTAGACGTTTTACCCGTTCCTGGTGGCCCATAGAATAGCATGTGGGGCAAGTTTGCAGATTTCAGCGTTTTCTGCAAAACTGTAACAGTGTGGTCCTGTGCTGCGACGTCTTCAAGTTTTTTTGGTCTGTACTTCTCAACCCAAGGTTTGGAATCGTCGATGTTTGATGCCTGTTTTGGCGCGGTTTTCTGCCGCTTCGCAAAAAATCCTTCACTCATTAGCTTTATCAAATTCGACTCTCAAATCTCGTGGGATAAGTATCGTTGACGATAAACCTTCTCTCTGTGATCTTGTCGGAAACTGAACCCAGTAGTAACTTTATTTACGTATTCATATATTAATTAATTAATTAAATAAAATAGATTTATTTGATCACAATTGTTAGTTGACTGAACTGTAAAGAAAGCTAAGTAACTAGGGTGACTTAAAACGCTCAGCAGGCTATTCGGGCTATAGAAATCATTTTTATTGGACTAATGTCTTTATCAGATGGGGATGTTTGGGAATCTGACTTCGAAAGCACAATGTCTGTTCCTTCCAAACAGGACGAAACAGCTGAAATTCGTAAGCTTCGACTAATCCACCAAAAGAGAGGTTACCTTGATGGCATCACCTCGGCTAAGGAAGAAAACTTACAGTCGGGATTTGATGAGACGTATGGCATAGGTTCCAAATTCGGAAATCGGATTGGAATAGTGTTGGGTGGTCTCTATGTCCTCGCAACCCTGCATGGCGAGCGCGATGACGCCCTCAAAAGGGACCTTGCGCAAGCTCAAAGAGATCTCAGGATTAACAAAACACTTAGCAAGCAGCATTTTGATGAGAACTGTGACATGCGAGAGGAAAGTGATCCGGTAAGTGCTTGGGAAAACGTCTTGGTCCAATACCAGCGCAAGTACGCGCAGTAAGTCTCCGTAGCACGCGCTAGGTGCTATCGTCACCAGAACGAGCACCAGCCAATGTAGTGCTGGCATAGGTTTTCCACGGATGTGGCTTGTTGAATGAGCTTCTCGACTTGATCGGGGACATCCAATCCTTGGAACCGAGGAAAATCATTGCCTGTAACTTTGTCGGTGATCCTCCGCAGCACCAGCATTGCTCTGGCATTTCTTATTTCGACCTTTTGTCGAATCTCCATTTTTGCAGCCTCCTCGACTGAAATCGTGCCTTTTCGTAGCAGTTCGCTAGGATTTACTAATGGCAGCTCCGTACCCGTCTGTTCGGCGATGGCCTGGGTGGGCAGGTCAAATCCCCAGTTAATAAGGGGATCATAAGCAAACGCCTCTAGTATGGCCATCAGGGATTCTTTATTGTCTCTGAGAACTCTCATCACATTCTCGCAAGTTATGCGGAAACTTCCTTCAATACCACTTACCTCCATAGCATAAGTCAGCATTCTCGTTAGCCTAAAAGGAACCTTCTCTGGATACTTTTCTCTTAGGATTGCAGCTTCAAAGCAATCCCCAAAATCGACGTGGACGATTTTACCAGTGATTCTATCCAGCATGATATTGCTTGGATGTCTGTCACCCAGACCCAAAATATATCCCACCATGGACATCACTGCAAGAGACCTCGTGTAGGTAGTCCGGCGCTCTAACCAAGACTCTGACGATCTACTCTTTAGCCACAAAACTTTGTAAAGATCCTGTCCTCGTGTGTTATCTAGCGCGTAAGTGAAAACTTCTATTTTTTGAAGAAGGGTTAGGTTATCGTAATCAGGTGCCATTTGCAGCATAATTCTGTGTTCAATGTTGAGCGGTATTTTTCTAGCCTCACGATGCTCCCTAATCAAAACATGGAATGTATCACTATTGTTTACCCAGCCCAAAAGACCGGATTTTGGTGATAGTGGAATTGTAGGGTATCTTCGAATATCTAAATGCCGCTGGAAGCACTCCGCGTCATTTTGTAGCAAAGTATTAACAAGACCGAAAAGTTGCATAACCAAGTTATCTTGTCTAATATCCTCATGTCCTTTCAACAAATATTGGTAGTCTTTACCATCGCTACCCTTAACAGACAACTGCCGTGGCCTCTGTTTTGAAGATATTACATGGAACACAGGTTCGAAGTATGAGATACGAACCACTGGCTTACCCGCTTGGTAGGTACCAGCAACTGCGAGTTTCAAGTCATGTGCCGCCAGCAATCTTGGTGACACATGTTGTAGCTCCAGCGTCTGTAGCTGAGGTAGTTGACGGCTAATACGGCGGAAAACATTGTAATAGATATCCCAAGCTTGGTTTAAATTGGTGATGTCTTTGCTGCGTTTGTAGTTCAGTACCCATTCGTAAGCGTCATTCAGATCCCTTCCAAAGGAATTTTGGAATGATATCTCTCGTAATGTCGACGGACCCTTCTTCAACATTTCATGCAAAGGCTCCAATGTAGCAAACATCTTCTCGGTGTTGTGCTCCCCTATGAACTGTCTGCTAGCATCTTCCAGGCCTTCGTACCACAGCTCATGCCATAGGACTGCTACCCGAATCAATTCGTTGCTAACAATTTCAGCTTGATCGACCAGAACAGAACTGTGGATTCGCATTTTCGCGATTATCGATAAAGCGGCTTTCTGTCGGGATACCGATTCAGATTTGATGGCCACTGTGAGAGGGTACACTAAAGCCTGGGGATGTGCTTTACCCAGGTCAGAAAGCAGAGATAATAGTGATCTACTAACTGTGTGATTCGGTTGGTGAATTCGAGTGATTAATTGAGGAACAACATCAAGCCAGTTGTCAATCTTTATCAAATTGAAACCCTCATGCATGGCTTGAGCAGCCTCTGGAGCTCCACCGAACTTGAACCACAAAGTAAGAAGCCTCAGAGTATCCTGGAGTGAATTGGACTCTGAGTGTAGAATAGAATGGAAAAACCCTTTGATGGCCGGTACTACATGTCTCAGCACCAACTCTGGGGGGTAACTATTGATATTAGTATTATCGTTGGTGACTGAATGTTCCGATTCTTCGAGCCCACTATCGTTGAGAGTCGCTTGACTTTTTAACTTATCATCACTTGAGTTGATGGATATGACATCAAAATTGGCAAGAGCCCAATTATGCCAAGCTTTATACCACTTATTGTCGAAATGCGTGGCCAACAAATAGGAGCCCAGAATGGCGTCGGGGTTTTCCAATAGCCAGTTGCTCTGTAAAGACACCCTCCACTCACCTTGCTTCAAGAAGCAACGGGCTAGAAGTTTTGTATATTCGTCAATATGGTGAGCTGGGATCGTGTTGCTCTGGGGTACACTGCGGGCGATCATGTTGCTTGGATCAAGACCTAAGTCGTGAGCAACTCTTGAAGTGAAGCTTATTAAATGTCGTAGAGCTTCTTTCTGTGAACCAGTTGCCCACATGTATTTTAATTGTGCATAAACAACTGGAGGAGGGGCTCTTGCGGTGTTGGGGTGATCTGGGTCTCCGCCATCTTCCAGAAGCGAGTTAAGGGCTTTTTGAGCGAGACCCATTCTACCTGACTTGCGACAAAGGTTGGCGAACTTTATCCAAATCTGCATGTCTTGCTTAGGTTTAACGACAAGCGAACGGACCCTTAAAATTCTCTGCCACACATCAACATTCTTTTGACATCCAAGCAATCTCTTATTCCACGTTTTTCTTAGGGCTGCGCGCTTGTCCGAAGCGGGAGGGAGTTTCTTGTATTCAATTATCTCCTCCAATTCGGAAATCATTTGCGAACGAACAATTACACTGTAGGCTCTGTTGTAGCTTTCATTAACCAAAGCTGATATTTCTGTCACGAGCAGATCTCTAGCCTCAAAAATGTGCCTCTCGGCTTGTTCAAAGTCGTTTCTGTGGGTGCAAGAAATTGCCTCGAAAAATGCTTTATCTGGGGATTGACGCTTCATAGCATCAATATATTGATCAATACGATCCCACTGACCAAGACCCCAGGCTGCGCCTGCTGCTAGAGGGGCTATAACCCTTTTCATATCGATATCAGAGGTGCTCCACTTCTCAGCCGCAATCTCAGAAAGACGATCCCATTCTCCCAAAGCATGAAGGGACCTCATCTTACCCAGTCTGACTTCGATCGAGTCTTCTCCAGCCAATTCGCGCTGGTTGTAAGCGCTCAGAGCATCTTCCCAACGCTGTAGCTTTTCGTACCAAGTCTCTTTGAGCTGGAGATCATGATGTTGCTGTGCATGTTTTAGTATCCCTATTGCAGCATCGGTCTGATGCAATTGATTGTTGATACTAATCAGGGACTCGATTGTTGATGTATTGGGTTCCTGAATGAAGGCCAGTTCCTTATAGTGCAGCGATTTGGCGTACGCGTGGCATTTTTGAGCGTACTCTCCGAGAATTGGAACAGGGATAGGAAGGGGTTTGTCATCGTGCTCCATGAATTCAATTAGATTCAACAGTGTTTGGTGTATCTCAGGTGGGTTATTTGGGGAAGATAGCGCCAAGCACAAGGAATTGACAAAGTCCTCTTGATATTGAGTATAAAGCTCTGTCCAGCAGCTGGCAAAGGAGGCATTGAAAAGCTCCCTAGCCAGAGGGTAATATATTCCAGCAAGACCGGAACATGCTCTTAGAGCATGAGAAGGCGATTCCTTTAGCAATTGAACAGCTAAACGGCGTATCCACTCTTGCCAATCTTCTTTAGTTCTTTGCTGGCTGCAATCCCAAGCGTTTTTCAAAATGAGCTGATTAACAGGAAGCTTCTTGGAGGGAAGCTCAACGTCAGCAACCTCATTGCTTGCAACATCAAAGTCGCGGTCAACTATCACGTTCGTTGGGAGGGGTTCAGTATTGAGAAGCTTGTTGACTAATTGATCATAGACAGTGTGCTGAATTTGGTTTCTCACCAACGTCTTGTTAATTATTGGTATAAAGACAGCAAAATCCACGCCAAGTTGCAAAAGCAGAAGACTGAGTGTATTCATCGTGGCTCTTATGAAATCAACGCTGCCATTGTTAAGGACGCGGATCAAAGCCTGAACTATTCTGGAGGACATTTCTGACAAATTGACTGTTTTGGCGAGTCGGCCAAGAGTGATAATAGCTACTTTGTTCAGAGGGCCTGAACCAAACTCAGAAATTCGCACAACGGCGGGAATAATGAGATGAGCATATTCGTCCAGGTTTGCATCAAAAACAACCAAAGATTTCAAAATTCTCACGGAAACAACCTTCTTATGAGACTTATCTTTTTCTAACACGTCCAGAAACAAAACCAATGTTGGAGGGAGGAATAGGTTGAACTCTCCTTTCAAAGATCTGGATATCGATTCAATGACCGATATAATCGTGATCTGTAGTTTTACAATAGGAAAAAACTCTTTAATTATCTCGAAAATCTCTCCGACAAAGGGGCGGATATGTTGGTTGACAATTGAAACCAATATACCCAGTTGTTGAAAATAAAATTCAAGAAGGGAGGGAGGGCATGTTCTCATAACCGTTAAAATTCCAGGGATAATTTGCTTTAGAAATGACACACATCGAACACCTAATGTTTGAAATATATGCATCACTGCTTGAATTACAGATGTGTGATGGGAAGATAACGAGGGATCTTTCAGAATTTTCATAAGTGTGGCTATAACAACGGTGGGATAGTATTCCTCGTTTGAGGGAGACATTCCTTGCATCAATAAACCTACGTCTATAGGCGGAGCATTTTGCTCCGCTGACGCGCGTGCATTCGAGGTCCTCTCAACCTCCCGATGCTTATATGGATCCAATGCACCCAAGATTCCTATTAGGCGAACAGTTTCTCGCCTTATATTTTGAGAGCTTTCTGATTTAAGGATATTAATTAAAACCGCCAAAAGCTCAGGGTAATTGAGCAAAGGTTCAATCACATACCCAGAGGAAGCTGCAAGCTGTCCCAGAGTTTTCAAAGCCGCATTTCTCTTGAAAGAATTTGATTGGTCTTGGAAGGTGCTAATAATCAAAGGCATTAACTGGTCCAAAAATAATGTCAGCTCTTCGCCACCAACGACAGACAGCTCACCAATGGCCCTCAAAGCAGTAGAGGCAACTGCTGAAGAAGAATCTTGGCATTTGGGCAACAAAACATCGAGAATTGGCTCGATGTAAGGTTTCGCCACATCCTGACCAGAGCTTATCAGGGCGCTAATCAGCGCGGCACTTTCCTCCTTTTTGCGAGACAAGTTAGAATAACCCAGTTGGCTTAATAACTGTAGCAAAGTCTTTCTTAAGGAAGGTATAACGTACGCTGGGTTGACCACTGAAAGTCTGCCGATTATTTTCATAGCCTCCATTTGTATGGCAAACACTTCATCGTTGAGTGCCATAAACAGTAAGCGTACATTGTCCGGTTGAGACAGCTGCGGATCGAAGTTTGTGTCTAAGTGCCTCAAGACTTCGAATCTGATCTCAACAACGGGATCCGTAATCGCTACCGTGACCAGTTTGCTCAAGACTTCAGACACAGTGTTGAGAGCTCGAAGTGATGTCTGCTTGCAAATGCTGTCTTTCACAAACAGATCGCATGAGGTTAAAGCAGCAAGTTTTCTTACTTGGGGGTTTGAGTGCTCAATGTAAGAAATGGTGATTAGTCTTACAAATTCAGCAAGTGAGTATCGGTATTCTATCTTGTGTAACATGTTTAATGCCTGATCAAGGATGTGGACGTCGGTATTATCGTCATTGAGTTCCCCTGTCTTTCTGAGAAGAATTTGATCTCTGAAGTTCCTGGCCTTTTCTGTATCGAAGGGTTTCAAAGGTGTAGGTGATCCAGGTGGTCTAAACATTTCTCCTGATAATGTAAAGCATAAAACGTCAAGAATCTTGTCATTGATCGTTGGGGCGAGTGCTGGAACTTCCTCTACAATCGTTGAAAGGGTAGTTTGCATGTGATTGGAAAGAGGGCACGCCAGCATGAGGTCAAGAAGATCTTGACTCAAATATTTGGACAGGGCAGGGCCCACGGCGCACGCCAGCTTGGCTACGCAATAGAATACCTCCGCTTCAAATTCTTTTCTTTGCTTATACTTGGTCATCAAAACATCCCGTACGTTATCCAAAATTGAGTCCATGTACGGTGAGATGTTCGACCCCACCTCTTGTGCCAAATCTCCGATAGAAACCGAGATCGCTGCCTTATCAGAGCTATTAGTTGGTGTTGCATTCTTTATTAGGGTTAGGTAATGGATCATTATGTGATCCAAGTATTTTTCAGTGAAGAGGTGAGAATCTGCAGCAGCCAAGAGTGGCAAAATGGCATAAACCTCATTTCTGATAACGCTTGATTTGTGATCTTTGTATCGCATCGTCATCTCATAAATCTCGTCAAATTGTTCCTGTAAGTGAGACCCTTTCAGGGAAAGTAGCTGCCTGTAAACTAGCAAAGCAGCATGTATAGCTTCACTACTGTTCAGTTGGAAACCGTAGGAACAGCCCTCAAGTAGCCTTTGGAACCACTTTTTCGTTAGTTTTGAATCCCGCTCTTTTAAGATGTACATGCATTTATACAAGGCATTTGCGGCGTCGACGCGAATTGCAAGCCTTGTATCCCTCAAAACCCTCCAAATGTTATCCAAAATAGAGTTAATGTACGGGTAAAGCAAATACGGCGAGTTATCAGCAATAGCTGTAATGATGAGCAACGACGCGTGCTTACGAAGCTCTTGTTTAGAATTAGATGATGAATTTTCAGGAGAAGTTGTGAGCCACTCGATGCATGATTTAACTTCGAATTCAACAAAGTCGGAAGTTAATGTACCACCAGGAACCGCCAATTTGCCTAAGGTCTTTGCAGCTGCTCGCATCACGTCCACGTCATTAGAGGGAACCAGAACTCGGAGGTAATTGGCAAGCCTTGAGGTTTGATTGGGAAGCTCATCTGATTGAGCGTAAAAATCAATAAGTGTGTCGACTGCGAGAATACCACCATATTTCTCACTCGAAGATGAGCCGTGGATGAGCTCGAATATCTTATTATTGATATCATTGCTAAATCGCTGGAAATGCTCTGTAGATACTTGGCGTGCAAGTGCTATCAAATTGTTCTTGAGTTCAAAAGAAGCCGCTGCGCGCTCCTGAGCGCTTGGGTTCTTTAATTTGTTGAAAATAATGGCGAACGCCATGAATGCCGTTTCAGAATCGGGGTCTCCACCAACAGAGCTACCTGGCATACCTGTTGCCAGAGCAGAGACACCAGCATCCCCATTTCCGGTGACAGTTCCGGCGTTAGAAGTCCCATTTCCTACAGACCCCGAAGTGCTATCTTTATCACTCTCAGAGGCTTTTTTGTTGCTGGTCATGAGCTTCCTATGCCTTCCAAGATCATGTTTCATCGTCAACATGGAAGTGGCGAGTTGGATGGTGGTCAATCGTCTAGATGCTTTCGAATGACCTATGGACTTGACTGCACCGCACCGTGTTTAAGCTAAGCTGACACTGTTTATCGTTTATTGGGCTTTTTATCACTTTGAACGTTTATACGTCGAAGATTGAGTAGCATATGCTCTTTTAGGTGCTGGCACTCCGCTAGGTCTGCCTGCTACTTCAGTGAAATGATAGAGGCTTAGTATGCTTCAAAGAAAACGGGATCCTAATCAGGCTTAAGAACATGTGGTACATACGTGAGACTGTCGCTGGTGGCTGATATGTTGGCAACTGGAGAACCCCAGCCAACGAGCACAGCAATTCAGTCAGACAGTAAACTCGGGCTTAGATGCTTTTAGGCGCTAATGATCAAGATTGAAGGATCTCTCATTTATTGTATATCCTTCTTGACGAATAGGACACCGTTTATGCTTGATTGTGGGCTCTCACATTGTTTAGAATGTGATAGATGGTTACAATCTAATGGATGCTACTTGATGGTGCCCTTTCTGCTTCTTTAGAACCATTGAGAAAATTCACTGACAAATAGATTGTTACCCCATACACTAGAAAATCTCTGACGTAGAAGAGATGATGGAATAATAAGAGTTTATGCTTTCCTGAGAAGTAGAAAAGGTAACTGAGCGTACTTTACTGGGTGAGCTCGCTGATAATTTTGATATAGATAGCGTTCCGTCTTCTGGATGGATATCTCGCGGTCATTCATTAACGGTACTACAGTATAAAGTGATCAGAAAATCAATAAAAACCCCTTTCCATTACTGTTCAAGTGAACCAAATTGGACTAGGTCGAATAGCGACCACAACACACGGAAGACTGAGTGGTGAGTACTTGGTTGGATTAACGCTCATCTGGCAATTTTTTGAAGCTTCAACAAAAGATGTCATATTTGAACAATCCGGCCATTGTTATGGACAATGGTACCGGTCTAACCAAGCTAGGTTTTGCCGGAAACGATTCCCCCTCTTGGGTGTTTCCCACAGCCATAGCAACGGCACAGCGATCCAACACAAAGGCTACAGGTGCCTCTTCTGGCTCCAGTTCAATACAGAATAGCGGAACGCCCTACTTCGGAAACTCAACTTCCGCCACGTCATTTAATAGCCTCGCAGCATCAGCGCTCATGTCTAATAACTTAGCAGGCAAGCGTGGAACTGAAGATTTGGATTTTTATATTGGTAATGAGGCCCTTTCAGCATCTCAAGGGCCTTCTTATTCCCTCAGCTATCCCATTCGCCATGGTCAAGTGGAAAACTGGGATCACATGGAAAGATTCTGGGAGAACTCTATCTTTAAGTACCTAAGGACCGAACCGGAAGACCATTTTTTCCTTCTTACGGAACCCCCATTGAACCCTCCAGAAAATAGGGAGCAAGTGGCGGAGATTTTCTTCGAGAGTTTTAATTGCGCCGGTCTTTACATCGCTGTTCAGGCGGTTTTGGCCCTGGCTGCCTCGTGGACTTCTTCCAAAGTAGTCGACAGGTCTCTCACTGGTACAGTCATTGATTCTGGTGATGGTGTAACACACGTTATTCCTGTTGCTGAAGGCTACGTGATTGGTTCAGCAATCAAAAACATACCTATTGCAGGAAGAGACATCACTTTGTTTATTCAATCATTGTTGAGAGAGCGTGGTGAGGAGGACACCTCTCTAAGGACTGCTGAGCGTTTGAAACAAGAATATTGTTATGTTTGCTCTGACATTGTGAAAGAGTTTAACAAGTTTGATAGAGACCCTCAAAAATTTGCACAGTTCATCGTGGAAAATACAGAAAAGACCAAGCGCAAAGTAATAGACGTTGGTTATGAAAGGTTCTTGGCGCCCGAGATTTTTTTCAATCCAGAAATTGCATCCTCCGATTTTCTGACTCCACTCCCAACAGTGGTTGATCAAACAATTCAGGCTTGCCCAATCGATGTTCGTAAGGGCCTTTATAACAATATCGTACTATCTGGTGGCTCCACTATGTTTAAAGACTTTGGACGTCGTCTACAGAGAGACTTGAAGGGCATTGTCAACCAGAGAATAGCATTGAGTGAAAGTTTAAGTGGTACTAGGTCTACCGGCGTAGATGTTCAAGTCATTTCTCACAGAAGGCAGAGAAATGCCGTATGGTTTGGAGGATCTTTATTGGCTCAAACTGCCGAGTTTAAGAGTTACTGTCACACCAAGCAGGACTATGAAGAAATTGGACCAGAAATTGTTAGGAATTTCAGTCTGTTCAACATGGTATAATTTGTCTGCTAGTATGTGACCAATCTAGAAGTACAAGCGATATAAGTGCAAAAGCAACGATATAATTTTCATCATTTCTTAAAAAGTATTTACAGATCAGTACTCATCCTTCCCACTAATGATGACGTTGTCAATCTTCAGAATCATTCTGCACAACTGAGTGGCAAGCTGAATTTGTTGTTTTTTGCCGATCAAAGGGTCTACAACGAACAACTCCTTCATGTTGTTGGAATCATTAGACAAGCAATCGACCCCTGTGGTGGATGTCTTTTCCTTGATTTGTGTACTTTTTAGTAGCGAGAGAGTCTCGATAGGATCCAGGCCAGAATTCTCGGCCAAAAGCATCGGTATCGTGTCAAGAGCTTGAGAGAAAGCACGGAATGCGTACTGGTCGATGCCATGTTGTTTGTCAGCCTCTTCAGAAACGGCGATTGACATGGTAACTTCAGCTGCTCCACCACCGTAGACTACTCTAGAGTCTTTAACCAAATTTCTTACGACGCACAAAGAGTCATGCAATGCTCTTTTGGCTTCTTCTACAATCATTCTATTAGAGCCTCTAATAAAACATGTCACGGTCTTAGAGTTCGAGCATTCTTCGATAACTAGCATACGGTCCTTTGTAGTTCCAAACTCAACTTCGCGTATCGTGCCGCACGTCCCCAGTTTTTCAGGTGATAGATCTTGGAAGCGTGGAACAATCCGGCCCTTGGTTGCAATGGCAATCAGTTCCAACTCTTGTCCACCAACCCATCTCACCGCAGGAAGGTTGTTTTGTAGTAGCAAATGATTAGCCTCATCGTCAAACCCCCACTGACAAATTGCCACGTCCGCACCAGCTTTCTTGACATAATCAATCATTTCAGTGAACTTCTCCTGCTCGTATGATTGAAGCTTCTGGTACTCTTCCACAGTGGAGATATCAAGTTTGTGCTTTGTTTTGGGTTTAGGAGGCTCGAATGGGCATGTCAAAATAGCCAATTTCACACCATCTTGACCTTCCTTAGCCACTACAGTCTTGGGCATTTGGGGGTGGGAAAAGTCCTTATCAAGAACAACACCCTTGATCACTTTGGAATCTTGTAAAGACCCACCAACTCGACCTTCTAACTTGATCAGATCGAAATCGACATCTTTCCTCTCTAGATCCATGACGCTCGTTACAGCATCGACGGCCATTTGGGCAAATTTGTCATGGTCCTTAGAAACTATTTTGGAACCCAAAGATGTCTTAGCCGCTTTGAAGAGATAGTCTTGAAATGAAGAATCGGTGGAAGCCACGTCATCTGCCTGTGCCTCTAAGTGCTCCACAGCCACCTTTGCAGCCTCGTCGAAGCCGTTGGCGATTTTAATTGGATGAATACCCTTTTCGATGAGCTCCAAAGCTTGGTCCAGCAAAGCACTGGCGAGAACCACAACGCCGGTGGTACCATCTCCGATTTCTTCATCCTGGGATTTTGAAAGTTGTACCAAAAGCTTGGCGATTTCGTTATCCAGCTCCATTTGGGACAATATGGTGGCACCATCGTTCGTGATGGTGATTTCACCATCTGGCGAAATTAGAATCTTATCGAGGCCCCTTGGGCCCAAAGATGTTTTTATAATTGACGCGACTGACCTAGCTGCCAGGATGTGAGATTTCTTGGCCTCTAGCCCATGTTGTCTTTGTTTGTTGCCTTGATCTCTTACAATGATGAACGGTCTTCCCATTTCGTCCTGAGCCATAATGGCATTGGACATGTCGGGCATCTCCATAGCCTGAGATGGGTGAGCCATTTGATAATTAATGAATGTAGATCAAAAGATGAAAGGGCCCCAATTGAGAAACCTCACGTCGTTTCACTCCTGCAGTGGCACTTATAGCGTATACGTGTAATGCTAATATCTTAAAAATTTGCCATCCAACCAGAGAGATTGACGTTCTGAGTGATTAGTTTCGATGTTGGAGTACATGAGTACTCGCGAGGATTATGGAAGTGGGATATCGACCGACCAACAACGTCGAAGCCCAATGTCTCTTACCAGCATTCTACCATTTCAATTTACACGTCTATTCTTTGAATTTTATTTATTTTACAATGTGGCGGAAGGATATTAGCCGCTTGAATATGCTAAATGGCGTACCACTTTCAATTGTTGGTTCTGAAGCGGTACCCACACGCGGTACAGGTGTAGAAAACGGTGGCACCTTCATCCGCAGACCGCAGTTGTAGTGTATGATAATGCATTTCGTCGTTACCACATTTGGGACATTTCTCGCGGATCGTGGCTCCTTCTTCCAGTTCGTCCTTTTTGAGCGAGGTTTTGACGACAGATCTCTTGGACTTTAATACTGACGGGAAGGCGTCGTCTGCAGTACGAGTTACAACCCGCAAATCTGAAAATTTCGATTTAGGATATGACGCACCACATTGAGAGCAGTCAATTTGGGCGCCTGAAACTGCAGAGGGGTTATCCAGTAAGTTACCGCAATCCGAGCAAAATATGAGCGAGCCAACGACAGACATGTCCGAGACTTTCGTTCTGAGAATCCAGCGAGGTTTTGGTGATGCGATGCGATGAAGAAGAGCCGAGATATTGGAAATTTTTCAAGTTCCGTTATTAGTGATGGTCGTTAGCTGGCGACGTAGGTCGGCGGGCAGAGAGCTACAGTAACTGCGAGGCCCTGGAAAGTGTGTTACAAGCTGTTGGTTTTCCACTTGGCTGCTTTGGGGCCTGTTTGTGACTAGGATGGTTACACCGTTTATGTAGCGCAAGAGTTCATGTCACTCTGTACAATTATGTCACGTCGGCAAGTGCCAAGGTCGAAAATGCGAGAGCATTGGATCGCTGCTTTTCCGCAGGAGCTTGGTAGTATTTCCTCCAATGGAGTTGTGGAAGCGGTGCTTTGCTGAGCCAAGCAGCAAGCCTGTGACGCGTACGTACTAAGTGATGATACCAGGACCTGTGAACAAGTGCAGGAAAGCAGTGCTCACAAATATTTAATGAGGCGAATCTGATTCATCAGTAGAAGGCTTACTAAATTTGTCTTGTAAGTCGGACATAGTCAAGGTGAGTAACTTGGATCTAGGGAATTCTATTTATCTCTCCGCGATCCACTTGCTTGCCATTTTCGAGCTGCGCTAGCGCTCTTTCTGGATCTTTCTGCCGCTCCAAACACATCAGCTCGCAAGACAAGACCACTTGACCAGATCCCTTGTACTGAGCCTGTGGAGCTGACGCTCGCTAGCACCAACATGTAGACTGTATTTCCTGTGCTCCCTTCCCTCATTCGCGCGCTCACAAGAGTTGTGTCTAGAAGGGACTGTCCGTGTACTCGCCTGGTACTCGTACCACCGTTTTATATGTTTAGTAACAGATTAAGGTTTTTGGCTTCTCATAAGAAAATGCCAGGGTTGTTAACAGGCGCTGAGCAACCCCGCTACAAAAACAAGATCAAGAGCCAAGAAATTCGTACACGCATTGCGAAAAGGAGTCGTACCAAGGTGCTGTTAATGCTGTTTATCAACCTGGGGAGGCCCACACTAGTGCCCTTATGGCGCCAGGGTCTGTACTCTCCTCGAGATATTCGCTAAGCCGTTTCTCGAGCCGTTTCTCGAGCCGTATTGCCAGCCGTTTCTCGAGCCGTATTGCCAGCCGTTTCTCGAGCCGTTTTGCCAGCCGTTTCTCGAGCCGTTTCTCGAGCCGTTTCTCGAGCCGTTTTGCCAGCCGTTTTGCCAGCCGTTTTGCCAGCCGTTCTGCCAGCCAAACGGCCCGTCCTCGTCTCTTCCTCCACGTCCCGCGGCATTCTTGGCCTTGCTACAGTAACTTGCATGGCCGAGCAGGTGCCGCGCATATGCACAGCATCGGTGATCCGGGAAATCCTCACATCTTCTCCACGACATTTTCTGGGGTGGAGCGCCGCATTACGCAGGGCGGACTAGGTAATTGACGTTATGCCCGCACGCTCGACATGAAGTGGCTGGAAAAAATGCTATTCTACGCATATCTGCGCATCAAATCGCGCATTTGTGCGCAGAAAGCTTCGTGGCGCAGTCAGCTGCAAGTCTTTTTTCCTTTTTTTTAAAGTTTTAAGCCTTTTTCGCCTGCTATCTCTGTCTGCTTATACGAACAAGGTTATGTATGCCACCCCAGCCGGCACTTAGATATCACCATATACATATATATATATATAACACTCCCAGGGACCCGCAACGTTATTCCGCTTTTCTCCCCACTAGTTATGGAAATAACAATAACAAGCAGGCTTCTTCAAGACACTGACTCTTCAATATCCAAGTAATAAAGTTCTAGGTTTCTAAAAATCAGAACTATTGTTGTATAGCATTCAAGGCTCTCCTGGATAATTGAAAGCGGATCTTCCCTTGTTTGAAAGTGTGTATTGCTTCCTCTCATAGGATTGGCTAGAGCGCAGAAAAGCGCCAACAAACTGTGAAGCCAGTGGCCGAGTAGCTCAGGCTTTCGTCGACAACAGTGGGAAGACTGATCGACTGGGGGTTGTCTTTTCATCGGCTGGAAATTTTTTTTCTGTGTGGTAACATCCAAGGCGTTTAGCTAACCTGATACCCATAGATCAGGTGACTTAGTGTTTGCGTGGGGGTGTGGGTTTTTTTTGGTTAGCTTTGATTTCGACCGTGGGTGTAACTAGTAGATAGCAAGCTCACCATGCGCTCCAGACTCCAGAAGCACAGCAGGCGGATCGTGGCGGTGCTGTTAGCCGCGGTGGTGGCCGAGTTACTGTACGTGGTGGGTTCCATCGCGATAGTCGGGTCTGAAAAGTCGATTCTGCCCAGCATCGGGTCGTGGTTTGCGGCATACAGCCCGCTCGCAGCGCTGACGTTCCATGCGGATCCTAACCGCATGCTTCCCGGGCTTGTGTCCGGAAGCCGTGTGCGCCTGTCCGACGAGCTTCTGAGGCGCGCGCTGCAGAACAGCAAGCACGGCTCCACGGGCTCGCTGCAGCAGGTCACCCCGGGCGATCTCGCAGAGTTCTACCGCAGCTGGAAGTTCGACACTTCGGTACGCTATCTGGTCCCCTGTGTTGGGACGCAGACCTTCTTCGGCCGGCTCCAAAGGTCGATCGACTCGCTCCAGGACCTGTTCCCAAAGAAGAACGCCAGTGCGACTGAGACGCAAGAGTCCTTGATCAACACCGAGTATCCATTGCGCACGTACAACTACGACCCCAGAGTCGCCACCTCGGTTTACTTTGACGAAATTCTACATCGGGTCCACGAACAAGGTGAAGTGCCTTTTCTAACACACGAGACCACCGGCAACACGTATCCCTCGTTGGAAAACATCGGCATCCCTTTCAACTGGTACGACTGGACGGACTCTCAGATCATAAGCGGTTTCATAGATCTACCGCAGTCGGAGAAGCCCCAGTGTAAGGACGTGGTTCGCAAGTACTTCGACGCCGAGAAAGTGATTAAGTATGAACGCAAATTCGGATACAAGCTATTCGAGGAAGACAGAGTCAAAGGTTTGGTCGCCTCCAAATTTCACAGCAGCGCGAACCTAAAGGGAAATATCCCCAAGGTTCCTCCTCAGGACTATTGTGACGAAGATACTCGCAACGTTCTGTTGCCAGGGTTCAGGTCGCGGGCCCCTTTGAACTTCTCTAGACCCGAGTTATATGCTTTACAAGCGCGTGTAGCTCTATTTGCCTATACTAAATCGCCAAACTCCATCACTTTTCTGAACCGAAATGGGTCTGCCATTCAGCTTCCGGTTCAAAATCACGAACCGGTTAATAAAGAAGGCTTGCCCCAACACGTTATTTTTAATGGTCTACTGGAAAACTATCTGCAGCGCAATGTTGAATCATATCCTCAAATTCCAGACTCTGAGATCGAGTTTGATAATGTTCAAAAGTTTCATGAGCTGAAGGAGGCCATTTTCAGTCGGGAGCTCGACCAGACTGCATCATCGACCACGTCTTCTGAGGTACCACAGAAAAGCGCCGATTTTAAAGCGAGCCCGGACATGCCATATTTCATTGAAATGTCAGAGCAAGATTTCGAATTTGATGCAAAGGCTAAGATCAAGGAGCTGGAACAGCTCAAGACTAGATCCCGCCATCAACAATTGTACTTGGAATCTTTGCAAAACTCCATAAACACACCTCATATGAAGTTGGGGAAATACTTTCACGAAGCTGCCCACGTTGCTGATTACATTCATTTGGGTCATCATTTCGATGCCAGATTTTTCAGGGGTATACTCGAAAGATCTGAGATGCGCACGCGTTTGGATGCCATTGTTCGTGCGTATCTGAACTTTGTTCACTCTAATGGACTCAGTTCATGGTTATCACATGGCACTTTGTATGGATGGTTATACAATGGCATGGCATTCCCTTGGGACGGAGATCACGACATGCAAATGCCAATTGTTCATCTCAACATTCTGGCTGAGAGATTCAACCAAACTTTGATTGTGGAAGATCCAGAAGTCGGCAACGGTCGGTTTTTCCTTGACGTGACAGATTCCATCACTAGTCGTATACACGGTAATGGGAACAACAACATTGATGCTAGATTCATTGACGTTGATTCTGGTCTTTATGTCGATATTACTGGGCTGTCCGTGTCGTCCGCTGAACACCACGAGAGATACAAACCATTAGTAGAGGAATTGGCAAAGTCTGATAAGGACAAAGAAAACGTGCCATTTTTCAAAGACCCCAATATTGTCGACGGAGTGACTGGCCCTGCTGCAGGAAAAGAGAAGAGCGATGCCGACAAGGTGGGAGAGGATCGGTACAACACAAACAAGCGCATAAAGGTTTACAACTGTAGGAACCATCACTTCAACCACCTTTCGGAACTTTCACCTCTGAGACTCACTTTCTTCCACGGTGCAAAGGCCTATGTTCCTCATCAAAGTGTTGAGTTGTTGAAGCATGAATATCATGTTCCTGAGGAGTACTCGTATATCGAATATTCCGGAAAAGTTTTTGTCCCTGAACTCCGTGTATGGATGGATACCTCTACCCTTAACACCATGGCCAAAGGTGCTGGATCGCCCGTTCATGTTGACACTGATCACCTCAAAAACCCCACTTTCTCTGAAACCTCGTCACTTTTCCAAAACGCTGCCATCTTGGCTGACTCAGCTGTTGAGACTATGTTCACTTTTCTCTGGAACACATTCCAAGTCTCCATTTTCCGTCAGAAAGAATTGGAATTGATGTATGACGAGGGACAACCTATGGAAGACAGAAATGCCGCTTTGAAGGAGCTTGTCCGTAACAGGGCATTCAATGGTGGCTACAAAGATCCGTTTCAAAATCGGTTAGAGACGGTTGTATGGTACAACCTTCTAGATAGGAGTTCAGTGTCTTTCTACACATTAGACAAAGCATTGAAGACAATGAATTTGGAGAACGCTGATCGTCTGCTGGACCTCAATGTTCACAAAATCCGTAAGGAATTTTCATGGGCGACTGAGGCTGGTTTTCAGTTTCCACCTAGTAAAATCGACTTCAACCATCGAGGCACCAGGTTTTTCACGATGGGCGAAGACATTAAAAATAAAATCTTCGCATCAGATCCTAAGGACCCAAAGGCTAATAATGCCAATTAAATATTAAGGGCAAGGTGAATTGACCAGACGCGTAAAAGTTCGGGTCTGTAATTGTACTCTATACTATATAATGCAAGTTTTTTCAGTTACGAAATTGGCGGTCGTTGATCCAGCTACAGAAGGTTTGCTGGCTTGACGCGAGTTTCAAAGGCTTACAGACGGGAAGAGCATGAAGCTTTACCTTATATGAATAAATGCTAATGGCTATTTTTGAATAGAACAATAATTTCACCGCAGCTTGCACTGCGTCAAAAGGCTACATTACAAGACAAGAGATATGTGGATGGCCTATTAGACCTGAAATGATGCTTAATATGCCGTCCTGGACTTTGAAGACTTTAGGGCGGTAAGTCACAATTTAGTTTAGCTTCGACTACGTCGTATATAGAGCTAACCACCGGTGATATATATTATATACAATTAGCTATTTAACAATGTGTAGGTTGCGGGGCATTTTCTACAATTGAGTGAGAAACCCTATTTATGATCCAGTTTTCCTCATTTCAAGATGCAATCCAATTTAAAACGATTGACAGTTAAACTGCGGATCGCAGTAGTTCAATTGAACCCACAAATCGGGCATATTGGCGAAACTATCGCCAGAGTCGACAGTTTAGTCTCTCGCATTGGCAATTATAAGCCAGACATAGTTGTATTTCCCGAATTTGCACTATCAGGTTACAATTTCCGTTCAAGAAGTCACATTCAGCAGCATCTGAGCTCTTCTCAACAGGGCCCGGCCTGGGACCTTTGCCAGCAAATTTCCAAGTGTCTATCGTGTGTCACGGTGATGGGCTATCCAGAAGACCCAGCAGATGGTACCAACCACATCTACAACTCAGTTATCGTTGTAAACTCAGAGGGCCAATTAGCGTTTAACTATCGCAAATCTTTCTTGTACGATACAGATGAACAATGGGGCTGCTCTGAAAATCCTTTGGGCTTTCAAACTTTCGACTTGCCATTTGCTAATAGGGCGATTGACGCCGACGGCCTTGTGCACGATGTCACTATAAAGTCTGCTGTTGGTATATGCATGGACCTGAGCCCTTATAAATTCGAGGCACCTTTCCAAAGTTTCGAATTCTCGAGCTTTCACGCTGAAAACCTCACTGAACTTATTCTATTCCCAATGGCTTGGTTGAACTCTGCTTCCGTGACCAAGAAATCTGAAAACCAGGAGGCGGGAAAAGCGGCGATAGAAAAATCTCTCAAGAGCCTTGGGTTCCCTCCAAGTGGCTCACAAGGCGATTTTCAATGGGATGTAGAACTAGGCGACGGCACCTGCTTCAAAGATGTCCCCAAAGGTGCTGAAAGCGGAACGCCTGTTGATTCAGCGTTAACACAAAACTTCTCGCATCCAGCGGTTCCAGACAATGCCAACGTTGATTATTGGATTCTACGCTTTATGCCATTCTTGGCTTTCAAGGAGCGGTTTCGTTGGTTTTCAAGCCAGCTCTTGGGTCCAATTTTGAATAAACTAAAAGACGTGCGGACTTCTTACATGGGTGGGACAACTCGAAGGCCCTGGATATTTGAAAATAGGAGTGTGGTAGCTGTCATGTGTAATAGATCTGGCGTAGAAGATGGAACAACGGTGTATGCAGGATCGTCCAGCATATTCAAATTTAATGGGAGGTATGGGGCGGACGAAATAGATTTAGACAGTTCAAATAGGAGCGTGGAGATTCTCGGGAGCTTGGGCAAAGGCTATGAAGGTGTTCTACTACGAGACGTTGAATTCGAAGTACTAAAAAATGTCATTGATTAACTGGTAACTTTTTACAGAAAGACATCGATCCTAGTTGAATGTCAAGTACACCGCTCATGCCCCCCCCTGTCTAAATTTGGTCAGGTAATGGCGGATCCGTCTCAAAGATGTTTATATTGTTGACGTCTCCACTTTCAAAATTGAAATCAAGCGAACCTTCTCGGGTGCCCTTATAAAGCGCTAACGTATTATTGTCCAGCATTTCGGTCCACCCTTGGATTTCGCCAGCGATTGCCAAATTGATGGTCAAGTAAGTTTCGGTCTCCGATTCAGTGGTTTGCGAACGTTTGTGCAACTCACGTTTTTGCAGGCGATGTATTAGTGGATCTTTCATATGGGGCTTTAGATGGGATCCGATGTCGGACTTCAATTGCTGAAGTAAGCTCTCTTTGTTAGCGGCAGTGTGATTCCGCGAGAAATGAATTTCAAGTTCCTTCAGCCTATACGTGCTGATATCCATGCCATTATAAATGTTTGAAAGAAATCCAGTCTCCTTGGACCTGGCTGCATTTCGAGAAAGCATGCCTACTTCCGAGGGACCAAGTTTGTTCAACCCAGACTTTACCATTTCCCAATCTTCTCGTGGCCTCTTGATATTCAGTAGCTTCTTGAGCAGAGACGATGGCATCCAGGCCCCTAATTTTGGAATGAACGTTTTAGCGTTGAATGTTATGATGTCCATTTTTGAAGGCACACTGTATTCTCTTTTCAACAAACTGACATACTTTCTTGGTACTAGGGCAGCAACGCCATGGAAGTTTGTGGATATTAGCGGTGATACCATATCAAAATGAACAAAGTGATGATTGCGGCAATTGTACAAACCCAGCTCGTGGTTGAGACTGTATCTTTGTTCTGCAGAATAAAACTTCGATGGAGAAGGATCCCCTGAGAAACCTTCGTTATATTTGGTAATCAGGGATTTGAGCTTCTTGATCTGTTCGTAAGAATACAAAATATCCCCTTCCACTTTATTGTAAAGGACTTGAAGCGGAAGGTCGGTTTTGTTAGGAATCAAATTGGGATCTCTAAATTTGACCTCGTGCCCCAGAGCATCCTTGCGTTCACTGAAGAAAGCGTCATCCTTGTCGGACATCATAGCAGTGGAGACGCTGAGGCCAGTTATGTCAATGTAAAGCCCCGAATCAATGTCGATGAACCTCGCATCAATGTTATTTTCTCCATTACCACGGATACGAGTCGTAATGGAGCTCCCAATGTCCAGAAAAAACCTCCCATTACCATCCCGAGGATCCTCGAGAATCAAACTTTGGTTGAAGTTCTTAGCGAGAATGTTCAAGTGCCTTATCGGCATTTGCATATCGAAATCGTTGTCCCAAGGAAAAGTTCTTCCATTGTACAAATAGCCGTACAGAGATCCATGGGCAATCCAACAGATGAGTCCATTGGCTTTTAAAAATTTTTGGAACGTTCTCATCATTGAATTTAAGCGTAGCTGGGTTTCTTCCGAATCGCGAAATATGGCACCGTTGAAAAATCGTTTATCGTGGTGTCTCCCGAGCTCCAAGAAGTCTTTTAAACTACCAGGTTCTTGGAAGTACTTGGGTGCAAACGCAAAATGCGTGTTTGTGGAATAACGCAAGCTCTCCAAGTATGAGAGGTGATGAGCATTCAAGGGTGTGGGCTGCGTTTCGAGTTTCTGTATCTCGGCCAACGCGTCAAACTCAAAGTCGGATTCTTTTAAATCTGTGAAGACATTTTCAAAAGCTCGGGATTCCTCGACATCTAAGTCCTCTATGTGAACGCGATGGGATTCGGAGGACTCACTATTGGCAAATTTATCAAATTCCTCGGAAGAGTTGAAAGTGAAGTCTTGATCTTTAGCGAGCTGAAGTTTTTCAAGATAGTTGGCCACCAGTCCAGATTGTACTAGGGTTTGACGAGAATCTTGATCAACCAGAAGTTGCCAGGTACTCTGATCATCGTTAAGGATGGTCAAAGACAATGGGTTGGCCAGATTATGTAGCATATAATTTCTGGCCTGAAATCTGTAAACCTCGGGTCGTACAGCATCCTGCAAAAGTGTCACTTCTGCTCCGATGGAGTAGCGCTTCGAAGAGGCAGAACTTGAGTCAAAAGTGCACGAGCTTACGGATCGTTCCAGCATTTCACGGTGTTCGTCGGAATCCAACTCACGCGTGGCATCGTAGTAAGGGCGATCAAACTCAAACAGCTCTTCACCCACTTCTTGCTCGATTTTCGAAAGCTGCGAGCTGCTAAACTCGTAACCGAAAAAGAAGTCACAGGGGACCTCTGTTTTTTTTAGCGATAGAAGTTTGTTGTAGTCGTGGAAATCAGCCCAATCGTACCATGAAAAAGGCAACCTGGCGTCAGAGCTCGGATGCTGGATGAGATGGTGCGCAAGCACGCTCCAAACCAGTCGCGGATCAGCGTCGTAGAACGGCAAATCGTCAACTGATGGAACTTGTTGCCCTCTCAAGGGCCCCATCTGCACCGTGAGAAGGTCTCGCTGCAACCGGTACGACGTGGGATACTGGAAGTCTGTTTCATAGTGAAGCTGGCGGTATAGGCGTTGTAGATCTTCTGGTCCCAAACTCTTTTCGTCGCTGGTAATGCTTTGGTTGTTTGCACGCGGCTCCTGCAATCCCAAGTTATCCCATGCCAGTGTTGACAAACTGTAACCAGAGTCTGTCAACGACAGCAAAAACAAGCCACTCACCAACACCCACACGGCGAGACCAAGAAGCCCCAGGTACCGCTTTTTCTTTCCTCGCAACCGAATTGTCCACACATTTCGTCTGCACCAATGTAACATCTGTGAACCAAAAGCCATGCTGTGCTCAACGAACTGTGCTTGGGCTCTCGACTCCCAGGTAAATTCACTGTTTGATGTTCTAAAAACACTGCGCAGCGTTGAATCGCACTAACGGTCTGTGTATAGAGCTGGTTCCCAGACCGCTTCGGCAACTATCATCAAAGATTTGTTGTTATACCACATGAGTGGCTTGGTGATCTTACGCAAATGCACGACCATGCACCAGAGCATATGCCAAGACTTATGGTCCCACAGAAACGACCGCGGAGCAGGCTGGGTCTTGGCATTGGTCAGCAAAATATATGCAAGAGCTACGATTACGTAAGCGCGACGCGGGCCAAGAGGTCGGGACAGCGACCACCAGAGTGCGTTTGTCGAGAAGAGCTCAAGAGCTACTGGGTGCCGTTTCACAAGGCTGCGGGCGCGGGCGCGGTCGCGTACTTGCTTTGAATTAACACAAGGCGATGGGGCCGGGGAAGTACCAGAGTTTAAAAAGTATAACACAAGGCGATGGGGCCGGGGAAGTACCAGAGTTTAAAAAGTATAATACACGTCTTGACACTCTAATATAGTGGGCAAAGAAGGAAGGGTGGGAAAGAAATCGTCATATAAAATTATCAGTCTTGGAAACCGCCAATCGTTGGCGAATGGCTGGCAGTTTCCGCCCGAGTTGGCGGCAGTGCACAGCCGTCTCCGCGCACATGCGCCTAGCTGTTTCTGTTGGCCTCGGATTCCAGTTTGGTAACGTCGGTGTCGATGGGGATCCCGGCGCTGCGCAGCTGGCGCTTGAGGATGTCCACCTGCTTGAAGGCGTTCCCGAGTTCCAATTGCAAGCTTTCGTTGGCTTTGGTCAGCGTGCTCACCTGCTGCTCGCTGAGCAGTTTTTGCAGCGTCCACTTCTCGATGTTGGCGTTCTCGGTGTCCCGCAGCTTCTGGATGTACTCCGCCGCGCGCAGGAGAATCGAGGCTTTGCTGGTCTCCTTCACCGGCAGAAGATCGCTGAGCTTGTTGATCGCGCTGTTGATGTTCTCGCGGCGGCGCCGCTCTACCTCCTTGTGGGAGTCCTTGCGCTGCTGGCGCCACTCCTCGGACCCGGTCACTGGCACGGGCTTGCGGCCGCGGCGGGCCGCGGCCGCCGCAGCGGCACTCCCGCCGCGCTTGGCCAGCTCGTCGTCGTCGTCGTCCTTCAACGACACCGCGCTGTCGTCGTCCTCGCCCTTGGCGCCGTGGTGGTGCGCGAGCCCGTGGTGGTGGTGGCCGTGGTGGTGGTGCAGCGCACTGTTGGGGTCGTCCTGCGCGTTCATGAGCCCGCCGTACACCGCGGCCGCGGCCGCGGCCGCCGCCGCCGTGTCCTCGTGGTCGTCGTCGTCGTCCGGGTGGTGGTGGTGGTGCCCGTGGTGGTGGTGGCCGCCGTGGTGGTGGTGCAAGTGCTGCGCGTCGTCCTCCTCGTCGCCCGAGTGCGCGTCCTGTTTCTCCTTCAGCAGCTCCGCGTCGATGTTGCTCTGTTCCGCCGCGTCCGCCGCGGCGCGCTGCCGCTTCGCCAGCTCCTCGTGGCTGATCTCCACGTCGTTGGGCAGCAGTCTTTTCGCCATCCCTGGTGTGTGCTGCTGTGTCGGGTGCCGCTGAGTCTTGCTCTAACGTGTTTTTTCTCTCACGTGTAGCTGTGTCTGTGTCTAACGTGAGCGCGTGTTCTGGCCAACGTGAGGTCTGCCCGGTCGAGTTTGCACGTTGTAGGTCGAAAACTGTCCTGTGCGCTATTTGGTATCATGGGATCTTTGTTGTGGCCATGAAAATGCTCCTTTTTAAATACTCGTGGTTTCCACGAGGGGCGGGCGGCCGGTGCTCGCCCGTGCGAAGGGACCGCCTGCTCGGACGGGTAACCCCCGGAGGGCCCGCGCCGCCGGCGCCCAGCGCTTGAGGGCAGGGCGGCGGTGTGGCGGGCGTGTGTGCGTGTGGCAGCGGCGGCGTGGACGTGGTGTGGACGTGGACATTATAGGTGCCCTCCGCTCCACGCAATATTGGCTTCTGCCAAGCTGCCGAGCGCGGTCACGTGCCACACGCCCCGGCACATCACGATGCACGGGTGTGACGCTGCTGCGCGCGAGCCCAGACGGCCGGGGCCCATGCTAAGTCCACGGCCCACGCAGTGCTACCAGCGCGCCCGTGAGTGCTCCCACCGCGCCACACACGCGAGCCCCAATCCCAGCCTCTCTCGCCTGAGTGCAAAGCGACGCCAACACACACACACACACACACACACACGTGACCAGACGCCCTGGCGACCGATTTTCGGACCGTTTCGCGCGGGGCGGCAACCCGTTTCGCAACCCGTTTTGGCGACGGGGCAGACCCGAACGCAACCGAGAAAAAAAACGCGCGCGCGCGCGAGACCCGTACACAGCGATGCACACACGTGCGCACAGGGCTGCTGGACTTTTATATCCGGCGGCGATCTCCGGGGCTGGTTGGTGTCGGACCTGGCACGTGCACAGTCATGTGACGGCGGGGGCGTGCGTTTGTGCCACCGTGCTGGAGCGTCGCCCGCGGTGCTTGAAAGCACAGTAGAGCCCTCCGTCACGCCCGGGCCCCGGGCTACACGCTTGGCCGTGGAAAAAGGTAGATGTGCCAGTTGAGTTTGGAACCACAAAGGATGGTCTGCTAGTTATCGAGGAATGCTCGAAGTCTAGGACTGCGACGTGTTTTATTGAGGCGAATCTGATTCGTCAGTAGAAGTAGTGTCTACAAAGACAGGACAAGCAAGACCCACTCTATACACACGCCAACACTACACGCGTGGGTTTAGCTTCGAGTTGTGTCGGTCATTCGGCTGGTCATCGGAAGAGCGAACCAAGCGTGATTTAATTGAGGCGAATCTGATTCATCAGTAGAAAGCTTACTAAATTTGTCTTGTAAGTCGGACGTAGTCATTGTTAAGATGATTAACTTGGATCTGGGGAATTCTATTTATCTCTCCGTGATTATTTTAGGCATTAGAGTTGGTTCAGTTACCTGAACAAAAGCCTGGTATTTATACAATTCTTACTTACACTACCAATAACTTATCAATGGCCAATCCCATTGGACAACAGTTGTTCTCTTCGGTTTGTCTTAGCTGTTAAGTCGACTTGTATGGCCTCGGTTGTGTACTATCATTCTGTACCACTGTGTCACATATTTGCGGACGCTGATTATGCGATTAGGCGCACATCACACACGGAGAGCTAAATAGAATCCCCTAGACCCAAGTTACCCATCTCATGAGACAAGGAGCAGGCTTTCCACTGGGAGATCCGCCTCATCAACTACACAGCCCAGGGATGTTTCCCCCACAGCACCACCACCTGTAAGTCCCGCTCCACATCACGTGACCACCGCTTGCTCGCCCACCGACGGGCTCAAGCACTGCGTTCGTCCAAGCTCGCGTGTGCTGCCTTCCAAACGCCTCGCTCGTGTACTGCCTTCGCCTCGCTCTCGTGTACTGCCTTCGTCTCGCTCTCTTCCGCGACAATCTCTCTAACTAAACCGAGGTCGGGCTCCATCACGTCACGACTTCTATCGGCCCGCACCACAACGGCGAATCACATCTTAGAAACAGATAACAAGAGTATACCTTGTTCGGTCTTCGCCAACACGCGGACGAGGGGAGATGTAGAATTCCAGTTAGAAGATCTTGGCAACAAAGGCGTAGACGCAAGTAACGTATATATAGAAATACGCTCTCGAAGATTAGCAGGAACACCATACACATGTGTATATAAGGGTGGCAGGGGCTACAGTATCTCCTGGAACTTGACCATCACTACTTCTGCTGTGCTTCAGTATATAAGGGTGGCAGAGGTTACAGTATCTCCTGGAACTTGACCATCACTACTTCTGGGCTACTGCTGCTACAGGTCGCACCGAGACAACAGCTATGACATTCGAAAACTTTCTGAGAGGCCCCACCGAGCCTCGCACGGTGCCCCAGGAGCCTCCTGTTGAGCAATACAGAGCTGCGTCCAGCTACCTGGATCTATTCTCGCAGAAGGGCAAACTGGTGGTGGTGACTGGAGCTGCAGGAGCCATCGGCGGAGCCATCTGCGAAGGATTTGCGTCTGCTGGAGCAGACTTGTGCCTGGTGGACTACAGATACGACCAGGCCCTGGCAGAGAATCTCAGTGCCAAGTACGGAATCCAAGCAAAAGCGTACCAAGTAGACATCACCAAGGCCCAAGACGTGCAGACGTGCGTGCGTGCCATCCAGCAAGACTTTGAAGGCCGGGACATCGACACTTTCATAGCCAATGCAGGGGTAGCGTGGACCCACGGCGGTATCCTGAACGAAACAGCCACGCCCGAGGCGTGGCAACGAGTCATGGACGTCAACGTCCAGGGGACGTTCCACTGCTCCAAATACATCGCGGAGGTTTTCAAGTTACAGGGACACGGGTGTTTGATCCTCACAGCGTCGATGTCGTCGCACATTGCCAATGTGCCCAATTACCAAACCTGCTACAACGCTTCCAAAGCTGCCGTTAGACACATGGCCCGCGGGTTTGCCGTGGAGTTTGCGCATTTGACGGAGCCCGCGGGCCGCATTCGCTGTAACTCTGTTTCCCCAGGCTACACTGACACGATTTTGAGTTCTTTTGTGCCCACGGAGCAGAGAGCCCAATGGTGGGGGTTAACCCCCCAAGGTCGTGAGGCCCTGCCTCAGGAGCTGGTGGGTGCGTATTTGTACCTGGCGTCCGATGCTGCGTCGTTTACCAATGGATGCGACATATCGGTGGATGGTGGTTACACATGTGTGTAGGCCGAGATTCGTAGTACCCAAGAAATACACCTGGCCATGGCCGCCAACAGGCTGCGGGACAGCAAGTTTCTGTTTCGAGGACATACACAGCTTGGCGAGGAAGAGCCCATCGTCGCGAGTGGATGTTTCCACTCGGCTTTGTGGCGTTTGGTGTAGGATGGTATAGATGATGTACAGTGCGATGGCGTTCCCGGCTAAATCTTTAGCATCGAGAGTTTGGCTGGACTGAGCACCAGCACTGGGTACCGATAATAGCTTAGACACCGAGATGAAGTAGACAGCGGATCGCGCAATCGGATTTGAATAGCGCAATTGGATTCCATTGGACTTCATCGGACTTCATCGGACGTCATCGGACTTCATCGGACTTCATCGCGCAACTGGACTTCATCGCTCCCTAATTTTAAAGAAAACTGCCTATGCTGGCTACCTTACCTTGTCCATGCGCAGCCACTGCCTCGATAGAACCTTTTCGGTTCGTGTGTCTCACTCCGACATGGGAAGGTGCAGATGTGAAATTCAAACTCCGTGCAATACTAAAGGGCCGCAGCTTTGAGAACTCATTGCGTTTCGTCTGCGGTTTCTCGGCCTCGCCAGCTTGCAAGTACTGCGTACTGGAGCCAGATCTCATATGTAGCCTATAAAATCAAATGCGGGTCTTACCTGGAAATATTTCCGCAGCAACGGTGGCCGTCGCCAGCAGTACACCGAGGTCCGGGAACAAAGCTGCTGGGCATGCAGAAATTTTCGTAGCATCCTAGCTCCCATGAGCATCCACTGGAGCTCGCGTCGGCTTGTCTACGGTGCCGCTTTTTGCATAATTTAACTACAAATACTCACCGCATGCTTGCCATGAGTAAAAGTCACCGCTTGGCCGAATATACCACAGCCCGGCACAATATAAGAACCTGTCATGTTTCTAAACCGCGCTATGAGCACTGGCACTGGGCATCAGGATTCAAGTTGTGCGCTGACGTTGCAAATCCGGGCGTGTTTCCTATCACATGATAGTATAATCTGATGGGACGATGTAAAACGGAAAAAATATCAATAGCGAGCGCCGTGGCGCAGTGGAAGCGCGCAGGGCTCATAACCCTGATGTCCTCGGATCGAAACCGAGCGGCGCTATTATTTTTTTATTTATTCCAATGGACATTCGTGAAACTTCCAAAGAATAAGTCGCTGGCTGCCTCACCAATCGCAAGTACTCTTGCTATGTATTCCACTTGCTAAATGGCGTAAGTGTCGCCACTAACAAAGGCGGCGGTGGGCATCACATCTTGTGTGTGCGAGAATCGCTACAAGGGCAAGCGTGGAGAACCTAGCGTTGAATGACAGCAGCAGCGACACCGGAACGAGCAGAGCAGAACAGCTTAACTGGGGCCAGGGCACTCTTGAACAGCAGTTGACAGCTGTCTGTCACTCATGAGTACACGAGTACCATTACATAATCACACAATTACATGAATACGTTTGTACTCTCAAGAAATATTAGATTATCATTCACCTCTCAAGCGCCAAAGTTATTCCCCATTCAAGCACACCATAGGACCAGCAGGCCATGGACGCTGAGGTGAGCAAGTACATCCACACTAGGCTGATAGACGATGCACAGATTGTGCTCTTCACGGACGTAATGGGAGAGTTCCAGATGTCCAGCCCCAGCGCTAAAAAAGCGATGTACGAGTTCTACCGGACCACGTCCTCTAAAGTCAACTGTGTTATAGTTTGCGCGTATAAGAGCGGAGTGATCTGCATTCTAGACAAGCTGAATCAGCTTCCAGACGAAAATGAAATCGCGGATATCTTCATCTACGCGTTCAGCCCCATGAGCCAGTTCATGCCAATCAACACCAAGGCCCACAGGCCCGTGGCAGTGACTCACGGCATTGAGATGGTTTCCCCGGAGGCGGCAGTGCCGTCGCCCAAACACGTCAGAGACCAAGCCAGTGCTCCGGGGCGCCACTCGGAACCCCCTGTTGCTCCATCCACGTCCCTAAGGGCCACCACTCCAAGAGCACGCACACTGCCCACCAAGCAAGAAGCATCGGAAGTACGATCCGCGGCGCCCGCGAAAAAGACTGGCGAATTGAAATCAACCGCGCTGCTTCAGAAAATGCGCAAGGAGCGCGAAGAGAAAGAGCGAGTACGGCTGGAAGAACTGCGAAAACGTCGCCAATTGCAGGCTCAGAAGGCGGATCAGGATCCAAAGCGTAAGCAGGAACTGGAAGAGCTTGCAACGATGTTTGACAGCGACAGCGAGGGCGATGGCGAGGGCGAGGGCGAGGGCGAGGGCGAGGGAGAAGCGGCAATTAGCACGCCCGCGGAGGACGAATCGCGCGAGGCTCCTGCTCCGACGCATGCCGAGCTGGGCGACTTGCTCGAGACAACAGCCGAGGAATCGCTCATGGAGATTTCAAAGCCCAGCGAGCCCAAGCCGCACGACGAGCCCAAGCCGCACGACGAGCCCAAGCCGCACGACGGGCCCAAGCCGCACGACGAGCCTCCCGCGCCGTATGTCGATGACGAAGGCTACACCGTCACACAAAAACCCACTCACAAGGCGCCCTCTTCGTCGTCCACCCCGGTCAAACGCCCGACGAGGGCCATCGCGGCCGCGGAGTCCAGTGCCAAGAAACCCAAGCAGCAGTCGCTCATGAACTTTTTCAACAAACGCAGCAAGTGATACTGGAGGGCAAAGCACAATTAACAGATGGTCAGCCCGAGGAGAAAGGTGGGGCACTGAAAGCACGTCCGAGTGCGTCTTGCACCGGTTACACCTTGCCGTGGCACCTAGCGGGAGAGGGTTCGTTTTCCAAGATTAATTCGAGGAACACGGAAGCCTCAAGCTGACTGCACGGGCGTTCGAGGGTGCTTCAGGGTGGATCAGCAAGACTGAGCAAATCAAGGTTTTGTCCATATAAGATGTAACATATGCTCTAAATGAGGATTGCTGCGCCAGCCGGATAGCCTGAAAGAATGCCATATCTTCTTGCTCACTTGCAAGGCATAGACCGCTGCACTGATTCTCTTTCAATGGTTCATTTCTCACCGGAAGTGCTCAGTTTTAGTTGCCGGGGCAGAAGTTTACCCCAGGGCACAAGTTTAGCTACCAGGACACAAGTTTAACTAACAGGGCAGAAGTTTAGCTACCGGGCCGCAAGTTTAGCTACCAGGACACAAGTTCAGCTACCGGGACACAAGTTTAGCTACCGGGGCAAAATGCTGCTACCGGGACACAAGTTTAGCTACCGGGGCGCAAGTTTAGTTACCGGGGCAGAATGCTGCTACATGACATTGCGACAGGGAAAAAAGAATGTGCAAGGCGAAAGTCCCGCGAAGTTTAGCTACCGGGGCAGAATGCTGCTACATGGCATTGCGACAGGGAAATAAGAATGTGCAAGGCGAAAGTCCCGCGAAGACGATCCAGAGAAACAGTGGTCCCATAGATGGCCAACCATTTCAGCTGTGCAACAACAGCAAAGCCCTCCTCTACCCAGATACCTATAATTCTATATAACGACGCGCCGTATAAACTACCAATAGCCCAGGCTCGCAGCTCGAATGGTATCTTACCATCCTGTCTTTTTACTGAGCGCACAGTTTCGCAAGCAGATCGCACTCACCGACTACATTCTGAACACCATGCTGTGCGAAGAAAAAATCAGTAGCACCGCACCACTCCCAGTCAGACACAGGTTCCCGTAAAGTTCCCGTAAAGTTACTGTCACTGATCCGGTTGCAACCCGTTATTGGCAGTCCCTGACCCGGTTAGCAACCCGTTATTGCGACTTTTTCAACCCGGCTGCAACCCGTTACTGGCCAGTGTCCCAACCCGTTTCCGACCCACACTAAATCGCCATGGACGGGGATGTTCGTGCACAGCGACGAAGTTACCCGGACCACGAGAACATCACATCGCACGGGAGAAGGTTTTCGTCGGGAAAAAAAATTTCGTACAGTTTAGGGGGATCTTTTTTCCAGGTTCTGATAGCCCAATAAGTATATATACTTAATTGTTGGCAGTATATAGGTTAGAGTTTATCTTGAGCTCAAGCTTATATCGCAAAAAATCAAGGTAGATCGAGCTATAAGGCAGATATATCGGCCCCGTTATTGAACTAAGACTGGCAGTAAAGTGCATTGTTTTAGCATAGATTCCGCAGTTGGTTTTTCCCCAGTCTCGGTAGCGTTTTCGGTTGATCTTGGAAGTCAGCCCTTTTTTGGCCCTTTGCAAAGTCGCAGGTAGCGGTAGAAGCAGAGTAGTTTTCGGTTTCCCACAGGAGTTAGAGCCATGTCTGAGTTGTGTCCAGTGTACGCTCCGTTTTTCGGAGCGATCGGGTGTGCTGCGGCCATCATCTTCTCGTCGTTCGGGGCTGCGTACGGAACAGCCAAGTCGGGCGTGGGTGTGTGTGCCACGTGTGTGTTGAGACCGGACCTGCTATTCAAGAACATCGTGCCGGTGGTCATGGCCGGTATCATTGCCATCTACGGTCTGGTGGTGTCGGTGCTGGTGTGCTACTCGCTGACCCAGAAGCAGGCCCTGTACACCGGGTTCATCCAGCTGGGAGCCGGGTTGTCGGTGGGTCTTAGCGGTCTGGCTGCTGGGTTTGCCATTGGTATCGTGGGTGACGCCGGTGTCAGAGGTACTGCTCAGCAGCCCCGTTTGTTTGTCGGTATGATTTTGATTTTGATTTTCGCCGAAGTCTTGGGTCTGTACGGTCTGATTGTGGCCTTGCTATTGAACTCCAGAGCCACCCAGGACGTCACCTGCTAAGTAGGAGGGTCGTCGAAGAAGGACCGGAGTGGCAACGACTTCTCCCCACTTTTTTAAAAAAACAAAATACATACAGCTCAACAAAAATCAGTTTCTCTGGTCTATTCGCCCGTCACATACGCACGGCTTGATGCCCGTAGGCCCAGGAGCGAGTGTCTAACAAGATTGGGACGATCGACGAAAAGTTTTGAGGGACGCTCATAATATTATGCGCTTCCGCCTGTGTTTTTTTTTTATATAAGGCAAAACCTATTTGTAAAGATCGTATCTATCATTGATTAGTTGTGTGAATGGAATTCTCTGATGATGTTCACGTTATATATTCCTCACAAATCTTGAGGTTCAGCCTCTGTCTTACCCGTTTTACAAAATCGCTCAGTTGTTCTGGAAGTTCGTCGTTACCAGGCTTCTCCTTCAGCGCTGCATACATAGCAATGCTTTTGCTGTCGTCGTTCTCGAATCTATCGATGGCCTTGATGAGCCGAATAATTTTGTCCTCTGGGATTTGTCGGCTGCCTTCACATAGGAAAACCGGGTACAGCAAATTTGCGGCCAGTAGGGCTAGATAGTGCTTGGGCAAATATGGGAACTCGAGTAAATTCAATAAATTTTCGAGTGCGTTATTCAAATCCTTTTGTCCTAGCTGCTGGTATAGTTGATATAGGACGGCGTATGGCGAGAGTGCTTGCTTCATGGCGTCGGTCAAAACAGCTTCCAAGATTTCTTTGGGAATTTCGGCGTGTGCCTTTTTGCTCACGATTGCATCTATGATCTCGTCTTCTAGAGGTGCACCTTGCAGCGCAGAGGCCTCGAAAATCATCCAAGAGTAGTGCTTGACCCACTCAAACTCACCAGCCTTGCTGAAGTTTGTCATGGCCTCGATGACATTGTTTTCAGAAATAAAATTGTTGCCAAGTATCCTGTAGATTGTTTTCGCGACCTCAGGTAATCTCCACTTTGCACAAAGGGTGAGTAGCCACTCAACATCATCGTTGCTTTGAAAGGGAAAATGTGGTAACAGTTCCGCGACAGCTACTCTCACTGCGCTCCCGTTCGGACTAGGAGTCATCGCCAGTATTCCTATGGCAACTGACCACAAATGCTTATCGTCAAAGGAGCAGAGCTCTAGCGCAAAACCGTGCAATAAGAAGCTTGCCATACTGTTGTTGGAAGAGAATAAATCGCCTTCAATACCTTCGTAACCACCTTGACGCTCCACTAAACTATTTCCAGACTCCAATAACCCTTGTGCTTCGCAGAATGCCGCAAAAAAGGCAGCAATACAGGAATCTAAGGACTCAATCATGGGTAAAACAGCATATATCTTCCCTCTTATTATCTCAGCACACGCCTGCTCCCATGTGCTACAAACGTCCAGGGGATGGGCCTTCAGTGATAGTTGAAGGTATTCTTCAGATAATTCCAAGGTAGGTATATAGAACATGAAGAGCCCGCAAAAAGCCTCGTACCAGTAGCTTGAATACTGCAATATTTTTGCTTGAGTACCACTGATTAGAAGCACCATGTCGCATATCATGTTGCGTAATTCAGCGTCGACCTCAGATGAAGACTCACAGTAGTATTGAGAAAGCTGTAGGCTAGCGGCTTTCCATTCTCTATATTCCTCCCCATTAGATGAGGGATACTGCTTTAATAGAAGCACAACGTCAGTCAAAACGCTGAACGTCAGCTCACAGGTAGTCTCCAGGTCCTTAAAGATATTAGATTTTTCCAACACACCTATGGCTTGATCAAATAAACCCCTTAGCAACAATTGGTTTACCAGTTTCCAAAAGGAAGAAGTTTCATAAACTTTTTTGGCCGGGCCTTGCCTGAAAACTTGATCGACAACTAGCTCCGATGGCTCGCCGTCTGCCCTATTTATCCAATGAGTTAATTGCCTCGCTAGCCCCCCAGTTTGATCGGTAGCTGATGCAGTGGTGAAGAAAAAGGCTTGAATACAATTCAAGATGGCGAGACAATCCCCCAACTCAGAGGCTCGTACTATACTCTGAGTCGCTATGAAACTATCGACCTCATCAATTAATGCCTCCATTGCCAAGTTCACCGCCTCCACATGCTCTTTCCGCGATGTCTGACTTACGAGTCCCATTGTAGGGATAGAAAATACCCGATCTTCGTCCAAATTTTTATAGATCTCGAAACAAGTGAGCACAAATTGCTTGTAGTCGTCTGAGGAGTCCAGACGATGAAATAGAGGTGAGTATAGGTCCGAATTTATGTCACTGTGGTTGCCGCCATTCGTGAGCGTGGCGTTGCCTTTTCTAGTGCTGATATAACCCAAACTTCGGCTGGAAGCAGGTGCCATTTGAAACTTTAGGGCAAAGCCACAAGACTTGAATTCGCTGAGAGATTCTCGTATAGGTTGCTCACCATCAAATTGAGTTTCTGGAGCACCAGATATATCATCTATTGTTGGCTCCTCGAGCATTCGGGTGTCCTCCTGGTTAACATCCTCTCTGGAGTCTTTAAAAAAATCGAGTCCGTCCACGTCCATCAACATATCTTTCTCTTGATTCCATCCTGGCATCGCCATTTCTCGATCGATGGATGTCAGTTAGTCGGGTGAATCCTCCTGTGTGAATAATGTAACCTTTTAGAAGGTGGGTTTTCAACCTTGAAGACAAATTACAGACTATTTACTATTTCAATTGAAAAATTTCTATATTAATAGGCGATGAGCTTCAACATTTCAAATTCGAAATCATCGGCATATTTTGGAGCAGGCATTTCATTCAGAGCTGTAATGAATGGTTTAGCAGAGACTGCTGGAAGCCTATCTAGAAAGCTGCGGTCGAAAAATGTCTCCACGACAGAGGTTTACGACATTTCCATCAAATTGCTTAATGGTGATATTGCGGTCTATTTCCCCAAGAAGGAAATCTTCGTATTGGATTTGATTGTGGATCGTTGGAATAACCAGAAAAATGTTCACTTCAAGCGGGATCCTCAAATTTGGCGTCTTTTCAACCTAATGTGGGAGTCTGTACAAATGGAAGACCTACGCAAGAAAACTTTTAAGAGCTTGAAGTACGTGCCACATTTGATCCAAACATTGGAACTACCAGATTTAGAGCACAATGCCGAAGTTGCTTGCGTTTTGCAAAAGAATTTTGAGCTTTTAAATTCAAGCTTGAGCGTCGAAATGAATACCGATCAGGCCCTTTTAATCATCGCAGGTGTGCTGAAAGTTATTCTCGACTGTCCCGATATTCGATCTGTGGAAAGAGAGAAGCTCATAGAAGAAACTATGAGGCTGACAAATATGCATACACATATGCAGGCTGGCGGTTCCAACAAATTATCCTCCATCTTTTGCCAACATCCGCTTTCTAGTATCTTACAATATAACGCCGAGTATCATAACTCTGAATCAAATGTTCTTAGCATGCTTGTTTCAGTCTATCTGTTTGGACCGGATATTAACAGTATGAAGCAACTGACGACCTTCGTCGACACATTCGGCAGGGACCTTTCCAACAAGTGCTTGACTGTCCTTTTCAAGGAATGCATTCATGAATTTTCAAAATCCTCCATGAGCCAGCTTGAAGAGGTATTCTCCTTACTGACTAAAGCTCGGCCTGGTTTAGCTATTGTGCTCCTAGAAGAACTCTGCTCTTTAAAGCAAACCCTTTCTCAGCAATTCTTGGAGAGTCTGTTTGACGAATTTTTTCAGAAGCTTTCGAAAACCTCCCAAGAAGATGACTGGAAGATGATCAACCGGATCATAACCCTTGATCTGGAAGTGGGAATCATCAACACGCGCAGGATAATGGATAAAGTAGCGACAGAAGAAACCACTAATTTATCCGCAGAGACATGGGAAAACTTGATAGAATGCTATGTCAACGCAAGAGAACTTCCTAAATTGCTAACCGAATGGAAGGAATACTCGATATCGGAAAGTGGCTCTACGTGCTTTGTCGATGTGCCTGAAATGGCTAACAAAATTACCAAAAACATATCTGCACTCTCCGTTCTTCAAATGCACACCTTCTTCAAAGAGCTCTTCAACGATCTAAGGGAACGACATGAGATTGGAGACATTATTCTGAAAGCATTAGGTATAACGATACTTGGATTGCGTTCACTGCCTTACAACCACTTACCTGATTTGGAACCAGTGCTCTCTCAAATATTTGATCTCCATATTGTTAAAAAGACTAGTGCGTACTGGTCATACGCTTTCCATTTTCTAGACCTGTATGATGATATTTTCTCAGAGGATAGCTTGAGTCAAATCCACTCGAGCGTCACTGATTCTTTAAAAAGGCGAGACGAATCTAGTGATCTATTCTTTACAGCCTTCAAATTAAGGGAGTTAAGAGATTATGATCTTGAGAGCACGATAGAAAAATTCATGGCCTTTTTCCTTTCAGCTCCTAAGAGTGAAAGACAAAACCTGACATCAAGGTTATTTTCAAGGTGGTCCACGATAGTTAATATGCTCTTTTCTCAAGATCAAATTTCTATATTGGTAGAAGGGCTTTTGGATAAAGAATGTCGCAATTTTCTGACCATGGTCACCTCCTCTGATGACTTCTATGAAGAGGACAGAGTAGTGTATTCGCTTATTGCCCAAATGGTCGATAATGTAAATGATCAAAGCGTGGTAGAGCAATTTTCCATTATACCGATTAAGTGCATCTCTAAAGCTGTGCGGATACGGACTATTGACACTTTGTGTGAGAAGTCAATTTTGACAGCCCGCGACGTCGTGCTTGTAACACATTTGCTCTCAAATCCCACATTCAAATCTTCTGTTGAAGTTGATGTCAACGTTTTGGATAAAATTTTGAGCCAAGATAGTCTATCTCATCTTACCGATCCTATTCTTGACAAAATTATCTCAAACCACATTTCACAGCGCCATGACAAGGTTAGCGAGCTCTTTATCACCAAACTGGTGGATCACGTTGTTCTTAACTTGCGAAAGGGACTCAGCATACCTGCAACAAAAATCGCAGTTCATCTTTTGAGCAAACTTAACTTCGATGATTCGTTGGTCAAAGGTCTGCAAGATATCGTACTAGAGACATTATTTGCATTTTCCACCCAAGAGTGTAATGTTAAAGATAGAAAGGCCACAGTAATATGGTCATTACGCGTGCTATATGAATTACACCAAGGTACAATGTCAATTCTTTCCAAAGATAAGATCGATGTCTTAATAAAGGGCCTTATGGGAAGTTACCATACTGGAAAGCTTGACCTGGAATTGACAGGTGCGATATTTCCCCTGTACTGCTGTGCATTTCGCGACCAGCCAAAAATCCTCTCGGCTCACTACATCGTCCTAAGACAATCCATTCCAAAAGAGCTATTGTATGACGCTATTGATAAGCTTGTGACAGAAATAGCTGATGACTTCACAAATTTCAATGACTTATTGGACTCCGTGGTAGCGTCTTTCCACGAACAAAATCAAGAATATGTGGTCAGCCTACTCGAACTTTTGGAAATTTTGCTCCCCAACTTGCAGAAGGAAAACGTGGAGGGCAGAAAGTTGTTTGCACAAGCAATTTCAGAATTCAGTACTCATCTAGAGCGCATCGTTTGTCAAGAAAAGCAGACTACTATTGGACTGATGGAAAAACTCAAAGACTTACTTGTGTGGAAGCCTTGGCTATTCGGTCAGTACACCATCGAGATTCTATTTCCATGCTGCTTACGAGCTAATATTTCGTTGATGAAGGAAGATGATGAGGACAATGATACGATATTTATATGCACATCCCAGCTTCTATCACACGTCATTTTATATCATCGTTTCAAGCTAACCAATCGTCACCACTTGGTGATATCCTATTTATGCGCCAGCTTGGAGCTCTTCACTGCAAATTCGAACTTAAGGCTCACGCAGAGATCTGGAGAGGCCTACAGTAGGCTTATCAGCGTCTTTTGCGAACCTTCTAACGATACAAAGAATAACAAACAGCGAAGCTCTCTACAGTCGCAAGTTGGGCAGATCAAAAAGTCTCTAAGAAGGCACGCTCCGATTCTTTTACTAAAGTACATCAACTTGGCAATAAACTCAGCCTTCACTAATGATATCAAAGAAAGCATAAACGGAGGTGTATTCTCTATATTTGATGTTCTTTCAAGTACCGAACTGGCGGTGGTAAATGCTTCCCTGGATAATCCCGGAAGAGTTTACTTCAAAACGATGTATGCTGATTACAAGAGAGATGGAAAGTGGCGCGAAGACTAAAACAGCTCTAATAACGGGGCGTGATGAATTAAACATTGATATAGTTCAGTTCTATAACAGCTTTGAGCTTTTCTTACTAATTTTCTCAATTGTCTGTCAATCTGAAAACGGCTTTAACTATTGACCAGAACTTTTGATCCATTTTAGAGTCAAAAGAGTACAAGGGGCCGTTGTGTTCTTTTTGCTTTAACCGCTCGAACTTGAGAAGATCTTTTTTAGTAATAAGACCTTGTAGTTGGCCATGTGCTTCAACGATTACGATCTTGCAACCCAGTTTCAAAAAATAACGACTCACCAAATGCAAGGGCATATTAGTGGTCACCACAATGGGCGAACTATTAACTAAATGCCCAAGTGGGAGGTTGCTGCTTCCCAAATTTGCCGGAACAGCATCAGCTTTGCTCAGTACGACGTCAGTTGTTTCGAGGGGATAATTCTCAATTGCAGCCGCAACTTCGATACTCAGAGCTGATTGTTTGACATAGCCCATGCAAGTATCATTTTGTTCGTTGACCACAGGGTATTGTTTGAGATGACTATTTCTGTTCAAAAATTCTTTGAGCTCGTTCAGCGTCAAAGCTTCTGGAAGTGATACAATGTTTCGGCACATGATGTCTTCAGCGTTGTAGCTGTCTAAATAGCTAGCTTTGGCCTGCGTACTTTCTAGGATGGGAAAGCCATTCACCATTATCATTTGGTCAGCAATACCGCCTTTAGTACAAAGAGATCCAAAGACAAGGTGTGTCACTGCTACAGCAATCATAGACGGTATAATATATGAGAAAGCACCAGTTAGCTCAATCATAATAACTACCACAGTTAAGGTTAGATTAGTTATACCGCTCAAGGTAGCAGCTGCGCCCAAAAACGCGTATGTGCCGGGTGTAATTGCATTTGAGCCAGTTATCCACCTTTCCACCATCAAGCTTACCGCACGTCCAAAAGTTGCACCAACTGCCATCGAAGGAACGAAAATCCCAGCTGGAACGCTGCAACCATATGATACCACTATCAAAAGCGATCGTACTACTGTTGCAAAAATTAGTGCCAAAAGGATTCTAAAAAATGTGGACACATGAGTATCGGAATCCAACTGGCAGATACGATGGGCCCAAGCGGAACCGCCATCTTCGGCAACACACTCATGGAACAAAATTTCCATACTCTCAGTCATGTCCAGTCTCAAAAACTCATTAAAGTAGGATACTAAGGCAGTAATGAAAGCCAGCACGACTACCTCTTGTACCTTCCAGCGAGATAAGTATGTTTTCCGAAAGTTGACATAGCGAATGTTCCATTTGCTGATTAGCATACCATAAAGCCCTCCAAAAACGCCCAAAATAACGAAAACTGGTATCTCTTCAAATTTCCATTGGTTATCATAAGTAACTTCAAACAAGACAATCTTCCCGTTTCTGAAAGGATTCATATATTGTAAAGTCGCGACAGCTCCTAGAGCAACATAGTAGGATTTCCATAGAATCGACAGATCGAAATGTGAGGTAGTTGCCATTTCTTCCAAAGCAAAAAGGACCCCTCCTATTGGTGCTCCAAACGCCACAGCAACTCCTCCAGCACTTGAAGCAATCAAATACTGCGACTGGTCAGAAAAGTTCAGACTATGCTTGAGCAGGAAATTAGTGACTACAAAACCACAACAAGTTGCATAATGAACCGATGGCCCTTCCTTGCCTACGCTTAAGCCCGATGAAATTGCCAAAGGCAGTGCTGTAGATTTCACTATCAACGTTACAAGGTTAAGGAACTCGTCTTTATATTTGAATCCCGAAACCCACACTTTGATTTCTGATATTCCTGAGCCTGTCGCCATCGGCGCGATGTATTTGATCATGAGAGCACTGGTGAGCGCAAATAGAACAGACAGTAAAACGAATAATGTGAAGTCTGACAAAATATTCGACCTCTCGATCCATATCCCGTCCTTTATGCACTGCAACTCGTCCCGTTTTGAAAACAAATGCTTGGTGTCTCTGAAGCTTCCAACACAACAAAACGATTTGTTGAGAATCCAATTACGCGCACAGTGGCCACTTTTCCAGTTTACTAGTGTTTCGGTGACAATCTGTATGGAGCCTGCGATGCATCCCATTAACACGGCAATGCAGGTTAAAGTGATGATTTCTCGAAACCGCAGCCACATCCTCTGACGAAATAGCCTCCAGGGAGTCTCAAATTCGAGTTGAGAATCGTCCAAGGAAGCTAAAACTGTCCCCTTTCGATTTTCTTCAATCCAGTCTACGGTCTGGAACGACCCGAAGCCCTTGATCTCGGATATTTGTGAGACTCCAACATTTCCGGAATCTACGAAATCTAGCGGCTCAAAGGACATATCAGCAGGAGTTGCCGATTGTAATCCAAATACAAAAAGCCGATCTTAGATCGTCAACTGTTTGACAATGGGTGCGGACAAGTTTATCGCCGACCCTGTACTGGAGCCCATGAGCCGTCGATGATCGCATTACCAGCGTATATAATGATCTTAATATTAGTGGCGGCATTGGATTCTGCTCTGCTCCTTAGCTTAGGTCTGGCAACTCAGCAGCCGTACGCACATTAGCTCCACAAGTTCAGTCGGGCTGACCAGATAAGGAACTGGCTCATGCGAAACTTTAGATCATAGGGCCCTGCTCCGGATGTGTTGTTTAAATCCTTCATGGTCAGAACTTCTGCACAGATGTCAACATTTGACAGTACATGGATAATATCTATCTTTGAAAGAACTGTGAGTATATGTGCTTGGATATGGCGATTTTCTTGCATATTTCACACACTCGAAGCTGTCACCAAGGTGCGCCATCTAGTCAATAGATCACTCAATTCACGAGTTGATTATTTTTTCTCGACTAGCTGACGCTGGGAGCATAATTTTTTCAGCATGGAAAGAAAATTTTCATAAGCTCATCGCATCTCATCTCACACTTCTTGTCTTGCTGGATTCTTTTAAAGAACCATTCAGGCGAGCTTCTAATTGCAAGGAACTTGAAGAATTACCAATATCTTTGAATCGATACCATGTCAGCTACTCCAAACCCCAAGGCCTTTCCATTGGCCGACGCCAACTTGACTCAACAAATTTTGGATGTTGTTCAACAAGCTTCCAACATGAGACAGTTGAAGAAGGGTGCCAACGAAGCTACAAAGACTTTGAACCGTGGTATTTCTGAGTTCATCATCATGGCTGCGGACTGTGAGCCTATCGAGATTTTGTTGCATTTGCCTTTGCTTTGTGAAGACAAAAATGTCCCATACGTCTTTGTCCCTTCTAGAACTGCCTTGGGTAGAGCTTGCGGGGTTTCCAGACCAGTGATCGCCGCCTCGATCACCACCAATGACGCTTCCGCCATCAAGTCTCAAATTTACGCTGTCAAGGACAAGATCGAGACGTTGTTGATTTAGGGCGTTTTGTGATTCAACTGGAGGTGATACCATTGTGAGGGCACCGTGAAGCCCTTATCATCACGACTGATTCTCAGCGGCACAAAGGTACTAAAGACGTTAAGAAAGTACATATAGTGAAGTCTCACATGTGCATTTTGGAATCTGTATAGTAAGAAAGTCGTATAAACCTTAAATACAAATTTGCGAATCATGTTTATAACCTTCCTCTAGGTGTGAGGTGTGAGTTCTCACAGCAGGAAAACGTTTTAATCCGAGCCGTCACCCAAACAAGCAGCCCAAAGCCTTTAAGGCTAGTGGATGTGTCGACTCGAAGAACAAAATTTCCTCGCAATTCAAAGGCGCCACCAGATTGCTCGGGGTAGGTGTCGTGAAACTTTCAAAAGAGTTAGGCGACATTGTTGTACTGACCAAATAACAACCCCCATCGCTGGTATTGAGCATGAACATAGGCTTGAATATTTGATGCAAACTAGCGTATCTTTGATTGATGCGGTGGTTTAATGAAACACCTATAGTTGCCTTGTCCAATTTTAAACCTACTAATTCAATTCCAGAAAGAGGGTGAGGTATTTCGAACTGGGCCCCGATCAAGCCTTCCGAAGCGCTTGTTTTATACAACACAGAGGCCTGGCCTCGTTCATCAAGAGCAGCTGCAAACACGCCAGATAGCTCCTCACGGTATTCCACGAATCCAACTTTCGTGCTCGAAGAGAATCGAATCTCTGATAGGGCCTTCGTGCCCTCACTGTAATCCGAGACCCGTGCAGGTTCGATGATTACTTTTTGAAGTTTGGAAGCCAAAATTCCGTCATCTGTCTCCGCGGCAACCTGGCATGTCAGATTTAATTCCTGAATCCCTTTGAAAAGGTTGTGTATTCCAATTTTCTCAGTGCTACCTAAAAGCCTCCGCTTCTTAAATTCAGCTGACTCGAGATTTACAGACGAGATTGCCTGGGGCATAGAAAAACAATCGCTCACAAAGCTATCCAAAGTAAGGGGCTCAGATATTTGTTGAAGGCTGAAAGAGCCATCTTTGGCTGAGTAACTTAATTGAAGTACTTGAACTTGATCTCCTAAGGCGATAAGCAGGCGATTATAGTAATTGAATAAGTGCGTAACATTGAAACTAACGCGAGCTTTTAGCTGTAATTCAACTTCACCTGTGCGCTCATCAAGGGCAAATAGCAATAGATTATCACCCAGCTCATTTTCCGCAAATTCAAAATTTAGAGAAACCAAGAAGCATTTTCTGAAAACCAATTGTTTAGCATAAGAAGTTTCGGTGTCAACATACTTCTTCCACAATGCCTTTTTGTGAAACGTGACTTCGATCATACTAGAAACATGAGCTTGTGGGTGGAGCTTGGAAATGGCCACGCATGCCTTCATTTGCTGCGTCATCATATCGTAAACTTGTAACTCAGAGTCAAAGACTTCCTTCTCCAGTTTGATATCGTAGTAGGTAGCTAAAGCACTGACAATAACAAATCGGTGAGACAAACTCAGAGTTAAATGGTTCGTAAAACTATGCGTCTTGCTTCGAAGGCACTTAGTATTCAAACGGGGCCGATCAGTGGCAAGATATTCTATGCTTGCTTGGTATATGGTGGAGTCGTAGCCTACTATTATCACTTTGGAGGCTGAGGCGACTTTGATTTGAGAAATAGGCAAGGGCAAATCCACCTCTGCAGCATCGAGCTCTGGGCCAAATACGTTGATCAGGATGAGAAGATCTCTAGAGCAAGCAAAGAACCTTTCTGAATCTGGAAAATCATGCAGTGACACTTTCTGTCCATCTACCTGAAAAGATGCACACAAGCTGCCGTCAAGATTGTATGCATGGACAGTGCCATTAACGTCAGAAAAAATGACCCTTACATTAGCCCCAAAAGTTTTAACCAAGCAGCTAGTAACCTGTGATAAGCCTCTCAATTCAATGGTGATACATTTTGTATCAAAAAACCACACAGAATTGGAGCCCCAAGCCACTACAGACAGGGTCTCGGTGGACTGTAACTTTGCACAGGAAGCAACATATTTGACAGACGTTATGGATTTGAAAGCTGGTACTCTGGACCTCTGATGTGAAGCACTCCAAAATACTGAGCCATCTTTCTTCAGAAACATCAGATTTTCATCTGCAGACCCAAGAACGGGTGCTGCGAGACATATGTCCCTGCAACCTGAAACGATGTTTCCATCAAAACCAACATATACCGTACTACCGCTGGTTTCAACGGTGCCATACTGGTAAAAAAGCTCCCCATCACTCACCCAGTAGATACCTTGCTTAGTGAGCCAAAAATCACTTGGCATTTTTTCAATGGACGTTATGATGGGTTCCAGTTCCAAAGCTTTATTAAAGGAAAGGCGAGTAATCTCCAAAAAGCCCCCATTGCCACCCGAGCCTCCAGAAATTAACAAGCGGCGAAAATCCTTGTCCCCATTCGAGATGCTTGAGCGTAGGACCGACCCTGAATGGCAATCATCGAAATATTTTGCAGTTCCATCTGCCTCCAAAATTAAGAGCCCATCATTATTGGTAGAAAGTAAAAAGCGCGAGCCCGTCAGGTGTACGAAACCGTTAATGGTATCTGCCTCACCTCTATTGAACCCTTTGCAGTCAGTTGGGATGAAATCAGGCCAGTCACTTCCCTCTATCGATGGCGGAAGAGCTAGCTTAAAGAATTCAGCCCTACTTGTACAGACAAGCAGATCAATCTCGCCCTCATTATCCGTGCTTCTAACGAAAAACTTGGTATCGGAGGTTATTACTCTGGCAAAGCTCAAAGCACCGCCTTCTCGCATAGTATAGTTCAAACTCTGGGAGCCATTCATAAATCGCGGACGACAAAAAACAGTGTGATCAGCAAATAGGCAGATGAATCCATAGTAGTTCCTGGAAATAACAGCGACACCATAAGAACCATCGCATTTAATCCCTAGCTCTTTAGGCTGGAGAAAGATCTGCCAGTGGTTTCGAATTACATCTTCCTCCTTCCAGACCTCTACAAACGGCACTTCATCGTTTGGCGATTGGGAAACAAGGCAAATGTGACAAGATTCTTGGTAGTCCTCGTCTTCCAAGTGACATAGGCCAAAATCTAAGATGGGATTGCGACTTGTAATTACCGCTTTCCACTGTTTTTTATTCTTCAAAAACTTGAACTTTGAAGGGCCGAGTTCGTAATCCAGTTTGTGAACCGAAACCGTGTCCCAACTTATAAAAAATCGGTTAAACTTCGCATCAACGGAAGCTAATATTTTTCCACGAGATACGCGTGGGAAGTGCGGCAATTGACAAGTGCTCACAATTTCTAGTCGACTGTCTCTAACTTCTAGCAAACCGGAGTGCAAGAGGATGAAAGCATATTTGCACCTAGAAACAAGGTCCTGACATAACCAAGCTCCTAGGATAGTACCTGTCGCAACTGAATGATACAGAGACGGTTCGCTATCTTCTGGAAAGTTCAGAATAGTTAGTTTGCGACTTTTAACAACCAAAAGTTGAGAATCATTAAACAAGAAAGCAGTGATGAATCGCTCTGGAGCACGTAGCTCAGTGAGAACTAAGTTGGGTGTTATGGCCGAGTCTTTGGTAGCATCTGCCATAAACGAAGGCCAACAATGGGCAGGACTCAGTTGCTCTTGGCTTGATACTTCATGGTGTATAAAAGAGCACGACTGAGAATCGAGATCGCAAAATACGGGATATTAAAGTTCAAGCCACTAAAGTGCTTGGTCCAGAACAGGCTCTGAATTTACAAGAATTGCTCTCCTTCTTATCGAACGACCTCATATTTCTAACCATCAAATGCGATTAAGTTGACACTGTTACTCACAGCTTTGATAAAGCGCCCTACGTCCATAGCTGAACTATATCACCTGTCCCAATAATTTTTTGTGACACCACCAAGCGAAGTGGCTGTCATCTTACTGTCAGTCCGTCATCATTGACACTATTTTAGGCATAAGAACAAACTTTCCGAAAGTATTGTCTCTAAACTTCTTTGCTAGGGTGAGAACACCTGCGTTGTTGAGTGAGATGTTTAAACTAGGTTCCGTTTTCCAACGAACCAAAAAAGCTGCTTCAAGTGAGATTGAGGTGACGTGCGCCAGTCATTTTGCTAAATATAAAAAAAAGGCGGAAGAAAGAAAGTCCACTGACTGTTTTGTTGTTACGCACTGCTACTGTTGTGGTTCACCATTAAAACACCCAGAGAACGTTGAAAAGTTGAAATGTATAAGGTGTCACAGCACCGTTGAACTAAGGCCCCGTTCCACGGTACAAACAGCAGCTACAGTAGGAACTTCATTGTACACTTTTGAGGAATTTCACAATCTAGTTGACGTTTGCAACGCCCGTTACTCAAATGAGTGCTGCAATCTGGGTGCGAAGAATAAGAAGGATCAACTACATGACATTTTCCGACCAATTGAGGACTTCGTGGAGAAAATGTTTGCTAGTGTGGAGCGATTGAATTATTTCTGCATGTGTACCACTAATAAATCCAAGGTCTTCGATTCAAGTGTCGTTTCCACTTTCTATAACATGATTATTAATCTACCTACCAGCAGGCCACTGTACAAATTACTAGTCTGTAGTAATGAGCGTCTTAAAAGACCAAAAATCGATCTCCGATGCTGTGAGCGTACCTCAAGCTTTTTAAACTTCCGTTGGGTTCTAATGATTATGGAAATGCCACTTTTGCGGGAAAGTCTATTGATTTTTGACTCTAAAAAGATGTTATCCCCGCATATGCGAGCAATTCTTTACGACGTACTGAAGCGATGTATTGGATACATGTCGTCACTCGATGGCACTTCGGCGAAAGAGTTTGTGCGGCATCTGCAAGGAATGAGTGCGCCTCATTTCGTGTCTCACGTCGACCTGCTGAATATTTATCTTACATTCCACTTTTCGAGGATTATGCGTAAGAAATTTCAGGAAGATGCTTGCCAGGGAAGCCCCGATTTGGAAGAATTTTGCTCAGACATTAAGTTAAACCCAAAGAAAACCAGTAATGATTTAGAGATAATTTCTCGCATGGTCAGTAAAATTTGGAAAAGTGATGGACACGCTAAAACGGATTTGCCCCATACTTTCAAATTTGACATCCTTGACTACGGAAACGACTGGCATATCAAAACGGTCGCAAAACTGTCATTTTTTTACTATACTGCAAACCAGTGCAAATGGAAATGCCCAGTTTCCCGTTTTTATAATGTGTTGTCGGACTATTTGGACTACAAAAAAGACTATGATGAATGTGGGAGAAACTGGAAGTGTAGAGATTTCACCTCACCACAGGCTTTGACCAAAGCAACAGAAAATATGGTATTAATACCTTATTATCCTTTGACAGGCCAAAGCTCTATCGCTCAATTTGCGATGTGTCAATATCCGTACTTGTTATCTCTTGGCATCAAAATATCTATAATGGAGCGCGAGATTAGGAAAGTTATGGAGCACAGTGCCGAACAAGCATTCCTCAAAGCTTTAGACAAGAAGCAAGTTATTGAAGTTTACCTGAGGATCCGAATTCGCCGCAGTAACGTTGCTCAAGATTCTCTCCATTGTATTGAGGCTCATCGGTCGGACTTGCAAAAGTCTCTAAGAGTAGAATTTGTCAATGAACCAGGCATTGACGCCGGCGGCCTCCGTAAGGAGTGGTTTTCTTTGCTAATCAAGGAATTAATTAGTTCAGACAATGGGCTTTTTGTCGTGGTGGATGAAAGTAGATTTTCATGGTTCAATGTGGCACATGGAGGCACGGAGGGTGCCAGTGGTGATAATTTGAAGCTGAATTATTTATTCGGAATAGTCCTTGGCTTGGCAATATACAATGGAACAATTCTAGATGTTTGCTTTCCCATGGCACTGTACAAAAAGCTGTGCGGCGCACCCATTAACCGTGCAGACTTTCTGGAGCTCTATCCAGTCACAGGAAAGAATCTGATCAAGATGATGGAGTACGAGGGTGCTGATTTTGAAGGGGTTTTCAGCTTGAACTTTGAAATCACATATTTGAATGTCTTGGGTTCCGGGGTTTGCCGTGAAGAACTTTGTGACGGTGGTACCACCAAACAGGTAACAATGGAAAATCGAAGCGAATATGTGAGACTCTGGATTGATTTCTATATGAACAAATCAATCGCTCCTATGTTTGAAGCGTTTGCAAACGGATTCTACAAAGTTGTTAAAAGCGATGCATTCCGTTTGTTCAGCGCTGAAGAGGTTGAGCAGCTATTATGCGGAAGTCATGAGACGAACATCGACGTGGACACTTTGAAAAGCGTGACCAAGTACGGAGCAGGATTCTCACAGGCATCAAGAGTGATCGATTGGTTTTGGAGCATCTTCGATCGATTTAGCGCCGAACAAAAACGGAAACTTCTAGAGTTTGTAACTGGATCTGACAGAATACCTGCCACTGGTATTTCCACCATTCCATTCAAAATTACACGACTTGGAGGGGATTCGGATAGGCTCCCTTTAGCTCACACATGCTTCAATGAGCTCTGTATTTATGATTACGGCGATCGGAATAAGTTGCAAGAGAAGCTATCATTAGCAATGCATGAATCCGAAGGTTATGGCTTTAAATAAGTGATGTAATTTCACGAAAAAAACTACTTAAGTGGTCGATGAAAGCTTTGTTCAAGCTTTTATCTGGAGTTATCATTGTCCTCGTTGCCCGAAGGTGATGATAGCCTTTACCGAGTCACTCATAGCCTGATCATTTTTCTCCCATCTGTCAAATCAAACATCACGCTATACGCTAGTGTCATCAACAGCTTCTGAGACCACTCAGACGTCGAACCCCGAATGTGTGTACACACACGACTTCGAAGTAACACATATATGATCAGCTGGGTGGTATGGAATAGGTTCCTCACATCCCTGTTTCATCTTTTAAAAAAAAGAGAGTCTTAACGTTTAACGTTAATTCAACTCGGGCCAACTTTGAGCTAGTACTCTCAGAACCCGGATTGAATAGAACCAAATGCTGGATGACATTCCAGCAGCACATTCGTCTGCCATTTCCCAGGAATAAATCTGTCTTCAACTATTCCATAATCGTATATAACGAACCAATGATATTGTCCAAAATTTTTCAATAGTAAATTTGTTAGCTTGAATTCGCTAATTTCGGTCTTAAGTCTACACAACTCATCTAAAATTTAGAGCTCACTCATTTGAAAGGTTTTGAACTACATCTGAAAACGTTGCTCTTCGACACACCAACTTTGGTCAATTCAATACCTGAAAAGTTTGACGATCTGGTCTGATCCCCTCTTTTCTACTCGTTCCATTTGTTGAAGCTTCCCTCAATATTGCCGTCTATTTTGCCAAACATGTTGGGTTTGAGAAGCTCTTTGAAAGGTTCTTTGAGAGCCTTGAACAGTCAGTCCAGACTAGTGTCGTCGTCTGCTATCGCTGCTAAGTCAACCTACAGAACTCCCGATTTCGGTGATTACCTTAAGGAAAAGAACGATGCTGACAAGAGCCGTTCTTACGCTTACTTCATGGTCGGTTCTTTGGGTTTGCTCTCCTCTGCTGGTGCCAAGTCTACCGTTGAGACTTTCATCACGTCGATGTCCGCCTCTGCCGATGTTTTGGCTATGGCTAAGGTCGAAGTCAACCTCGCTGCCATCCCAGAAGGTAAGAACGTCGTTGTTAAATGGCAAGGTAAGCCTGTTTTCATCAGACACAGAACAACTGGTGAAGTTGACGAGGCCAATGGTGTTGACATGTCTGCCTTGAAAGATCCTCAAACAGACGCCGACAGAACAAAAAATCCAGAATGGCTAGTCATGTTGGGTATCTGTACCCATTTGGGTTGTGTCCCAATCGGTGAGTCCGGTGACTTTGGTGGTTGGTTCTGCCCTTGTCACGGGTCCCATTACGATATCTCAGGTAGAATCAGAAAGGGTCCAGCCCCATTGAACTTGGAAATTCCAGAATACGAGTTTGACGGCGAAAAACTGATCGTCGGTTAAAGAAGCAAGCAAGCAAGCAATGATGTATTTTTTTTCAAGAGAACTGCATTAATCATATCTCGTTTGAGTTGCCTACGTTGTTTTAGCAACGATTGGCACTTCATTTCACACTAACGCTCCAAATTCGACGTTTGCGAAATATATTCCTACCATCGGTTGTCTTTTGCTTCCCTTTTTTATTTATTATCATTTGAGGGGCTCCTGACCGGGGAAATGAACATATTCAATTGATTACTACTTAATTTGACAGTGAGCAGGTCTGTCAAGGCATAACGCAATTGGAAACATTTATGTGTGATACAATTCCATCCCCTCAAAAATTTATCAATCAAAATTCAACGACTCATATAACTTTGTTATTTATAATCTATTCATGATGCTAAAGAGATTTACCGTAGATATAGGGAAGAACCTGCTTATACACCAGTATTTATATTCAACTGTGTTATCAAGAGGTAGGGAAAATTGGCAGTTGCCAACTTACCGATGCCCAACACCCTCGGCGCTTGTTCCACAAGAAGGTCCATGCTCTGTGGTGTACAGCAGTGTGACTGGAGGGTCATATCTTATGAGTCAGGAAACAATATACCTAAACATTTAGTCAATTTCTCCATTTTGATCGGCCTCGAATGGACCATCTATAAAAAATTCAAGGGCGTACTGTGCCAAGCTCTTAGGCCCATTATCCTGTACCGAGGCATCCTCGAAAGTACATATTCGTCAAGGACCCATCAAGGCGTGATTTCCGAAGCCCCCCTACCAAAATTCGGCCTACAAGTGAGTTGCTGACTATACATGCATTAAGTTTTCTGCTCGACTGCAATGAGTCCCACAAACCACTGTTGAACAATTTACAGAAATGACCAGCTTCATCACAGAGAGCAGAGAAACCAAAGGACGCTCAAATTTTGTTAAATCTCGAATTTTGTTTTTATAAATGAAGATATTGCCACTATAGGTTCCGCCAAACCCACTCTAAGAACATAGCCGAAACTTAATGGTCATAGTCAGATATCCACCCACCGTCGGCTTCTGTAGCATGGCCAGAAAATGATTCCGCCATTATGTCCAGTAGAAAACCAAACTTGAGGAAAGATTGGGTGGTGTGGACACGGCGATATAGAGCGGTATCATTTCAAACTAGTTGGTCTTGGCGCCTCCTGCTCACTTGTGTAACTCTATGGCCAAATATTTCGAGTTTTGAAAGTAGCCCTGGCCAGACTTTGCTGATGGTATTCCGTGAACGGCCGATTGAATGACGGTAAACCCTCTCCTCCCAACTGGGGTAAAATAGCCTTTGAATGTTGCGCCCTTTTTTCTTTTTTCTCTTACCAACACTCTGATCAAAGGTATGCTGCTGGAACTAGTCTCTTTTTTCGTTAACATTCGCGGTATGTCTGACTTAGCCTGCGATAGCATGTCTTACTGCAAAGAAAGAGTGCCTATCAAACTCTTTCCCGTTGAATTGGCGGAGTCAAAAAGCCTTTGGAACTGAACGCTAGTTTCATTCATAACGTCGGAAAAGGATCGCTATTTCCATCATTTAACGTTTGCTTATAGTCAATATAACTCGGTAAAGACTTCCACATTTCGAAGATTTCCCGGCAGTGCCCACAAGCTTAGCAACATCTGGACATAAGGAGCCGACTCTCTCTGTCCCTCTTACCAAGTTTTTCAAGGACTTCGCTGCTGAAACTGAACATGAACATGTATACTATATTTCCGAGTCTTTAACTGCGCAATAAACGTAGAGGAGCCAGGAAAACCTAGAGCAAATTTGAGGTCAATCAGAATATTCTAGCACAAAACTATGAAATTCCTGTAAAGTTTCATTAATCATCGAAAGGAACATATGTTCCTGTAGCTCCTTGTGGTGACAGATTTGTACACTCTTGTCACTGTTGCCGAGCATTCTGCGTGTCTTTAGCCTATTCGCTAACGGCAGTGGACCAAAAACATCACCATTTTCATTGAGGCGAGAATAACGTCGTTTAGTTCTCTATCTGTTCATGTATTCTTTCGATGCAGTACTTATGAGACAGCCTGATGCACAAATAAGCACTCAGGTTTAGATGGAATGCAAACTGCACAAAAGTGCAGACAAATACGTTACCAAAATATCCTTTTTTGGAGGTTCGGTGTCTTGAGCTTAAACCCGCCGCTGAGACTTGAATTAAGGTCGTCAAGCAAAATAATGTTAGTCCGCGTCGAATTCCTCATTTAGATGCCATTGGCCATCTGCTCGTTTGAAAGTCGCAATTTGTTTTACTAACGCCCTTACCTTGATTACATCATTTTTGTCTGATAACTTGATTCCCACTTTTTCGATAATTTCGGCCGATTTCGCCGCACTGCCAGGCTGTCCAGATAGGTATGATCTAATTTGCTCAATAAGTGCAGAGCCTTGCGAGCTTTTAGTTGATTCACCTCGATTTTGATGTGTCTCACTATTTTGACGAATATTGGAGAGTATGGCAGCTGATCCTATGGAAATTGCCCCTGCTTTCTTTTTTCGTACTTTGCCCGCAGTTCCGAACTTACCTGTCCAGGTTGGCGTCCCTACATCGAAACTTTTTGTGGTGGATCTTGATTTTCTTAGCGCAGCTACAGCCTCTTTTGCCACTTTTTCTGCTTCTTTCGTGATTATATCTTTAGAAGGTGTTGCATGATTATTCATGACGGATCCATGACTCTGGGCACCTTCGATACTGCCTCCAAAAAGTCCTTCCATCAGACGCTCCTCTTCATTCTTTCCTTTTTGCTCTTTGTCCTTTCCACTAAAATAACCCTCGAGCTTCGAAACACCGGATAATTGCACTACCTCTTCAAAATCATCGCTTTCTTTGGTCCTCGACTTCTTGATATTTTCTGTTTCTCTACCAACCTCGTCTTCCAGCTTTTCATTCGATAATCCAGAATCGCCACCTAAGGTAAACAAATCATGCAGTTCGTTCATTTTGAAGAATCGCTTTTGTTTCGGGTCTGTGAGTATTTTGTTCGTTAGAAATTGCTTGAATATCTGCCTGTGATAAATCTTCTCTTCAATAGATCCTGCAATCATAAGTCTATAGATCGTAACTTCTTTTTTCTGTCCAATTCTCCAAGCTCTTTCACGAGCCTGCATGTCAGTTGATGGGTTCCAGTCTGGGTCGAATATTATAATTCTATTAGCACCAGTTAAGTTGACCCCTAGGCCACCAACTCTAGTAGTCAGTAAAAAAACATTATAAGGCCCATTATTGAAAGAGTCCACAAGCCCTTGACGCGATCCGATATTCGTCGTACCATCCATCCGCAGATAATTTAAATCTAAAAGATCAGGGTCATTGGCAAGAAACTTTTCCAAAATGTCCAGCATTTGGCGCGTTTGTGTGAACAGCAAGGTTTTGAAATTTTGACTGCTCCAGAGTTTCAATAATTGTTTTACAACCTGCATTTTACCTGAGCGTTTAGGGTCTCCATAGGAAACATCAAATTGTAGCCTATCCCTGTCTAACATGTCCGGATGATTGCATATTTTCCTTAAAATATCAATTCCGTATAGTGCTTGCCATTTACCGTTTTTGATCTTAACGAGTTCTTCTGAGTTCAGAAACTGCAAATATTTGTCCCGTTGGAATTTGGTTAATTTACAAAAAAGAACCATCTCGTCTTTCTTCGGTAGATCCTTTGCAACGTCTGCCTTTATCCGCCGTAGCAGATAAGGAGATATTAGATTTCTCAAAGCGATTGCACATTTGTAGCCTGTTTGGACCTGTACATTAGTTGCATTGGCATAGCCTCCCATATTAATTGGAGTTGCGAATTGCTGCTGGAAAACCGGCAACGTGCCCAGTCGGCCTGGGTATATGAAATCAAACAGACTCCAGAGCTCTGTCAAATTATTTTGAATAGGAGTACCAGACAAAATGATTCGATGCTTGGTTTTAAGATGTTTGCAAGTCAACGAGATGTCAGCATCTGGGTTGCGAATTTTGTGCCCTTCGTCCAAAACGGCATATCCCCAGTTAACGTTGAGCAAGCGGTCGGCATGCACCCTGAGGCCCACATAAGTAGTTATCAGGACGTGGCCACTATTCACGACCCGATCTATCAAAGCATTGCGAGCTATTCCACTTTCCATACTACTCTTGGTTTTCTTGTCATTTTTATATGCTTCGAAAGAGATCTCATCTGGATTTGAGTTCATGACCAGCTCTTCGAGTTTCTCTTCACTAAGAGTCTCCTTTTGGTTCATACCTGATCCTATGGCATGTAAAATTACGGTCCTAAAGGCCGGCCACCATTTATGAAACTCCTTGCACCATTGACGTAGAACTGTTGCTGGGCAGACTATCAGAATGGGCCCGTCTAGTTTACCTGAATGATGCAAAGAGGCTAGGAAGGCAATAACTTGGATTGTTTTACCCAAACCCATTTCATCGCCTATAATCCCACCACACTGCTGCTGATGCAATTCATAGAGCCATTGGACACATGTTTTCTGATAATTGAATAAGAGTGTGAAAATCTCTCCTGGTATTTTGAGGTTATCATTGAGTTTAGCATCGGGGAAGTCAGGATGCGGTTTGCGGTATTCATCGAGCTCCTGATTACGTTCATTCTGCCTACGTTGACCCCTTATACGTGTCCATCTTTTGAGTCTTCTCTGATAATGTAGCTCATCACCGTCGTCCGTGAAATTCGCAGTTGCACCTTGGATCTTTTTTCTTGATCCGATACCATCGGCTATTTCGAGATCACTGGAGGGTGACGAAGAATATCCAGTATCAGAGCCACCATCGTTATCATCGCAATCATCAGCGTGTTTGTAGTCATCGTGGTCAGTGCCTACTTCGTGTTCACTGTCTGCGATTGGCCCCTCAGATCCAGCGTCTGCTTCCATAACGAATGTTGAATGAGTGCCAAAGGCAGTTTTCTCGCCAATTCGAATGAGGTATTCTTGCTCTGATTCCTCAGGCCGCCTACCGGTAGGGTCGTATGCTGATCTATCCTCGTGCTTCGTCTTAGACAACGCAGCGAGCCGTCGCTTTATATCAGAGATGTCTCGCTGCTGAGGCCGAATTTGGCTAGTGAGAAGTTCCTGGATTTGTTCTTGTAATGTACTCCTAGCGCTTATTCGTGTAGCGCTGGTCAGCTTGCGCTGCAGCAACTTCTGCCTGGTAAGAAGCTTCTCTAAAGCATTTTGGCTCCTTTCCAACCTTTGGAGTTCTTGATCTAGCGTTTGTTTATCTATTGCATTTTGAGCACTGTGCTCGATTTGGTTTTCCAAGGTACTTTGCGATACTAGCTCGATGCCCAAGTCTGACAGGCCACCTTCATTACTATTTGGGGTCATTTGTTGTGCGCCCAGAGGGTGACGATGGTCACTAAGACTTTCCTCTGTGCCGATGGTGGAGTACTAATTCCCTATTGCTCGAAGTTGCTGGTCATTTTGGCATATGCAAAGGTGCCTCTATGGGCGCTGTCAAATATATATTAACGAAATGTCCATACTAAAATGTAGATCGCATGGATATCGAAAAATTATGTCGACAATACCGAACCACAAGCAGCATCCCTGAATATATGACATATCCAAAATGCAACTTACTGATTCTCATGATGGATGCGCAGTTCTTTCTACGCTGCAAGTTTCAGAACACCTCATGCACTCAATGTTATCAATATATTTACAAGACCTATAAGAAATATCCCCCCTTATATGAAGCCGTATATGCCTAATTCTTGTTAGTACTGGACAATGTTTCAAGCTTACGCAGTTCTTCTCTCGCATCAAAATTCCCGCTTGATAAGTTGTCGTACTGTTGGTCGTACTTGCCAGTAGAAAGGGCCCCGTTTCCTCTGAATCTTTTAGTCATATCTACCATTCCTCTTTTACACTCGAGAAACGCTTTCATCTGTGCCAGACAGAGTTCAGGCAAATCCTTGCTCAGTTCTGGATCTTCCAGACATTTTTTAGGAGTGTTTCGCTCGATCAAAACGCACGGTGACCGCTGCAAACATATGGCAACGGCCTTTCTCTGATCATTACAGCTGGCACCCATCTCTGCAGGCTTCCTTTACTATGTGCGTTGCTGGAGTTCACAGCTTCTCTTCTCTTCAATACTAATAGCATCAAGATCATCAAATAATCACAGAGCATTTTCCACGGGTGTGGTAATTCAAGTCTACGCCAAGTATTAGTTTCCAGATTCGAGACCCACATACCTCCCTTGTACAGCTATAGCACAGGTTACTGCCCATTAGCACCAAAACACACTAAAAGCTGTAATCTCACATGCCTCAATAAGAACGTTCTAAGATAGCAAGAGCTATATGCGAGAGGTTGATTTCTATGAAGTTTGCTTAAGGTCTAGTAGAGAAAATTCGACAGTGACACCATCGTAATTTCCCGAAAACCGGTGTCGGAGGGCAATCTCGAAAATGAGGTTTATCCCAAGTAATTCGTGTGTTGCTCTTATACTTGAATAGCTCTGTGTCGAATGAGCGTTCGAAGTGATCCGTTTATTTTCGGTGGGTTCGGGGAACCTAATCACATATTTCAATAGGGTCTGAAGTCTGCTGGTCGGCACAAAAACCGTTGCTATCCTGGGGTTGATGGCACTCAACTTTCTACCCGGACAGCCTAATTGTACTCAACAAACTGTATGCCAAAGTTCCTGGCAGGATCATACGCTGCTAGCGTACTGCTCAGGCAACAATCTCATTATTTTATCAAACAATTTCAGTCGCCTTCAGACCATTTACTTCGACCATGACTGCTGCGCTGTTGCCATTGATCCATCCAATGGCCATATAGCGGTTGCCAATGGCTCAAAAGTTACAGTGTACAAACCGTTGCATCAGGTAATGAGAAACCCCAGATGGGTTTATTGTACTGAGGTATTTCATGACGATTCCACAGTGAATTGCGTTAGCTGGGGTCTAAATAAAGAACTGGCGGTAGGGTCTGATTATCTCTCATTTTGGAAAATACGGGACGAATTTGGCCATTTCACACCATCTCTTTTATGGACCAAGAAACAATTTCATCCAGTGTACCGCTGTGCGGTATCGGAGGATTCACAAGTCATTGCAAGTGTGCACAAGTATAGTCCCACAGTACGACTTTGGAGGCGAATATCGCTGGGTGATGATAGAGAACTCTTCGATTTAACCCTTATTTCGCATCCCGGGAATGTCACTTCATTCAGATGGAAGCGCTCTAAGAACTTATGCGATCAAGAAAAGGATTCGCATGTCTTTTACACATTGTGTGAAGACGGTAAGCTAAGGATTTGGACTTATTTCGAGAATAATGGGCGCAAGACGATTCAAAAATGGGGGAGCCTTGAGTTGAGCCCGCAAAAGGATCAGAGGTTTTGCTTCATAATCGACAGCTGGCTTGTACAGCAAGCTTTGCAGGGTAGTAAAATCCCAAATCTTGAATACTACTCAGAGATTCATCCAGACATGGCGGTGATAGCTAATGGACACGGACAATTGGAATTCCACGCGCTGGAAAACCTGTCCCATAACCCACCGAAACTGATGAGCCATCAAATTGTCGCTACTACCGAAGTTCCTCCGGCAGTTTTCGTTCATGAACCAAAATATCTTTATTTTGCTGAACCTCAATTGGCATACGTAGACAAAAAGGGTCTGTCCATTGTTGTTCATGATGTCAGAGGTGTTTTGCGACATTCTCAGTTGCGTTTGGAAAATATTTTAGAGGGCCATGATTCAAGTTCCACGACTTTATTACACAAATTCACAGGACATAACAAGTCAATTCAAAAACTCGTCAGAAGTAGCAACGGAAAAGCTATGATGACGATATCTAGATTCACGGAAAATTGCATTTGGGTGCCTCAAAATTTATCAAGCGGTGTATCTCTGCGCAAAAAAAATATCATAGTTTCCGAAGGGCCCTTGCTGGATGCTGTGGTTCTCGAGAGCGGGAATCTGGTGGTGACCTTATCACAGAATTTTAAGTTACAGGCTTGGGAGTGTCCTAATGATCGCGCAAGCAAAAAGTCTCAGCTAAAGGCCGAATACAAACTTGATCTTTCGAAAGGTGTGCCGAGGTTAATGCTGAACATGCCGGAGAAAGTACATCACCACGACCGGCATTTCGTTGGACTCATTTATTCATCAGGTGAAGTTTTGAGCTTTAAAGTAACTTTTGGGGGAGGAATTGTGCCTATTCCTACTAATTCGCTAGACCTTGGCCAGGAAAAGGGCATCTATTTGATTTCTTCCATTGATCCTGTAAACTACGGGTTTTTTGCCGGAAGATCCTTAGTTTCAATAATTTCCAAAAGTGGAATCATTCGAGCTTTCAAATGCATAATCAAAGACGATAGTGTGTTCTGGAAGCTGAGTTACTGTGTTGATACAAACCTCAATGATAGTGTGCTAATAAGCGGGTCATCCATCGATAAAATTTGCGTTGTTGATAGGTCAGGAAAAAGGCTAACTATTTGGGATTTGAGGAGAGCGTTCTTGGAGTATGAAAAGGCGTTTGAAAACCCAGTAAGAGATATCGACTGGACAAGCACCAAATTTCGCGAAACCATTTTTTCAGCTGGCTTTTCCGACCATGTCTTATTGTTTACTCAGCAAAGATATGACTACACTAGCAAAATTCCTAGTTATGCGCCTGTAGGAGAAATTGGACTCAAGGAGCACACAACACATGCTGTAGGCGACTCTATCTGGCTGACTGACGGAACTTTTGTCGTTGCGTCCGGCAACCAACTTTTCATCAAAGACAAGCACCTTGACATGAGCGATAGGCTCACGAACCAATCAGTTGGGTCAAGAAGGATCCTTTCAAATGACATTATGCATCTGAGCAATGTATTGAATGGACCTTTACCAGTATATCATCCTCAGCTGTTGATCCAAGCTTTGTACACAAACAAAGTTAAGCTAGTCAAAGAGATTTTGCTGCGCTTGTTTTTGGCTCTTAGAAAACTTGAATTTAATTCTGGAGAAATGCTCACTTTAGAGGCTACGTTGGGGCTGCCGTATGAAAAGTTTGTGTGTCCTAACGAGGAAGCCTACCAAGCGGATGAATATTCAGAGCCTTATAAGGCGTTCAGCAGTTTGGTCGCTTCTTCACTGAGGGACAAGCTGATAAAGCATGCATTACCTTTTATAACGCGCCATCAACAGGTAACGTTGATCACTGTTATAGAGGCGATCGAGGAGATAGATAAGAACAGCGAGGCCGTAGACGCACCTGGTAATTTATTCATTTTAGGTGTTAAGCTGTTTGAGCTGCACAGAAAAACCCAGGCATCAATTAACGTTCGAGATTCACTATGGGCTTTATATTCTAACAGCAAAAGAGTACTGTTTTCTACCATTTTGCCAACCATTGACTCTTGGGAACGCGGGCGGCAATACAAAATTAGTTTTTGGGCAGAACGTGAAGATCTCATGGCGTCATTCGATAAGATTGCTAAGCACGAGTTTACGCAGGGGACCGACAGAGATCCAAGAAAATCAGGTTTATTTTATTTGACTTTAAAGAAAAAGCAGATACTCTTAAGTTTGTGGAGAGTCAGTGCTGGCCATCCTGAGCAGCAAAAAATGCTGAAGTTCTTGAATAATGACTTCAAGGAGGAAAGATGGAGAAAAGCTGCCTTAACAAATGCCTTTGTTCTTTTGAGTAAGCATAGATTTGTTGACGCAGCCTGCTTCTTTCTTTTGGCTGATTCTCTGAAAGATGCTGCCAATGTCATTTTAAAGCAGATGCAGGATTTGGCTCTCGCAGTGGGCGTTTGTCGCTTATACGAGGGCGAGCGCGGCACTGTTCTTTGTGATTTATTGAAATCTGCAGTCCTACCGCAGGCGATTGTGGATAATGATAGATGGATAACAAGTTTTATCTATCATATATTAGGAAAGCCCAATATCGCTCTGAAGGCCCTTGTCATGTCACCCATAAACCTCGAATCAAACAACGAGCTGGTCTCCCAAGAGGACATTATAATAAAGTCATTCCTAGTTGAAGATCCGGCCTTATTGATGCTATATGCTCACTTGAAAGAAAAGAGTGACGAGTACTTCAGTGCTTACCTGGAGGTTGATGAGGGTCTTGAATATCGTACAGTTCACAGGGTCTCTGCGTTATACTCAAGGATGGGATGCGATTATCTTGCGCTCTCTTTAGTCATGAATTGGCAATTCCCTGACAAAACACGACATGGTCAAGAGAAACAATTGCAGGAGAAAAAGTGGGGCGCTAGCGCCTCCCCTCAGCATGAACACTGGCAGCATAAAGCCAGGTCAATATTCGACAAATTTGATAATATACCACATAGTGCTGAGTCAACCACTCAAATTGGTTCTTTGATGCCCGAAGCTAAAAATCTGCTGGACCAATTCGGGGATAGTCCAAGAAACCCAACAACAAATTCTAGCGGGTTATTCAGCATGGAGTGCGATGGATTCACCTCTGCAACTACTCCAGCTTCAATAAAGAGTGAAGCGACGACCGAAGCCATGAACAGCCCCCCAACACAGCCCACCAAACCTAGAAATCTGCTGGATGACTTTTTTTAAGACGCTATTATTGAAAAGGAAAATATTTTCATTGCCTAGCTAAAAAATTTCGCTATATTCTTCCTAGTCTTCTCTTTTGCTTCCTCTAAACTGTTCATAGTGTTGGTAATTTTTTGGTCGACGGCTTCGTCGTTGGGCTTGAGCTCTTTACAAGCCTTGTAGTCTTTTAAAGCGTCTTCAAATCTTCTTTTGACATAATGGCAATTTCCGCGTCTGTACAAAGCTTTAGCTTTGTCAACCCCAGATGGATTTGGCATCTCTAACAAGTAAGTAGCAAAAGTTTGTGCATCTTCAAATTGTTCCTGTTGAAACTTTACCAGAGACATATTCAAATATAGTTTCGCTTTGAGATCATTAAACTTCAAGTTGAACTCTTTACTTACATCAGTTTCTGGAATGCACTCATTAACATAACGGAGGGCCTTCTTGTACTTAAAGAATGCGTTTTGGAGATCTCTTTGCTTGAACAATAGTGATCCAGAATTTTTTATCGTAGTAGCCGCTTCTAAAGCCTTCTCAGCTGATTCCTTATCAAAGTGATCATCGTCATCTGGGAACTCCTCGTAAATATCTCCACCAAGTTTGTCATTACAGGTGTTGAATACGGGAACGCCCATTGATTCTATCCACTCGCCACAATTTTCAATAACAACGGGTTCGAGAGGAAGTCCATCGGAGTCCACATTTAGATGCTCCACAGTCCGAACAACAGACTTCCCATGCAACACATACCCAAAGATGCTGTGTTTGTGGTTCAGATGTTGCGCTGCACTTGTCGTAATAAAAAATTGAGAGCTGTTTGAATTTTCGGTACCCATATTGGCCATAGCTAGCATAAACGGATGAGTAAACTCGACCGTGTTCTCATCTTTGAAATTCCCGTAGCAATGAATGCTGTCCGACGCCGTGGTATGTTCGATTTCAGATTCTTCTGCATATATCGAGCATCCACCTTTTCCAACCTGAGTAGAGTTTTCAGCTATCTGATCTGCCCTTCCATAAATAACATCCCCAGCTTGAATCATGAAATTTTGGATCAGGCGATGAAAGCTATTGTTCCTAAATTCAAAGTGCTGGTCACCCACTTTCACGCCATCACTACTCAACTTTAGGAAATTTTCGCAAGCTAAAGGCGCTTTGTCCCAAAATAGTTCAAGAACAATACGACCTATAGGCTCAGATCCAATCCTAATGTCCAGATATGCACACTTTCCGCCCATACCTTATTTGGAGTTACAATCTGCTGTTTAGCAGCTCTCGAGCATTAAGCTCATCGGCTGTGCCAAAAAATTGACAACACATTATGGTGTGCCAGAATAATATAAAGTGATTTTAACAGAGGGCATTCAAGAGATAAAAGAAGCCAGCCACGTTCTACTCAAGGCGTCCTGACGTGCTAACCGTAGTAAATGTAATGACTCAATACTCTCCAAAGGTCAAGAAGTTGGGTCAAGGTAGCGCCAGGCGGTAAAGCTTTATTTAATTATTTGAGATTTGCCTCGAACTGAAACAGCCGACCTCTAGTAAAGTGGGAAGGCTTTCAACAGCATATCCTCTCATAAAGAGTTCCGGATTTAACTACTGTTGAGCGGTAGATCAACTTGTCTGTCTTTCCCACTGTCCGTATTTAATTTGAAATGTTGCCGTATATAAAGACCAAGGTGGATATGGCCAATTGCAGAAAATCAGTATAATCGATTTGAAATTTGAAGCACCTTGAAGACACTTGGCAGGGCAGTGTTGACGTGGACACTGGGACGTCAGCGGACTATCGAACACTGAGAGCTACCAACATTAAGATATACTGTGAGGTAAAACTTGGGCTCGTCTAGTCTCTTTTGCTTGATTAATATGTCAGAAATCCAATATGAAGTAGCTGTCGATCCGGTGACTATTGTGATTAAGGAGTGCATCACGCTTTCAACTGCCATGCGCAAGTACTCCAAGTACACTTCTCAAACAGGGGTTGCGGCTCTTTTGAGTGGGGGTAGCGAGATTTTCAGCAATCAGGACGACTCTTTAGTCGACACATTTAACAACTTGTCAACAAACAAAAATAAAGACCCAATTTTGTCTGGATTTGTGCAACTGAGGCTGATGCTTAATAGTTTAAGCTCTCTAGACACAATCGACTCGCTGACTCTTCTTCAGCCGTTCCTCGTCGTCATTAGCACTCCATCCATCTCTGGGTATATCACCTCGTTAGCGTTGGATTCGCTGCAGAAATTTATTGCCTTCAACATCATATCAGAGTCATCAGTGAATAGCACAATTGCTTTTCGCGAGGCCGTCAATGCTTTAACGCACTGCAGGTTTGAGGGATCGGAACAGACCAGTGATGATTCTGTCCTCCTCAAGGTCCTGGTGTTGCTAGAAACGATGATAAAATCAACATCTTCGGATATTCTCTCTGATTCCATTGTATATGAGGTCTTGCAAACCGTGATGTCGTTGGCCTGCAATAAGAAAAGAACTGAAGTGTTGAGAAGGGCCGCCGAGATGTCGATGATGTCCATTACTGTCAAAATATTCGCGAAGTTGCCACATTTGAGACCAGTTGACTCCCAGAAATATATCAACGATGAAGATCTTTCAAAGAATGTATTGAAGGATGACTTAATTGGAACTGGGCTCGACGACTTGACCCCAGATGCGGATGCCAAAGATGATATTTCGTCCACCTCAAGCATAGACCAACATAATGATACAACTCAGAAACTGCAACCTCTGGAAGAAAACTACGGCCTTCCAGTAATGAAGGACTACATGAGTATCCTCACGTCACTTATAATGCCCGAAAACCAATACAAGCATAATAACTCAACCAAAGTTTTTGGTCTTAATCTTTTGAATATAGCGGTTGAAGTTTCTGGAAACTGGATCCCGCATCATCCCCGGCTATTCAACTTAATGTCAGATGCCATCTTCAAGAATGTTCTTTTCATCATTCAAAATACGGACAAGCTTTCGCTACTTCAGTCAGCTCTTCATTTGTTTACTACTTTGGTTATCGTCATGGGGGAACACCTGCAGGAACAAACTGAGTTGACTCTAAGGTGCATTTTCGACACCTTGCAAAGCGATAAGTCTACAACATCTAGGCCCCGTTCCTCAGCTGCAAAAGAGCTGATTATAGAGCAAATATCAATTTTGTGGACCAGGACTCCTTCATTCTTTACAACTTTATTTGTCAATTATGACTGTAATCTAAACCGTTCCGACCTTTCTACAATGGTGCTAAATGCTCTTGCTAAATTAGCGCTCCCAGAGTCTGCCTTAGTAACGGCTGATAGTGTTCCTCCAATTTGCCTAGAGGGTTTAATCTCCGTTGTCGACAATATGCACGAACGTTTAGAAGGTGAAGATCAGCAAGAGGTAACCCTAACCAGTTTGGTTGAGGCTCTTGAAGAGCGCAAGAAGAAAACAGAATTTATCATGTGCACAGATAGTTTCAATGAGAAACCCAAAAAAGGTATTGCTCGTTTAATCGAAAAGGGTTTTATCAGCTCAAATTCAGAGGATGATATCGCGAAATTTTTGTTTGAAAGAAATGGTAGACTGAATAAGAAAGCTATCGGAGAACATCTTGCAAGTCCCGATAACCTTTCACTATTAAAGAAGTTCGTCAGCTTATTTGACTTTAAGGGCCTGCGTATCGATGAGGCAATAAGGATTATGCTCACCAAGTTTAGGCTTCCTGGTGAATCTCAACAAATTGAGCGTATCGTCGAAACGTTCTCCGCGACTTATGTGGATGACCAAGAGTATGTCCCTGAAAAGGCTGGCCAGGACATCGAAAACGACTACAGCACCGTTCAGCCTGACGCAGACTCTGTATTTATTCTAAGTTTTTCGGTGATCATGCTGAATACTGATTTACACAATCCGCAAGTCAAAAAGCATATGACGTTTGACGATTATACTTATAATCTGAAGGGCTGCAATGACCAAAAGGATTTCCCCCTTTGGTACCTTGATAGAATTTTCTGTTCCATCAGAGATAAAGAGATCGTAATGCCTGAGGAGCACCATGGAAGTGAGAGATGGTTTGACGATGCGTGGAATAATCTTGTTTCCTCAACTACTGTTGTAACTCAGACAACTCAGGAGGCTGGTAATACACCAAGTGTCTTGGACAGGAAAGTACTCCTTCAATTCGACAGAGCCATTTTTGAAATCATAGGTCACTCCATAGTAGAGACTTTGTTCAAGATTTTTGAGGTTGCTTCAGATGACCATATAAGCACCCGCATGCTGACGAGCATTGATAAATGCTGCCGGATTGCTGCATTATTTGGCCAAAACGAATTGTTCAACTCAACTTTAGCAAAAATCGCAAAGTCTACGTTACTCACAAAGGCGGCACTAGAAAAGCAATCCGGGGTTCAAGAGCTAGGCGAGATACCTGTGGTGCAAATAAACATCGAAGAATCTAAGGAGACGTTGACCGTCAGCAATATAGCCGTACGTTTTGGGAAAACGTTCAAGAGTCAACTCTGCAGTGTTGTCCTGTTTCGGTATTTGCAAAAGAATAGTCGCCAAAATTTGATTAGCGAAAGTACGTGGAGTTTGATTGTTGAGATACTATTGAATTTGTATGAGAGTGATATGATCGCTCCTGACATCTTCCCCGATCTACAAAAGACTCTGAAAATCGGAAAATTACCTCGACCAGCACCCGAATACTCGATCAACAAATCTAAAGTCAATAAGGGTCTACTCTCAACATTTGCATCCTATCTTAAGGGCGATGAAGAACCTACGGACGAAGAAATAAATTATTCCACGAGGGCTATTGAATGCATTAGAACATGCAACGTACCTTCATCAGTATTTGGAAATGAAGCTAATGTAAGTGGCCTGCTCGTCTCGGTCTTGCTGAAGTTTGTGCAGGTTGGAAGAACGTCTGAAAACAGCAGGTACTTTGATGCCGAAATCTTATTTTTAATGGAAATTGCCCTTGCTTCCTACCTCTTTTGTAAAGACAACAAAGATGTTGGAAGGCAAGTACTCGCTAAGCTAGGAGAGCTAACGAATCTAGAAGGAATATCCAAATCTTTCAAACGTCGGATTTCTGCTTATAAACTACTGCTGGTTTCAATTTTGGAGGATCCTCCGGCCATCACAAAACTCATAAATGAAGATTTGCTGGCTGAAAATGAAGTTTACGATGAAGAATTTCTTGCAAGCGAACAGGGCTGCGAATTATTACGAATGCTACTTTCATTAACCGCCATTGAAAATTATAGCTCACTTCTTTTACAAGATGAAGGATTTTGGAAGATTTTGCGCTCTTTTGCGACCGCCGAAGGGCACTCATTTAGAGTTTTCGAATTTCTCGACAATTCAATCCTGAAAAAAGACCAGGCCATGGGTACCGCTAATTTTCTGTCTATACTAGGGCTTTTGGACGAAATCTCCAGTATCGGTGCAATGAGTGGCGAATGGGAGGCGCAGTACGAGAAGTTAAGTGCAGATGGCCAAAAGGTGGCGGAAGAAAATCCATATCAGGAAGCAGTAGATCTCTCGTTAAAATCAATCAATGCCACGTCTCGTTTACTTGAGTTAAAGAGGCGTGAGCCTTTCAAAAAAGCTGAGTTGATTGGTTTGCTCCAAGCACTCGTTCATCAGTGCTTTAACCCTTGCTTCCAATTGAGGACCTATGCAGTTAGCTTGTTGGAAACCACTGTCAGCGGCCATCTAGACACTTTTTCGGAAACACTGTCAGCATCTGAAATGATCGAAAGTGGTTTTCTGGCTATAGTTGAGGCTCAAAAGAAGCCTGCTGTAATACCAGAAATCATGCTCTTGTTTTCTAAGGTTTATCTGCACTATTTGAAAACTGGGAAGGCAGACAATGAGGTATTTTTGAAGATTCTTAATGTGTTTGACAAGTACGTCGAAAATCCTGAAGTGGAGAAAACATTGCAGGAGTTCATTGCTGAAAAGAAGGACTTTGAGCAACGTTCAAACGCTCCAAGGAATCTTGAGCCGGAAACAAAATAAATGAGTTTATGGTAAAGACCAGGTATGTAATGAATATGCACAATTTTGATGATGTAGCAATTTATCTGCTTTAAAATGATTGAAACGGCGACTTAAACTGATGTGTCGGAGTATCAAGAGAAGCCTCGCCCAGCTTGTTCCTCATGACCTCTAGAAACAGTAAACCAGCAGTGGTTCCCGGGATAATTGCCAGCGTATTTCTGATGAATCCTTTATAAAGCCATCGACAAGTGGAGCCAGTACTTTTTTGGATGAAGTAGACGTGCTGGAAGGTGTCTAGGTAAGAATGGTAGTAAATATGGAAGAGTCGCTTATTTCTTGGCTTCAGTTTGATCTTGATGTTATCAAGTTCCGGTTCTGGCTTCCATTGCACATTGCCATTCTTTTGAGAATTGGCAGCTGCCTTGGTATAGATATCGAAAGCCTCCAGCCGCGAGAGGTGGATTTTTTGTAGCTTTAGGAACGGATAGTGAATAACTTGTAAAAGTAATGCAGCCGATACACCGCCGACAAAGACGAAAATCTTGTGGAACCAATTTTCCTCGCGCAAACTCATAAACGAGGTTGGATGAGTGAGCTGGCGATCTTGATCATCCTCTGTGGTGACTTGGAACATCTTGGCCAGCCGGCTTTCCCTTAATTGAAATTTTAGCTCGCGATACTGTTTAACCGACTCGATAGCCCACTCACAAACGTGACCCTTTAAAAGCTCAAAAACGGTGAAATAAGTAGCGAATCCAGCGCACTCTTTAACCAATGAAAGGCCGAATCCTCCGAAACAACCAACCAGGCCTATTTCCTGTAGCTTTCTAAGACCGTATATCCAAAGGTTGTCGTAGTTCTTGGCATGCGTGAGCAACTGTTCTGCACTAGACCTGGTATATATCGCATCGATCGGAGCTGACGCAATCGCTTGTGCTGCACCTGCAATAAACCCTGCTCTCATAACGTCCCAGGGACTGTGGCAAGTTGGGATGTTATTGTCACTTGACTTGGAAAAATGTGTTAGGGTTGTAAGGTATGTAGTGTACAGCACCACACCGGCTGCAGAGTTTGCGATCAAAGGAGGCAAAACTCTTTCTGGAATGACTCTCCAGCCGTATTTGTTCAAACCCTTCGACAGAAGTCCAATTGAAGAATTTTCCAAGTAATACAGATAGCGCGGGTTCCAAAATTGAGATTTTCTCATAGCCTTGGCGTGTGTTATTTTTTGATCGGCAGCGACCGCCTTATCGTCGCCCACCAACAACACTCGCAAATAATGTAAATAGTCGAACCTGGCAGGTCGAAACAGCTTGAGTGGGGTACGCAAATAGAAAGATGTCAGTTGGTACACTAAGGAGCGTCCGCCAGCGGTAGTGGCCCCGATCAAAGATGAGCTCGATCCCGCGGCATTGGTCGCATCGTCGTCAAGTGCTGTAGGTACGTCCTTAACCATTGCATCAGTAGCAGCCAAAGGTAGCTGGCATCAAGAGCAACAAAACGCTGCGACTAGCTCCAAGTTTCTCTAATTTAGAGACGAGACCAAAGCTTTGGACAGACGAATTAACACTCAATGGGAATAGTGGAGCCAAACTTCCTAGCTTAGAACTTGCTGCGATAATTCGTCAGTTTCCTACTACTACGTAGTACGAAGCTATTCCTGGAGCTTGGAAACGATTCTTGTTTTCTTTCAGATTGAGATCGATGCGCATTATTATGTTCCTTTCCACAATTAATCTCATCGGAATGAAATTTTTCAGAGATTAGCGGATGCTAATCTTCACTGTGGAAGGTCGAGAACAATTGGCAGAGACAGAGTTCCTGATCATCGAGTTCTCGAAGACTTAACTTCACCAGGATTGTGTCTTTTGCATCCGTGCTAATGTCCAACTTGACCTACCAAACAAGAGCCGAAAACCATGTTAGTCCAGTGGCTGCGAAGCTACTGACTCTGATGCATGAGAAGGAAACGAATCTCTGCGCTTCGCTGGATGTTCACACAACGAAGGAGCTACTAGAGCTGGTAGAGGTACTAGGGCCGCATATTTGTCTGCTCAAAACACATGTGGACATTCTAGACGATTTTACCATGGAGGGCACCGTTCAGCCTTTAAAGGAACTGGCTCAAAAACACAGGTTCATGATCTTTGAGGACCGGAAGTTCGCAGATATTGGGAACACCGTCAAACTGCAGTACTCCTCTGGTGTTTATAAGATTGCCCAATGGGCCGATATCACGAATGCGCATGGCGTCACTGGGCCCGGTATCGTCCAAGGTCTCAAACAGGCGGCTGCTGAAAGCACAGACGAGCCTAGAGGGCTGCTCATGCTTGCCGAGCTCTCGTGTAAAGGCGCGCTGGCCCATGGAAAATACACTGAAGAGACTGTGGAGATTGCCAAGAGTGACAAGGACTTCGTGATCGGGTTCATTGCGCAAAACGACATGGGTGGCCGCGACGAGGGTTTCGACTGGCTCATCATGACCCCAGGAGTGGGTCTCGATGACAAGGGCGACAGTTTGGGCCAGCAATACCGCACAGTGGACGAGGTTGTCGCCGGAGGCTCCGACATCATCATTGTGGGGCGCGGTCTTTTTGGCAAGGGAAGGGATGCTAGCGTTGAAAGTGCAAGGTACCGCAAGGCCGGCTGGGATGCGTATCTCAAGAGATGTGGTAAGTAAAAAAAGGACGAGAAGTCATTTTCTGATAGAAAACAACTAGGCAGAAAGATAAAATACGAGAATGGAGAAGCCGCCAGCGACACCAACACGAAGAAGCAGAGAAAAGGGCCAACTCGAACCGGTAGCGATGGTGGATTCTAACCCATCATACTCGAGTCTTGTAGTAACACCTCGTGCGACGTGATATATATCTACAATGGCAACTAATACATGAAAAATCTTCAAGCGTAAGGAACCTTTAAATACTGGCAAGTTGACCCAGAACAGTGCTGCTTCACCGTTACACGTTTACTTGCGTCTGACCCCCTGAACTCCACTAGTCTAAGTCTACAAAACACCTGATTACAACATGGACACCCTCAACAGCAGAGAACAACAAGAATTCCAAAAAGTTGTAGAGCAGAAGCAGATGAAGGACTTCATGAGACTTTACTCGAACCTGGTCGAGAGGTGTTTCACCGACTGCGTGAACGACTTCACCTCGGCCAAGCTCACCAACAAGGAACAAACCTGTATTTTGAAGTGTTCCGAGAAATTCCTTAAGCACAGCGAGCGTGTGGGGCAACGTTTCCAGGAGCAAAACGCCGCTTTGAGTCAAAGCATGAGGCGTTAGACACTGTCAAGCGTACGCGCGACTCGACCGCGATTCCCCTCCGTTTAACCTCACATTTAACCTGTATATATATATATCTGTCCAATGACACAACTAATGCACCTTGAGTCAAATTAATTGCCAGCTTAAGATCACCTGCACAGGTTACGGACCTCCAACTACGGCTCTCAGCTTCGGTGAAGTTGGGCAGGAAAAAAAGAGCGGACGGAGCATCAACAGTAATCGGTATCGGGTTAAACGTCCAATGGACATTCTCCTACCATTGCACTCAACAGACCTTTACTTTCCAAGAAGCAAAGTCAAACGAAACATCCGCTGCCATTCCCATCACATTAGATACCACAGGACCAGGCCCGTGACACATAACATGTATATTTCTGATAACAACGACCACCCTCACTTTCCAGTGACGGTCTCTCACGAGATACAAGATAATATCTTCTTACGAAGACATATCCTTGGTAGATAACACTATATTCTAGACATAGTTGTTACCGGCGTTTCGCTGTGTTCCACCGAATTTCCCACCTGCTTATGAAGAATCATTGAGATTGCGTGCAAACAGGTTGTTCTGGTAGGAATGCTGGTGCTCCGAGCAGGGTTCGAACCAAAGAAGAATCCTACGAGGAACTACTGCTCCACGTAGAGTCTGAAAGGTCCAAACCTGCATTTATAGCCCAAACGTAGGTTATATAGAGCTGAGAGTATCACAAGACTCTGGCGTTTGCACAGACAGCACCTCACACTGTGATCTGTACAGTGTCCATGCTTCGTGTGGCATCTTTAGGAGCTAGATACTTACATGCGTACCCAGCTCTGCTTGGGCTCCAGTTTCAAATTCCACTTTAAATCTTTGTTTGTACATACTGCCACTTATAACTTGGGCTTATTCTGCCAACCAAAAGAAAGCTTTCCCTGCGGACCAGGCTCTATTATAACGTTCAGAAGAGCGGGTCTTCCGGTAGCAGCAAGATTCAAAGCCCCCCGAAACTTGAGGTCGAGCTCGGTCGCGCTTTGAATGAGGAACCCCCGACAGCCCAACCCTTCGGCCACCAGATCGTACCTACATTCCCGACTTAGGGTCGTCGAGGCCTGGACTTGGGGGTTCCCTACTTCACCGTGGTATATTCCGCCATTATTCATCACAACCACTACCAGCCCCAAGCCATACCGCGCGGCCGTCTCCAGCTCCAGGCCCGAAAACCCAAACGCAGAATCGCCCTGTATGCACAGAATTGTTTTTTCTGGTTTGGCTAGCTTCGCGGCAATTGCGTATCCGAGTCCAATGCCCATCGTTGCGTTGGTTCCTGCATCCAATCTCTGTTTCGGATAGTCGGTGGGAAACGAGATCCGAGCCACATCCATAGTATTGGCACCTTCGCTCACGATAATGGTCTCTGAATCGATAATGTGCCTTTTCATTATACCGTAAGCCTGGTTATAATTAAGAACGTGACTGAGACTAGACTCCTTGGACTTCAATCGCGATGCGTTGTCTCTGATCTTGATTGCAATTTGCTGGGAGATACCAGCACATCGGAAGGAGCCTAAGAGGGGCGTAAGTTTTTGCAAAGTAAGTCCAATGTCGCCGCACAGCGAATACGTCGTGCCCAGTGCATTATTCTGCCCGAGTTCTTCGGCTGTGGTGTCTACCTGGACAAATATTGCAGACGACTTCCATTTTGGACTGTCTCCGAAATGCAGAATCCAATTAAGCCTTGCTCCCAAAACTAACACCACGTCAGCAGATTGTAGCGCCAAAGTTCTTGCCGACGACACATTTAGAGCGTGTGAGTCCGGTACAACGCCTTTCGCCATCGGGGTTGGCAAAAATGGGATTCCAAACTTGGTTATGAATGTTCTTACTGGAGCGGTGCTGTTTACAGTACCCTTGCCTAAGACGCACAGAAGATTCTTGGATCCATGGGCCCTGATTAAATTGGCCACTGACGCCAAATCTCGGTCCTCTGGTTGAAATCTTACTTCTCGTAAATTTCTTGGGGTTGGCATAGTCTTCTTGTCTGAACTTTGGTCTATAACGTTTCCAGGGATGTCTAAGTAGGATACTCCAGGTGTTCCCACGCTAGCTTGACGCAGTGCATTATACAGCATGGCATCGATATTGTGATGGCCTACACTGGCACTAAACTTAACATAGCGGCTCAGTAAGGAGATTTGATCTAGCTCTTGAAAGCCGCCACGGTGCTTGTCCTCACTACTGCCTGCGATGATAAGTAAGGGCCATTTATTACATGTAGAATTGTAAACCCCGGCAAGTGCGTGTATAACTCCAGGTCCACCCACTACCAATAAAACTCCCGGTTTCCCCGTTAAATATCCATATACAGAAGCAGCGTATGAAGCGGCTTGTTCGTTCCTAAACCCAATGAATTTAATATTACCGTTCATGATCATGTTGTCTGCAATCTCGACAATCGGAATCCCAACAATCCCAAAGACAGTGTCGACCCCATAGCTCACCAATGCTTCTGACAAATGTTGTGGAAATGAGGTCATCTAGACGTTTAATAACCTTTCATTAGAAGTGAGGTATAGTTGACGAATAAAGATTGTTAAAAGATTAGCCTTTTGAATTATCATTTCGTCTCAGCTTGTTACATCTAAAACGAAATAGACGGAATCACGCCTTACAGGTTCTCCCTAATAGCAAGGAGATCTTACATAAGATGTGTTTATTTGATATTTACAAGTGAGGTAATCCGTTTGAGTGCTCATCCGTCCCATCTGGACGATCTTTTCCTTGCTGAAGCTGAAGGACCTACGTTGAAATTAAGTATTGCGACCGATGTACTGTCACTTAAACATGCAATTGACTTTGATGGTTCATGGTGAGAATCTCACATGTCTATCGAACCCCCTGCACTCCTATGGAATGGAATAGCATCCCTAATATTATGGGCACCGAATAGCCAAGCTACAAAACGTTCCATACCCAGGCCGAAGCCTCCGTGTGGTACACTTCCATTTTTGCGGAGTGACGCGTACCATTCCAGCTCTTCCACTTTCATACCTCTGCGAGACATTTCTGCAATTAATGCGTCGTAATTATCCTCCCTGATGCTACCGCCGATAATCTCGCCCATTTGAGGGACAATCAGATCAAAGCAGGCCACTGTGTCATCCAGGTTTCGTTTCATATAAAATGCTTTGCAGTCTTTAGGGTAATTCGTGATGAAGACGGGAGAGTCAAAGTGTGACGCCAACCACTTCTCGTGTTCGCTTTGCAAATCACTCCCCCATTGAGGCGTAAATTTAAAAGGTACCTCCGCATGTCTTTTTGTAAGCAGTTCTATAGCAGCTGAATATGTCAACCTAGGCCATGCAGTGGCCAGAAGCGATGTCCAACGAGCCAGCACAGTTTGTGCGTCTTCGGCGCTGCCCTCCGGTCTGATTGACGGCAGTAGGTCAGCTTGGCGAGCAATGCACTGTTCCACCACAAATTTAAACATAGCCTCTGCAATTAATGTGAGTTCACCGACGTTTTCCACAAAGCACAATTCCGCCTCCAGCATCCAAAACTCTGATAGGTGCCTATTGGTGTCGCTCTCTTCTGCCCGGAAGCAGGGCGCCAGAGTCCAGCATCTGTTCAAGGCGCAGGCAAGTACCTCCAAATGCAGCTGCGTGGACACTGTGAGATATGTTTTCTTGCCAAAATAAGAGGATTTGTTTGCCAAATGAGAATTGGACTCAACACGGAACAATTCACCAGCACCTTCGCAATCTCCTGATGTTAGGATCGGAGGTGACACTTTTGTGAAGTCGTGAGAATCGAAGAACTGAGTCAATGAGCTCTCCACATGCGAGCGGAAACGCATCAAAGCACCAAGATAGTTGGACCGGTGCTTAAGTGTGGGGTTGGATCTTAAGAAGGCCAAAGTATGGAATTTTTTTTGGAGCGCGTAGGAGTCCGGTACTTGGCCCATAATCTGGAAAGAGGCCGCAGATGTTTCAAGCTCAAATGGCTGCAATCTGGTGGGCGTGGGTTTCCAAAGAGCGTCTTTAACCAGCAAAGACTGGCCAGTACGGAGCTGTCTGAGAACTGAATCTGGCCTCCTCTCCACGTCAATTGTATCTCGCGGCACTACAATTTTCAAGGTATGCGGTGTAGTCCCGTCTTGGAGATCAATGAAGGCTACTTTCTTGAGTAACCTGAATGACTTAACCCACCCGCGAACATTTTGTATCCTCTCTGGAGGGTCATCGATAAGCTTGAAAAGTGATTTGAACGTAGTAGGAAGATTGAACGGCAGGTAAGACTTGACGCTGGACATCTCCGGAAGCCTTGTTAGTAGCTACTGCTCAATTAGTCTGTCCTCTTCTTAAGTAGTATTTTCTTTCTATCCAGATTCTGAAAAAAATGGACACTCTACTTACTACCTTGAGATGAAAATTTAAGGAAAACAAACAGGCATAAGCAAAACGCTAATCCTGGTCGCAATAATGTATTGATTCCTTCGGTCGTCGACCCTTGTGATCGTAAATTTGGCACATTGAAAATTAGAGGCGCCGACGAGCCTCACGCCGGCCCATCACACCGTGTGTAATGGTGTACTCGCCTTCACAGCTTTGTTCCTGGTGGCAGCGACTTTGCAACGTAACTCCATCAACTCATCCCTGACAAGGTCCCGTATTGAGATCTTCTGAATGCACCCACTTTGGGGGCAATCTTTAGAAGGTTGATCTCCCAAATATTGTTTAATACCGTCGTAGTCAAAGACGTGGCCACATTTGCGTGAAATCATTGGCCGTTTGAATTGCATACATGTTATGGGGCACGTCAGCTCTATTTGGCCACCCTCAATTTGCAAGTCGTCGTCCGCCCGATCATCAGGCAGGATACACGTCGGATCCGCAAAGATATGGGGCAGTGCTCGGAAGAGCCGCGCCAGCGTGTCTGAAGGAAGGTCCACAGGGCTAGCATGGTGCTCTTTTTGAACTTCAGCAAATACTTCGGCAATTGAAGGCGCCCTTATGTCCCCCGCTTTATAGGCGTCCCAGTTTTCCCACGTCACGGCTGGAAGCTCATCGCTTTTGGTCCTGTACCGCATTTTCGCGTCATTAACGCTTCTCTGTTGCACAATCTGCTGTGTCTCCAGCTCGCGAAAGTCTTTGAATACTTCAGATAAGTTTTCAAGACTGGTGGTATCGTGCAAGTCCAGTCCAGTCTCTGCCAGCTGATTCAACGTGTTGGAAAATTGGGATCGTGTTTCATTAAATATGGCAGTTAAATCTCGCGTTTTCCAGCTGTGTAGCTCCTGAACTAAAGAGCGGTGCAATGGAACAGTAGTTGGTGCACTGGGAAGCTCGGACTCTCGCATGTCGTGGAAGTTGGTTTTGCCCGCTTCCGCATATCGAGTGGTACCGTAAATTGTGTGTATCATAATATATATAACGAAATATAATGATAGCCGTCGAGATGAGCACACGCACGGAAACAGGACAAGCTCAAAACACCATTTCCCGCCCCAAACTACGTGAAAGTTTGTATAGTAATGGAGGAGATAATAGTGTTACAAACTTTATATTCTTTGCTGGTACAAAGTAAGAGCAACCGGGTGTCCTTGGTGAGACTACAGACGGAAATCAATGAAAACCCTCTGATGACTAGGCTGGTCCCTTGCACAGGCAAGCCAGTGCTATCTGTGCACGACATTTTGGAAATAATCAAGCGTTTGTTCCCCAAGAAGACGTCGCTCACAGAGGGCCAATTAACATTTTACAACCTTCAGCTGGGCGAGATGCGCGAAAAGCTGTTTGAGCTGTTTGAAGATATCAAGAGCAGGCTCACGAGGCAGATAGGCGAGTGCGAACCGACAATCGAAGCATTGCTCAAGGATAATACCACGTCGCAGCGAACGCGGCTACTTGTGCTATGCAGGGACACGCTGCTGAACAAATTCGAAGAACATGAGAAGTCCAAGATGTATGCTAAGAGTATAGGGCAGGCCGTGATACGAGAACCATTAGACCTCCGCCTGATACGCCAGCGAACGCCGGCGAGTATTTTAGAACCGCAAGCGTGGTTGCAAATGTGCGTGGCCAACGCTACCATGTACCACCCCACAGGAAGCGCTGAATGGCGGAACGCACGCGCAAGCCAGGCCCAGCTGGATGAGACGATTGGGTTTGTAAGAAGCGTGCTAGAGTAGCGGAGTAGCCGTCGAGTACGTACGACAACAAACGAAAATAAAATGGCCATGGCAAATTAAACATACACACATATACAATAAAACAAACAATCGCCACTCTCGAGTCAATTTTGGCAACCGCACAGCTGCTGCTGTAGAGGTTTCCGAGTGCCAGAGAGAAACTTGCAGGATGCGTGTCCCCGGTTTTTGTCCACACACACAGAACAAACTCCGGAAGCACGCGGCCCGTCTCTCTCCGCCCTCGCAAACCACCTACAGATATCACAAAAAGGGGCTGCGCGGAACACCCGTAGAACAGGCGGAAACCCCGTCTGTTCTACCAGGTCACGGCACGGCACGACAAGTCACACAACTCCTCGCCACACACGCTGGTCACACTACACTACACACACACACACACACACATCCACGCGGATAGCATCCGCAACTTCAACAACCACACTCTAGAAGCCCGATAAGGAAAAAAAGAGTAAAATTAAGGCCAAAGAGGAAAAAAAAGCCAGGGGCTACGCTCTGGCGGCGGAGTCTACACACAGTCTCTCACCGCTTAGAACTTTTGTAGACCGGCCTTTCTAGCTTGAATCTTCTTGTAGCCGACGGTACCGGCAACAGCACAGAAGGCCAAAAAGATTAGGACGAAGACCAAAATAACACCAGCTGGCAACATTTGTTTATTGTATCGAGTGTGTGGATGTTTGGAGTGTGTGTGCTGTGACAGCGAAACCGAAACAAAAAGAGGTCCAAAGACCCTACAAAGGAATCACCAGTTGGAAGAGACCACAGGGCTATCTTATGCTCCCTTATATACGTGAAAATTTCCCAGCTCCGTGTTCCGCCCCCGAGGAAAAAATTTCCTTTAGTACAACGTGACATATAGATTAAAGCGGCCACTATCGAGCCTTTTTCAAAATAAGCGCAAAAGCCGCGGGTAACCCCAAAAAAAGACGGTGCGAACGTCGCTACAAAGTGAGAGATAATTCACACCGGCAAGCCAGCAAGCTGAGCGATACAGATTAGCGCGGGCCCCGTCGGCAGGCTGGTGTACGAGCGTCGCTCCCAGCGGCCGTCGGCGTAGTAGCAGGATATGTATCACTATATACGTGTCGTTTGGGTCACGTGCGGGGACGAACGACCCGGGTGGGCAAGTAAGTGTGTGTGAGAGTGTGTGAGAGTGTGAGTGTGTGAGAGTGTATATGTGTGTGTATGAGGAGCCAGATGTCCCACTGGTTACGGGCTTCCATGCTGCTGGTTTGCTGGTTTGTTTACCTATTTCACTTATTTGTTTGTTTTGCCTGCCCAGGACGGAAAAACCCCAGCGTGCGGAGGTATCTCAAGTAAAATGCTTGGCGGTGAATAAGCACAAGGTCATGCAGCGTGCGTGGGGCCTCGTCGGGTGGCACGGGTGAGAGGAAACCCAGCAGGCTGTTGCTGGAGGAAGCTTGGAAGAGCGGCCCGACACACCAGCGTCATTATTGTACAAAGTGATCACTGAACTGCTGGTGGCAGCGATGAGCTCAACAGAGGGGCGCTCTGCTCCTACTTTAGGCCCCTGTCGCGCGTATTCTACTAATCTTACAGCTTCTACTTGTACAAAGTATATCGATTACATCGTTCTTGTGAGTTGGCTCGCTAGGTGGTTCACAAGACGTACAAACACAGCGCGGAGCCGGCACAAGCCAAAATAAAGGGCAGAAGTCCGAGCTGCAACTTCCACTCCGTCAATGCGAACCTGAACCAGTGGGCCCCGATCTCTGCGACGGAGACGTCGCCGGCTACTTCTTTCACCGCAAACGCGGCTTCGCTGGCAAACGAAGGTTGCCATTGCGCTAGCAGCAACGCCAACAGGGCCTTGGTAATGTGGAACACCATGGGGTCCACGGTAACCTCCGGCAGGTCGTAGCGGATAAAATTGATGTAGTACGACACAAACACCGGGAGTATCAGCGACCATATCGACCAGAACGAGACTAGCGCAGCAATTTCCTGCCAGCCCGAGGTCACGTTCACAAACGGCTTCTGCGTGGAGAACTCGAAATGCGTGCTCACCACGTAGACGTAAGCCTCAATTAGCATAAACACAAAATCGACAGCGGGAATAGTCGACAAAGCCTCCTGGATGTTCTCGTTGGTCTCCCACGTCTTGGTCTGCACGTCTTGCATGAACTCGTTGAACTTAAAGGCAAACGAGCCCTGCGCTGGGGTGACACGCTGGAAGTCGAGATTTGAGAACCAGTTTTGGAACGGCGTGCCCTGTGGAAGCTGTAATTCGCCCTCGCTTTCGTTGTCGTCTTCTCCGTCGTCCTCGCTTGTTTGGCCTGTTTTCTCGGCCAAAGTTGAAGCAGCGCTGCTGAAGGCATCTGCCACAGCTCCCGCTGCATCCTGGACTTTGGTCTTGAGAGTTTTTTTGAGGTCATCCCCCTCCTCGGCCGGATCGCTGACAGACTCGTCTTCGCTGCTGGCAGCTGATTCCTCGTAGTACGTGGCCAGCTCTGGGAACTCCTTGAGGTCCAATGGTTCGTCTAGTTCTTTTAGGTGTTTGTCGATGGCATCTACAATCTTGGCCTTCGTTGACGAGTTCGAAACGTGAATTTCTAGTTTGTCTGCCAGATCAAGCAGTTCAACCTTCTTCCACTTCTTGAGTGACATTGATGGTGTAAAGATCAGAGATATAGTATCCAAAAACTTGGTTGGAGCGTAGTGTGCTGAAAAGCGCGAATGCCGTTGAAGCTATGTGTTGGTCAACTTTTTTGTATTTAACGCTGTAAGTATGTTTGAAGGGGCCGAGTTTGTTTACATTAGCCCAAATTCAATCATCTTTGAGTGAATCACTAAGAACGTGAGTTGCAGTGAGCCGCGATCTTATAGCGACAAGGTGACTGGATAGATGACGCCTATGGTCGCTGGTCAAATTTCTGGGAAGAGAATGGCTCCAGCATTATACAGGGTGTGCCCATTTGTGGTTTAAGATCAAAGCTTAGTGATGTGGGTCATACTCAAAAGCAATTGAAAAACATCAAATACTACAAACACTTAAAAATCTAATAATTCCTTTGGGTGAAAGAAACCAGGTTTGGTTGGGTGACCCTTTGGAGATTCCTTGAAAGAGGATATTAGTTCAGGCTCGTTCGGTTCAGTCGTTCATAATCTGATAGGAATCTTTTTAGATCATAGGCCAATGTAATTGATTACCGCTAGATGTGTTTCTGACGCACAAGCTAATGAAAACTTTTTAAAAAGATACCAAGTGGTCGTAAGTAAGAGGAACCATTTAGTAAGTCAGATTTACAACCGGACGTCATTTTTTTTGTTGGGAATAATGTCAGGAAACTGATGGTGATGTGCGCCTAATCGCATAATCAGCGTCAGTAAATATGTGATACAGTGGTACAGAATGATAGTACACAACTGGGGCCATACATTTAGAGTTACCATCCAAGACATGTCGAAGAGAACGTCTGTCGATGGCGATTGATGAGTTAGAGCCGCAATCCAGAATTAGAATTGGTGATTCATAAATATGTTGACCAGAGTCACCGAGTGAGAATTGTATAAATACCAGGCTTTTATTCAGGTAACTGAACCAACTCTAATGCCTAAAAAAATCACGGAGAGATGAATAGAATTCCCTAGATCCAAGTTACTCATCTTATAATGACTATGTCCGACTTACAAGACAAATTTAGTAAGCTTTCTACTGGTGAATCAGATTCGCCTCAATAAATTGAGTTGGTCATGACCGATCCATCGTTCAAGATACGTCTTCTAAATGTGAAAGGCCTCACTGTGAAGATGTTCGCCTATCCTCAGATACAATTCTGATGGTTCGTTCGGCGGAAGTATTTCCCGTCGTCACCAGCAGTACTCATCACCCAAGTACTCATACCTCATTTAATGATGAACCAAATAGATCAATTCAGTAACAACACCCATTGGCGGATGATGCCGTTTTCATTATTGTAGTTCGGAGCCTTTAGTTTGTCAACAGCTATCACCAAGATTGGTGGTCCATTTTGATATTCCCAAGAATTGGAGTGTATATTCTGAGGGTTAGCAAGGAGCTTAAAAAGTTGATCCCGTGGATTGCGCACAGTGATGGTTAACTATGATATCCAAAAAGACTACTACCAAGTATAAACGGTCAACAGTAGCCTGTACTCGTTGCAGAAGAAGGAAGATAAAATGCAATGGCAAAAAACCGTGCCCAAACTGTGAGGTCAGCGACTCGAAGTGCCAATTCGAGAACGACGACCAGGTTGAGAATAAAGATGCGGTTAAGTTTGTCCGCTACTCTCCGGACTTCTTGAGTACCGTGGATGCCGTAAGGTCGACTGCGCGGTCCATTACCACGGTGGATCCGATGCTGGATCCCAATATCACAGAAGCTCTGAATGAGTTGGCAAAATTAGTCCAGCAATCAAGAACAACTAAGGCTCTTGGACTTGACTTACGCAAAGCTCAAAATCATGTGGGCGCGCGGAGCTTGGAGAATCATATTGATTGTGAACTTCGCGGTACTGCCCGTAATGAGCACAATTCCAGCTTTCCCGGCAAAATATATTTTGGGTTGTACTCTCCAGCCTTTGCAACGACACCGGGAGAAGTTGCACCCCTCTATAAAGCTCTTTTGATCAATGGTGAAAACGAACAAACTCGGCACACTACTCAGCTATTTCTCAAGTTTGCCGATATTGCCACCTCGTATTGGCTTAAGGTTTCGCAATTTTACAGATTTCCTGTTGAAAACACAATTGGATACATTTTCCCAGATCAAGACAATACCTCGACCATACGGAAATATGAGCTATTTCTTGATATTATTCCTTCACAGCTGCGTCCTACACATACGGCTGAAACAATAGCAACTACTTGTGTGTTACCATCACTTGTAGATATAATGGCGGCGCAATATGAAAAGGGCAAGGGGATTATAGTATCAAAATCCTCTGCAACGGAAATTGCGTCATTCATGAAGTCCTTGAATACCATTGCGCTTCTATGTATTGACCAATTTCAGAAACATGCTTTTCTGGAGCACTTGAGTTTCGAATTCATCAATGCAACAATCAAGTACCTCGAGTGTCGTGCCTTGTACGACCAGATATTATACCTCGGCAAGTTAATATCGCATCTAGTTCGTTCGGCGATGGATCTTGGTTTGAATCGCTGGGAATACTATGCTGATCTTGATGAAGCATCGGCAGATACTAAACGCATAACATGGTGGAAATGTTTTTGGTGGGACCAGTTTAATGCTCTACTACACGGTAAATTACCACTCATAGACATAAACACAAGCATTTGCCTCTTTCCTAAATGCCTGATGGCCATGGGGCTAGAAGAATCGACGAGTGTCCGTGGCATGGTGGAAAAGGCTGCCACAGAAAAGTGCAGCTCCGACTCGCTGCGGCTTTGGGCTTGGGTAACTATGGGGAAAGTTATTAATGAGCTCTACCGATCGACACTTTTCTCGCGGAAGTACACAAACTACTTACCAGTAGGAAGCACTGAACAAGCTGAACGAATGAAAGAACTAGTAATAGACTACCATAGCCTAACAGAGCTACTCGATTTGTTTAACTCAAAGATCGAAAAATTGAGGAGTCGTTTGGACATGAGTACACTAATCTCGATTGGCTATTTCAACATAGGCTGCCTGTTATCCTTTGAAAAATTACTTGCACGGTTTGCAAAAGTGTGTCCACTGCCACAAGATCTGCATACATGTATTCGGGACTGTAGTAAACGTTATACTGCTTGCTCGAGAAATTCATTAGCGCGCAGTGAGATGGCTTTTTCCGCTTCACTGCTATCTTCATATTTTCCATGCTTTATCACTGCATATTTTGCCATCGTTAATCATTTTGTCTTATCCAGCGAAACTGGTTACCGAGCTAATGACCTGATGTTGATTTGCCGTTTTTCCCGGACGCTCTTTCTCTTTGGGCACGATGCTGACGATCTAAGTAAGATCGAGAAAGAGGATCATATGGATCTTGGCTTGCGAGAGAGCCTTTCGCTATTGGCGCTCACAATGGCCAAACTATGTCTGCAGGTTCACGTTAACCGTGTGGGCCGCGATACAACCTTTTCTTCACTTGACCTTGCTCTCTGTGGTTTCTGCTCAGAACTATTGGAACTCTCTTCAAATATCTGGCAGGCATACAACTACCCAACCCGCAAGACACATTATAACATTGCTATACATCAGTACTTTGAGAATCACAAAATTGTCGATCGAAAGACTGATTCCGTGGGTACACAAAGCCCCAAAGCAGCAGAAGAAAATGTAGGTTTGCCGATATTCAACAACGAGTATCTTGACTTTGGCGCCGTTGACTTTCTGGCATTGTTTGGCCAAAATATGGACGATATCCCATATCCGTCATTGGGATCGCTGTGAGAATCGTTGGCCTCGGGGCGGAACCGGGTCCTCGCACTTGGGGCCATGGATTTTCAAGCTCCAGCGGTGGATCCGTGGTTTGGACGCCGAACTTGCTGACCTGCACGACGAGTACGCCAATAAGAAGCCTATCAATAACCCCTCACAGTGCGGGTACTTCCCAAGCCCAGAGCATAGGTGGCTGCTGTCGTGAAGGGATGAATAGGCAAATTGGATTCTTGGGGTTTCAAAGCGAAAACAAAACTATCGGGACAATGTTAAGTAGTGTTAGCTTAGAAGCCACCAACATACCTAATGAAAAGCACGCACACGCGCGCACTGCGATACTCAGCTGACCTTTCGCACCGAAGAGATTGTCGGAGGCGAGAGTGAACAAGGAAAGGGCTAACACTGGGTGTCATTTCGCGGTCAGCTGGAGAACTAATTGTGCCCTTGAATATCACTTGTTCTGGTAGAAAGAAGTCCTGTCGGCTCTCCTTCGCAAAGCAGCAAAGGTTGTTCAGCCACCGAGTTGACTTGAGTTTGCTGTAGGTATGGGCATTCGGGCCATCGGAGCGGCCAGGCAGGTTCCTGTTATGCTGCGAGGCTTGCAACCGGCCACTGGTCCAGATGGGGCCACGCTTGTTATGCTGCGAGGCTTGCAATCGGCCACTGGTCCAAATGGGGCTATTCTGCGAAGGTAGAGTCGCATGAGGCCCACATTGGATGTAGGAAACCTACGAAACCTACGTGCACGTAGCGCACAAATTGGATCTGTTGGAACGCTTCAATCGTGGTATTCACTTGAGACCATTGGGGCCCTATCATGGTCCTTCTTCCGTCACTGACGCCGTCGTCCAGCTCTCCTTCACCCCCATCATGTTACCTTCTTGTACAGGCATATATACACGTGAGATATATCTCGAAGAGCACCTACCACCCGCTCAGTCTGCCGCCTCAGTAACAATGCTGTCTGTCGTCGGGTTGTCCGTGGTGTTGCAACGACATCACCACCACTTCACCACCCACGCGGTTGCAAGCACCGTTCTGGAAACAATCATTCTGGAAACCAACGGGAAGCGTCCTGGAAGCACGCTGACCGACCCCGTTACCCGGACTCAGGTCGCCCACCCCTTTTTTTCCCAGCCACGTCATTGTCCGTCTCGCGTTGCTTTTTCCCCGAAGACAAGAAAAACGCTTTTGTGTTTTAAGTTTACGTAAGATGTGGCTCCCCTAAAAAAAACAAAAAACAAGAAACTAACCACAACGTCAATTTTCGTCGTTTCTTTGTTGCGCTGCCAGAAATAGCAACCGGCGAGTACTCTGGAGAATACACGAGTACAGCAGCTTCCCGAGTGAGCAGCAACGAGCCATGGCAGTTCAGCGCTCAGACTCCCGCTAAGCTAGGAGCGCTCTCAAGCAGGGCGCGCTTCCAGCCGGTCAATTCCTCTCCACACGCGCTGGGCCCCACCACATCCGCCACCTTTTTGATTTTTGTACTCGCACTCGTACTCGCGCGCCTTCCTTTTTGCAAAAGGAAACGTCACCGTACAAAGCAATGCGACGAGCCCTCCAAGAAAAGAAAACCCGCAAAACCGACAACGACAGCATCGACTGCGACCCCCAAAGGCCCCGCGAGCTCGAGTATAAGAGGCGCACACCGACCCCGTTGGGTCGCTCGTTCCGCAGTCTTATGTTTCTCCCTCTTCACTCTGCACTGCGTCCCATCCATATTACCACTAGCATCAACCATGACCAACACTGAGAACCAAGTTGCCTCCGCTGAGCAAGACCTTCCTTCCATCCCATCTCTCGCGGATATCCTGCCTTCGTTCAGGCTCGACGGCCATGTGACCATCGTCACAGGCGGGTCTGGTGGCCTTGCACACACCCTTACACAAGCGTTGCTCGCGCAGGGCTCGGAAGTAGCCCTGCTGGACCTGAATGTCGAGCGTCTTGAGTACACCGCTCGCGAGCTCCAGGAGTTTCTCAAGGCCAACAAGCTGCCCAAGCTCACGATCTCGACGTGGCCATGCGACATAGGTGACGCGGCCATTGTCGATGAAGTGGTGCGCGCCATCCCTCTCAAGCACAACGGCATCTTGCCGGACAAGCTGGTGCACACTGCGGGGTACTGCCAGAACATCCCCGCCATGGACTACGATGCGCGCCAGGCGGAACTGCTGGTGCGTGTGAACCTGATGGGCTCGCTGTACGTGTGCCAATCCATGTCGCGCCAGCTGCTGCAAAAGTCGCAGAGACGTCGTTCCGTGTCGTCGGACTCCAGCGAGGCCGGCGAGGCTTTCCCACAGCTCACGAATGTGTCGTACGTCCTTATCGGGTCCATGTCGGGATGTATCGTGAACAACCCACAACCCCAGGTGGCCTACAACATGGCCAAGGCCGGTGTCATCCACATGGTCAAGTCCCTGGCGTGCGAGTGGGCTCGCTACGGGATCCGCGTCAACTCCATTTCCCCAGGCTACATCGCCACCGCACTCACCAAGAAGGTGATCTCTGGCTCCCCAGAGGGCGCAGCGCTGCAACAGGAATGGACCTCGCGCGTGCCAATGGGCCGCATGGCCGACCCTCGCGAGTTCGTGGGCGCCATGCTCTACCTGTTGAGCCCTTCTGCCTCTAGTTACACGACTGGTGAGAACCTGGTCGTCGACGGAGGCTACACCTGTTGGTAAACCATCTCCGGCTTGGTTTCTAATTGTATAGTAGTTTATTTTACACTTGTCTCTAGATACATCTCAATAGCATCAACAATAATAAATTGTTTCCATCCGACTTCTCACGACACCTCTTCAAACTGCCGGGCTCCGCCCTACATCACTACGCACCCGCTGGCATCGCCCTTGGCGTCGAGTCCCTCGATCCGCATCACTAGCTGGCCCACCGCCTCGTCCACACCAACATTCTGCTTCGCGCTGCACTCCACAAACCCGGCACCCAGCTCCTTGGCAAGGGCTGCTCCTTCTTCTTGCGACACCTCGCTGTGGCCCTGCGCATCCCGCAAGTCGATCTTGTTAGCAACCACCACCGTGGGGATTGTCTCCAGCCCAAGCTGGTCCACGATTTTGTCGCGTACGAGCTCCACTATCTCGAAGCTCGCCCGGTTAACGCAGCTGTACACGATCGCGATGCCCTTAACACCGATTAGCGACTTGGTGTTGACAAGTGAAAACTCGTCCTGGCCCGCAGTGTCGCATATCTCCAGGGTGTAGTTGTTCTTACCCAGCACCAGCTGTTTGGTGAACTGGTTCTCGATGGTTGGGTAGTAGGATTCGACGAAATGCGATTCCACGTATTGCACCGTGAGCGAGCTCTTGCCCACGTTGCGGGCGCCCACGATGGCTATTTTGCGGTGTTTTGACACCTCCGAGCGAGAGTTCATAGTTCGAGGTACTTGTGTTATGGTGACTTGTGGGCAGCAAGGTTAGTTTCAGGGTGGTGGAATTGGCGAGATGAGATGAGATGCGATAGATGGTCATTTTCAATTTTCCATAAAGCTTCGAGTCGGTTTGCTATTCAATTCTCTATGCACATTTCTAGTCGGTATTCTAGTCGGTTTTCGAGTCCTTTTTGTAGCCGTGCTTTTAGTCGATTTTCGAGTCATTACTCCTGTTTTTCGTCAACAACTTTAATCACATATCTTATTGAAGCTAGCCACTACATTCAAGTGCCTAATTACCCAATCACCATCACCCACGACTACTCCTCTGCTATGTCGCAGTTTTCAGGCTTCGGAGTGGAAGTAGAACTCAAGGACGGAAAAATTATCTCTGGTACTGTAGCTAAGGCCAATGGGAAGTCCTTGACGTTGTCGGACGTGAGCTTCAGCGATGGCGGAACGTCGCAGGTTTTCAAAGTGAAGGCATCGCGATTAAAGGACCTCAAAGTGGTCTCCAGTCCACGTCCGGGCTCCAAATCCGCCTCAAGCTTGACGAATGGCGCGGCTGCTGGGGCCCCGGCCGCTGCCGCCGATGTTAGTGGTAGTCCCTCGGATTGGCAGCACGACGACGCTGCAGCGATCAAGCAGCAGGACGATTTCGATTTCCAGGAGAATCTCCGTATGTTCAACAAGCAGGACGTGTTTGCGAAGCTCAAAGAGCAGGATGGAGTGCAGCAGCAGTCCCGCCTGGTCGCTCACAACGTGCGCGAGAAGAAGCTTGACACGGACGAACTCGTAATCCCAGACGCCAAACGCGACCATTGGGATAGCCTGGAAGAAGATTCTGTGCATACAGAGTACCTGCCCATCACCAAGTCCATCAACATTACTCACCTGCTGCAGACGGCCGGTGACACCGATTCCAAAGACGATAAAGTTCTCGCTCAACTCCAAAGTGCGTTGAAAAGACCTGGATCTCTTTCGATCCCGGGCTCCAGACAAGCTGGGTTTGTCACCTGCTCTACCAAGATCGCAGTTCCTTGTGCCACTCCTGTACAACTTTTGGAGATTGAGCGTGTTTGTAGCGACTCATTCGGCTTTTCCTCCAATCTGGCTCTTGAGCATTGGGCTATCCACATGTCCCAGTTTTTCAAGCAGAAGATGGGTGGCAGGGTCCGCCTAAACGCGCAAAACCCCAATCCTCAGCCATTGATTGTCATTCTCGCCGGCGACAACCGAAGCGGCGCTCGTGGTCTTGCCCTGGGCCGACTACTGTGCCAATCTTCGCTGGTACGGACTCTAGTGCTGTTTGTCAACACACCTGAGGATTCTGAAGTAAACGAACAGTGGCAATTATACCAAAAAAGCGGCGGGAAGACTGTGGAATCACTCCAGTCGTTAAAATCCAGCTTGGAAAAACTGAACTCCCCAGTGGAGGTTGTCTTGGACGCAATGCAAGGATTTGACTCCGGTTTGCAAGACGCCTGTGCCGATGCCAGCGATGAGGCGCGGTTGGAAGAACTCGTACATTGGTGCAACTCCCAACAGACCATCTGGTCGCTGGACATCCCCAGTGGACTGGACGCTGCCAGTGCGCTGCCTAATTTTGGACTTCACGTGAATGCAAATATGGTGATCTGTTTGTGCTGGCCATTGACGGGAGCATACAATCTAAAGACTCAGCTGCCAGAGAAAGATCTAGAGGTACATTTGGTGGACATGGGAGTGCCACAAGCGGTCTATTCTGTGCGTAGCTCATTGCGCAAGTTCCAAATAGCCGATCTGTTTGTAACGGAGGGCATGGCACAACTGCAGTGGTGAAAAAAAACGACATGTGTGAACTTGGGAGAGCAACTGTATACCTTTGATTTTGGCAGTGAATGGGGGACCACCGGCGGCCCACTAAGAATATGGAGGACTGTGCCCAAGATTTATTGTCTGCAGACCTCCGAAGGGCTGTTTTTGTCCATTTGAATGAGCGTGTTGATGTCACATCGGTATAAAGTGACCTTGGCGGGTAAGGCGTGCTTATCACCACAATTGTATTGGTGCAATGCCAAGATCCCCGTACCCTGCAAATGAGTGCTGCTCAATTGATTGTCGGGTGTCTCTCTCGCCCTTCAAGCAAGTCGACCCTCAAGCCCAGATGACAACTCCATTCCACGTTCCGTCTCAATTTCCAAAGATATCACAACGGTCTCGCTGACTAGTCTAATCTGCATCTGCTCCTACCAACGTGAGTCATACACTGGATGCAATTTTTAGCTTTTCAACCCCGCCACATGTTAGCGACAAGCAAAAGATACATCAACTATCGTCCAAAACCCCCCGCCCCTCTCCACAACAGAAGTGCGATGCCAAAAATCTCGAGCAAACATCATGTTGCCATTCAAGATCGGCATAACTCACCACCTTAAGACTCCTGGGTCAAATGCTGTCCTCGTTGATGTGTTTGGATCGTTCATCGTCGAATACGATGGCCCTGTACAAAGTTTCTAGCGGTTGGTAAAATTTTGTATTATAGATATAGTTCCCCTTAACAAAAGACTTTTGTACTCAAAACATAACGCGAAGGTCTGTACTGTAAGCCTGTTGCCATCAAACAACGTTATTTAGCGAGCGGTTGGAATCATTCAAACGCCTAGCTGAAAAACCGCGCGTTTATAGGAGTTCTAGCAAGCATTCTACCGTAACATCTTCATAGCTGTTGGTATCCGAGAGAAGTCCAGACGTCAGGGATTTTGCGCTGACAATTAACAAGACAGTAGATCTGTGGGATTTGTGCTCAACGTTTGGCTTCGTGAACGCACCATTCAGGACCTTCAAAAAAAAATTCAACGTTGACTGTCAACTGAACAACAGCGAAGTATCGAAAACAACACTGGCCTCAGAAATAATGGGTATTTGTTGCAGTTGTTTCGGGGATGCACACGACGATGCAAGCGTAATGCCCATCGCAGATAATGAGCGGGAAGCTGTGACCTCTTTGCTTGGCTACCTTGAGGACAAAGACCGGTTTGATTTTTACAGCGGCGGGCCATTAAAAGCACTCACAACTTTGGTATACTCAGATAACCTGAACCTACAACGTAGTGCAGCACTTGCTTTTGCGGAAATCACCGAAAAATACGTGCGACCTGTGAACCGCGAAGTGTTGGAGCCCATTCTAATTTTGCTGCAGAGCAGCGACTCACAAATACAGGTCGCTGCTTGTGCGGCTCTGGGGAATCTGGCTGTCAATAATGAGAACAAGATTTTGATTGTTGACATGGGCGGTTTGGAACCTTTAATCACGCAAATGTTGAGTAGCAACGTCGAGGTGCAGTGTAATGCGGTCGGATGCATCACAAACTTGGCCACGCAGGACGATAACAAAGCCAAGATTGCCACATCTGGAGCCTTGGTACCCTTAACGAAGCTCGCGAAGTCCAAGAATATCCGTGTGCAGAGAAATGCGACCGGTGCCTTACTAAACATGACACACTCAGGTGAAAATAGACGTGAACTTGTCAATGCAGGTGCAGTACCGGTTTTGGTCTCTCTGTTGTCCTCTGTGGACGCGGATGTGCAATACTACTGTACCACTGCTCTTTCGAATATTGCGGTTGATGAATCCAATCGTAAAAAGCTTTCTCAAACGGAACCCAGGTTGGTTTCAAAACTTGTTGCCCTCATGGACTCGCAATCTGCCCGAGTTAAATGCCAAGCGACTTTGGCTTTGAGAAATCTGGCTTCGGATACCGGCTACCAATTAGAGATTGTTCGTGCTGGCGGACTGCCCCATCTGGCCAAACTTATCCAGAGCGATTCTATGCCGTTGGTGCTGGCCAGTGTGGCGTGTATTAGAAATATTTCTATTCATCCGTTGAATGAAGGGCTAATTGTGGATGCTGGCTTCCTCAAACCTTTAGTTAAACTTCTGGATTTCAAAGCTTCTGAGGAGATACAATGTCACGCCGTTTCCACTCTGAGAAACTTGGCCGCATCTTCTGAGAAAAACAGACAGGAGTTTTTCGAAAGCGGTGCAGTTGAGAAATGTAAAGAATTGGCTCTCGATTCGCCTATTAGTGTACAGAGCGAGATATCGGCATGTTTTGCCATTTTAGCTCTTGCTGATAACTCGAAAATCGATCTGTTGGATTCAAATATATTGGAGGCTCTGATACCAATGACTTTCTCTAAGAACCAAGAGGTTTCTGGAAACGCAGCGGCAGCCCTAGCAAACCTGTGCTCAAGGATCAATAATTATACAAGAATCGCAGAATCCTGGAAAACACCGGGAGATGGTATTGGTGGGTTCTTGATAAGATTTTTGCGCAGTGAATATCCTACGTTCGAGCATATCGCCCTTTGGACCATTTTGCAGCTTCTGGAGAGTCACGATGAAACTGTATTAAGACTCATCAAAGACAACAAGGAAATTATCAGAAGCATAAGGCACTTGTCTGACGTAAATTTTGAAAGTGCACAAAAGGCTTCTGTTGCCATGAGTTCTCACAATGGGTCAGGCTCGGCCTCTGAGCAATTCGATAACGCAAGTCTCGAACTGTATAACATCACGCAGCAAATCATTCAATTTATAGATTGATGTTCTTGCAGTCAAAGTTTGATTTGATGGCGCGTAAGGACAAGGCATGAATGGGTTGCCCACCATTGTTACGAAACCCAAATGAAGCACCATCTAAAGCTCCTTAAAGGCAAACGTCTTTGAGGGACATCAACGGCTGTGTGGTTTGGGTCAATAAAAAAGGTTTATACTACTAATACTAATAATACCGTTCTTCTTCAACAGCACAGACAAAACAGAAAAAGGAAAAGACTAATAGTGATTGAAGCCAAAACACATTACTGAAACCTTGCATTCTGCTTCGAAAGTCTTGGAGCAGATAATTATCTTTTACTGCAGAGGTCGTTTTCGAAGCTTCCCGCTGCGTCCGTGTGGTGTAAAGGTTGCCTGTATTAGTATTTGCAATTGCTCAGGATGTGTCAATTACATGAGATCCAGAATGTATCCCTAGTCCGCCCTCTTTGGTTTGGAGTAAAAGAGTGGTTTATAAGATTTTTCTACCCTTTATAAAGCTAAAATTCAGACAAAATCATAGCTGAGAGAAAGGCTATTGAACCAAAATTACTTAGGGCCCCTCGCAGACTCCAATCTTTTCTCAGAGATACACATAATGAGCTTTGATGCTCTCTTGATTCTATGTATATTCACTCCTTCTCACTAGCACCAGCGATTAGGCAATAGGGCTTCATCACCAATATAAAAACAAAAAGGTCTTACCCGGATTCGAACCGGGGTTGTTCGGATCAAAACCGAAAGTGATAACCACTACACTATAAAACCAACAACTAAGGTATTGAAAGAAATACTTCTTTATATACCTTTTACTTCATCACGGCTTTATTGATAATATTACCCATTAATACCGGTAGCGGGTACTTTTGAGCGTTCTTGACTGCCAGTTGCCACTTGTTCAAGCTGAATGTGTTCCGATTTGGAATTAGTTCAAGTTCATTTTGGTATCAATGTCCACCTTTCCGCGCACACGACATATTTTGTTTCACGATAACGATTGAGAATATCTAAAACAACTATATCATAATTTAAGGCCCTGTAACAGTTGCTCCGTAGCGGGTAAATATGGCACTATTCACCACTAATGGTATGTTTATCTTGGATGAAATTCATACCACTGACCAAAGCTTTCATAATGTCATGGGCGGCGGTGGTATGTTTGCAATGCTAGGGGCAAGTATTGTGTGTCCAAATCCGGAGACATCCAAGCACTTGAAATGGGTGGTTGATCGCGGCTCAGACTTTCCAGAATCTATTTCAGATCAGATCAAGACATGGAAATCGGGCGTAGTATTCAGAGACGATACAACGAGGCTCACGACGCGAGCCTGGAATCTCTACGGCGAGAACGATTTTAGGCAGTTCAAGTATCTATCGGAGAAAAAACGAATCGATGTCCAAGACTGGCTTTTGGAGTTTGGCGAAGATCAATTGTCTCAAATACCGTGCTTTCATTTAGTTTGCGCCGAAGATAGGGCCACTTCAATCTTGGACAAACTCAAGATGTATGCTGACAGTTCTATTCGGAGAGCCTTTGTGTGGGAACCCATCCCAGATTTGTGCAACGTGGAGCACGCTGAAATGATACGAAAAGTGGTCCACCGGGAAGAAACTGTGATATTCTCCCCCAACGCCGAGGAAGGGGCACGTCTTTTTGGAGCCACAGAGCCAACTACAATTGAGGGCTGTCGGGAATTGATGCGTAAATTTGACTCTTTTGTTGGCGAACAAAACATGTGTGTTTTAAGATGCGGTAGACTGGGGTCTCTGACAATGGGGAGACGCTCATCAAAGGGTGATAGGCCCATAATTCACCTTCCGGCATTCCACTTCCAATCTCCATCCCGTGTCGTTGATCCAACAGGTGGTGGGAACACCTTTCTGGGGGGTTTCTCTTTGGGCTTCGTCCTCTCCGACGGAAACTTGGATGTTGCTAGCATCTGCGGCAACATAGCTGCTGCGTGCGCTATAGAGCAACTGGGTGTTCCTCAACGTCAAGGCGACAAGTGGAATGGCCTTACTTTCGAAGAGCGATTAAGTCATTACATTACAACCTACAAACTTCCGTACACTACGGACCGTATCCTAAAATTACTGAGCATTACATCCACATGAGAAATCAATGCTGGTAGCAGGCCTCAAAAAACTCGTATTCGAGCTTCAAAACGTTTTCGAACGTTTCAGACACCTCTTTGAAGCTGCATTTATCAACCTCAGCTCTCAGAAAGTCACACCATGTTTCGAAATGTTCACCGGCGTGCAGATCGATCCACTTTTGGTATTTCCAGTGGAGATTTGAAGCAATAGGGAAATACCTGGGCCACTCAAGATACACCAATTCCATGCAGTAAACGAAAGTGATGAGTTTGGCATATGAGTCCTCATCTTTGGCACATTTTTCGAGATAAGCGATATACTTATCAACCTGAGGAAGCTGTGTAGTTTTGAAGCGAACTTGGTCTGATTTATCCAAGCTTCCAGACGTCTTTTCCAAACATTCGTAGAAGTAGTCGTTTTCGTCGTTTGCAAAGAAGCCAATTTTTCTTGCCAATGTTAACAAACTGTCGTTGTCCGGCGCCAGAGAGGTGGTCTTGGTCAAAAGCCTCATCCCACTTTGAAAGAACTGTAAGTCTTGGGCCAAGTAAATGTAAAGCTTTCTATCCGGTAAAGTGCCCGCGCATAGTTCTTGGGTGAGTTTATGGTGAGTTGCCTTTTCAAAGAGGGCTCTGTGGGTGTCGATAAGTTGCTGGGATACAGACATGGTGCAATTCTATAGTTTGGTATGCAGATAGCCATGTTAGGACGAATAGAACCCTTGAGACACGCTTTTTGGTTATATACAAATACAAATTCTTAGAGTTTCCTCGTGCAATGGATATCCGATGACAAGCTGTCATGTAAAATGCGCTTTCGTTTAACAATGTGAAAACATGGTTATGTAGGAAGACTGTCTCGGCAGAATGAAGGCGTTGTGGGCAGGATCGAAATCCTCACTACTTAATGACATAGTATCGCTGTCTCGACCGTTCTCTGTGTCGGTAGATTTCTCGAGACCGCATATCGGCCCATGGCATATACAATAGCAGTATACGCAACGGAAATGAGGCCTACTATATAGCATAGCATACATGTTGAACAAGTGGCCTAAGTGGTTCCTCTCGGGGGGTGATCGATTGTAATACTTTTGTTGCCATAGCTCGGGATCCATGAGCGCTGTGCCGTCACTGAACGTGTGCGCAGTCAGGTGGGTAGATTGGTACCTCTCGCTGGACAAGATCGTGCACATTCCGTAAACTGACGGAAAGTCGCTGGACCTCTCGCACTTGAAGAACACTGTTCATTTTTCAAGTCCCATGGTCATCATACAATATCGCGAGAAAACGCTTGCTTTGAATTTTCCAAGGCCGTGATCTGCGCAGCCTCTATCTTTATAGACTTGATTGTATCTTGGGGAACGCTTATAAGGCCAAGTTTCCGATTGGAATCGGCCGTGATCTCTTCGACGTTATCCAACAAGAGATTAAGCTCGGAATCAGTCGCCACCAGAGTGCCAACCAGCATGCGTGCCCTGGTTACTGTGACATAGATTTTCGATCCTATGTAGTCCGGAAACTCTAATCCACTCATGGCGTGTGTGGCACCGCTATGGGAAGGGCCGCTCAGTGCTGATGCTCATGGACCAGTAGTAAAATGGCATGAGTATTGACGTCGGTAGTGAGGCCCGGTCATTCCACCAATGAGAAACGAAGGGCATGATAGAACGAAGCTTGGTGACCGTCCTCGGCAATGGCCGTTTGTAGATCTATCAAGCCTGAGCATTCTCTAACATGTATCGGAATGTATCAAAACTTATGTAAGGTATATGACAAAAATATGGCGTCCTGGCTTGGCGTCTGTTATTTGACATCACAGGCTTGGTCCCCTTGGACTGAGGATCCCCAATGCTGCCATGTACGTGGATTTGGTTCTTGTGCCGGATGAAGCCCGCAGAGCCGGGGAATATTCGTGAACATTTGATAATGTGCCTGGCGGAGGAACTAGCACACGCCGCTTGATATTTCATTGCCGCGCGACACGCCAGTCCGCACACTCCTTCCCGTCGTACCTATTAGACCTGAAGTCACGTCCATGGCCCTCCTGTAGTCCGACACTGCACAATTCTACCCATATAGTGACATTATTGTACAAAGTGATTATACACTCGTATAAATGACAGATGAACATGAAAGGTCCAAAAAGAGCAGTTTGAGGAGCCGCATGGTGCTCCAAATACGGTCTAGTGTGCCTTCTGATACTCTTACGACGCCAGATAGGTTACCGTGGAGGGTCGCGTGAGATTTTGGCACCCAGCTGGAACATTTTCAAATTACAGGCTATAGTGTTGTTTCCTACCAATGGTTCCCGCAAAGATCATTCGGGTCTCAGGTACCTACGGGTACCTACCGGTACCTACTATCAGTCTAATTGCAACGCCCGCTGCTAAGTAGAACGTTGAGTTCAGCAGATAATCTACGACCGAGGCCGACTCGCCTCAATTTGGTATGGCCAAGCTCGCAGCGATCACATCCTCCTGGCCATGACGGCCACGTACTGGATTCAGCGTTCCAACGGAAGCGATTCCCATGGATGTGAGTCTGTCTATCTTTCATCTGGCTCGTATACGGTGATTGTGTGATTTGCCCAATATTGACTGAGAAAATAGTCAATAAACACCTGAACTCGAAGGCCTCCCATCAAATAGGTGGCAACTCACAGCAACAGCTACTGATTACTGGTTGAACCTTTTTCCTTGTCACCGTGTCTCTGTTTGCGCCCTGCATTTCACAGGCCGAGCTCCGATTTTCCGCCATGACCCAGAATACCACGATTACCCTCAAGACGCTGACCGCGCATGAGCTGCTTTCTGCGCGGGAGAACATGTGCGAGCTTTTTGGACTGACCGATGACTCGGAGCGCCGGTCTCTGCTGATAGGAAGAGATCGGGAGGCCCAGTTGGAGTCTCTAAAGACCAAACTGGAAGAGTTGAAAAAGGACGTGCAGAGGGCCAAGGCCCACGACGCCTAAGACCGCAGAGGCAGTCCCTTTCATTCCAAGTAGCGCAGCGGCTAGTGTGCTGTGCCGGGTCCGCCTTTGCATGATCCCCAGCAGGACAGGCCGGCTCATTAGCGCCACGGGAAGGTCAACGCCACGTACGAAAGTACAGGCGGCGAGTTTTCGCAGGGGGGATATTACGGGCTCTACAATCCAAATCGGCAGACAGCCACTTACCATCCAGCCCGTCAGAGACAACTCTGAGCTACAGAGTTCCGATACGCTACTCGGCACTAGAAGCGACTGGTCTACAACATACACGATTTCCGCCGGGCCGATGAGGTATGTGCCTTTTGTTCCAGCTGTTTTGCGGGTGCTTCACCGGCACCGCGACCGCAGAGCTCATTGCTAACGCTGCCCGTCCAGCAACTCCAAGAGAAGAATCGAAACGGACGTGATGAAGCTGCTGATGAGCGACCACGACGTCGAGCTCGTCAACGACAACATGCAGGAGTTCCACGTCAAGTTCCACGGTCCGGACGAGACGCCGTACGAGGGCGGCGTGTGGCGGTTGCACGTAGAGTTGCCGGACAACTACCCCTACAAGTCGCCCAGCATAGGGTTTGTCAACAAGATCTACCACCCCAACATCGACGCTGCGTCCGGGTCGATATGCCTGGACGTGATCAACTCGACGTGGAGTCCGCTGTACGACCTGCTGAACATCCTCGAGTGGATGATCCCGGGGCTGTTGAAGGAGCCAAACGGCGCCGACCCGCTCAACAACGAGGCCGCCACGCTGCAGCTCAAAAACAAGGAACTGTACCACGAAAAAATCCGCGAGTTCATCGACAAGTACGCCACGGAGGAGCGGTACCGCAGCACGTTTGGCGGAGGCGACGAGAGCGACGACGCCGGGCTGGACGACGACGAGAGCGACGACGAAATGCTCGACGACGAAGACGCTGGCCATGCCGCAGGCCGCCCGCGCCCCAGCGACGCCGAGCTCTCCGATCCCGAAGACTACCACGACGACGACGACGACGACGACGGCAACCTGAGCGACGAGCTGACCAACATCCAGGTCAGCGACGATGAAATCATCGACGACGACGGCGACTACGACGACGACGACTAGCATCTCCCCCACGCCAGAGACTCCCCCGGCGCTCCACCGCACGCCCACCCAGCTGTCCGCACCCGCCACCGGCCCCAGCCCTTCTTGGGCTCTCTAAAATCGCATTTCTCGCTGCTCTTCCTGTCTCGCTCGCAGCCCAGCATGAGCGACGCTCCGCACCAACTAAGTAACTCTACGTAATATCCACACCTAGCTAAACACTTCAAACTACACCGTTTCCACTCTCAAAACCCTTGGTCTTCCGCCTTCGCTGTGACTCTTGTTTTCCACTCCAACAATGGCAGTCTTGCTTCACGCCAAAGTAAACAAGGGGCGAGCAAGCCAGCCGCGCTGGACGAAAGTTAGATATCATATGTGGTCACAAACAAAACATATAAAAGCGAGCTGGACGTGGGAGTAAGACCTTTAACGTTTACAGCTTGCTATAGGTCAGGTTAAGTTCAATAGCTGTTCACTTTTAGTTGGGATACCTGGAACTTTTGTATATATTGCATTGGCAAGGAGGAGTACGTGTGGAACAAAACAGCGTACTGAACAGATACTGAACAGATACTTGCACTACCAGTGGGAACTAAAGCTAGACACAGTTCGGAGGAAGTCGGACAAGTTGCTAAGGACCTGGTGAATTATCGTTAAAGAGCTGGGCAGTTTGAAGATATGGGAGTTATACCAGAGAACGTCAAGGGAGCTGTGGATACAGATCCATGGCTAGAGCCATTTGCGGAGGTTTTGTCGGAAAGAAGGTACTTGGCGGATAAGTGGGCGTACGACATCAGACACAGCACGGCGGACCAGTCGGAGCAATCGTTGGCGTCGTTTGCCCGGGCGTCGTACAACTCGTACGGGTTGCACGCAGATGGCGAGACCAAAGAGATCCGGTACCGCGAGTGGGCTCCGAACGCTGCCAGGGCGTTTCTGGTGGGGGAGTTCAACAACTGGTCGACGGAGTCGCACGAGCTGAAACACAAGGACCAGTACGGCGTGTTCTCCATCACGATTCCTCCGCTGGCGTCGGGCGAGTTTGCGATCCCGCACGACTCGAAATTGAAGGTTCTGCTGGTGTTGCCGGACGGCTCGCACGTCTACCGTCTCCCCGCGTGGATCGCGCGGGCCACGCAGCCGGACAAGGAGACGGCTCGGCAGTTTGGGCCCAGCTACGAGGCCCGCTTCTGGAACCCTCCCGTGCGATACCAATTCAAGCACAAGAGGCCCTCCTTCGAGCGCAAGAACGACTCGCTCAGGATCTACGAGGCGCACGTAGGAATCTCGTCCCCAGAACCGAAAGTAGCTTCTTACAAAGAGTTCACCCAAAAGGTGCTCCCCAGAATCCGCGATCTGGGCTACGACGCCATTCAGCTGATGGCCATCATGGAACACGCTTACTATGCGTCGTTTGGGTACCAGGTCACCAACTTTTTTGCCATCAGTTCGAGATACGGTACCCCTGAAGAGCTCAAGGAACTGATTGACACCGCCCACAGCATGGGTTTACTCGTCCTGCTGGACGTGGTGCACAGTCATGCCTCGAAAAACGTGGACGACGGTTTGAACAAGTTCGACGGCAGCGACCACCAGTACTTCCATTCACTAGCATCGGGCCGCGGCGAGCACCCATTGTGGGACTCCCGTCTCTTCAACTATGGGTCTTTCGAGGTGCTCAGGTTCCTCCTCAGTAACCTGGCCTTCTACATCGACGTTTACAAATTTGACGGGTTCAGATTTGACGGGGTCACCTCCATGCTGTACAACCATCACGGCGTTGGTGCAGGAGGTGCCTTCAGCGGTGATTACAACGAATACTTGTCGAAGGAACGGTCTGACGTTGACCATGAAGCGCTCGCTTACCTCATGCTGGCGAACGACTTGGTCCACGAGCTACTCCCTGAAAACGGCATCACCATTGCCGAAGACGTCTCCGGGTACCCCACGCTTTGTTTGCCACGCCATAATGGCGGCGCGGGATTCGATTACAGATTAGCGATGGCTCTACCGGACATGTGGATCAAGCTACTGAAAGAGAAAAGCGATGACGACTGGGACATGGGCAATATTGTCCACAACTTGACCAACCGCAGACACGGTGAAAAGGTAGTGGCATACGCGGAGTCTCACGACCAAGCGCTGGTGGGTGACAAGACATTGGCCTTCTGGCTGATGGATGCAGCCATGTACACCGAAATGTCACTTTTGCAACCTCTCACCCCCGTGGTGGACCGTGGGATAGCTCTTCACAAATTGATTCGTTTGATCACACACGCTCTCGGTGGTGAAGCCTACTTGAACTTTGAAGGAAACGAATTTGGCCATCCGGAATGGCTGGACTTCCCGAACGTCACCAACAATGACAGTTACCACTATGCACGCCGCCAGTTCAACTTGGTCGAGGACCAATTGCTGCGCTACCAGCATCTGAACAATTTTGACAAGGCGATGCAGGAGTGTGAGCGCCACTTTAAGTGGCTCAATACTCCGCAGGCATACGTCTCACTGAAAAATCAGACCGACAAAGTCATTGCATTCGAACGTAACGGACTGGTCTTTATTTTCAACTTCCATCCCACCCAGAGCTTCGCTGACTACCGAGTCGGTGTGGAGCAAGCTGGACGATACAAGATTGTGCTGAACAGCGACCGTGCGGATTTTGGTGGACACAACCGCATTGACGAAGCCGCCTCGGAATTTTTCACTACGGACTTGCGTTGGAACGACAGAAGCAACTACATACAAGTCTACATCCCTACTAGGACCGTGATTGTCTTGGCGTTGGCATGAGACAACTCAAGAGCCAACGGCTTTCGCAGGCTCGAAAAAAAATCGCCAAGAAATCTTCAAAAATTGGTCAAGCATGGTAGGAGCGTCAAAACTTTCCCACCAGCTTCGAGTTAGTCACCTAATTAAAGAGATAAGTACTGTTAGTATTTTTAAATGGGCAGTTTCTTGGTGCTATTATCGATATGATCGCCTCGATATTTTTTATGTCACTGTTGTTATTGTTCGGATGATATGAAATTTCCAAGTAGTTTTTGAAATTTCAAGGAACGCAATGAAATGCGATTGTGACTGAAAAGCAAGGCTTTGTGAACTGCCCTTGAATAGCGGTACCTCTCGGCTCGTTGTAAGCATGGTTACAGTCAATGCTAGCATCGTACCGGTGGTACATACAGTCTGCGCTTCAGCGGCTTTCTTGGCAGCACTCATAGTCGGTTGCAAGCTGCATTACATCAAAATTATTACCAATGCACATTATACGTATCCTGAAGAGTGGTTCCCAAGCGTTTCAGCAACTATCGGTGATCGGTATCCAGAGCGGTCTATCTTTCAAATTTTGATAGCTCTCACTTCATTTCCACGGTTTCTGTTGCTGTTGGGGCATTACATGATCAACAAATCTACACCCTGCTTCATTGTGGGCGTTCTAAGGACGGTAACTTGTGGTGGGTGGGTATATATTACCTCTACAGATGATCATGATGTCCATGACGTGTTCATGATATCTTACATCGTCTTAACTCTACCGTGGGATCTGCTGGTTATTAGAAACTCAGAGTTCAAGAAATCCAAGAAAGTCTTGATGTCGACTTTTTTTGCTACTATGTTCCCCTTGATCTACTGGTTCATTCAGCACAACGTGTATCATCGGGCGGGTGCTTACTCAATATATGCTTACTTCGAATGGGCTCTTATTATCTTGGACATTGGTTTCGATTCCTTGGCTTACAAGGATTTCAAAAAGCTCAGCTTGAATTTAGAACTAACCTCGAGCGTAGGAAACTGGTTCTTCATGTTCGAAAATAAAGAATCTTTGCAGCCGGCCGCGGCACACGAAATTCAAAAGGTCATCGAGGAGGATTCGGGCCCTTCCGCGGCTCTTGATACGACAGGAGACTCCGACCCAGATTGCGATTATTCATCCGGAGATGAATCGAATGGCGATGATGACTTCTCGGAATTACTAGAAGACGAGCATGCGGTCCTTCTCTCTGCCGATGATACAGAGCTAAGAATTATGCTACAAGAAGATGAGGACATGGCGTACGTGACGGGCACTGGCTCTTCTCTAAATGTTCCTGCACAAGATTCCATGGCTTACATTTTGATTAACATCCTGAACTCATTGCTATTTTGGACCTTGCTCACCTCTCTACTCTGTATGGTGTGGTATTTCCCGCTCTGGTACATGGGTATATCAGGATACGAGGCCTCTATCTTGTCTGTTCTTGCGCCAATTTTTCTCTATCTTCCAGCTGTTCCGATGGTCACAGATGTTTATGGGCCACTTTTTGCTGCTGTTATTGGAATCGGCGCATATGTTGTTGACGAACCGGAGTCAAGGCTTTTGACTGCATCATTGGCGGCAGGTATAGCTTCTCTAACATTTTGCAATACCCTGAGAAGCATTGCGACCCAAAGAGCTACGCAAATGTACACAATTACATGGATTCTGGGGCTTATTGGCTCGGTGATACTGAAAATGGCTTTCTTCTCCAACAACCCTTTATGGCCCATTCTTAATGAAAAAAATGGTGGGTGGAATAAGTCTGGACTTGCTGTCATGACACTCGTTGCTGTGTTTACCCCACATGTTAACGCTATTCACTATCAAGGGGTGCAGCCGTCTACTCCACAAGGTACCAGATTCATGACCAAATGTCTAGTGTCTACAGGTTTTGGTGCTTTGATCTTTTCCATCCACCAGTTACTCACTGATGCCTCGACGATCATATACTGGTCATGGGAGGGTTGGAACACCGGCGGCTCACAAGGCCCTTTGACCTGGCCCTACAGCTCAGTAACTTGCTGCTGTATGCTAATTGCAGCTCTCACCGCTCAAAAGTTTTCAGGAAACCCTAGCATTCCCTCTGTGCTACTTGTAACGTCAACAGGAATCCTGGCAGCTCCCTCAATTACTGGATGGCTCAACTACACCTTTGGTGGCCTCGCATATGTTGTTGCCACTATATGGATGATTCCCACTTATTTCACGAAAATGAATATTTTGAGAAGCCCCTGGGTATTCACTTCCGCCTTTCTAGTGTATCTGGTGCTGATCCTTGCACATGTTTGGACCGTTGCCTACGCATTTGTACCGTATGGTTGGCTTCTTAGAGAAAGGATCGGACATGTACTTGCTTTTTCAACTACCTTGATAGCCCTTGGTGCTACGGTAGGTATGAGAGCCCACGTTAAAGCCCAAAGGATTTCCACAAGATTCTGGAAAAACGTTTACTTCATCATAACATTGTTTTTGATCTCTATTGGGGCTATAACGTACCGATTAGCACCTACTGGAGTTCCCACCCCTTATAATATTGAGGACAACATGATCACGGCTGGTATCTGGACTGTCCATTTTGGCCTTGATAATGATATGTGGTCATCTGAAGCCCAAATGATTCAACTTCTTAAAGATATGGAAGTCGATGTTGTTGGGTTACTTGAGACCGATACGCAGAGGATCACTATGGGCAACCGAGACTTAACCAGTAAAATGGCTCACGATTTGCAAATGTACGCTGATTTTGGTCCTGGCCCCAACAAACACACCTGGGGGTGTGTTCTACTTTCTAAATTTCCAATCGTGAATTCGACTCATTATTTAATGCCCTCTCCTGTTGGAGAGTTGGCCCCCGCTATCCACGCCACTCTAAAAACCTACGATGACATCTTGGTTGATGTGTTTGTTTTCCATGGAGGTCAGGAGGAAGACGAAGAGGATAGGAGACTACAAAGTGAAGAACTAGCAAGGATCATGGGCAGCACAGATCGCCCGTCCATCTTGTTAAGTTACCTTGTTACTGAACCCGGTGAGGGCAACTATAACAATTATGTGAGCGAAATCTCTGGCATGTACGATATTGACCCCAGTGATAGCGACAGATGGTGCCAATACATCCTCTACAAAAAACTGGCTAGGACAGGGTACGCTAGAGTCAGTCGTGGCACGGTGACTGACACTGAACTACAACTTGGTAAATTCAAGGTTTTGAGTCAGGAAGAATTGGAAGCCTACGGCGATACTATTTATGACTTTGAATTATTGGACGAAGACATCGAAGTCGAAGAATCTTTGAAATTCCCGGACCAATATCACGGAGATGGTAAAAGAGGCCACCACTACCATGTATTTGAAGAACCACGCCATTACCAGATGCCATGGTAGTTACAGAAAGTATTAATTATCGTTATCATCTATGTAATCCGCCAAATCTATTTCTTCAACAATCAAGTTCGCCATGTGCTGTGCAGAACTTATGAATGGTGTGTCTGTAACTGTCTGTAAGTTGGTATGTTCTAATATCAAGTTTTGGGGGGTTTTTGGAGCATCTAGAATGGTCTGAAATTGACTACATCTAGTTACTACTTCAGGATTGTAGTTAGAGTACTCTTTGAGAACGGTCTTGCATTTCAAGGTTGCTGTACGTGCAAGCTCAGGATCATTGGCAATGGCTTCGTAGTAAGTTAAAAGAGCGGAAGACAGAGCTACAGGTATGACACTTATATCTGTAAATGCGTCCAAGAATTGTTTTAGAGTTGCCTTGGATGGCTGTGTCATGTCGCAATTGAAGGAGTAGATGGTTGTTTTTGAACTTTTCGGTTAATAAAATTTAACAATCAATGAATAGCCCGCAGCATTAAAAAAGCGCGAGGAGAGATAAGACACTACCTACTTGTTGACTACTAAACTATATTCTCAACACTAGAATCAATAGAGAGTTTAGTTGGCGTAAAACTTCATTAGCGTCATAAAATTACTATACCTATCTATATACACCACCCCGCGTAATACAGCGAATATTTTTGACCCAAACTTTTGAACAAATCAAGGGTCAGGCTTAGTTACTACGACTAGCGGTACTATTTTCAACACTGTCGCGGTGCTCAAATAAAGGTTTTTCGTTGCTGATATTTCCAGCACGTTCAGCATTCTCGATATGTTGAGCATTGGCGAGAAGTCCCAATTTATTGCCTTCTTCATCTTCAATAACAGGTAGTTCAGGTACGTAAGAGCCCGTCTTCCACGCTGGAATGCGGTCTTCCCACATTTGATCAATTTCTTCCAATGTCTTACCCTTGGTCTCCGGGAACATGAAAAACGTTTGAATGGTTAGGCAAACGGAGAATACCCCAAAGATGATGTAAGTTTTCCAGCTAATATTCTTAAAGGCGGGAGGGACAAACATCGCCAGTGCAAAGTTGAAGGCCCAGTTCACGGAGGCACACAGTGCTGAACCTTTAGCTCTTTCAACATTGTTGAAAATTTCGGAACAATAAATCCAGATACCTATACCCCACGTAGGAGCAAAGGAACACACGAACAGGTAGGATGCAGCAATTACACCTTTAGCTGGACCTTTGTGATCTTCAGGTATTCTGATTGTAACGGTTTCATCTCCATCGAACCCTTCTGGCGCAGGCACAGAGTATGTCGCCAACAGACCAGCAACGACAAACAACCAAATGAACATGAATATCCCACCAACCAAAAGAACGGGTCTTCTGCCAACTTTGTCTACCAAAAATAGAGCCGGGATAGTCATCACAACGTTCAGAACATACTGAATGGAGCCAGAAACCAAAACCTGATCCCCCGAGTAGCCTGCCATTTGAAAAATGAAGACAATGTAGTACATCATCACGTTCATACCACACAGCTGTTGCCACATCTGAGCGGAGATTCCGACAATTGTCTTATTCAAAGTCTTCTTGCGGAACAATTGGCGGTATCCAAAGCTCACTTGAGTGTCCAAAATAACTTGCTCCTTAATCTCCTCCAACTGCAATTTGACTTGAGGATCTTCACGGTTCCCTCTGGCTCCCACTTGGGCTACCACTTCGCTGGCTTCTTCCCAACGGTCATTATTGGCAAGCCAACGAGGTGATTCTGGAAGGAAAAACGCGGCGATCAGGAGAACAAGGCCAGGCACGATTTGGATGCCCCAAGTCACGCGGAAAGCACCTTGCCCGTTGATAAAATGACAGCCGTAGCCGATATAGAACAAGATCATGATACCCATTGTGACGCTAAACTGGAAAAGGCCGCAAATTGTACCACGAATCCTGGGAGGCGAAATCTCGGAACAGTATACTGGAGCAGCGGAGGACCCAAACCCAATACCCATTCCGCTGATTACACGGCCCGCGACCAACATAGCAACGTCTTGCGAGGCGGACTGCAGAATGGCTCCCAAAATCCACAAGGATGCGCACAGATGCAAGGACACACGACGGCCAAACACATCCGAGAAATGTGATGAGATCAAAGAGCCCGCGAACGAACCCGCAGACATAGAGGCCGTAATACCACCTTGCTCGGTAGAGCCTGGATTGTTGAAGTATTCCTTGTAATGAGTAGTGCCGATCATAGACGACATAGACGAGATATCAAAGCCAAACATGAGACCCGAAATGCACGCTACTACGCCCAGCACATAGATATTGTAGACCTTGGGGAACCGGTCGTACAGCCTGCCCCGGTACTGTACATTGCGCATGAGAACCTTATCCTGCAAAGTCATGGCGCAACTGTAACAGAATGATCTTCGGAGCTCGAAACGATAGCTGAAAGTATGCGAATTAAGTAAGCCCTTAATAACAACAAGATACGCTAAAACTCAATGTTTACCGTATGCCACAAATGTGAGTGCTTTCGAAAACCTAAATCCAAAACCGTTTGAGCGCTCTTTCCACACCCTTTATATAACACAACTGGGAGGGGCAAATCTGGGTGGCGCTACAACCGTAGATTCTTGCTAATTCGAGTGCACCGCTTGTTTTCACCACCCACTTGCCATCACCCTACAGTTGCACAATTGTGGGGAGGGGACCGGAGCTTTGTGGACCGGGCTGCAACACAAAGCGGAGTATGTAAAGGCCAAAGGGATACTCAGCATTGCCCAAAATAGACGGTGGGTCGTAGCCATGTTGTCTGTCGCTCAGCTAAAGTGGGCAAGTGTTGGTGGCACTGCGCCTGTTTCTGGCTCCATATGCGTACGAGTAGCGTGAGAGCCGTTGGCCGTTCGTGACTTGACAGCTGTATGACGTAATAATGCCGTTCCTCCATTGAGTCACTTTGAACGTCTTCGGACGGGTGCTGTCCGTGATATTCGTGTGGGGTGATGTTAATGCAGATGGCGGCTCCGGAGAAGGGTAAGTGACACAAAAGCGGAAGCGGAAGATAACGAAGGCGTAGGGGCGAGTAGGGCCGGTCGTGCTTATGTTGGTCACAGATCACAGATTCGGGTTACAAGTCTTCCGACGCAAAGACCAGGCGGAACCACAGAGTAGTTGGCCCTCGGTGTGATTTTTGGGTCTGTCGTGGGGTCCCGCGGAGAGTTGCTAGCACTCGATAGAGCACTGCAGTACATGTGCAAGCCCACACAGTCTTTCTATGTCGACACCCGGTGCCGATAGCGTTTCTTTGTGTGTCCACAGGTTGGTCGGGCGTTTCAAAGTGGTTTGTTTTGATGAAGCTGGGCGGTTGGGGCACCGATTTTTAAATGGTTTCCCCGTGGCACGTGATACATGGATCCGTTACGGACCTGATCATCGGGTCCTTGTATCTTGTAAAGTACCCGAAAGGAGGCATCGTCGCCTACCCGAAGTATCCGAAAGATATATCGTAAATTCCGCCCGAGGACTGTGATTTAATCACTGTTGGCGTGTTTGAACCGGTCAAGCTTAAAAACCTAGGTTGTGCCTTCCTCTCGCGTGGTGTTCTTTCAACTCGCCGACATTGAGTAGCGGTTTGAGCAGCGTTGGTGTACGATTGCCGGTATGAAGTTTGACGTTATATGAAGCTCCAAAATTTAGTTTAGAGTCGGTGATATAGTTGGAATCCATGAGGCACGGCCGAACTTAGCAGTTCTTTTTGTTTATACGCGTTTGGTCTTTTCGTGCAATTAATTGAAATGACCCAAAGGCAGAGACTTGTAACCTGCGGACATCAAAAGTGATCGACTCTTCAACATGGCTTCGTGAAAACGCATCCTCCGTTGAATACGTGGACTTTCAACGGTGATCGTCTCTGAACTGTTATTTTGACCGATATTCCGTGACAGTCAGCAAGCCTCGGCCTTGGTATTAAAGCGAGTAGCTATTGTATACTGTTTGTATTAAACTTGTCTGATTGCATTTAAGTAGTTCACAAAAAACACAGCCCGTCCACATTATCAAAGGTAAATCAAGTATCGCAATACATACGCAAGCGCAAAAATCGGCAAATCGGTTGGCTCCATCGGAAGACACGATTTTCAAGCCGCACGGTTCTGGCAAGGATACGCTAAGCTTGTACCAGTCCGTACTTCCTTCCAGCGCAGCGCCCAGGACGATGCAGAAATTACACGCGGTCCCATGCTAATCCGATCGACAAGAAATCCCTCTTCAGTCCATTCCTCATGCATCCCGGATCAGTATCTCATCTGTTTTCCAGCTCTCTGACAACATTTGAAGCCTCTATAGAAGACAGTGCTCGATTTTCACGCGTCGTCTCAGGACTTTATTGATCAGACACCGTATTTATTTTTCAAACTTCAATTCTGCAAGCGTTGATATTCATAGAATCCTGTCCAAATTCGATCCGTCAGCTTGCACTTCTCTCCAATTGGGGAGCTTGTAAGAGACACTTTCAGGCGCATATTGAGGGTACGTAGCTCTTATGGTATCGAGAAGGGCATTGTAAAAAACCTCGTAACCCTTTCCGGTAAAGTGGACACCGTCACACAGAAGTTCCTGCCAATGACTGCCACCTTGTACCGTAAAAGCTTTGTGCAAATCTACAAAGCCCACGTCTTCTGCGGTAGCAATATCTTTTAAAGTATCGGAATAGAGCTTATTCCGGTTACTTGAGCGAAAAACCTTCTGTATTGCTTGATCGGGTTTGCTGAGCGTCCAGTTTTTCTCATCATGAAGCGCTGGCCCTACTAAGATAGGGTGTATATCTTTTGCTTTGAGCATGTGAACTAAAGTTGTAATGTTTTGTTTGAACTCCGGTAGTTCAACTCGTTGATTCCCAGCAGAAGCAGCATCATTAGTGCCGAAAAATATGGTACAAAGCACTATTTCGCTGGATACTTCGCTTTCCAATATTTGGGGCAAAAGCTTCAAAGCCCAACGTGAAGTATATCCACTGAAGCCACGCTGAACAATGTCCAACTTTCTTGTATAGTCCCGGCACAGAGCAGCCCCCAGCGAGAATTGATCACCTTTTCCATCCTCCATACGCGTATTAAATGCAAATTCCGTAATGGAGTCTCCGAAGAGCAAGAACTTTTGATACTTCAGTGACATGATATTACCCTTTGAGCGTTAACTGTCACTTGGTGTACGCCGGAAAGTCAAGTTTCTTACGTTTATATTAAGTTCCCTTTCGAGATCTTCCAAGATCATGCCTTTCACACGTGAAATATCAACCCGCTCTGGAGGCTCATTGACCTCTACTGAAGTTTCGGTATTTCAGTTCCACGCTCATGTTTCGAAGACTTGGCTACCGCAAATTAGGTGACATCTTGGCTGCGAAGTTGAGAGGAAGAGTCGCGAGAAATTTCGATAAGTCTCCTTAAATAATATACAATTAGAATGACCTGTTTTGTACTTATGACACCAATGTGCAGCCACTGTCCCATAATTCAGGTCGCTAGCATTCCGTATCTTGGGAGCAGCCCAGGTTGCACGGGGAAGTTGTAGTCATTTTTATTTAGCCTCGTCCCAGATGCGGTGGTTATTCCAAAAGAGCCAAGAGGCGCTGAGCACGTTCTACCTGGTGTCCTGATGGGGGGACTTCACTTTCTGGCTTCTCCTCGCCATCTACCTCTTTCAACTGCTTTGTTTTCTGATTGTCTTCAGTAGAAGGTTCTTCAGTAGAGGGTTCAGCCGCGTTTTCTGATTCCTTTGGACTGTGCTGCTGTTCACTGCTACTCTCGTCTGGCTGTACCTCTGAATCATTCGTGTTTTGGGACGTTAATTGGAATTTCTCATTCTTGTCAATGCATTCGCGGCACGAGCTTACCAGTGCCAACTTGGACCCGCCCTTGAGATCCTTGAAGTAGGCATAAACTAACTCATCGTAGTACGATGGAATCTGGGTGTCGTCTAGAACGTGTTTCAGCAGCCAGTTCTGTTTTTGCTTGGAGAATTTCCAAACCTCTGTCACCTCAGCTTTAGATTCTGAATCCGGGTTTGGCTCATCCTTTGCAGGATCTTCATCAGAGCCTCCAAGTTGGATACGTACCGGCTTGTGGTCCCAAATTTCTCGCGGCAGCTGTCCAACTTTTTCACGATAAAAGTCAATCAGGTATCGCAGTTGATCCTTGAGAACCTCTTCCTTGTGCAGCAGTCTTTCCTCACGAGGAGCTTTGTCCTTTTTCTGCCTCTTATTCGGATTGGCCTTCTTGCTCTTGTTGGTGCCCGTTTCCCCTCTAATAATCCTCCTCTTTTCCTGCTTGCTCAAATTGGCGGTAGCCAGATGAGTAGTTACATTCAGAGCAGCGTTGTCTTCGGCACTCTCAGACTCTCTCTTTTTTATAGCGATCCTTTTCCATGCAGGGACATGTTCCATACTTGCTATTAAATCTGAAGGTTGTTAGTCCGTTTTCTGACTATCACAGATCGATACGACTTCTCGGAAGCCTGTCTTGAGTTTGGATAATTTTACGGCCGTGAGTGCTCATCGATTTTTTTCATCTAATTTTTGAGCCATGGTATAAAAAGCGAAAGTGGTCTCGATTCGGGACCATTCAATATTCAACCAATTTTTTAAAACTTCACATTCAAAACTTTGCGCGAGCTTCGTGGTTACGAGGTGCAGATGGCTCTGGAGCTTTCAAGTTGCCAGTGGGCTGTCTACTCTTGTTTCAGCGCATAGAAAAATAAGTCACCAGTTTGAGTCGGTCCGTAAGCTTGTTGGGTGAAATCATCAAGCAGGCACACTACGGATTGATATAGAAGAGTGCTGATATTTCGCATTCAAAAGTTTTTGTTTGCTTCGTGTAGTTGAGCAGAGCACTCACAGATTCGTGCTGTCGCTCCAATTCTTGTTCTGCGCGTAATGATCGTGATCTTGTAGGATAGCAGGAGCTTTTATTTAAACCTCTAACGTGAGCCCACTATCAGGAAAGACCGAGTATTGTCACTATGTCAGGCCCGACTGTCCTTGAGATCTATGCGCGGGCTTGCTGCTTGACGGGGGGGGTTTTGTTTGGTGTTTGCACAGGTATGGCCTTTATAGAGTACATGCCTTTGTAGTCGACAGGTCGGCAAACAGTTGAGCAGCACGCAGGTACCCTGGTAACGACGTGTGTCTGGCGTATCCTCGCTGTGGGGGCTCCCCAATGTAAATGCTACTATGGGGATATGTTACATAGACCAAGCACAACAGGAAATTGATTGTATACTTAGATGATTACCGGTTCAAGAGCGGTCTTCCATAGAAGCAAGCTACGAGTCATTCCTTGCCGAATTGATGAAAAAGACCCCATTTACTTCAATAGTAATTGGTGGTTCTTAGGTTTACCAAAAGGTTGGCGAACATTCCTTTTAAATTCGTTTCGAATGGTGCTAAGGTTGGGTTCTTCAATGAAATTACCCCCAGTCTGTTATGGACAAACACTGGCGCGGGAATCAAAAATATCCTGAGACGTTTGTATTTATTTAAAATCAGGTATACCATCAAAAACAAATAATAATTGATGTTGGCCAGTTGACCAATGTCATAGGCTAAAGAACCTACCATGACAGCAATTAGAAATACTCGGCGCAAATAGGTTGGATCTGCTATTTCATTGATAATCAGTCTGAAGCTCCCGGCTTTTAAATTTCCTCTATCAGCCACCAAAAAAGATATGGCCAACCAAACCCTGCTTTTCGCAGGTCTGAAGTTTCTCATTTTACCGTCCTGCGAACCACCAAGGGTTCAGTTTGTGGCCAAATTGATTGAGAACAATGGAGGCTCTTTAGTGCAAGAACATGCAGATGGTGTAATTATTCTGGTCACTGAGACATTTGTTGGCAATAATGGCTTGAACAAACTTGAGCTTTTCCATAGCGAATGGGATTACAGCGAAGACCTTTGGTATAAAGTCATTACCTGTGAAGAAGGCCGCATTTACAAGCTCAGTTGGATTGTATCTTGCTTGAAGTATGGAAAACTTGTCGATCCTGCGGCTTTCACAACATCGCTTACCGATGAACATGAGGTCGTGGTTGACATCGATAGCATTTCATCGGGTGCTGACTCCACGAAGAGAGACCCAGATAACTCTGAGGAGGAAACAGACGTGGGATCTCAAGTATCCTTGGGAGATGCAGACTCACAATTCCCTTTGACCAATCTCCAGGGTGCGCCCGAATCTCACAATACTGACCTCCCTTCAACAGCACCGACCAGAAACAACCCAAACGCTTCTCTGATCCAGGCTCTTAGCCAATTATCCAAGAAATATCGTCTACAAGGGGATACATACCGATCGCGAGGCTATCAAATGGCCGTCCAATCTATTGAAGCGCACGACAAGCCCATAAGCACCGAACAAGAAGCGTTGGCCTTGCCAAACATTGGCCCTAGCATTGGAAGCAAAATTCAAATGTTTCAGGAAATGGGCTGCTTACCTGGACTTGACGAGGCCTTTGAAAGGGAAGAGACACTCGATTACTTCATGGGCTGTCACGGTGTGGGCGCCCAAACAGCTCGTAAATGGGTTTCCCACGGTGCTGACACTTTCGCAGAAGCTTCAAAACTATTTCCATCTGATTTTACGTGGCCAGTATTATTTGGATGGCGATACTATGAAGACTGGGCAGTGAGAATCCCTAGAGAGGAATGCAGCCAACATTTGGCGCTTATTCAAAAAGCTCTAAGTGACGTGGACGATACAGCCCATGTAGTACTAACTGGCAGTTATAGACGCGGAGTGGACACATGTGGAGATATCGATACAGTTCTTTACAAACCAGACTGTGATGACATCCAGGTCTTGTCCGACATTCTTGAAAAATTGGTTCTAAGATTGCAGGATGTGGGATACGTGTTGTGTCCACTGAATTTAAACTACAATTTGGGCCAGGCATTCAAACCGACGATTGAGGAATTGATGACAGCGGCCGGGCTCAAACCAAACTCTCACCAATCGGCGCCTAAGGAAGTTTTGAAGAAATTTTACTGTGGGGGCAGGATCCCTCACGGTCAGCACACAAATACTGTTGCTACCACTTCTTCTGCCGTGAACCACAGGCTCAAACCTGAAGACAGATTTATGTTGAGAGCAGAGCAACTTAATAAGTGTCGTAGAGTCGATATTTTGCTTAGCAGATGGAGTCAGTTGGGAGCGGTAATGATATATTTTACAGGGAATGACGATTTCAATAAAAGCCTTAGGGTTCGGGCTACCAAGAGGGGCTGGAAATTAACGAATAACGGCCTATATCACGCTGCCGTCAATGGAAGCGGACGCGACGTGCTTATAGAATCCTTCGATGAGACGAGGATAATGGAATTACTGGGTATGCCCTGGGTGCCCCCAATAAGACGAAACATATCCGGATACATATAGAGCAAACAAGTCACAAGGACCAAGGACATGGATACAATATTTTATCAGTTTATTCCAATGTTGCAAGATGGATTATGTAGTTAGTTTAAAGGTCATACACACATTAACGAAGTCCCGCCATGCTCTTATGGTCTGCTAGACAAGAAGGTAACACCTGGCAATTCCTTACCTTCCAACAATTCCAAAGAAGCACCACCACCAGTGGAGACGTGGGAAATCTTGTCAGTAACACCGTACTTCTTGGCAACGGTAGCAGTGTCACCACCACCGATAATGACAGTGCTGCCAGATTCAGAGGCCTTAACAGCGTCCTTCAACAAAGCTTGGGTACCTTCGCTGAACTTTTCAAACTCGAAAACACCTGGGGGACCGTTCCAGACAATGGTCTTAGCTTGAGCAACGGTGGTAGAGAACAACTTTCTGGACTCTGGACCATTGTCCAAACCTTCCCATCCCTTTGGAACACCTTCCTTGTCGGTGACGATCTTAGTGTTAGCGTTAGGGGAGAAGTCGTCACCACAAACAAAGTCAATTGGCAAGACAATTTGGACACCCTTTAGCTTGGCCTTCTCAGCCAACTTAGGAACAATTTCGGCACCAGCCTTGTCGAAGATGGATTCACCGATCTCAGTGCCTTCTAGAACCTTTTTGAAGGTGAAAGCCATACCACCACCGATGATAATAGCGTCAACCTTGTCCAACAAGTTGTCGATCAACTGGATCTTGTCGGCAACCTTGGCACCACCAAGGATGGCCAAGAAAGGCTTGGCTGGGTTTTCTAGAGCGTTACCGAAGTACTTCAATTCCTTGGACAATAGGAAACCGGCAGCTCTATCCCTCAACTCAAAACCCACGATAGAGGAGTGGGCTCTGTGGGCGGTACCGAAAGCGTCGTTGACGTAGACGTCAGCCAACGAGGTCAAGTCCTTTCTGAACTTCTCCACGTCAGCCTTGTCGGCCTTGACCTTTTGGCCGTCAACCTTTCTGGAGCCCTCTTCTTCGATGTGGAAACGCAAGTTTTCCAACAGGATGACAGAGCCTGGAGCAGCCGAGTCCACGGCCTTGGTGACCTCTGGGCCCACGCAGTCGTTCAAGAAAGTCACGTCCTGGCCCAAAAGCTTTTGCAATTCCGCAGCCACTGGCTTCAAAGAGTATTTTTCCACTCTTTCACCGTTTGGTCTACCCAAGTGCGACGCCAAGACGACCGCCTTTGGCTTCTGCTCTAGCACGTACTTGATAGTAGGCAAAGCAGCAACGATTCTCTGGTTAGAGGTGATCGTGGTGCCGTCCAATGGGACGTTGAAGTCCACTCTGATGAACACACGCTTGTCTGTGACGTTTAGGTCCTTGACAGTTAGCTTAGAAGATAGAGACATGTTCCAATATTTTATCGAGAAGTTGCGAATGCTGTTACTCTTGGATTAAGAGAATTAATGCCACTACAGATCGAATACACACCCACCTTACTTTGGGCTGGTTTATATACTTTTTCACCACCCTCTTCACGCCATTATTTTACACCATCACTTCACTTCACTGGTTGTGGGTGGGACTTTCTGGCAATTTCCGTGAATTTTGCCATGGCGCCATAGGATCACATCTACTCACGCTACTACTTCTCCCACCACTTTGCGCGTGCTCTCTCGTTTGCTGATTTTCTACTGACAACCGAGTCAGCCAGGGAAGCGACCCATCAAATTACGTACCGCACTACAGGAGCAACCGCATTTTATGAGGGAAGTGACATGCCAGATAGAGACAGTACCTTCGGTGGCCTTTGGAGGTTCTAATCGTTCCACGTATGGACGCTTTGACTGTCAGATTGAGCTCGATAATGGTGGGTGATTGGCCCTCTGAGTTCTCGCAATATCGTGACGCCCTATAGTTGTCAGTACGATCACAGTCAACAAGATAAAGTTCATGATTTCAACTGAGCTCTGAGCTCCAGGACAGCTAGGAAGCTTCCGGACGCCGTGAGAAGCCGAAGGAAGCTTGGAGGCACAGCTCAGAAAACTGTAAAGGAAGCCCGCGGGAGCTTCCGGTTTTGCGGAAGCTGAAGGAAGCCGAAAAGTTACCCGGATCCACCACGTACAAAGAGACGTGAGATATGGGTCATGTGGATATCACATGTGGGACTCCTCGCGACGGCCCTTGCACGTGATCTTTGAAGGCGGGAGTCCTGAAGGGGGTCAGGAAGGGAGCCCTATGGTGGCACATTGAGGTGGAAGGAAGGTGCACCGCCTGTAGTGAGTGCCCCTTCGGCGAACCACCTGTAGTGTCTCTTCTACAACTGCGACCAGCGCTGGTGAGACATTTTGGTCTTAAATACACTCCGTGGGGTGATCAAGCTCCCGTCACGTGCAACCAGTGGAAAGGAGTATGAATCTACTAAGCTAGACGGAATTGGATACTCTATCGAAAAGTCAACTGCTTTGGCCCGCATGTGAAGCTGGACGAAGCTTCAGCGTAGACGATAGGGTGCGTTTTCACGGATGGGACGCGTGGTCACTTTCGCCTGCAAGGCTGCCTGCAAGGCTGGCAATGGACATCCCAGCCAATTGACCTCGAGAAGCTAGGGTCACATTTGAAGACCTTGAAATGGTTACCACAGCTATCTAGGGTCACATTTGAAGACTTTGAATGGTTACCACAGCTATTTTCATGAGACTGGATTTCAGCAAATGTGTGTTGCACTGATTGATTGCACCCAGCTTTTGGCCCTCAAACGATGGACCAACAGCTGCTTCGTCGGAGGCCCTCGGCGCTTAAGATTCCCTTGCAGCCGTTGTGGAAGAAAGAAATCTGGGGAAGAGTGATTTGCGCCAGACGGGAGAAGAACCACGAATCCATTCGTTTTTAATGCTACTTGATTCGAATCCAATCTACGAATCTGGCTCTCTCTGCGTGCCAGCACTCGAAAGGTATAATACTGTCTGAAAATAAAAAGATAAACGCGTGTTATGAGGTCTCGTAGTCTTCATAGGTCTGTTTTGAATGAGCTATCCTGTTGTCAGCAACTGTACTCCCGACACCATCATGTCTCACCTTAGGAAGACGAAGTCACGGGATCATCATGAATTGAACAGTGAGTGGCCTTAGAAAGAGAACTGCCTCAACCAGACAAGCCTCAACCAAACACCATCATCCCTGACTGATTGCAGCTACGCTGACGATGACGAACAGACAGGCAACAGAACGGCGCTCGAATCATGGAAACATTTGGCGAGGTAAGTGAAGCCGAAATGTGTGATGATGGGTCAACCAGAAGCGGCAATTCTGCTTGCCCCGTCGAAAAGGAATCTTTGGTCGAAGGCACTAGCTCCCCTGTAGAGAAAATAGCACAGACTCAACAACACGGGTTAGATGAGGTACTGGGTTCGATCGTTATTCGTCAAAATATTGACAAGAGCTTCTGCGGGCCCGGACATACAAGAATCACTGGATTGGTTCAAATCCCAGGTACGATCAATACAGATACGCCAACAGTTTCGCAGAGGTCAGTAGTTTTTGTTTGAAGGGAGCCTCAACGCCCACTATTCACACGCTTATCACTATTCCCTTAAGGAGTTGGCCTCCTTCCTCATACTAGCGAGAAACTGTCTGGTAATGACTACATAAATTCTGAGCAAGCTTTTCGAGAAAGGCTCGGTTTTGATGTCGCAAAATTTTCGATGAGCCCTTTCTATAAGTCAAGTATGAATTTGGTTTCGAACGGACGGTTGACGGACGGGAATCTTGAACAAAAATTTCACAACTGGCTCTCTTCCTCTCCTTATGGAATTTGGGTCACTAAAGTTAAGGAAGGGAGGAGTCCTTACGTCTAGTGTAAGTTTGACGAGAGTGGGTACAGGCTATATCTAAATGGCAATTCAAAGTCGCCGAATGTTGCACGGCATCTGAGCCGTAGCCATTTCAGCGATTTTGCATTATTCAGCAGGGCTCAAGTAGATGTCCGTCAAAAGCATCCGAAAGAATTTTTGTGTTGGGAATGATGTGAATAAACTGATGGTGATGTGCGTCTAATCGCATAATCAGCGTCAGTAAATATGTGACACAGTGGTACAGAATGATAGTACACAACCGAGGCCATACAAATAGAGCTACAAGCTAAGACAAACCGAAGAGAACAACTATTGTCCAATGGGATTGGCCATTGATAAGTTATCGGTAGTGTACGGCATTGAAGCCGTAATCCTTGGGCAATAGAATGATCTAGAATTGGTGATTAATAAATATGTTGACCAGAGTCACCGAGTGAGAATTGTATAAATACCAGGCTTTTGTTCAGGTAACTGAACCAACTCTAATGCCTAAAATAATCACGGAGAGATAAATAGAATTCCCTAGATCCAAGTTACTCATCTTACAATGACTATGTCCGACTTACAAGACAAATTTAGTAAGCTTTCTACTGATGAATCAGATTCGCCTCAATATGGTAGCGCCGCTAAGGATGCGAAAACCGCCGACGCAGTTGACAAGCATCAAAAGATTTCGAGAAAGACAATTCTAGAGCAATCTGACTCTGACTCTGAGGATGATACTTCGGATGACGGAAAATCTCTCCGTACTGGATCGAAAAGAGTTAAAAAGAAAGAGTTTAACTCGGACCATAATCCTCTTGATGAATGGCTGCAAGTGGCCAAAACTAGTTCAAGAAAAAGGTCTAGTGCATCAGAAATGGATGATGAAGATCTCACTTTTTATCCAGTTAGAAAAGTCGCTGGTTTCATGCCATTTATTACGAAAGTATTAAACTTATTGACCAGGGTGGGATTAAAGGACATTATTCCAGACCGGACAGGAAGAACAAGAAGGGAGCCTACTTTGGGCCAGAAAAGGGCCATTGTACAATTGATGGAAACATACATCGATTTTGAAGCATATCCTGAAATGATTTGCCCTCCACATGACAATAAGAGCACTTATAAAGCATTTCGTAAGGCTGCAATGAGGGTCACTACAGATGATTCCAAGCCATCCATGAACTCAAAATGGAAAGAGTTAAAGCTTGACAAGTACACAGATCCCTTTTTATACGTTGAAGAGGTCAAGGAACTAATTGAGGAATCACTCGAGTCTGGATACTTTGACGAAAAAGAAGACGCAGTACCAAAACTTATGGCAAGCTTCAGACCCGGCATTCCTTTTGACAGTGCACGTTTCATTACCTGCGATGTAGACGAAGTTCTAAAAGGCATTTACAACTATGGAGTTAATTATGGAAAAATGGGACGTGTCACTTGGGACAGAGTTGATCCAATGGAAAGTAAATCCAGCACCCTAAGATGCTACAAATGCAATGAAAAAGGACATACTGCAAATAGATGTCCAGAAGACGAAGTCAAGACCAATAAAAAATACGGATCCTATCAAAAGGACAAGACCAAGAAACGTCTTAGGCAAATTGTCAACAGAGAAAGTAACGAAGAGTTACAATAAATCAAAAGAATCACAACGTGTGCTAATAGACAGTGGTGCATGTTTTTCAATTTTTTGTAACCGAGATTTTTTTACTCTTTACGCCCGATCGACTCGAACGATGAGATGTTCGACGCACAAGATCGAAAGATTGAACTCAAGGGCAAAGGAATTGTGGAGCTAGATTTAGGTAGGGTGGTAAGACTAGAAGCATACCTATCTGATAGATTTTTGCAACGTTATATCCACAATACAACTTGAGGAATTTGAAATTTATCCTGATTTCCAAACACGCCATTTACGGGATCAGGATGGAAATAAGATGGCGAAATTAATAAGAGAACAGCGTGTCAACTGGCTACCCTCTGATTTGATAATAAGAGGGGAAAGTCAGAAATATGCAAAACGTTTGAGTGCAGTACATGGTAGGCGAGGTAAAATCACACTAGAGCAACTTCATGCCTCATTAAGCCACATTAATCCAAGGTACATCAAGGACTCTGTGAAGTCCGGCTTGATACAAGATGTGTCGATGAATGACGTGGACTGGCGACTAATGGAAGAATTTGAATGTGTAACTTGCCTACAAGGCAAAGGAAAACGGAACAACCATGTGCCTAATTCACGCGAAACCTATAAAGGGCAAATATAATGAGTTAGAGTTCATACACACAGACGTATTCGGACCGATGCATAAGATGCCTCCCGGAACTCCGAAATACTTTATTTCTTTCACAGATGAACGAACCAGATACAGATGGGTATTTCCACTCCAACATAAGGACGAGGATACCGTATTGGACTGTATTGAGAACCTAGTCTCCCACATTAAGAGACAACACAACATCAAAGTCAAGGCTTTCCAAATGGACAGAGGCAGCGAATATACAAATCAGTCAGTTAGAGACTACTTTGCCAAAAGTGGCATTGACACATATTATACTACTACGGCAGATTCAGCATCCCACGGGGTTGCAGAAAGGTTAAATCTGACACTACTAAATGACTGTCGAACACTTCTATCCAGTTCAGGAATGCCAAGACACTTGTGGTTCCATGCAATCAAAACTGCTTGTCACCATCGTAACTCATTATACAACCCACGAATTGGCACATCGTCTAGAAACATGGTAGGATTAGCTCCGATTAGAGCATCCAAATTACCACCGTTTGGTCAACCATGTATGGTACATGACCCTGCTGCACTGAAGAAGAAACTTAACGTACGCAGCATTCCCGGATTCATACTCAGAAAGTCCGAAACCTCATTTGGCTGTCTAGTCTACATACCTAGTGCGCATAGGGTGGTAGACACAAGAAATTATTATATTGTTGACGACGATAATACGACAGCAACAAACGATATAGAGGCAACAGAGATTTACTATTCTGAGGACAATGCAGAAACCGACCAAAGTGAGGTCGAAGAAGTCGATGATGTCGAAGAGAGTAACGACACCGACGAAGATACTAATATGAGCGAAGATAATACCATCTCCGATCCGGAAAACGCCGATAGCGAGAGCTCCGATACTGCAGACGAAATTAGTGATCATGAAGATTCACACCATAAAGAAAACTCCTTAGGCAGCTCAGATTATGAGGATCAGTTTGTTCCACCTCCTTCAGAGCACAATAGCCTAGCTGACCAACCTGAACCTAGTGTTCAAAACATGAACACGAATCGTAATTCTTCCAAGGGTGGTACAGAACGTACCCAACCCACCATCATAGTACAGGAAATGGGACCTTCTCGTTTTCCTCCTGAGGGTGGTAGTGATAATCCTCCGGATAAGTTGAGAGAAATACCGACGGTAGGACAAGATCAGGAAGCAGATAGTGAATCAAGCATAACAATTTCTGGTCAGGAAGAAAACGGAGAAGTTGAAACAGATACAAAGTCAGATGATGAAGAAATCATAACAAATGAAGAGATGTTTGCAGAGCTAACTAGAAAACCCTTACCAAAAGGAAGTAGGAAAAGGAAAAAGCTCGAAACGGATGAAGAGCTAACGTCAACAACGAAAAAGAAGAGAGTGTATTATCTCAGGGCCATGAGATATAAACTACAGCCTGCAAACACAACAGATAGATCGCTTCAGTATAAAGAAGCGATCACTAAGAATACCAACACTAAAGAAAAGAATGAATACAAGGCAGCCTATGACAGAGAGATTGATCAACTCGAAAGGCAAAGAACGTGGGATTTGAGCAACCCAATAGACGAAAGTATGGTACCAAAAGATAAGATAGTAAGCTCAATGTTTATCTTCACCACAAAGAGAGATGGTAGAAGAAAGTGTAGATGTGTTGCAAGAGGAGACCAGCAGAAGCCGGATACGTACGACCCGGATGCCGAAACTTATACGGTTGCACACGAGGCACTAATGACGTGGTTGGCCATCTCATTGGAACAGGGATGGACCATAAGACAATTAGATATAACGTCTGCCTACTTATACGCTCCATTAAAGGAAGAGCTGTATATTAAAACACCACCGCACTATGGACTGAGGAATAAAGTATTCCAATTGAAGAAGTCACTATATGGTTTGAAACAGTCAGGCTCCAACTGGTATGAGGTGATCAAAGGATATCTGACCTCCACCTGCAAATTGATTGAAGTACCCATGTGGCCATGCGTCCTAGTGAGAAGGGTAGGAAAAGATACACTGGTGGTAAATTTGTTCGTCGATGACATGATAGTCATGTCAAGCAATGACGAACTTTATGAAGAGTTATTAACCCATCTCCAGAGTAGTTTCGAGACTAAAGTCGTAGCGGATGGATATCCCGATAGAAATGGATTTGCCAGCTACGACATTTTAGGGATGGAGATTGAATATAAGGTAAATGATAGAATGCTATTGGGAATGGAAAAAACAATAGTGGATAAGTTACCAAAAGTTAGGAATACCCTTGCATGGTAAGAAAGAAAGATTCGGTACCTGGACAACCAGGACAGATATTGGACGTGTCAGAATAAGGAGTTACTACGTGTCAAAGGAAGAATTTGACAGGAAGGTAAAACATTTACAAAAGATTGTAGGATTATTATCCTATATCACACAGAAATGCAGGTTTGAGATGTCATACTACGTGAATATATTAGCACGACACACACTGTTTCCCTGTGAGGAAGTTTTTGACCTAGCATCTCAGTGCATACAATATCTGTGGACAAACAAACACAAAAAGCTGACTTGGACTAAGTCAAGTAGCGCGAAAACTATTAGAATGGAAGCAATAACTGATGCTTCGCATGGGTCTCAAAAAGAATTTATGTCGCAACTTGGTTACTTTTACAAGGTGAATGGAAATTATGTGTTCGCTAGATCAGCCAAATCCACAAGCATATGTGTATCTTCGACTGAGGCAGAATTACATGCATTTTTTAATTCGGTTCCTTTGCTCCGGAGCATACAGCGAATGGTTGATAGGCTGGATCTCGAAACTTGTGTAAAGATTTTCACAGATAGCCAAACGTTGATTGCATTGATAACAAAGACAAATGTTGTCAAGTTCAGAAATAGATTTTTCGGTAGCAAAGCGTATCGACTAAGAGAATGCTATGAAGGTTCGAAATTCCAAGTGGAATATATCAGAACCAACGAAAATACTGCGGATATACTAACCAAACCATTGGCCGTTAAAATCTTCCAGAAACATATTGAAAATTGGATGATATGATTATGGATTGACGCCATGGGTGGTATGTTGGGAATGATGTGAATAAACTGATGGTGATGTGCGTCTAATCGCATAATCAGCGTCAGTAAATATGTGACACAGTGGTACAGAATGATAGTACACAACCGAGGCCATACAAATAGAGCTACAAGCTAAGACAAACCGAAGAGAACAACTATTGTCCAATGGGATTGGCCATTGATAAGTTATCGGTAGTGTACGGCATTGAAGCCGTAATCCTTGGGCAATAGAATGATCTAGAATTGGTGATCAATAAATATGTTGACCAGAGTCACCGAGTGAGAATTGTATAAATACCAGGCTTTTGTTCAGGTAACTGAACCAACTCTAATGCCTAAAATAATCACGGAGAGATAAATAGAATTCCCTAGATCCAAGTTACTCATCTTACAATGACCATGTCCGACTTACAAGACAAATTTAGTAAGCTTTCTACTGATGAATCAGATTCGCCTCAATATTTTGATAGGTTGTTCGACTCATTCCTCTGACCAAAAGATTCATACAATTTTTGGCTCAAAAACTTTAAGCCCAATCAGACTAACGTATGGATGGAGAGGTTCATACCGTTCAGCTTAGTGGAGGCTCCTGCGATGAAATACCTTCTGCAAAGTATTGATTTATCTCATCGGCCAATCATTGCTAGTTTGCATCTTAACGAGTTTAACAAGCAATTGAGGCGTGCCTTGCGAAATTCTTTCAACTTCAATATTATACTAGACATCTGGACGCCTTCGAGCCAATAACGTTTCTTAGCGTTCATGATAACATTCGGCCCTAACTTGAAGAAGAAGTCGAAATTGAAGAGACGACGTGGTCGCTTTTAAATCGAGATACACATGTACTGCATTCCTTGGACATAAGCGATTAAAGGGTCAAAGGCGAAAATCTTAAGAGTTCGCCATTGGCATGTCTGACCAGACGTTCCATCAGTCATAAACTTTGGACAAAGAGTCAAATGATCTTTCAATGTTTGAGAAAATCGACGAGCCTCTTGATCTTGTGGAATCCAGAAACATCATTAAAATTGAGTTTTTGAATCATGTTTCGAACGGAGTCTTCGTTGACTCGTGCGAAGCGTTTGAGTTGAATCACGGTGGCCTGCTTTCAAGAATTGACAAGCTATCAAACTATACCAACAGCAATGTCTCTATTGGAAAAAAGCTTAGGGCTTATCTTTTGTCCTCTTTACCGAAGTATAATCCTATAGGGTTCCTTTCACGCTATCGCCAGTTGGAGACCTTTTTAGAAGTTGAGATACAGACGAAGAATTTTTTATCTCGAACATTGGCTTCAGACGAATACCCTTTGGTCCTCGAGCGATAGCGCTACCTTTTGTTAACAGCAAAGAAGTAAAACAGCCCCTCTAGTTGTTTTTATTCGCATAGCGCGGATCTTTGATGAACTCACATTTCTTCATCAAGGTGCTTTTTAAACTCCGTTAATAATGGAATCAACTTCTACATGACAATTAATCGCTATTACCATGTCGCTGAGGCTGAAAAACGGTACAATGGGACAACCATGCCTTGCAAGCTTGCAGTTGAACCAACTGACTTACCCTCTGAGATTAAACTATACGAGATACTCGATGCCGTTGTGAGCTCACGTCCAAAAGTCGAGAGGTTTTTGAATATTGGCTATACGGAAACTGGCTATCGGGCTACTCACATATTGCAGTCTCTTCGGAAGCTATACCGGCTCAACGCGGCTTTCGTTGAATCTTTCCGAAACAGGATTAAGAAATTGACCGAGTGCTACGTGGTGAACTATTGAATATGATCTGCTGAGGATGCAGATAACACCTTAGCGAGGGAATGAGGCTGCCCCCGATAAGCGTTGAATGCCACCTCAATAATTTCGGTCCACTACGGGCAGCAGACAAGAGTAGCCGCAGCCACTGCAGTCTCGAGGGAATGGGAACTTTACTTAAATGAGCCATCTGAGAAAAGCGCTACATAATTGGGCTACTGGCTCAAATACATGAGTCGGTCCCCTGCACTCTTCTTGGCACTTTCTTTACGATTCAAAATTATCGACTGCTGAGGTTTAAGGGTGTTTTTCAGTCAACAAGAGAGCCCTGGATAAGTCGAAACGCTCTGGATTTTAAGCGATTGGGATGTATACCCACGAGTTCAATAGTTGATGTCGCTCGAGACACTGATAGATCCAAAGCTCAGTGCGTATACAATGATTATTCTGTTATTGATCGTTTTTTAGACGAATGGATTCGCGGATCACCTTCAGGGACCGAAATAGTCGAATTCGCTGGATTCGTCGGATTCGTCCCCGGCCCTGGTTTTAGAGCACTTAAAGGCGGTTATAAAGAGCATACTCCCAGGATAACAATTCTACCAGCAGAAAACGATTCCAACATGTCTGTCAGTGTCACCAGCTCTGAAGCTGATATTATGGTTCCCGAATCCCGACATGGGCCCGATAACAACATAGATGAATCCAGAAAACCGGTAGCTCCCCGACAGAGGACACGTTGGATGGAAAGGTCGAGCGTGCGCGACCACTTTCAGGTTTCTGAGTCCAGCGGTATCAAGACTGCTAGCTGTATATATTGCGGAAGATCCTTCAGTGAAAGCAAGTCTACTGGTAACCTCTCAAAACACATAAGAAACGTTCATCCTATGCAATTCAGGTCTCAAAAAGCCGCGACCTCAAAAGAGGATTCCATAGGTAGACTAACAAAATCTCAATCACTTCAATTACCTGCGAATATAATTCAGGAATGCAAACATAGTCCTGGTGCAATCGCTACGATTGGTTTTCTGGCGGAAAACTTCATTCCAGTGTCACTCGTCAGTTCAGCCACTTGGAAATGGCTCTGTAAGGTGTGCCCTGAAACATCATTGATACATTCCGAAATCTCGATAAACACAAAATTGAACGTATACTCTAGATGGTTCGATGACGCGCTGATAGCAAACATGGAACATACCGACTACATAAATCTAGTGCTGGATAACTGGTCTGGTGCAAATGGTCGCTACTACTTGGGTATAACAGCCTCTTATACTCCAAATATGCTTAATGAAAAAGTGCTGAGTAGCTTGGGAGAGCAAGCCCTTCTCAGCAATTTTGGAGATCCTTCCAATAGCCATTTGCTGGATCTGGTTGACATTGGCGATCAGCCTCATACTGACGAGTGCTTGTTAGCTGCGGTTACAGATGTTCTAGAAAGGTTCAAAATAGCGGGCAAAATTGGATCCCTTACATCTGGCGGGGCTCCCTTCAAGACTTCTCGGCAAGGTGAGCTTCTAGATAGGCTTGTGAAGCCAGAAATTTTGCAAAGAGCCAACAGACTCTACCACATTCGATGCGCAAACTGCATCTTGGATGCCATTTTTCGAAACATAGTACAGCGTTTGCTGGAAAATGAGAAATTCAAGATGGGTTTGAAGCAGGTAGGTGCGCTAGCCAAAGTAATGAAAGGATCACCTTTTTTAAAGACAGCTTTGGCAGAAGCCGAGTTGCCAATGATTCCATCAAATCTCGGACTCGGATGGATTTGCATTTGGGATCAGCTCGCCACATTTCTGGAACACCGTCAGAGATATTCACAGTGGATTGACAATTTACGAAACTCTTCAAAAAAATATCATCTCCCTTCAACTATAGACCAACAAATTGAGCTTCCTATTGGTACCATACAGTTGCTTGAGTATTTCGTCAGTTGCTGCTCAATCTTTCGGACTCTCAGCAACAGCCTACAGGATGACGCTGTGAACAATATTTCAAATGCCGTGACATTCTATTGCACAATGAAAAAGTACTTCGAATTGTGTAGCATTGGCGAAGCAGAGGTCATAGAGACAACCTCAGAAGGTTCTTTTGATTTCACATTCATAAATGGAGCGCCTGATCACTCCAAAGATGTGAGGCGCCCTGTTTTGGAAGCCGTTCTTTCAGCACGGCAAAAGTTCGATGAATACTTCAATGCCTTCAAGGAAAACGAGATATACTTCGTTGCAGCATTTCTGGACCCCTCTTTGAAGTTTGATTGCTTTAGCGAGCTTATGGTTGGAGAGGAAGGCGAGCAGCAGTTCAAGAAGGTTGAATTGTATCTAAAGAGTTATCTCGCAGAGTGTCAATCCAAGAACCGATCAGTACCGCGGATAGAAGTTCCAAGCGTTGCAGGGACAAAAGGCAGTCGAATCAACAAACTTCCTAGGCCGAACATGAGGACCAAGCATTCGATAGTGAAGGCCTACCAAGTTTTGGAAGAATGGGAAAGGTATAAGGCTGATGGTGAGTTGACTTCAGAAACTGCAACAGATGCTGTGAGATGGTGGTATTCTCGCAGGCGGGTTTATCCGAACTTGTTTCCTCTGGCTGTGTCAATGATATATACAAAGTTCAGCAAAAGTAGACCAGAGGGAACTTTTTCCATCAGCGAGACCTTTACGCAGAAAAATCATCTATCCATCGAAAGTGAGAGCACGAAGAAACTGATAGTTTTGAGAGACCGCTTTTCGAAATTCGGTCTTTTTGGTGATGAGCTTGGTGTCTCTATGAGAAACGGCGATGGCTTCGAAAGCCTGTCACTTTCGAATTCGGGTGGTGATTTAGCAGATGAAGAGGATCTTCTCAATTCTCTGCTTCAGCATTCTAATGATGATAAGTGAAAAAGAAAAGAGCAGTATGATAGTCCAGTGCTCGACAATCCGATATAATCTCCGTAAGCTGCGTCGGCAGACGACTCAAAGATGTTTTAACCCAGCAGTGGCTAGAGTAAAAGGTATTATTCACTAGTAGATTAAACATGGCCACGTTGCGCAGAGCGACTACTTACAAGGAAATGATGCGGAAAATTTAACGAATATCATTTGTCCGGCTGGTGCTCAGTTCTACTAGAACAAATGGCATAACTGTAGTCTCTCTGGCAACTTTTGCGTGCGTAACCTAGACTGTCAGTATGAGTTCCATGTAGGTGGTATTCCCCCTCAAAGCGCTTGACAAAAAGTTGCGACATTGGGCCGTCAGTTGGAGAAGCGCAGAACGTTATCCAGTCCAAGGAATCAGGTTGAATGGTCAAGAATACAGCTCAAGTACTCAGGGCAGCTTAAATGAATGCCAGTATCACGACGAAACCGTGTTGGTCTGTCCTTCGTATTAAGGTCACTGAATACGCAACTCTTATCTACTGCCTTATAGGATAAAAATTCCCGTGGAGGGGAATAATTACATGTTTGTAGAAACTCCTGCTGCCAATTGCCTGACATGCTGGTTGCCGACATCATCGATCAGTATTGCAGTACCCAAGATCATGACTTGAGGTACATGGCCCTACGAGAGCATGTGTTGAACATTCAGACACCTTGGAATGAACAGGATCTACTAAACCTGGTATCACGTGCACTGATGCCAGCGCTTTATGATCAAGACAGAAACATATCAGAGCTTGTTTCAACCCAAATTTTCCCACACATTGCTCTGATTAATGAATCACAGATGGAGCTCTCAGTGATACTTCCACTTTGTCGGGAATTGCAGAATCCAGAGATAAACACGCAAGACAATTCACAAGTTCTGCAGTCGTTGAAAAATATACTGGCAAATTCGAACGTTCCTTTACACATCACAGAGCCTCTTCAAATATACACAGCTGCCATGTTGTCAATGAGAGATCGATCATACATAGCGTGGGAAACTTTTACGATGCTTCTACAACATTCAATAGACAACCACGTGATCGAATCAATATTTCCACAGCTATACCGCCTGTCGCTGGAGGATGGCCGCAATGCTGCTTTTAAGTCGGTTCGAGCTGCAACCTCAAAGCTGTCACCCAGAGCCATGGGCATAACCGTTCTTCAGTATTCAAATCTGACAGATGGTCATCTTAAACTGTTGGCTGCAATAACAGAGGAAGCCTCATGTTTCCGAACAGTGTACATGGTACTAATCGACAAGCTCTTGGAGCTACCATTCACTACTGAGGTGGTAACTATTTTGCAGAATCTTTCTATATGGCTACTACCACCTGCTAGGGATACCTCGAGTGCAGCGAATTTCAACTTAAGCGCCAAACTCTACGCCAAATGCCATGGCATCTTGAAAGATTTCATTGATGACCAAGAGATGATTTCAGACATTGAGGACACGGAGCAGGTGGATTACTTGAGACAGTTATCGGATGAAGAAAGTGGAGACGAAATCGGTCTCGAAGAGGACGACGACTTCACTATCACACTTCGGCAATGTATAAGATTTTTAGGGAACATTCGCTTGCAGGTTCCTGCAATGATCACTGACGCTCTTAATGGCTCCAGATATGGGGCGGAGGCCCTCCTGTCAATACTTCAAGATGGAAGAATTGAGGATCACAACAACACTATTTTAGAAATGTTGCGACAGGCAAATGAAGAGATTTTGAGAAAGGTTCCCCTAAAATACCTAAGGAGTCTCCAGAACGCAGGGCTCGAATGTTTCAGTGCAGAGTACGTCTTTGGGCGCTCTCTCATACCCTCTGATTCAACGTTGACTGATGCAGTGAGAATTCTGAGAGAAGCCAGGCAAATCAATGTATCAACCCGCTGCATACTAGAGGACTTGCTCCGCACAAAACTAGCCATCGACGCCGCAGATTTAACTCGCTTAGAGCTGGACATCGATGCTCTCTCGGAGTTATTAAAGTTTGAAGATTTACATGACACTCAAGATCTAATTGGGGAGCTTTTGTTGCCACATTTGAAACCCAACAAGAACTTTTCTAGGACGATTAAAGTTGGGAACATGAAGCAGGCAATCGACGATGGTGTTGCCCTCAGATTGAGCTGTTATGCTCTACTACAACAATTGCCAGTTTCTTACAACTGCGTGTGCTTGATATTGGAAGAATGCGTAGAAAAGGGATTCAAGGATGAAGCCTCCATTAAGGAGGCGGCTACGCTCCTCTTTATCGACAAGATTGAACGTGTGTGGCCAGATCTTCGAGTTCGTGACGCCATTTGGTTCCTTGAAAAACTATGTCCAAGAATACAAGACCGGCTAGACAAGTGCATCGCTGCTCAGCCAAATGCTTCCGCAACTTCCCAGCAGATAGACGATTGGACAAGAGGGTTGAATAGTTTGGAGAGGACGACTTTATTGTTGAACTCGAAGTGTGCGGTCATAACCAACGACCTTCGCTAGATCAAGGGATGGGGTCCTGAGCAAACAGACATCGGCCATCCCTCAAGTATAAATTGGTAACCAAACTCCTGGGAGCAGAAAAAGCTTCATCTTGTCCTGTACTAAGACAAAGGATCGTGAAATAAAGATAGTAATATCTACTAATCCTACAATGGGCGAAGCATCAAGCGAGGACTACTCCGAGATTGATAACGCACCACAGTTTAGACCTACCCCAGATGTACTTGGGTCAAACTCCTGGGCTAACGCGGAAAACCCAAAGCTTGCAAAACAAAGGCCCTTTATCATGAGAAGGCGGTCTACCAATTACACAGATGCCTTGGAACGGGAACGTAACTTACCTGAAGCCATTTCGAACAATCTGAATATTGTCAAGAGTCTCGACACCGAATTCATGGACCAGCAATCTAACAAGCACAGACTACAGGAAGGATCAGCGCAGCTACAAAACGAGGACTCGTTTTTCAAATATGATAACGTGGAAACTGGCCCTCGCCTACTCCCAGCGGATGCCCTGGTGGGGACTGCCAAAGCAAGCACACCACGTTCCCAGACGTCTACGCCTTCTGCTGGCCCTTATGGAATCACTTACTGTGATGGTGATAAGCCACGCAACCACGATGAGATGTGTGAAGAATTTCCTCGTGGAGCGCCTTTGATGCATAGGCGGTCATCGCTTTTGGAAGACTACAAAAAGGACATGTACAACAAACAGCATCTATTTGGGACATGAACCTCCCAATGGTTTTATTGCTAGGAAGGAGGTTGCTTCTTAGTGAAGCCAATATGTCATGCCAGTTAAAGTCAAAGAAAAAACTCATCTTCCGAACCCAGGCTCGCCGGCTATACATGACCTATGTAAGTAGTTGTTTTGAAGCTAATCCAAAACATTTAACGACTTCAACGAAGATTTATTGTAATCGCTTTAATCGCTGGCGTGGACTGGCTCGCCTCGTCCAGTCACGTTCTTGGTTAGTGGGTGGTTTTCTTTAGTTGGCATCGACTGATTAAGGGGTGCCATCATGTAAACTCATCGGCATAGAGGTTCCGCAGATCCAAACTTTAGCGCTCAACCCACAGCCTCCCAAGATGCTTTCAATTGAAAGTATCGATCACGCTGATTCTGTATTCAATTCTACAATTACAGTTCAGTGCCTCGGGGGGTGTAAGACCACTTTTCATCTGATATATTTAATGGACAATTGTGTTGCGCCTGAGAGCTTGCATCCTCAAACCAAACAGCGTATCACTGATGTCTTCAATGGTCCGTTGATGGAGTCCCGCAGTGGCTTTGCCAACGCAAATAAATGCGTGCAACAGTTGTTTTCGGAATCTCAATTCGAAATCCACGAGAACGAGCTTGTGTGTCGCTGGCGCGCTGGCCAAGCCTCACAGTTTTCAGAGGAATGGCTTGTTTCGCATTCCTACTTACCCAAACTGTATTCCGACCACCACTTTTTGCCTAAATGGTCGACCTGGGACTCTGAAAAGTTCAAGCATGTGGTGAATGAGGGCCCTATTTACAACTATCCTCAATTGCCCGCGATCTTGCCTGACCTCATGAAGGATATCTACACTTATGGATTTGGCTTTATCGAAAAGGTCCCTGCAACACTGGAGGCAACCAAAGAGGTATCTGAATTGATCTCTATCGTCAGACCAACCCACTACGACCTAGGGGTTTGGGACTTCACATCAGACCTAGCAAAAAATGACACAGCGTACACTACTCTGGGCATCGATATGCACACAGACGGTAATTATTGGAATGAGCCACCTGGACTTCAGCTCTTTCATCTTCTGGAGCACTCTTCCGGCAGTGGTGGTGAAACTCGGATAGTGGACGTGGCCAAGGTAGTGGAAATTATCTCAGATCTTTCAAACGAGGATGAGTCATGGAAGACAACGCTGCAAGTTCTCACCAAACAACCGATTGCCTTTCACCAAGCTGGAGAGAAAGAGTCATGTTTCACCCAATCCCAGTTCCCCATTCTCACGATGTCGAGATCCGGTCAACTACAGCAGTGTAGATGGAACAATAGCGATCGGTCGCCTCAATTCCCTCAACCACTTTTGTTCTCAGTGGGTGCCATCTATGAAGCTCTATTTCGTTTCAACACACTTATCAACGATCCCACTAACTACGTCCAGTTTCAATTAAGTCCGGGGAAGATCTTGGTGTTCGACAACTGGCGAGTTTTACACGCTAGGAATTCGTTCACGGGATATCGCCGTTTATGTGGCTCGTATCTAACCCGCGATGATTTTTTGGCAAGGTTGAGGGGATTTACAACAGATAGAGAAGTCTTATTAAATGCTCTTTAGCCCTGGTAGCATATATATCGAAGGTCCCAGCCGTAAGCAATTACTATAAAGCATCAAATGCAGTCTACAAATTTAAATTAGCATAGTGATGAGCGTTTGCAGGCGCTGATAGAACAACACCAGTATGCTAAGTCGCTTTGCTCTGACACCTAGATCAAGTATTCGACTGAGTAAAGTAAGCTACTTAGCTAGCTATGCTGGAAGCACTTCAGTTTTTGCGAACCTCGCAGCTGAAAGACCTTACGCAAAGAAAGCGAGCGGCAAAAAGAGGAAGGACGACGCACTGAAGGAGCTCAAATTTGAAATTCCAAATTACACCTCGGTCAATAACCTCTCTAACCTGATCAATGTCAAAATTGGAACTTTAATCCGTGACCTCACTAAAATGGGCTTTTCCAATGTCACCAACAATTATATTCTATCCAGAGAGTATGTGGAACTGATCTTGATGAGCTACAATTACAAGCTTGACAACCAGGGTCCGACTCTGACTCCAGATAATGTTTATGATGAACTGAAGTCTCCCATCAATCCGAAAAATTTGTCTAGAAGGCCACCAATAGTGACTATCATGGGCCATGTCGACCATGGAAAGACCACCATCCTGGATTTTTTACGTAATTCATCGGTTGTTTCTCAAGAACATGGGGGTATTACTCAACATATTGGTGCTTTCCAAGTCGAAGCACCGCTATCGAAAAGAAAAATAACTTTTCTGGATACTCCTGGCCATGCGGCCTTTTTGAAGATGAGAGAAAGGGGCGCCAACGTTACTGATATTGTGGTACTTGTTGTCTCGGTAGAAGATTCCATTATGCCCCAGACACTAGAGGCATTGAAACACGCCAGAAACTCTGGTAATCAAATGATTGTGGCTATTACTAAGATCGATAGGTTTTCGAACCCCAAACAGAGAGCCGATGCGATCGAAAAGGTCAACATGGATCTTATTTCTAATGAAGTACCAACTGAGCGGATAGGAGGCGATGTCCAGGTTGTGCCAATAAGTGCTAGAACTGGTGAGAACATGGATCTCCTCGAAGAGACAATAGTTTTACTCAGCGATATTATGGACCTCAAAGCCGAAAGTGGCAACAAGGCTGTCACCGAGGGATATGTTATTGAGAGCGAAGTCAAAAAATCCATAGGTAATGTTAGCACAATTCTTGTCACAAAAGGCGATTTAGTAAAGGGAAGTGTTTTGATTTGTGGGAACACATATTGTAAGGTTAGAAGCATGTCAGATGAGCAGGGAGTAAATGTTATCAAAGCAGTACCAGGATCTCCAGTAGAGGTAACAGGCTGGAAGGATCTACCCGCTGCCGGAGATGAGGTCGTCCAAGTTAAGAGCGAGGCAATCGCTAAAAAGTTTGTTGCCAAGAAATTGGCTGTCATTCAAGCTGCCAAAGAAGCGGAAAGCGTGGAGAAAATGAACGATGAAAGGCAACGGGAGGTCTATCTGAAGGAGAAAAAAGAGGATGTTGATGATGGGCGGGATGAAATAGAAGCTAATCATGTGCATGCTGGCCCAAAAAAGATAAATTTTATTGTTAAGGCGGATGTATCAGGATCGGTGGAGGCCATTGTCGAGAGTATTTCATCTCTAGGAAATTCGGAGGTGATCTGCAACGTAGTTTCAGCAACAGCTGGAGTTCCAAACGAGAACGACATGAAAATGGCGCGTATAACAGACAGCAAGATACTTTGTTTCAATTTAGGATCACTTCCTAGTGATATAACGAACAATAGAGACAAAATAGCTGTTGAGCAGTTCAATGTCATTTATAAACTGATAGAATACGTCACTGAGACTCTCACCAACAATTTGACCCCCATATTTGAAACTAAGCAAGTCGCTCAAATTGACATCAGAGATATTTTTAATTTTACCGCTAAGAAGAAGATTATAAAGATCGCGGGATGCAGAGTAACAAATGGTCAGGTAGCTAGAAATTCCATGGTTAAGATTATAAGAGGGCCAAACGAGGATATCATATTTGATGGCCATATCGCTACCTTGAAACAAGGCAAGGAGGACGCACCTTTAGTCAAAAAGAATAGTGAATGCGGAATTACTTTCGAAAATGGTTTCGAGGGATATGAGCCGGGTGATAGAGTTGTGGTCTATGAAAGGATACAAGTGCCCAGGTATTTATAAATGGAGCTCAGTTAAATTATTCTCTGTATATAGTCACCACCGTCGTGGATAGGTTTATTATAAATGTTTTTAGCATTCTGGTTCCCATTGAACTCTGACACATTCCGAAACGTACCCCACCCCGCGCTCATCAAAGTTTGGGGTATAGTTTTCAATGTCAGTAAACACCATTATTGTTCCCCACTCCATACCCCCTTTCTCCACCACAGTATCCTCCAAATCTAATATCATCTTAGGCATCAACTGCAATTCAAAAACTCTTTTAGAAGAAGGATTGAATCCCGGAGCTGGAACTATTTTTTCGAGGTCCACTTTAGTATCAGCGTAGTATAGAGGCTTGCCACCAAAGTCATATCGCAGAACTTGTGACGGGTTATATCCGGCAACTTCTTGAAACTTTTGAAATACGTCATCGTCCAAAAACTTTGAGAGCTTTTCAGTTCTAGGATCCAGGGTAATCTTCGAGGAGCTCAAAGAATCGTCCTCTTCGGGGTTCACATCCAGAACAGTATTGTCTATCTTCAAGTTTTTGGGAAGTTTGAGGTGATCGGGGATCTTATTTTTGAACGATTCTTCATCCACATATAGAAAATAACCAGGATAACCTTTTTCGAACTTCCTATTAGGAAGTGCGTCATGTTCCTTTCTTGCCACCTTCATACTCACTGCGGTTGAACCGTCGGCTTGGCTATTTTGAGAGTTGTTAACTTTCTTCTCGAAGGGGTTCTCTGCCGATTTTGTGAAAGGATTGGTAGTTTCTGATCCGCCAACTGGACCAGCGAATGGATTTGCCGAGCTTTGGTTGAGGTCAAAAGGGTTGATGCTGAAGTCCTTTTCTTTAATTTGTGATTCCATCTTAGTGTTCAGATCCACTGATCTATTAGCTTTCTTTACGCCACGAACACAGCAAACAGAGCCTGCCTTCCTTGCGCACTTGGAGCACATAAAAACATACAAAACTCTTTCTCCATCTATATCGTAATTTGTGGAGCTCGCCTTGAGTTTTCCTGCAACTTCATCGACTTGATCAGGATCCAATGGAGCAAAAGCTTGAAGCAAGAGCTTCATATGGGTAGGAGTGTGACAGGAACCACACTCAAGAAGGCTGTCCTTGGGCTTGGATTCGGGGTGCAGCCAAACTGGCTCTCCCCCAATAAAGGTGTCTTCGGTTGAAAGTGGATCAGACTGTTTGATAGCAGCATCCACAAACCCTAGGTAAACTTGGCTAGTTTTGTGCACAAAGCTTTCCTCTGAATCAGAGAAAGCAACGTCCTCGCCTGTAGACATCTGAACGTACGAATAATGTTGATTCTCTGAGACTTTTTGTTCTCATTGGAAGGCGATGAGCTTACAATAGTGTAAATTTTTTGCGAGAAAGAAGAGGAAGTTTACTAAAACTCAAAAAGGCAGAAAACTACAAGTCAGGAACATACGAAAGACCCGTTAAGCGACTGGTAAAAGCCACTATGTGCACACAAGCCGCGAACGGTAAGGCTTCTTACTGATTCCCAAATAAGTTCAGGTATATAAGATCACGTGGCTCGGACTGCACGATATAGGTTTACAGTTTTGTCCGGTATCTAACAGTTGAGCGCAAGTGGTTTAGTGGTAAAATCCAACGTTGCCATCGTTGGGCCCCCGGTTCGATTCCGGGCTTGCGCATTTTATTTTTTCTAAAACTTTAATTACTAAAAGAAGGCTGTTGATAGACTCTCGTTGCTGGATATTCTAAACGCATATTGAAGGGCTCAATTTCACAGAGTTGATATCGATCCGGGCGGGTTCGAGCGGTAGTGTTTGTTGCACGGCCATGATGATCAATTCCTAGTTCTCCGGCTCGTAATAAATGCTTTAGTTTTAATGTGAAAAAGATGTGATGATGGGACATTGTCGATGGACAAGGTTGAATTGGGCACAATCCTAAAGCTACATTAAACTGCTCCACGCTCACAAATGTCTAATATAGCTTTCAAGATCCGCCAAGCTGCCTCCGGGGTTGATCAGGTAGTTTCTGATTATGCCAGTGGCTACTACAATCATCTGTTGAATGCAACTTATGACGCAGTTCAAAGTAAGCAGTTAGAACTACCAGAAGAAGTTTCTTTTGTCCAAAATGTATTGATTAATGCGGGTGGAAATGAAGATAAAGTCAATGAGCTTTGTAAGGAGATGCTTGAAAGGTTGACTCTCCAATACCAAGAAAACCAGGCCAAATTAGAGGTCACCGGTGACACTAGTAAGAGATTATTGGATGTGAACGTTCTGCAGCATCACAACAGCAAGGCGAACATCAATACTTCGCTTTCAATGCTAGGTGTGAATAATGATATTGAGCATACAGGGCGGAAAATGGACACCCGCGTTGATATAAAGAAACTAGAAAAAGCAGAGAAGAAGATTGCCAAAAAAGTGGCCAAAAGAAACAACAAGTTTGTGAAGTACGAAGCGTCCCGACTCATTAACCAATCTAAGGACGACGACTACGATTCATTCTTTTTGAAGATAAATCCTTTGGAGTTCGGGTCCGGAGCTGGTAAATCCAAGGACATTAAAGTCGATACATTCGACTTGTACGTTGGTGACGGTCAAAGAATTCTTTCGGACGCTCAATTAACTTTGAGCTTTGGCCACAGGTATGGGTTGGTGGGTCAGAATGGTATCGGTAAGTCGACTCTACTCAGGGCCCTGTCACGCAGAGAATTGAATGTACCTAAGCACATTTCCATTTTGCACGTTGAGCAGGAACTTAGAGGAGATGAAACCAAAGCTTTACAAAGTGTTCTTGATGCAGATGTGTGGAGAAAGCAACTGTTGACCGAAGAACAAAAAATCAATGAGAGGCTTCAAGAAATAGAGAAACTGCGTCCGGAGTTTGAAGAAGAAAGCTTGGAGGTGAGGAAACTCGACAATGAACGTGAGGATCTTGAAAACCACTTAGAGCAGATTGGTTCGAAATTAGTAGATATGGAGTCGGATAAAGCTGAAGCTAAGGCTGCCTCAATTCTGTACGGCCTGGGTTTTAGCACGGAAGCCCAACAGCAGCCCACAAACTCATTTTCTGGTGGTTGGAGAATGAGACTTTCTTTAGCAAGGGCTCTTTTCTGTCAGCCAGATTTACTACTGTTGGACGAACCGTCTAATATGTTGGATGTCCCATCGATCGCCTATTTGTCAGAATACCTAAAATCATATCCCTCTACACTCTTAGTGGTTTCACACGACCGCTCATTCTTAAATGAAGTTGCAACAGATATTATCTATCAGCACAATGAGCGCTTAGATTATTACAGAGGCCAAGATTTCGATACTTTTTATGCCACAAAAGAGGAACGTCGTAAAAACGCCCAACGAGAATACGAAAACCAGCTTGCTTATAGAAAACATCTCCAGGAGTTCATTGACAAGTATAGGTATAATGCTGCTAAATCTCAAGAGGCTCAATCGAGAATTAAAAAACTTGAAAAATTGCCCGTTTTGGAGCCTCCGGAAGAAGAGAAAACTATCAACTTCCACTTTCCTGATTGTGAAAAGCTCTCTCCTCCTATCATTCAACTACAGGAAGTATCTTTTGGCTTCAACCCTGACCAATTATTGCTAAAGGACGTAAATTTAGATGTCCAAATGGACTCCAGGGTTGCTTTGGTTGGAGCAAACGGGTGTGGTAAAACCACATTGCTTAAAATTCTTATGGAACAGCTAAGCCCTCTCCATGGCTATGTATCCCGGAACCCAAGGTTGCGCGTGGCTTACTTTACTCAACATCACGTCGACTCAATGGACTTGAACTCCTCTGCTGTAGATTGGATGTCCGTTACCTTCCCTGGAAAGACAGATGAAGAGTATAGACGGCACCTGGGTGCATTCGGTATTACGGGCTCTTTAGGCCTGCAAAAAATGCTCTTATTATCAGGAGGGCAAAAATCTAGGGTGGCCTTTGCCGCTTTGTGTCTGAACAACCCCCACATTTTAGTTCTCGATGAACCTTCTAACCACTTGGACACGGCAGGTTTGGATGCGTTAATGGATGCTCTGAAGAAATTTACTGGTGGAGTTTTGATGGTTTCTCACGACATTTCTGTTATTGATGGTGTTTGTAACGAAATTTGGGTATCGGAAAGCGGAACTGTGAAGCGATTTGATGGTACCATCCACGATTACAAGAAATATATCATAGCATCGGCTGGAAAAGCCGGGGTGGTAAAGAGACACTGACCGACACTTAGCACATCAAGAGATCGTAGAAGCTCAAATTATATATCCTGGCTATATACGTTGTTGAGCGAATTTCTTTCATCGCGTATTGCACCATTTATCTCATTAGTTTCATACTAAGATAAGCTGCGCCTTGCGCTTACTTGTGACGGGGTCGAGAACTGACCTGACCTGAACGCTAACCTTCTCAAAAACGTGGATGTCTCTCTTCTTTTCCATTCCTTTTACTTTAAAGCTCAATTTGAACTCTTCGGCCTTGAATTCCGCAGACTGCTCGTCATCGGTTAAATTTTCAAGCCTTATCAGACCTTCTACCCCAAACTTAGGAACTAACACAACAACACCATTATGAAAAACGCGAATAACATAGCCAGTCTCCTCTGATTCGTTGTTTCTCATCACTTGGCCGACGTAATACTCAATACTTGCCCGGCCAGCAAATTGTGCATTGCGGTGTCTTTTGTTCATATTTCTGCATAGCTGCTCCATTTTATTTTTGTCTCTATGGTTCAAATCAAGAGGTTCGTAGCCAATAGCAGCGGCCAGTTGTCTGTGAGCAATAACGTCACAGAAACGTCTAATTGGAGAGGTGAAATGTGTATATATGCCCACGGCTAACCCATAATGGCGATAGTCAGCATATGAATACGCGCCAGAATAAAAGTACTGCGCAGCCATCATACAGCGAGTGGAAGCAATTCGCACTAGGGTGTTGAAATAAGGATCTGCTGGATCAATGCATCTATCCAGAGAGGCTGCAAGAGCCTTTGAAGATTCTAAAGAGATTGACATCCCCTTTCTGAGTTGTAGCATTTCATTCAGACTTTCAAAGTTCGTAGCAGGTGGAGCAGCATGTCTTCTGAGCATTGCAGTTTGGGGGAAAGCTTCATAGATCTTGCGAGCGACCGATTGATTTGCGAGTAACATGAATTCTTCGACCAAGGAGTTCGTAGCGACAAGCTTCTTAACTTCAACCTCGCTGGGGTCCGAAGTCTCGCTGTCCATATGTACCTTAACTTCTGGAGAAGCTAAGTTAAGGGCACCGGCATCGAGACGCTGTTGCTTGAGCTTGATGGATAATTTGAGCAGTGCCCTCATGCCTTGGGTCAATTCATCCGTCTTGTTGACGTCATCTATTCTAAGTTGTGCCTGTTCGTAAGAAAATGCTTCTCTTGATTTAATAACGGATTTAGTAAAGTCAACATTAACAATATTGGCGTCCTCATCCAGTTCCCATAAAACAGAAAACGCGAACCGATCAACATAAGGCTTTAGCGAACACAAATTGGTACCTAACAACATTGGAAGCATATCGATACGCTTGTCGACTAAGTATACCGAGGTACTTCTAGCGGCTCCCTCGTCGTCCAATGGAGTATTCGGCTTCACAAAATGTGTAACGTCAGCGATATGAACGCCTACTTCCCAGTGCCCATTAGGAAGTAGTTTGGCATGCAGGGCATCATCGATATCAACACACCCAGGAGGATCGATACTGCAGATAAGCTTATCCCTTAAGTCACGCCTTTTAGTCAGCAGTGGATCTTTAGCGATGGCCTCAGCATCTGACAAGCTTTCAGGAGCGGTCCAATTATCACCTTCAGCCGGCAAACATTCAAGTACCTTCTTTGAAAACGGCCTATACTCAACGTCATGTTCAAGCAAGAGAGCTTCTGTCTCTGCCTCGACCGATTCCACCTCTCCTAGTTCCCTAACAAAATGCCCTAGCGGATATTTATAAGTGTCGGGCCATGAATCAACGACGACTACAATACGCTTATTCAAAAGTTCTTTAGCGCGACGCGTACGGATTCTTATTTTTGGGAGACATTTGTCCATAAGAATGACGAAAGCATTCTGTGTTCCGCCACTTTGCATATCGATCGAATTTGGTGCAATTTGACCGACATATTGCCGCCATGAGCGTCTTGCAATTGATACGACTCGAGCAGTAGGTTGAGTTCTCCCAGACTTCTGAGTTCGAATAGCATCCTGGACAAGCAGACGACGCTGTTTGTCAGAGATCGCATCGGATTCCTTAGGTTGGTCTTCATCACCCTCTGGGTTATCATTTACATCGAAATGTTCCGAATCCAGAGCAACGGTAGAGGGAGCTTTCCATTCTGATTGTGGTAGTAACTCCACGACTACTTGATCCGCGTTAAATGCCCTGTTTAGGTTTTTTTGGCCTAGTATCAGAACAGGCTTCGAAAAATTTGGCAATGACACAGAACCTTCCAGAAAATTGTATTCGGAAATTTGAACAGTCCCTTGGTAAAGAACGCCACTTTTTATACCACCCATAACTCTCGCTGTCGAATAGTAATCTGGAAACTTGAATTCCGATCTCGCATCAAGGTCTTGGTCCCTCGACTTGTAAGTCTCCAAGTTCGGAAGAGCATCTTTGACGTCCTCCGAGTTTGGAAGAAGGTTCACATAGTCCGCCAAGCTCTTGGCCAAAAGTCCTTCCTCAACAGCTAGTTCTAAATTACGACGGTCGTTTGTCACCAACACAGCTTCAACTCCGTACGGTTTCAGGTGCTGAGCATACCAAGAGCATGTTTTCCTTATAGCACGGTCATTTCGATCGTTAATTGACTCCCCCTGCTCTCGTTCCACGAATGTTTCTTCACTAAATTCGTTGTGGAAAACTATGAAGCGTTTTGTGTCTCCACTATCACGGCAAAGCGTTCTAAGTCTTGTGTAAATTGGGTATGACTTGTTGCGAATCTCATCCAATGCAATCTGAGGGATTATGACATCCCCAAAGCATGCTGGGTTTTCGAGAAGATCAATAGCTTGGAGCACGATGTTAGCGTCAAGCACAACGTAGTGCCTTTTACCATCGATTAGTTTATTCGGTTGCTCGGAGAGAACAAATGTAGGAAGTTCATTTTTGGCATTAGGTACCACAATATTTACACACTGTTTGCATGCCCTTGAGAGACATGGGATATCGGCCCTCAGGTAATGCTCTCGTACAATTTTAGTAGCTCCACCATTGCGTGAACGAACAAATACTTTTTGAGTAACAGTTAGCCCGTCTGACAATCTCTTTCTTTGTAGTACCATGATGTGGTACAGTATATATTCGATGGTCAGCTCAAGCCTTATGATGCTGTTATGTATGCGATGAGCAAGTGAATATCGAGCAGCATATAAATTTTTACAATTTGTTTCCCCTCATAACCAACGAATAATTAAAAGCGTTCCAACCAAAGAAGCCTACACGCTTAAACATCTAAGATTTTCCAGCTCCTTGCGTGTTTCGATCAAGTGGGGGGATGCCTCCTTTCACTGAAACCAGCATGTAAGTGTCTTTGTGTGTATAATTTGTTGGAAGCAGGTCGTAAGGTTTGAGAGCGGGGAATTTCGATTTCACGGTTGCAATAGCATGGTCGACGCAGGCACGGGTGAATTTACCCAGGTACAAAATTGGCTCGGGTTCGCTTGATGACCCAAATATATCAGTTTCGAAATCTGGAGAGCCTAGCGTATTAACAGTATTTATTGAGAACTTTTCACGAAGAGACTGAATGTAGACATCTTCTCGGAAAGCGGTAGCAGCAAGAACAGTGGTAGCCAATGGCAGTAGAGGTATGAGGAGGCTTGTTTTCATGGTTGGAAATTTTCGGGCAATTCGGCTGATAATCAATTAGATATTTGAAAGTGACTAGCGCGGGCGAATATTAAATGTCGCCAATCTCGTTGATACTTCCTTTAATGTTGAATAGGCTTGTGAAATGTAGGAGCTTCATCCTGCAGTTGTCCATAAAGACGATTCTTATATATAGCTTGAAAAACCTGCGTGAAATCAAGTTGAAACTATTGATGAGCGAAACTTTCTTCAAATTTCTAGGCTTTTCCACCATGCAACAATGGCATAAGCCGCCCTCCATTTGCTTACTTGGGGAGATATATACGCTTCCCAAGTTAGTATATCGCTACTAGCAGCGCTCCAATTTTAGGAGCATGTTCTATTGCTTCTGTGCGCACAGTATCAGAGCCGAGACCTTTTCGCCCGGTATTTAAGTAAAGGTCTACTTAAAAGAAGCCCACCCGCACATATTCTAAAAGCTGTTTACAGATCACCTTATCTCCATCTGTAAGCTTGTGCACTTGTTGTCAGTCATCCCTGTAACAGCCAAGATGACAACACCTAGTAGGCAAATTTACCCATTGAGACCCTCGACAGTTATGTCTATTTAGCCAAAATACTTATGTTCAAGTGAGCATTTCATTCCCAGCATTTCCCCGATGCTCCTCAGCTCAAGCGACTGTTGCTGACAACTCATGTTTATAAACTCCGGTGGTTAATAATTTCATTTTTTGCCTGTCGTCCGAAAAAGGAGGCAAGAGGCATCGCATGGGCCCTGTTCATATGATGAATGCCATATATAATTTAGTTGTCCTTCAAATCTGAGATATGTAAAATGGAAGCAATACACACAGTCTAAGGATCCGCGGCCTTGCAAAGTGATTCTTCCATTTTTTTCTTACAGAACAGATCGCCGGCAAACGAGCTCATTGCGAGATGGGTAACGACTTACAGGAAAACGAAAATACGTATGAGATCAAGCACATTCATAGCTCAGGTGTCAGAAGAGGCTCTCAGGATGAGGCTCGTGACGCAGCTCATCTCGAGCTGGACAAGGAATTCACCAGGCAAAAGACTAGCTTAAGAAACCAAAATTGGGATGTAATCATCTCTTGCTTTGGGGTTTCCTTCACAGGCTTCTTTTTCGGTTACGATACTGGAACTGTCGGGGGTATAACCAATATGTCTGCATGGCTAGAACGATTTGGTCACTATAATTCGACCCTGGGAGAATACGAGATGGCTACTCCGTTGGTAGGGATCATAGTGTCCGCCTTTCACATTGGATGTATTGTGGGAGGATTCACGATTGCTAGGCTTGCAGATAGTCTCGGTCGCCGTATCCCTATTGGGATTGCCTGTTTTGCATACATGGTGGGGCTTTCTGTGCAATTGAGTGCGGGCCATGGAAAATGGTACCAATACTTGATTGGCCGGATGATAACAGGGTTGACAGTCGGAGCCAATGCTGTTCTGAGCCCTATGTTACTGTCGGAAATTGCCCCACCACGCATTCGAGGTGTTATTGTGAATTTTTACCAAATCAATACCACGCATGGTATTCTCGTCGGGTACATAGTGGACTACGCTACAAAGAATAAGTACTCAGATGACAGAATGTGGAGACTTCCGCTTATTGGTGGGTTTATCTTCTCGGTTGTCATACTACCTTTCCTGATAAATGCACCTGAGTCTCCCCGTTATTTGATAAAGCAGGGTCGATATGATGCCGCCAAGAAGTGCCTTGCAAGACTGAGAGGCTTAAATTTGGACAAATTGGCAAAGCCACAGCCCTCGCCCGATCAACTTTCTACTCTGGATTCCGTCGATGCCGAGTTGCGCTTTTTGAAGGAAAACATACACTATCAAGAGCAGAGGCAAAGGAACGTCCATTTCGGCCAGCTGTTTTCAAAGCGGTTTTTGAAGCGAACTATATCGGGAATGTGCATAATGGGATTCCAACAAATGTCGGGCATAGACTATTTCTTATACTATGGAACAAAACTTTTCAAATCTGTTGGTATTGAAGATTCTTATAAGACTTCCATCATATTGGGTGCAATCAATGCTGCCATGACCTACGTGTCCATTTTTGTGGCAGATCATCTGGGGCGTAAGAAAGGACTGTTGTTGGGCTCGGTAGGATGCTTTCTATGTCTCTTTATATTCTCCACCGTGGGTGTTGTTATGATCGACAAGGCAGACGCACCGAATTATCAGCTTTCAGGAGCGATTATGATTGTCTTCACTTGTCTTTTTATCGTTGTTTTCTGCTGTTCGTGGTCAGCAATTGCCTCTGTTCTCGTCAGTGAAATTTTCACCTTGGAAATTAAGTCCCAGGCCATGGCATTTTCACAGGCGTTCAACTGGGGTTCAAATTTCTTCATTGCCTTATGCACTCCAATAATAACAGCTAGAATCGGCTATGCTTTCGGCTATGTTTTCTCCGGTTGCATGTTTGTCGCCATTATATTCGTTTATTTCCTGATACCGGAGACCAAAGGACTAACACTAGAGGAAATCGATGATATCTATGACAAGGAGAATTGAGGTACCATGGGTAGATAAATCCTACGCCAGTGTGACCGATCTTTTATCAAGGCAACCAGGTAATGGGTAATGTTGGAGTCACGTGTCAGATATTTCTATAATAAAAACACTTCCCTAATATACAGATGATCGCTTTGCCACTGTCCACCGGCAATTAAAACAGAAGCTTACCGGACATCCTAATTGAAAGATGGGACTGGATTGTATGTCACCTTTCGGAAAGATTCCCACTCAATATATCTTTGTACTAACTTTTAAAATGCGATAGTCAGCGTTAAACATGCAGGAAAAGTCTACCCTCTATCGTTACATGAAGATGCCAAAGGGTCTGACTTGCAACTGAAGGTTGAGGAGTTGACACAAGTACCTCAACTGCGCCAAAAATACATGATCAAGGGCGGGCTAAATGAAGGAACCAGTTTGAAAGCTTTGATCAAAAATGGACAAATTATCATGGTTCTCGGGACCCCTGATGCTAACTTGGTAAATAAACCGCAAAAGGAAAGCCAATTCATTGAGGACCTGGACGCAAGCGCGCAAATTCAACATCTCTCTCAAATGCCCTCAGGATTGAAAAATTTGGGCAATACGTGTTACATGAATTCAACTATACAAGCACTTTATCAAATCACACCATTGCGTGATGAAGTTCTAGCATTTCAAGTACCCACGCCAAACCCTTCTGTGGAAGGGCCACACTTTCAACTAGTGTCGGAACTCAAGCGCTGTTTCCAGTCATTAAAGTCGAAGAGGGAAGAGTCTGTCACACCTATGCTATTGTTGGCCATGCTGAGGAAATGCTACCCTCAGTTTGCTGAACGCGATGAGCAGTCAGGATTTTTCAAACAGCAAGATGCTGAAGAGTTATTCACTCAGCTCTTTCATTCTCTGCAAGTAGTGTTTGGAGAAAAGCTTGTAGAAAAGTTCAGATTAAACTTTCAAACCACAATTAAGGATACTGCAAACGAACAAGATGTGACTGTGAAAACTGATGATCACGATGTCAAGTTGCAATGCCATATTTCGGGGACGACGAATTTCATGAAAAATGGCCTAGCGGAATCTTTGAGTGAGAAAATTGAAAAACGATCTTCTATCACTGACGTTAATTCGTTGTTTAGTGTTGAAAAGAAAATTACGAAATTACCTGAATATCTAACGGTACAGTACGTGAGGTTTTTTTGGAAGAAATCGACGAACAAGAAATCAAAAATATTGCGTAAAGTTATTTTCCCATTTCAGCTCGATGTCAGCGACCTGTTGGAGAACGGCTATGCTCAAGAAAAGATCAAGGTCAGAGAGGCACTGAGAGAAGTTGAGAAGGATAAACTTGAGGATGAACGTGAGAGTAAGAGAAGAAAGATTAATGGTGATCAACCTAAGGATGACTCGGCCGGTGTCATGACCCCTAAAGAATTGGCAGAAACCCAAGAAGCACTCGAGGAAAGCAAGAGAGAGAAATGGAATCAGGAGTTCAAAAAAAGATTTCCAGCCGATCTTGCATCAGGGGAAAACCCGTCCTGTGTTTACAATTTGATTGGCGTCATCACCCATCAGGGCGCAAACTCGGAAAGTGGCCACTATCAATCGTTTATTCGCGATGAAGCAGACGAGAATAAGTGGTACAGATTCAATGACGACAAAGTATCCATCATCCCCAAAGAGAAGATCGAGTCTCTGGCAGGTGGTGGAGAGAGTGATAGCGCTTTAATACTCATTTACAAGGGCTTAGGATTGTGATCGTAGGGCCACGTTCAGTCCACACCCGTACTAAAAAGGCGTGAAAGCCGATATTGCGCTAGGTCCGTTAAATTTTGTTTTGCTTTATAGATGTAGTTTGATTGTACATATGAGTGTCCAATTTCTCATCGAAATGCACATCACCTTCACTGCTGAAGGGCCAATTTTTTGAAATTTTGTACTTCTTCAAAACAGTTCAAGGGCTTGCCTTCGTTATCCCGCAGACATTTGATGAGCACTTCTTTGCATTCCTTCAGATTTTCGTTCGACAGTTTACCCGCTTTTGATTCTCTCAACTTTGCCAGCCGCTCGTTCAGGTGCGAAACTTTCTCGCTCAACGCTTTAGACGACAGCTCTTTGTCGGAAGCCCCATTTTCTGAAAGCAAGGAGGTATTTAATTTATCTTCGAATTTTTTCAGCGTCTCCTCTTCCAACTGGGTAAGTTTCTCAGAGACCCTTTGCTCTAGATATTTCTCTGCCAGTTGTTGTCTAGTGTAATCACCTTCTGTAGATTGTTCCAATTGCGCAAGCAACGTACTTGTAAAGTCAACCTGGGTTTTTGGGCTAAACACTTTCGTCTCCGCAGGCTTGGAAGGTTGAGAACCCATCGTTCGAATGCCCTTTTTGATGTACTTGAATCTTTTAACCGATATTATATAGCCTAGCAGTGGTGTCAATTAGCATTTTTTTATCCAATCGCATTGGTTCACATTGTGTACGAGCAGATCACAAGCTTGGCTTCCGAACAGCGGCAATTTAGATATTCAACGGGTGACGCGAACTTGCAAGGCCCTTCCTAACACAAGTTCTGACCAGTAAACTCGAAACAGTGTAGAGGGATCCATTTGGAGTTATACCAGTAGCTGGAGCCTTAATCAAGTGGGCTTCAGATCTGTTATTGCGAAATTCGAAGTTTATGTAAAATATGCTTGGGAAACAATCACTACTTAAAAGCCTTTCCTGAAGACGCGTTTCTTCCCTGACGCCGCCTTCTATGACCTTAGCTTCACGCCAGGTGGATGACCGCCTATATTTGACATCAACTGCAGGGCCTATATGGCCAGTAGCGAATACAGCTCCGGAGTGGGTCATCTAGAGACCGCGCTTGTACGATGGGCTTCCGATAAGCGAGGAAGCAGCAGATCCAGTTGGTCGCCCAAGCGTCATTCGACCAAAATGAACTCTTTCTGAAAGTTCCTTAACGTCCTACGCGTCGGCTGGCGAATGTGGCCAGAGAATGCAATCTAAGGATTTAGCGTGAACGAGTCCCGGACGTTCAAGACCCCACCACCTAACTTTGTCACAATATTTCCATGTTTTGTTTTCCCACCTAGTGCAGCGTTCCAGCGACCGGACTTTCGAGGATTTGGCACTGCGTAACGTCCTCCGGAAAAATACACAATTCCAGTCAGAGTGACTAGCCACAATTCCCACCGAGCAGTTCCACGGACTCATGAATATCATGGAAGCCGTTCCAGTAGCTGGCCCTTCGTTTTATTCGGCCTACTCGTTTGCAGTGATGTCAACGTGGCTCATTGGCGAGGTCCCTCAAAATAGCTCGAAGCCAGATACGAAATGGTCCTTCTAAAGATAAATCAAAGCACGATAAAGGTCGTGAAAAAGAAGAGAATAAACAAGCGGCTTCTCAACAACAAATATTGAATTTTGGACCTCACCAAGAGCATTGTCTGGCATAGGGAAGGACAAGGAGCAGACTGAGCTCGGTTTTGCAATAAGTTTTGAAGCCTGAATTAAGCGGGACATTTTGATTTGACTTTCAGGAGCACGTTGGAGACATATAAGCGAATACTTTCAATATGGCTACAAGGTCAAAGGTAGGTGTTTCCAGCATCATTTTTGTGGCACAATTCACGTCAATGGCGTTCCTCATCATCTGCTGTGTGACAGCGCCCGTTTTCAAGCAGATAGGGCTCGCCAAGTCTGGTGACATTGTGTTTGGGACTTTTGGATACTGTGACGAGGGGCATTGCTCGTCTGCATCTGCTAACTACCATCCAGATGGACTAGCCACGGCGGAAAATTGGAAGATGGGCTCGTCAGCTCGTGAGAAATTGGGCAGCATCCTCATCGTCATGCCTGTCGCGGCGGGTTTATCGTTTTTGGCGATGATGATGAATTTTGTGCAACACTTTGGTCGTATTAGCTTTTCTGGCGCGGCCTTTGTCATAAACCTTCTGCTCACACTTGCGGCATTTGCCTCGTCTGCTTTAATGTGTGTTGTAACTTTTTTGTTGTTTTACCCCAAAGTTACATGGTGTTCCTGGCTCCTGGTTCCAGCGGCTGCTCTGAATGTTATCTGCGTACCTCTAACCTACGTCGTCCACTCATTGTCCCCATCATCTGAAGAGGATGACTTTGACTCAAAAGAAAACTCCCTTTTCGGGACGAATGTTACACGGTTGGATCACGATGCTATGGATGATCGGTACAGTATGGATGAATACAACGAAAGTTATAAAAACGGAAATTCTGACAAGGCGGTTTATCCTGAACTGTACAAGGGACCACAAATTGCCACCTCCACCACCTTAAATTCCGGTACAACAGGCTCGCGCTCTGATAGGGATGCATTTGTTCGTGAAAACCAGAATGTCAACGAGGAAAAGCGAGCATTGAAAACCACAATCGGACGTCCAACCAATGCAGAGTCTCCTGGAGATTTTCCGTTCGAAAATAACTCGAAAGAAATGCGACCTTATTCTGCAATTACGGACTCCCCATTAGACCAAAGGACTAATAGAGAGGATAGTGTGCGTGACGCAATGGGCGCACCACCTCTTGCGTACCGGGGTCCTTCAGCCACATCCTCTTTCTATTCGCAACCTGGTGTGTCACGTCAGGGAACTTTAACAACCACAGATTTAAGACCAACGTCCGCACTTGAAGTTCATGAGGAAATTCAAAAGAGACCGGGACCTGACGAGTTACAGAACATAATCAGTGGGGCTATACGGGAAGAAGATGATGAGGAGTTCATCAAACAACAAACTATTGACCCAAGTGAACGGCCAACGTTAGACGAGGATGACGGTATCAAAGACGACGACTCTGATTTCACGTCAGTTTCGCAGCGTGGTATTAATCCAAACTATATGCACTACATGCCAGGACTGAGACCTGCTTACCAGCCTTCTCAAATGGGTGGAAGACCAGTATTGAGAAACCCTGCTGCTCAGCCGACCGTTTCTCGTGGTGACCCATCGGAACATCCCCATCATGGCGTTCCTATGCAGGTCCAGAAACAATATGGCGCTCACCCCAATGGAATAGGCTCGCACACAATGTACCCGCCGTATCCCTTGCAGCCCAGTGGACAAGGGATAAATGGTCCTCAATCAAATAGATCCTATCGTCCCACACAAAATATGAGACGTACTTCAGACACTATATTGAATGCAAGCCCGGAGTTCATGATGTCAAGCGCTCCTCCGTCGAGAGCAATGGGGGCAAGAAATCACCAACAAGGTGCGTTAATTCCTCCCCCACAGACGGCGTCTACCCCAATTTACAGACCTGCTTACAAAAAGCGTCTTCCGAAACAAAATATACCTGCCGCCTCAATGGCAAAAGACAGTCCGTATGGAGGGCTGTAGAGAATCAGTATGGAATAGACTAGCCGGTTTAGTTTTAGTTGTATAATAAGGATGTTCATCATATTAAGTAAATATAAGACTTGGAACAACGCTTCAAAAATCGCTAGGCTCAATGCCTATCTCCTTTTCTGAATCATTTGATTGTGGCCCTTGCGATTCAATGATATTATTACTTGTCCCTCCGTGATGATGTGGCTTTAACATTACAAAAAAGAACAATGCTACCACTATCAAGCTGAGCAGTAGAATGACTTTACACTTTTGAGTTCTCTTCTGATATACAGTTGCACGTTCTAGCTCTCGGTGTGCTCCTTTCAGCTCGGTTACAGTATTTGTCAGATTATAATCAATGCGATCAACGATGGTTCCTTGATCTATTACGAGACTCTGCATTTCTCGAAATATAGTACTTACCTCAAGAACACTTCTGGCAAGCTGGGTGATCTCCTCTTCTCGTTGTTGTAAAAATCGTGTTTCTTCTCCTCTAGTCTGCCTTTCTGTTTGCCGTAGCAGAGTTTGTCTTGAGTATGTATCGATTTCCTGCTGAGTAGAAGCATTTGCTTCCTCCTCCTCAAGGACAAGCAAGGCATCGGCATCTGTTGAAGATCGCGGCAATGGTTTGAAGTCGTCCTCATTCAAAAATTTCAAATAATTGTTTTGTAGCATCCTAAATTTGTTTGAACTGACCTGTATCTTGTTAGCATAATTCTTTGCCAAATTATCGATTACTACCATGTCTCCACGATGAACTCTTTGACCGGTACTATGACGTTGAGAGCCTTCCTGTTTTAGTGACTTAACAGCAGCGTGGCAACGTTGATAAAGTTGGATAATGCTGTAACTTAGTTCCTCTATTTCCTGCTCATCAGCCGCTTTATCTTCGAAGCCCGGAAGGGAATTTTTGCGGTATAGTTTGGTCAATTGCAACATTTTTGATTCCGCTTGTTTGAGATTATCGTCAATCACCCCTGTTAGGCCCAAAAACTGAGTAGGCGGACTTTCAGATGTCGTTCCCATGTTAATCATAGGATGAGATTCCTCGGCCGCGCCGTCCTCCAAATCAGAAAAGGCGTTGCGTTCATGATTTGAATTATAGCGTGATGGATGTGGAAATGTCCTTCGATAAGATAGAAACAGATTGGTCCTATCTCTAAGCATTACTTTTCCGGCGTTAGTGTTCACTTAAGGGTAGTCTAATTTTGCTTTTCCGGCCTATCAATCCAATATATCTTCGAAAATGTAGGGCCAAATAAAGCACAACTAAGAAACTATCCCAGCGAGACTAGTGTACGGGAAAGAGCGGTATAGGGAGAACATTGGTTAGTTCATATCTCTTAGAGCGTATTGATTAATATTCCTAGCTGTAAACCAATTTACCGGCCGTTTGGGGGTGCTTTTATGTCTTCGACATCTCACGAAACACACAATTCTCATCAGGCATCGCGTCAGCCTCTATTGTCAAGACGTTCTAAAACTTTTGTTCAATACATCATTAGTATACATCACTACATTAACTCTATCGGTATTTCAAAATATAAAAAACCACTGCGTTGAGCACCAAATTTTATAGCTTCTTGCATCTAATATTCGTAGGCCTGTCTGATGATCGAGATAACTTCCTCCTTTCCGAATTGAATTGGATTTGTTAGGCCGCAGGCGTCTTGCATAGCATTTTGGGCAAGAATATCAAAGTCTTCTTCCTTGACGCCTAAAACTTTCAAATTTCTTGGCATGTTTAAGTCTCTATTGAACTGATGTAAGCGATCAATCAGAGCTTCAGCAGTAGCAGTGCCCTCGCCTAAGTGAGTCGCAATTTCCCCAAGTCTCTTGTTGGCCTTCTTACATTTCATGTTGAAAGATTGAACATGGGGTAAAAGAACAGCATTACAAACCCCGTGCGGCAAATGGTAAAAGCCTCCAAGTTGGTGAGCAATTGCGTGAACATAACCTAATGATGCATTATTAAAGGCCATGCCAGCAAGATATTCGGCGTAACACATATCGGTTCTGGCTTTGGTATCGTTACCATTCTTGTAAGCTTCTGCCAGACTCTCTTCGATCAGGTCAACACCCTTCAGCGCGCAACAGTCGGTAATTGGGCTGGCGGCTGTGGAGACATAAGCCTCAATACAGTGGGTCAAAGCATCTAACCCAGTGGCGGCGGTTAATGCAGGTGGCAGCCCGTACATAGCAGAGGGGTCGTTAACAGCAACACTTGGGGTGACATTATTGTCAATTATGGCCATCTTAACCTTCTTTTCTTCATTTGAGATTATGGTAAAACGGGTCATCTCGGAGGCAGTACCTGCAGTGGTATTCACGGCAACCAATGGTAACGCCGGAACCTTAGACTTATTCACACCTTCGTAGTCGCCGATTTCGCCCCCGTTGGTGGCCAAAAGAGCAATCGCCTTGGCGTTATCGTGGGCAGAGCCGCCGCCTATGGAAACCACAATATCGCTACCATGCTTTTTTAAAGTCTTGAGACCAGCAGTGACATTCTTGGTAGTGGGGTTGGGTTGGGTCTGGTCGTAGATGGAAACAGAGAGTTTGCGTTCTTCAAGAAGTTGAGTGACCTTGGCTGCTAGACCTATTTTGGCAATTCCCGGGTCGGTGACGATGATTGCTTTCTTGAACTCCTTAGCTTTAATATAATCGGCTGCTTCGGTCAAAGCTCCTTCACCAAAGTAAGATATAGGTGGGATATAGAATCCGGTAACAGAAGACATATTTTTTTTATCGCTGCGGTGACAACTCTTGGCAATAGAAGTTTGGTAGGCCTGGAAACTTTGCCTGCTGAAGGAATGAGAAAGCGACTGAACATGATCCAGTTACTCAAATAAAAGCTATATTGCAGCCCACTTAAATATCAAATTATTGAATAGATCTTATGCCCAATCCGCAACAACAATAACCTCTATGGTGGTGCTCCCATATCAAGCAAAACCTCGCCGTACCTTTTATCCTGTGATGGCTTCATTTTAAAGCCTAAATACGTCCCTCGGTAAGACCACCCGCTTTACGTCCCCTCTTCGATTGTGACGACGATTGAGACGTCGTGATGATCAGGTCATACAGTTCCCAGAGCTACCAGCCTTCGGACTTTTTTTTTTCGTGTAATTTTTAGTGGTGATACTTTTTGACAAATTTTAACCGTGAGGGTTGAGAAATAAGTTGACATGGCGTGGCTACTCAAAATCG